TCAATATTGATATGCGCACAACTGAAAGCAAACTATCCGTAATTTTATAAGCGATTTATTATAGATCCGAAGAAATTAATTCTTTTGCTTATATTATAACATATTTCGCTAAATAATATTAAATAAACCAATTCTGGTAATAAAGTTGTATAGGTATTTTATTTTAATTCGTTGATATACGCAAACCGTAGATAGAGAATAATTTGTGTTTTTTTTAATTTTATATAAATCTATTTGTAATATAACTAGCCGCAAAAAACGTGTTGTAATATTTTCAAAAATATCAACAAAAAAATATTTATTTTGTCGGTAATGTTAACAAAATAGCTGAATAACTTAATTTGAAATGATAGACAGCTAGTATGTCTGCAAAACGAAATTTATTTGCAAGGCGATGTTCCTTGGAACAGACTAATTAACGTAAATGAAATAAAATATGGACATACTTCGCACGTAAGTGGGCCACTGTTATAGGTGAAAAGTTGGAAAGGTAGAAAAGAAATGTAACGATTACGCAACGATTAACTATTACTAAGGAAAAACAACTCTGAGCAATGTATATGACATATTACGGTATATTAGTAATAACGTAGGCATTATTTATTTTCTTTAATAATATTTGCACCTATTTTCCCGCTTTTTCTACGTTTTTCCCTGTGTTTTTCTTAGTTTTTCCATGTTTTTCCCAGTTTTTTCATTAATTGGGAAAACTCTTGAGAAAATCAAAAAATCACCTCATTAAAATACCAGCCTAGTTAAATTTCCTATCAGAAAAATTACTATTATTGTAAATCGGAGCAAAATTTCGGGTAGAAATATTATCCACAGAAAAAATAATAATAAATTAACATCATTTTAAAACCAATACATTCCTCGCTCCACTCAAAATCTAAAAGTATACGTGTTTTTTTTCCTCCATGTCACCGAGATAACTTAATGTACATTTATCAAATTAATTTTTAGATAACAAAAAATACAATCGCGTACTGAGTGGAACGAGAGTCGTATAATATTATAGATATTATATTTGATACAAAATATTAAATACTGCAAAGGAATTTTAGATTTTAGAATTGGCATTATCGAAATATTGTCAAAGAAAATTATCTGGAATAGAAAAATTCAAGAATTTTACATTTATACAGCTTAAGAGCTGAAAATTCAATTTTTAATGATTCAGTACTGTGATTTATGTATTAAAAGTTACTGTGATGGACTGATAATTTTATTTAGTTTATTTTTAGAGGACTAAACATAACTTTAGAAAGGTACCTTTTATTCCCGTTGTTAAATTTCTAAACATAAATTTAATCGAGTTAATTATTTTCATCATACCATTAGTATTAAATTCTTTAACAAAATTCATTATAACAAACCACTATAATTTTTTATTTTTTTATTTTTTTTACATATTTATTTGTCTTTGACTTACAATTTTATTACTACCGTTATCCGTATCTATATTGTACAGGTGCAATAATATTATATCAATTAATTTATCTCGGAGACGAATCTTTAGTCATCTCCGTTCGACATCACTGTTGTATACGAATAATTGGGAACCCAGATACAATAGATAGTCAAAATCAGACAATTGAATTATTTTAATCGAGTATTGTAGCATTTTAATTAATAATAATTGTAAAACATACATTTGATTTTTACGTTTTATTTTAAATTACGTTATAATATGATTTTCGATTTCAAACGTTTATAAAGGAACACATTTTTTACAGACGAAAAATTTTATTTGCATAAGAAATATATTTTATTTGAACGTCAATTCATACACAAATATTACCTGAACAAATTATTATTAAAATTTTTTTATGCAAGCGTTCCGTTAAAAAAAAAAAACATTTTTAAAAAATAGGCAAAAGAAAAATGGCATTCGTTAATAGTTTTCCCGTTAATTATTTACTTTTTTGTTAACTTTACAAAAAAATAATAATATTCACTCTTTCGGGAATTTGTATTATTTTTAATAATTCGCTATTGTATACTTTTAGAAACTTATTACTTTACCAATAACTTTTCCATGCGATAAATAAAATAATATTTAAAATATTGGTATATTATTTTTTGAAGAAATTATAATCAGGCAGAGTACAATAATCTTTTCATCGTAATCAAAGGAGAATGCATCGCGTAACACAAGGAAACGACGAGTATGTACAATCTATATGTCTCTCTATCTCTTTTGTATACTCACGCGTGAAGGAATATTTGTCATGTACAAAAACTCAAAAACCAGAAAATCATAATTCAAAGAGAAAAGTTTTCGAATTGGTTGAAACCACAGAAGACTGAAATATTTTTTTTTTGTTTTTCTCACGTTAAACTTATGATATAAACAATCATATCTATACGTTTTCCATGTACATCGAATTAAATTTTTTATCGACTCGAAATTTAAAATTAACGACTTATCTCTATAAAGAAATTTATCACAAGCACTAAAAAAGGAAACCAGAGAACATCAATTAAAACAAAATTAATTTATCCAAAATACAATTTCTAAGTGTCATCACGCACGAGCATACGTATTGAAATTGAAATTGATTGGGCAGTGGTTAAAGTGATAGACGGATAGTACTGCCAACATATAAAAGTATAATTATTTTGTTTAAAAAAATAATAATAATTGTAGTATGCCTTGCAGAACCGCGCCATGGCAACCTGCAGTTACCACTGGTTGAGTTTTTCTTTTTGTAAACCATCGAATTTATTATACTATCCATTCGGCTAGTCCACGTCAACTTAACATTTATTTTCCCATTACAAGGCTTTCAGTGTTTTCAAGTTTCGAAAGTTGTCCCCATTTCTCAGAATAAGGGGTACGGTACATAGATCTGCTGTTACGCGTGATCACTTATAAGTAGAAGCAGAAGTCCGAAGCGTTCTGGAAGAATATTGTTTGGATGAGGATGCTTGAAATTCTGTGCTTTGTATAACATTTTTTTTTTTTATATAATAATATTTATTGGCCATCTATAGATAAATTTAAATATAATTACAATAAAATAATATCGAGTATAATGGCCCAACTCACCACTGAGGATAACTTTTATTGGAGAAATTGGAGTGCTAATAATAAAATTAATAAATAGTTAAGATGATGTAAACATAGGCAGAATAGCAAAAATAAAATATAAAAATAAGAAAATATTAGACAAAATGGTATGATAGGTTAAGTAAAGAAGAATATAATTTAACTAGGTTCACATCATGTACAAGTGCTCTAATATGTTAGGGATATGGTTTAGTCATAATTTAACACACTTTTTGTATTGTGTGTATGATTTACAATTTATGATATGAGACGGGGCTTTCCTTAACAGTTTAATTCGTATCTGTGAACAACATAAACTTGATTTGAGCGTTCGGATAGTAGGTATCTCTAAATTGATTTCCTGCCGTGTATTTTACTATGCTGGTTTTAATTTAATTCAATTCAATTTATATGTGAAATAAAGGGCATTTCTTTGAAATAATTTTTGTATAGAAAAAACATTAAATTCCTCAAATAATTGTATAGAAGGATGTGTTTTATGTTTGTTTAACATTAATTTTATTATACTTTTTTAAGCTCTCAGTATCTCGTTGCTTACAACATTAGGTATCCACGTCATGCGGTTATACCATATTGGAGAATCGACTGGGATTCCGTGCTGATAGTTTAAAGATCATTTTTCGATGCATTCACAAATGATTCAACATGGTTATTTTTGTCGAGTTTGTTACGGTCAAAACCAAAGGACCCGGCAGTTAACCGAAGCACTATATTTTAAACCACTTCTAGATTTGTCGACTAGTTAGATGAGAAGATATGAACAGCGTGGACGATTTTCGTTCTAATGTAACGTAATACGAGAGAGAAGATTTTAAAAATTAATAGTATTGTTACCAATAGTATTAAATATACAGTTCGTATTATTATACTATGTACACTATTGGGACGATGCGCGTATTTCATTATTAATGACGTTTTTATTAGACAGTATTTACTGAGAGTCGGCGCCGGAGTCCCGTTAGGTATTATACTCATATATAGTGCAACATCGTATATATTATTATACACGATTCGTCCGATCCATCGCGAAATTCATTAATAACAGTCACCGCGGCAACGATAATCCGGAATCGAAAGTTATTTTACCCCAGACCTGCTGCACGTGGTCCCGTATAAGACGATAATAATATCATCGTATCAACCGCATATAATAATGGAATGCAATGTATAGCCGATAGAACGTTTATACGCATTAATTTATTATTAGTGCGTTATGTTCTCGAATTTCATTAAAAATATATTATAGATTATAAGTTAACCGCGTGTACACGCCTTACGCACACCCAACGCCGTGAGGCCCGTAATTTTCCAGAAAATAATTAACCAGAACGATACAAAATCCGGAAAGCAAAAACCTAACCTAACCGTAAGCTTGATTTATCGTGTATCGCTTTGTTTATTGTTCCTCTGTGTCGAGGAGCAGTAGCTTATTCTAACACAAAGACAAAACTGTACCCACGAAGATATATAAATATATATATGTATATATTTATACCAATTGCGATATCTCCTGAGATAACAAAAATAATTAAATTCGGTTTTTTTTTTTTTGGTGTATGACTCCCGAAAATACAGACTGCGAAAATATTCAAATATTTAATTAAGAAAATTAACGTTAACAGAAAAATGTATAATTTTGGATTTGTCTCCCTCACCCCTCCCTCAACGAGCCAATACTGGTTAGTGACTACGCAATTGCTTTTACTTGTACAGAAATCCTGTTTTGAATATCATATTTATAGTTAAACCGTTTTGAAAATTAAAAAAGGAAAAAATTGTTTAAACAAGCCTATAATAAGAACATAACTATATTTATATCGCATTAGTGTTTTATGCAGACGTTTTATAAAAATATGTTACCATTTTACTGGTATACACAAAAAATTCTATAAAAACACGTCATAACAAATCATTTCAAACTTCAGTTATGGACCCCGTTTTGGACAAGTTTCATAGTGGAAGTATATTTTTATTTATTTTTGACGCAGAAATTTAATTTTTAATTTTTTTTTTGCAAACCAAACAATTTCCGAGGTTAAACGTGACTAAATTACTCTTATTTTTGTGTTTAGTATCAGGGATGATAATATTTTTTTTTTATATATATCTTTTATCTATATATTACTATATTGGTCGAGGGGAAACCGATTAAGAAAGAAACCAAAAGTTCATCCAAAAAAGCGATGAATATATTGAATAAAAGAGAACATGGAGAAATTCAGCATACTAAAATGAAATTATAGATTTTTAGAACTAGATTTTTTTCATAAATCTTTGTCAGCATTTATGATGCATAGTTTAAGAATGATTTCATAATTATTATATTTTTATTTAATTTTGTAATTATAAGCCTATTTATTTATATTGTTATTATTATTATTATGTTATTATCATTATTATTATTATTATTATCACAATTATTGCTCATCCATTTATTGTCACTATATTGTATTATTATATTACAATTAAAATTGTATTATATTGTACTATTTGTAATTGAAAATTATTTCCGTTGAATAAAATTATTACTATTATATGGAAATCGATTCGAACACATTTTCCGAGCATACTTGTATTGTAGGTGTAAACGTGTAATTCAAATTTTAACGATTGCTTCTGTATAATAATAATTTCATTCAAAATATTTTTTTTTTCTTTATAGTTTTACACGATTTCAGAGCGCCGAACGTTTCGAAAAAAATAACAATAATAATGAAAAGTTCTCCGAAAAAAAAAGTCCTATCGTCGTAAAATAAGTTTTCTTTGTCGGGTGTTTTTAAATTAAAAATTAATTTAAATTTTTTTTTTTTTAATTTTTATATATTATATGATTTATTATAATATGATATTGAATGTTGACTTAACGTCAACGTCTTGCAGCTTGTATTTTGTTCTATGCATCCCCACATGTCCGTATAAATACACAGTTTTTTAAACAAACCGAAGCGAAATTTAAAATTGGCATCGATTTTACACAAATTTTTCTTGCCCTTTTTCTATTATAACACTACACTGCTGCTCCGGTATTTTTTTTCGTCTGTCGCCATGTTTCAATGTTAATCATGGTAAATACTTAAGAAAAAAAAAAATGATATAAATATGTTCTGCGTACCAACTTGTAATTTTTTTTTTTTTGAAGTACCGATTCGATTTTTTTTACTTATACGTTTTTTACACGTACAAGTAGGTAACTATTATAATATAAAAACATGTAACCTGTATTAACTATATATAAAACCAATGTTTGGAACCTACACTAAAAGAAAAAACACATTCACGGTCGTTGTAAAAATAAATTCGTTCAGAGATAATAAATGTTAACCAGATATGGGACCATTTAGTTTGATAACGTATATTTGCAGGTAATAAGTCGTGGTTGTGGTAACAATGAATCATAAATTAACTATTGAATACAATATTTTCAAATATGACTATGTGAATACTTGACAATGTCATCAATAATATTATAATATAATTAACGTATTTTTTGATTAAATATAAAATTAACGTTTGAATGAACGAAAAAAAAAATTGTTCGTGTTTTTATAATAATCAATGAAGGCATTTGTGGATCATTCGTAAAAAGCGAACGCTTACTTTCAAACGCAGATAAAAACCTATAGTGCGTTTCACGAAATTAGAGACTCGACTGTGGCGCGAAAATTAGTAAGACTTCGATATCAATTGGCCAGCGCCACGCAATTCAAATTTTCGATCACCGATCATGCTACAGTCGAGTCTCTAATTCCGTGAAATAACATAATAGTGTAGCAATACCAATAACAAATCGATATTACGGTAATCCGCAGAATTTTTTTTTCCTATAATTTTAATTAAAATTATATTTGTTTTTTATAAATTATATATGTATATACAAAATTCGATTGAAATATATACAATTATACTTTTTAGTCTAAGGAAATATTAACGAGACTTTTCGCGCTAAGTTTTCATCGGAAACTGTAAAATATTAAACTCGAGATCCCGTATAAAAAAATGTTTAAGGTTAATAAACAAGAAGATATATATACAATACATTGCTATATTATATTGTTTAGTATTTACAGTTTCCAAAATGCAATATTTAATAAAGTTTCGCAACAGGTCTATATATATACTATTCATAAATAATGGCTGTCGCATTTAATAACTCCGCATTTATTGCGAGCTGCGCAATTAGTTACATTTTAGGTAAACAAGCGTTTCACTTCCGAAAAATATTTAAAAACAAAACGCACTATTACATTGGATTTAGTTTAAACTCAGTTCCCGGAACTGCTTAGTTACCCCCTAAATAAAATGCTACTATAGTGTAAAAACGTACAGTCGAATGTATCGATGAACGATGTCAACGACGTCGTTATTATTAGACCGTTTTGAGTTTTATCTCAGCTTATAGTGTGACCAATCGAACCACAGGAGTGATTATGCGATAATTAAACGACTATAATATACAATAAACATGTATATATTGACTAAGGGAATTTTTTTTCCCCAATTGTTATTTGAGCTTTATTCACGTCTATTTTTCAATGAGAATAGTATTAAAATAAATATTAGATGTTTCTATAAGATTGAAAAATACAACAGCATTCGAGTTGGCTTTAAATCCTACGAGAAAATTGCTGGTTGATGATAAATGGATCAGCTTGTATATAAAGTATAATAATATTACACGCAATAAAAAAAAAAATTAAATAAAACAACTCTAACGTCGTATTATACCTACTTACTTTTTGAAAATTAATGACGACTGATTAGTTTAAAAGACTCGTAAAATTATCCAAAGAATCTCTCGTTTACCTACGAATAAAAAAAAAACTTTAATTTAACGAATTTTCTTTTATAGTAATAATAAAAAAAAAAATTAAAAAAAAAAAAAAAAAAAATTATTATTTACTATATTTAGATAATCGGCCAAATTAAAAACATTACTCAAAGCGTTAAACTTTCGACGTAAAAACCATCTGCGAATTTGTTTTTTCATTACTTAACTGAAGAAGTTTAAAAATAACCGTGGTTGTTATGTTCTTAATTAAAACGTCGGTGGTTCGAAACAGTTTTCTAGTCGGCAAAAACGAAAAACTTTCAGTCTTAAGCTGGTTTCCACAACACAACATTCGGGCGCATCGTACAAAAAAAAAATCTCTAAAAAACTTTGAAACGACGCCAACCACCCCCCCTCCCCCTACAAAATCAGTGTTGTGAATTAAAATACATGCGTTAGTAGTTTTAAGTTTTAGTAATACTCGGTATACAGTTTTCCTCCGGTGTATACAGTACGACTCCTCTACTAGTAGTGACGCATACTAATTATTAATACCCATATTGACAGACGACATTTCAGATTTATTAAAACTGATCTGACGACGTCATCTATATATACTAGGTGGGAAACCTATATCGAGTTTGTGTTTTGTCGAGTTCCAAATGTCTGCCCCTATTTTCAAACTATTACCTGCACGACAACACCGAACAAATTATCGTAATCTTCCCTAACGTATTCCAAACTCGACCCGCAAATACGAAATCCAGTTCGGTACATTTTTCTTAATATTTTTTTTTTTTTTTTTTCAGAAAAATACAACCCTCAACAGCAGAAGAAACAGGTGTCGGATTTCTTGGTCAGGCCGTTTTTCGACACGGGTGTGTCGTCCAACATCACCACGCAGCTTGGCGGCCACGCGTATATGCCGTGCAGGGTCAAACAACTCGGTAACAAGTCGGTGAGTGTTTCACGATACATTCATAACGTAGTATTGTTATTAATTATCAGGTCATTATATGCTAAACGAGTTTAAGTATCATAATTCCGAGGGTGAAACCATGAAAAAATTTAAAAAATACTAACAAAGCGTTGGCGATACTGCACGACGGTGTGGGATCAGTGAATATAGGAAACAGAAATCTAAAATTCCGTACGTATTTATCGTAGGCGGACAAATTGATTTCCTACTAATGGATCGTTACCCATACCTACGTCTCGAGACTTGATTTTTAATTTCGAATTTCATAACGCAAGGCGGGAGACTGGCGTTCTAGTTTTAGACTTTTCGGTTCCGATCACTACATAACTATGTATACATACCGAATAATAATTTTGTTGAAAACGACATTTTTTTTTTTTTTTTTTTTATGTTGCGCGGTGGGTTAAAGTCGTCGGATTTCGGTAGGTTACCGGCCAACGATGACGACGATCGGTGGCTAAACGAAAACGCCCAATAATAAAAACGATAGTAAGTGACCGCGGAATGATACGATTTTCCGGACGATAACCGCGCGTTCGGCCAAAGGGTCGCCCGTACAGATTAAACAGCGCGAAACACCGCCACGTGTATCGCGTCGTACTAACGTTTCCGCACCAAACGTGAAGTGAATTCCATTAACCGCAATAATATTAACGCGTTACGACGATCGGACGCATTTTTATATTATGTGGTTTTATGGCAGCCAGCGAACGAAAAATCGCTAGATTTTATATTAAACTATACAGACGCCACGCAGCCGGACGACGGCGCGTTGTTTTGAAATTTAATCGAATTTCCCGATACGGAATTCACACCTCCGCAACATGATAAAATAATATTATGTATTACGTTATTGTCGCTTCGTATAACATCAAAATCGAGTTACAGAACCGTCCTCGTGTAAAAGTTTAAGTAATTCGTTCTTTTCCGGAATTAAATTACTATAGTGTAATGAGTATACCCAATAAAGCCGACACCTAGTAAAGACTATACTGATAACCCGTCAAACCCGTCATTCGCTTCTAATCGTTGTTGCCCAATAGTATTGGGAATCTCTAGAATCGATACAGCGATCATATCCTTCCAGGTTATATCCTTCTTGAATAATTGGCTTTTTGGACTGGCCATAAATGGGCAATTACTCAAACGCGAACCGACTCATAGGTCACTTATCATAAACGATAAAATACTGAGGTTTCTCTGGTAAAAAAAACTCGGTCCAAGCAAACGGCAAATCCATTGCGTCTAAAATCCTAAACTTAATATTGATCGAACCGAAGGTCCTTCAAAACGTCTCGGGCCATTTGCTCTGCTTGGTAATGACCATACGTAACAGCAAAACCATATGCCATACCTCACGATACAAGGTACAGAGACGATCTCCCCAAAATATGCTCCTTCAGGTAAACCCCTCCTCCCGTCCAATGCGGTGTGAAATCGCCACTTCGATTTGCCAAACGCATTCCAATTTTACAATATAATGTAATAATAAACGACGGCAGCGGCAGTATTCAATCAGATTTTAAATGAAATTAAAATAATATAATTTTAAACAACATCGGATCCGAAAGCCTTTGGATTGTTATATACGTATCGAAATACCCTCGGCGGCGTGTTCAAAACGAACAATTCGGAATAAATCTAAGTACTATAAGATTTGTCTTCTTCTTGGGTCGCGTTTATATATTAAACAGACTTTCGATTTGTCGTCGACAAATCGTATACGCTGCGTTTACTTTTGTCAAGATATTATTAGTATACAACACGATTATAATATTAAACTGATTGAATACGACGACGACGATGGCATAAACTACACCATCTCCCTAAACATTTATCAATTTATAAATTACATTATAAACTAAATAGTGGCGGTATTGTAAAAATCGGCCTTGCCCGAGACAAATTAAACGCCCGTGGATTAATCTATACCGATCAAATTGAACAATAATAATTCTAGTATTTTCTCCGTATAACATAACATACAACGTATAACGTAATAATATGCGGAAAACAAATACAAACAAACGATAAACCATTGCTAACGAAAAACGATTATGAGCGAAGTTCGGTTATACGGGTATTAAAAGACTTTACCAATTACTGTCAAAATTTAATATTAAAATTCATATAAAAAAAATGTTTACATTACACTAATTTTTTTTTTTTTTTGAATCTGAAGTAAGACTTAAAAAAAATCTCCTGTTAAATTTTCAAACATTTCTGTTTAGTCAGACAACTGTATACACATATAGTATATACCAAATAAAAACTCTCACTACGCTCCGAATTTAAAAAATACTACATAACTATTACGCTCTACTTTTTACCACTAAGTACAATTTATGATCTGTAATATTTTCAAGCCTTTCTACTCGACCAAAACAATGTTATCCACTATAAAACTAGAAAAAAAACTTGAAAAATATAAAATGCTTATAAAAAGATCATTAATTTCTAGGATGTTTTGAACATTTTTACCACATTTAGAAAATAGGCTAATATAAGTATTCTGTGAATTGCAACAAAAAAACAAAATCAGAAATAATTAAACCGTTAGTACCATAAACTTTCCTGGTTTCCCCTTATATTTAGTCCCAGTTATTTCCAATTATAAAAAGTGGAAATCAAAAATCGATCGCCCAATTTTACACGTGGGCAAGATAATATATTACCGATCCTATATAATCAACCAGAATTTTAGGGAAGATTGCATTTTTTAATAAGCAAAAGAAGACATTAAAGCGTTTGGATACCTCATACATTATTTTAAAATGTGAAAATACCCAATCCTCTAGAAATAAAATAAGCTATTAGCTTATACTTCTATTCGCGGATATCTAATCTGAAATTGCATTTAATACCAGATTTTTGTTCTTATGTTTCTATGATCAACTGTTCATCTGATACAGGGTATCCTTGTTAATTTTTATCACAACAACATTTTAAAATAATGAATAAAAACGACCGAACACACTTCGTTCCATGGATTAACCCTATGTTTTAGGTGGTAAAACTGATGGTTTTGGATATAGTATAATTGAACTTAATAAGTTACCTACTAAAAGTAACGAAAATTCGAGGCAATCAAAATACTATTCTGAACAAACCTCGGTAAAGTTTTAAGGCTTCTTTGTTTCCATTGTAACTAAGGTAACCTAGAAATCAAAATAAATTAAAACCGTCATTTGGTGTTAATTTTTTAAATAATTTCTAGAAATCTCGGAAAAAAATATAAGTTAATTCCACCATCAGGTGAAATTTAAAAGGTGACGGGGTTATGTCAGGTTGACAATCAGTGTAAAATTCTCAGAATGAAGAGTTTTAAGCGAGACTTGCACGGATTGTCTATTTATGATGATGAACCGTAGATAACCATCAAGTGTTTTATGTGACAAGAGAATTCTAATGAGAATTATCAAAGTTCTTTAAAAATGTGGTGAAACTAACTATGTTGTATGGTTTAAAGTGTATAGTGTGGTAGATAGAAAACTAGAAAATAGAATGAGTGTAAAAGTGATGAGAAAGCTTAGGTGGATAAGTGTAGTAACAAGAAAATATAAGATAAAAAGTGAGTTCTTTAAAAATAGCTTAGGCGTAGTTTTAATAGTTGGCGAAATGAGAGACTGGAATGGTTTGGGTATGTCATGAAGAGAGATGAATCAGAAGCAGTAAAAATTGTGATAAAAAAGGAGAAGGAAAACCGAAAAAAAAGTTGTTAGATACAATAATGAATGATATGAGGACATCCGGTGTATGCGAGGTGGGAGATCCGGTCAAGTGGAAGTTTATGATGAGTGTGGCCAATCTTTAATAGTTAAAGGAGAAGAAGACCATTAGATGGAAATTCTATAATGCATGAGAACATAAGAACTTTTTACTCACGAAAGCAGTATTCTAAAATACACATAAAAATATTCTCTTGAACAAAGCATAGGAATTTTCAACAGTTTTTCAAATAAATTATCAACATGTGTAAAATTAATATCTATTAATGTTCATGGATAAATCTAAGTATTTTTATAAACTGAAAATTATACAATAGAGAAAACACGTTCAGTATAGTTCAATTGAGTAAAAACAATTCTGGACCAAGTTCGGTTATAGATGTTTTCAAAGGCCGTAATATTTACAATTAGTAAATGATACATTTCGTAAATTTTGCCGTTTTTCCTACGTTGTTTCACGTTTTATCCTATTAATTATGAAAACCCATAAAACAAAAAAAAATAACCTCCTAAAATTACCACCCCAGTCAAATTTCCTATTATAAAAGATGCTGCACTTGAAAATCGAAACATCGTTTCTGGTAAAAAATGTGTTCACAGAAAAAAAAATTAAATAAACCAACATCATTGTAAAACAAAAATACCAAAACATTCATTTTTCCGCTCCGCTCAGAATCGAAAAAATATCCTATATACTGCACTAAGGGGTTTGAGAACGTACAAAAACTCCCTCACTCTCCTCCTTGGATCCGTCGTTGGTTATTTTGACCGAGAAAATTTGTTTCCGGAGAGCAAACAACAAAAGTTTTCCTACGAAATTTTCTATAGCGAACACAATTCTACCGCGAACGCAGCAAGTGCATGGGCATTGGTATTTTTCCGCTTTTCCACATGACGGTGGCGGTCGCACGACAAAGAGTAAGTTCCGATAATTTCGGCGGATTTGCGTTTACGTTCGAACGGTAATTAATCGCGTGTGAGAGTTGAGGGGGGAGGGGCGGGCGGTCGATACCAAACACCGGAAGTGTGAACGACCCGGGGGGGTTTTATTTCGAGACCGCGAGCGATTTTCTGTGTGTTTACGACCGTTCCGCGGCCCGCGGAGGTGGCTGAGAGAGACGCGGTTTCGCGGGCGGCGCGCGCGAAAACACGACATTGCACTACGCGGAAAAAATGACTACGGGCGACAAAAACCCGGTGAAAAGTTTTCTATATTTTTTTTTTTTCTGCTTATCCTCGCGCCGTCCGTCCACTCGTCGGCCCCATAAATAGCAGTGGCCCGCCGCCGCCTCGTCGTTAAGCCCCCTACCATGCACTACGAGCCGCTTTTATACACGATAGTTATTTAATCAACATCGCCCGGCCCTCGGGGCACTAAATAAAATTAACGTTTCCGCCCCGCGCGCCCTGGTGGCGAATTGATGGTTCGGAAACGTGTGCGCTTCTATACGCGCGAGTATACCTATACGGGTACGCGTTTGCTCGTGTGCCCGGCTCGTATACGGTTCGAATTCCTCCGTTGCCGCCACCGCCGCCGCCGCCGCCATTCCGCCCTTCACGCCCGCGATCCACGGCGATTCCGGAGAGCCCCAGGAGAACGGGCAGCGGGACGCGCACGCCGTCCGTAATGAATCCGGCGGGTGCCATAAAGTCTTGCGGACAGTAAAGCGCGCGCGCCAGCTCCGTTCAATCCCGCGCGTTATTGTCGCGCGAAACGCACGGGCCGAAAAAATACTGTACTTTATGTATTTTTTTATTCGCTACCTCCGCGTTCCTCCGGCGCGACGGCCGAAAATGCATTGGCTCACGGTCGCGCCGTCGTCGACGCCGCACTCGTCGCGACTCGGCCGATCGGCTTTGAGAAAATCATCGCGCGGAAATTCCGCGACGACGGAACCGCACAATCCGCGAGACGTGCGCCCCGCGAAGAAACGATATTAAATTTCGATTTTTTTTTTTTTCTCTCTCTTTAAAAAAAATCACGAATTTTCCGACTGACGTCTACTACTCCCGATTCCAATATACGCGTTCCTCTCCTTTTGACGGACAGGTCGTTTCCAAAAGATCTAAACATCCAATATTGTATTTTTTTTTTTTTTATAGAGCATAAATTACATCCACAACTAGGCCTTTAGTAAATGTATATTTTGTGAAGTTTGTATTTTTAACGATTTACATATTTTTATATTATGTCATACATTTCATATTTACTTGGAAATAAAATTAAGTTTCTATCTTGTGTATCTCGTGGGCTCGGTCCTAGAGCTTGGTAGATTTGTTCGGATACGTGGAATTGGTTGCGGCAGTTTTGGTATTTTTTTACATTCGGTGATGGTGTGATTGACCGTTAATGGAACGCCACGTGTGGGGTTTATCTTGGCTCATCCAAAAGCTGCGCGTTAGCTCTTTTGTGTGTATCCAATTCGAATTCGGTTAATTGCGGTTTCTTCTTTTCTATTAAGTTCGGTGGCTTAGCCATAGGTTGGTAATGTTTTTTATTTTGTTGAGTTTGGAGTTCGGATATCTCCAATGGAAATGCCATTTATTATTATTTATGTAGGAGTTAATCAGGTTCTTCGCGCATGAGTATGTAGTGCTATTGTGATTATTATGATTGATGATATTGTTACTGAGACGATTGCATTGAGTACTTCTTGATCGAATACATTGTTTTGTTCGCTAAATAACTGTAATATTTTCGCGGAATCGCATAAACGAATTAACGAATTTGAAGCTCATAATTCGGTATTTCGACATGTCAGATGTCATCGTTAACTACGAGATACTTAAAATGAGGTCAGTCAATTAATATGGAAGTCTTTGACCATGAATTCTAAAATATTAGCGCTAGATTGCTTGCACTAAAACGTCACCGGGGAGGTTTTCGATGAACTAATGGCAACGTTATTTCCTCGTTTAAATCGCGGTATAGACGAGATCAAGTTGTTATTGAAACTTTGCTTGTTGACGGCCGGGGAGTTAAAGAAACAGGAGGAATAGAAAAATGCGCGTCGTCCGCAAAAATAGGCATTTTGAATTAAAATATCGTTCGCAACATACATATATACGACGTTTGTATTAAAAATAAACACGTGGATTTTTTAAATAATGCCGAATCTAGTATTGAACCGAACAGAGCTAAAATTTAAAGGTCCAATCGTATTAGTATAAATCTTTTGAGGGCAATATCGAATTAGTGTTACACTTGTACACTGCAGTTAGCGCACAACGACCGTTAAGAACCGCAATAATGGGCTGAATAATGACTGCTAACCGTGAAATACGCTGACTGTTTAATATCCATACAGAGTGCAATAATAATATAGGCTATAAAATAATAATTATAAAAGCTACCATCGTATTTAAATATTGAAACGACATCTGTTAATAGATATCGGTGGGATATTTATCCTTTGATACCCGAGAATATTCCAGGTGGGAGAGTTCAATTATATTTATATTTTTATTTTTTTTCGATCACTTTCTTGTAAAATTCACCCTGTACTAATGATATTCTAATAACAGACTGCAAGTCAAAAATAAACGATTTTCTATTTTCTAAAAATGCTAGAGATTTCATGTAACTATAGAAGGCTGTGTCAAAGTTTTGTGGTGTAGTGATAGCTTTTGAAATACTAATTGGTAGACCAGATAACTCACGGACAGTGATGTTGCTTACTCAACTAGCGTTGGTTGCCAACGAACGTTGTTCTGAAGACGTTCTTTTGGATTCGCTAGAGCGAATGTCCAATATTGGATCCATAATATGGGTAACGTAGTTATATTTTTTTACGATAAATTAAACGAATTTCAATCAGAAATACATTACTATTGTGTACGTAATCACCATCACTGTCATTTTTTTATTTCAAAGAAACTATTATCGCTATATAAAAAATCAAAATATATATATTATATACGGAAAATTCGAGACTATAATAATTTACTAAAGTGCCCTCAAATTAATTTAAAAGCATATTTAGTTTTATTTTACTCTCATATTAGATAGTAAATCAGAGCTTTTTTTTTTTTTTTTTTACATAAATCCGTTTCGTCCAGCGTGGCATTCGGCCAGCGTAACTTTTTATCTTTACCTATTTATACTCACGAGTTTTAATTTCACATTTCACCACCACCCCGGACACTAACTCTCTCCCAAGCATGCCAAGTTTATTCCGATCTCTCGGGTTTTTCGTATTAATTAAAAAAAAAAAAAAACAAACAACCTTTGGAGGATTTCGTGGATAATTATATTATAATAGTTAATATTTTAGCATTTCGTATTATACTAACACTAATTTCGTCATCAAGTTTTTCTCCAATACAATTTAAATAATCTAATGTGTGTGTCACTGCAGGTATCGTGGATACGACGACGGGATTCACACATACTCACCATCGATTGGCTGTTGTTCATCGCCGACGACAGGTTCCGGATATTCCTGGTGGAGCCCACGTGCACGTGGACGTTACAGATCAAATACGTGCAGCCGAGGGACGCAGGCATTTACGAGTGTCAGATAAACACATCGCCCAAAATGAGCCATTTGGTTCAGCTCAATGTCGTGGGTAAGTATCTATTTGTTTTTCTGCGTCGTTGTCTATGGAATTGAAACCATAATATTGCAATACTGTGGAGTTTGGACCTAGAAAAATACTGTACAACGATAGTGTATCATATTCCGCATTAGTTTAATCGAAATTTAATAGAATACTATTATATTTTAAGATAATTAAATAGAATAACTGCTACAGATAGAGCCGAATCGGAAAAATTATCTTTTTCTATCAGACTACTCTACGTCTGAACAAAATAAATATTAAATCGAATGAATTGCACCTAGAGAATATAGCGGCACTCGAAACTGGCCCTACAAACATAACACGATTTTACAAAATCACTCAAGTAAACTCTTCTAGGACTTGTTAGACATTGTTAGCCAGTTATTGGAATTTTTGTTAGAAAGAATTTCATAATCTGTAAGCACAGCTAAAGAACTTTGCTTACGGATTAATAGAGTTTAGTGTATGCCTAGAACAACATATGAAACAAAAACCTACTTATGACTACAATGTTTTATAACTATTGATAAAATTAATTCTAACAATGTCTAACAAGTAGACTGTTTCAGAGTTATTTTTTTCAGAGTTTATCTAAGTTTATAGTGCCAATTTCACGTATCTAAACAAAATGTTTTTGTCATTAATGGACCTTTGCGTTTAGATAAAAAAAAATAATAATAAAACCCATTCCTATGGTACCGCCAATGGGATTGGGACATTTTGTTCTACAGATATTTTGTTCTACGATTTTTTTGCCTGTCAAGGGACTAATTGTTACTTTTAAAAAAGTAATAGTGAACTAGAAAATCCTTAACTGAAAAAAAATGTCCCACGGGATTATTTGTGTCGTTTCATGGACAATTTGATTTTTTAACTTGGGCCCACAAATACACCAAACTTGTACCAAGAACATGTTCAAAAGAGAGTGGTTCATGAGTTTTAAGCCCAGGCCTACATAACCCACAACTGATAATTTAAACTCACAATGTGGTTTCATTTTCTAATCAAAAACAAAAATGTTAATCAATTGTCTAAACAGAAAGAACAAACACATGCACATACGCATACTAGCAAAACCAATAGATTGCTCGCTCCGCTCTGAATCTTAAATATTGTCCTAGCAGCTGTTAAATTCCACCAATGATCAGAGCATTTAACATACGAAATATTTTAATAATATGATATTTCTGACAGTCTGAACAGTTTTTCAAACAAATATTCGACATTTGATATTGCATTGTCAAATGAGTTAGGACATCGAATTATTTGATACTCTACGATAGAAACCAGTCTCGATTGTTGTCACCACTTTTTGCGTTCTTATCATTATAGAATTCTTTTTTTTCTTCTTATTTATAAAACATTGCGCCGCGTGTCCACAGTACCGAAAATCGAGATCATGGGCGAGTCGGACATCCATGTGATGGAGGGCAGCGCGGTGAGTTTGAAATGTGTCATCCGGCAGAGCGTCCGGGACCCGGACTATATATTCTGGTACCAGAACAACCACCGGGTGCTGGATTACGGCATGAAAACCAAGGTGATCACCAACGAGCGGTTGGATCCCAACACGATGGTGGCCACGTTGACCATCAACAAGGCGGTGCTCCATGACTCAGGCAACTACACGTGTCAGCCGTCCAACTTGGACTCGGCCAGCGCATATCTTCACGTCTTGAACGGTACGTATTATACGTGAAAGTGATAATAATCCCTCACCTAGGCTAATCGGTTGTAGACTAGTTGGAACAGTTTTTCTCGATCGTTTTAAAGTTACCGCCCCCTGTGGGAATCAAACAATTTTTCAAGACCAACCAGTTTAAAAATCCCGTAATTAAAGATATGGGCAACAGAAAGGGGGATGCTGAATTATAAAGCTTAAACAATTTTACTGAATACGTTTATACACGATTTGAAAGACAAATCATGTAAAAGAGTTCTTCAATGAAAAAAACAAATAATTGAATGAACCAAAAAATTAATCAATTACTTTCCACGAATCAAACAATTCAGAAACATTCGCATCTTTATATTATATTATAGTATATTATGTTAAAATGTTATTATGTTAAAATTAACCCATTTTAATTTAATGTTTTCTATTTGCGATACAGGATCACAATGTTAAAGAAAACCAATACAAATACGAGCGATTAAACATATATAATTGCCTGATTTCCGAATCGATTCGATAATGCAGTATCTATAATCCCAGTCGATCAAAACCCGTTTAAAACTTATGATTTATAAAAAACATATCACATTTTTTCCTAACCATCCAACGTCCCTGAATATACGCGTGATCTACGATCAATATTAAACCCGATTATCGGACACACGCTTGTTTCACATTCAACAACCGATTGTGTTTAAGTTATAATTTATTATGTGGCTCGGCCCGAGAAGTGTCCCAGTTGAAAATATGGTTAACGTTCGGCCATTTGTGGGAATTAAATGGACATAATTCGGGGATGCCGTATTTTAGGTTCACAAATACATTTCCTAAGGTTCGAACTTGGGCTCCAATATACTGTCGTTTAATAACTCGTAAATCATACGAAACAAATAAATTGTATCGATGTAACTTACTCGCGCAACTATTCGGATGCTACGGGGGGAACATATACAATGTATAAAATATTTGCAAACGGTGAAAGCACTTACAGTTATATTGCAAACTTTGTGTAACAAATCTTATTTAATATTTTTCTACCGAGACAAAAACTATTTGAGTTATTGTTTTTAGAACAAACATTTTGGAAAACTCGAAAAATGAAATATTCCTTACAATAATTCCATCACTTTCCAATCGAACAAAAACTAGGTGACGTTTGTTTTTTATTACGTTATCACATTGTTATCAGACCGACTATATTTTGTTGAACGGCTACAATATTTAATGCTCTCGAGATTTCCGTCTGCTGAATTTAAACGAGTCAAATAGTACGATCGATCAGTTTAACACAATTGTCCTATTTGAATCAATAACCATTCGAATTCGATGAATCTGTTTTTAAACGGATCGATTTTAAATGTTACCGAACGAGTGTTTACAAGTATGAATTATATTTTATTTGAGTTTTCAATCGTATTTCGTATTTACATTAATAGACAGTATTCACCGGCGATGAGTCTAGGCAATTTCGGTACACCGACGAATCATCGGCTCTCCGACAGTATCAAAAACGTTTACGGCGACATTAAGCGTTTAATTGGCCGGAGTTTATTTTTTGTGTGTCTAATTATGTTAATAACTTTACTACCAGAATTATTACTCCTATTATTATGTGTAACATCTTTTCTGAAAAAAATTTCGTCTTCGTGGAATTTTCGTTATAGTTTCCTTAATAGTTGGATAGATTTTAAGATAATGTAGTAGTTTTTTTTAAATTTAAATTTTGAATAAAATCACGTTCCAAATCATTGGAAACTTTGCTCAGAAAATCGTTTTTCGTTATTTATCGTTACGTCCAGATATAGGTAATATACTCCATATTTTTCCAAATTTCCACCTCCAAATATTTACATTTATCAGGAAATCTCCGGGTACCACGTTTTAATTTAAATACAAGTACTTCAAAAACTATAAAATAATATAAATGATCAGTGCGCATGAAATCACGTGTACGCTCGTCGATTTAAACAATTTAAACTCAGCGAATTTATGTGACGTTACAAAACTAATTCTAGCGGAATGGAAACATTATTATGACCAAGTATCGTCACACAAACATCCGGCCATCGGAGTTTTTATGGCGAGCTGTGTTCAGACTTGTCTAGATATTATTTCGATACCTTCCTGAACTGTCTGAGAGTTATCTAAAATGACGAAATAATTATATTTTCAGTAATTTTCTAGACCAGTGGTTCTATTTTTAGACAACAACCTAAATTTTCCCACGAAAATCTATCGCGACCCACATGGTTTCACTTTTCAAAACCCAGTCTTTGAAAACAACCGAGAAAATCAAAAAATGGTAAATTACCACCCCAAACAGATTTCCTTTCAGAAAAAGTAGTATACTTGAAAATCGGGGCGAAATTTCTGGTAGAGAAGTTGTTCATAGATCAAACAAATAATAAAAAAAAAAAAAAAAACCATTATTGTAAAACCAATAAATTCCTCGCTCCGCTCAAAATCTATATAAATTTCTCGCAGTCTATATAATTAAAAACGATTTTCGTGCCCCATCAAAAATTGACTAAGCTAACCTCACCAAAAAGTTTTCATTAATTTATCAAGTTGTAAAAGTTAGATAGAAAAGTAAAGATTAATTTTAGTTGTTAAAGACTAAATGAGACCGTTTAATATTTAAGTGAAAACCATATTCATTTATCAAGCATTCATTCAATAAATGGCTAAAAGTGCAAAACAAGTTTTCATAGACGATTTGTTACTGTGCGTGTTTGTCATACTATTACATAAATTTACTCGATTTACCAAAAAAAAAAAATACATAAATAAATATCAACCGGATAAAAGGCCCATCGCATATCTTGATGAATTATATACTTGGCGTCGTCGCAAACGGTCGAATTGGAAAGCCCAAGTGATATCCGAAACGGATTTTCCGAATACCGGCGTGAATATCAATATCGGTACGTTCTGTCGTCGAATCGTCAAAACCACGTACAATACGGTCGCCGGGTCGCGACTACTGCGACATTGTGTTTTACTGTAACCATATAATAACGCGTTCGGCGGAATGCGATATTTTTCCCGGTATACTATTCGAAAAGCGCAAATCGGTTATTATTGTTATTTTTTTTTTTTTTTATGTATATTGCATTCGAGGCGTTACGACGCGCGCTCGTTCGGATAAGCGGACGGAATCAAAGAGAATAAAGAACATTATATTATTATTATTATTATTATTATTATTATGTTGTACATCCGAAATCGTGCGCTTTACGCGGATATAATCGTTTTATTAATGCCGTAGTGCGGATAATAATATGTTCGATTCGATTCGGAAAACGTCGTCTTCTCGCCGGGGACTAGGAGCGCGCGAGGCGAGCGAGGGGGAGCGGCGCTTGAGGGGGGGGGGAGGGTGGTAGGCGGCCGGCGTTATCAATATTGGATTTCCCCCGGAACGGGGCGCTCCGGATTTGCGGACGCGGACGCCGTCGCAACGCTTTCCGGATGGGAAATTTCGCTTTAATAACGCCACCGACGACGCCGCCGCCGCCGCCGCCGCGGCAATAGCCGACTCATCGGATGTTCGAGAATGTAAACGCGCGCAGTCGGACGATTTATCTTGTCCCGTCGCCGTTTTTACCGTATAATATTATTATACACACAACGACGTAGGCACCTATACCCGTATGTGTATGTACGTATATGTATGTGGTAGTACGCGCAGAGAGAGAGAGAGAGAGAGAGAGAGAGAGTGAATACGGGAAATTATGCCTGCGCTAAAAGTATTATATTATATTATATTATGGATGTATACGTGTGCCAGCCGCCGAGAGAGGAGTCGTTCATTAATATTCATACGGCGTATCGTATTATGCTCGGAACCCCGCGGATCTCCTCCGCGCTCGTGCGCGGGACTTTTAAAAGTTTACTCTTGAAAACGCCGCGCATAATCGGGCCGCCGGACGGGAGAGCAATACGAGACGGCGGCGTGTAATTCCCCGCGATATTCATGCGATAATCGTTCGCGGCCCTTTGATCTATCGTTAACCGCACGGCTACGGCCCGGGCCCCCGTCGGGAAAGGAACCGCGGGTACGCCGCCGCCAGCCGCGCGCTCTTATCGCGCGCGGCAAGACTGTAATAATAATGCGTAACGTGAATGATGCGTTTCGCGAAACAATTGTTGTACGTACGATTTCGCGCAAAGGCCTCCGGTGCCGCGCCGGTATCGGGATCGCGGGCCTTCCGAAACGAACGCGATTTCCCGGTTTTTACGGTTTTCAACGGACTTTATCAAACGCGGTATGGCATTTTTCTGCGGAATTTTCCCCGGCGTGTACAGACTGTTGGGATGTCGGTCTGTCGCGTCCGACATAATAATTCGTTCGACCGATCCGCCGACATTTTTTTTCGGCCGAACGAGCTCGGAAATTGGAATTAATTTTTCGCGAATTTCAATACGTTATTGCGGCAGAACTTAACACACCGCTAAAGACCCCAGTGACCAAAGCTAAAGGGACGAAGTGTTGTACGCGAGCGTGTAATCAAACCCCGTTTTGTCCGTAACGTAGTGTAGTGTTGTACCATTATATTATAGAGTTCGATTATATTTATTTATTATAACACAGTAATGAACATTACTACGCAATAAAATAACGAAGGAAAAATGTGACTCAAGTGACGGAGCTGTTGCCCATGGGTGTGATATTTTTAGATTTTAAGTGAAGCTATTGCCATGGTTCTCTCCAAGAACGTAGGTAAGAGGGTTCAAACCTCCCGTTTAGAAATTACTACAAAAATGCAATTACTTTATCCATCTCTCATTCAATCCTATTACAAATAATTGATATTCAGAACACCCCCCCCCCCCCCNCCCCCCCCCATGTATAATGTTTACCTCGGCGTCCGATTTTCACTCTCTCTCGCTGATCTGTCTGATCAAAGTCACCTATCCACTGTGTACCCGTTTCTCGTCCACACCACTCGGCCGCGATACTCGTTTTCCGCGTTCCGAACAATCTCGCTGACTGTATAATGTATATTATATAATCATATAATATAAGTCTAATTTTTTTTTTTTCATTTTTCCGCGGATACAGGCGAACATCCGGCCGCCATACAGCGGGGTCACAGTTCCGGTACGCAGATACCCATCCGCCTGTTGGGGCCTTTGTCGGCCGTGCTGGGACTCAGCTCCAGTCATTCGACGAGAGCCGCGCTCCTGACGACCGCGTTTGCCGTCGACCTGGTCGTCCGGGTTCTGTACTCGATGATCGTCTAAACGGACGTCCGCGGGGAATCGTCGCGACCGCCGAGCGATATTTATACGTACGCCGTCGACAGAAGAACAAAAAAAACTAAAAATGTAATACAAATTTTAAAAAAAAAAAAAAAAAAAAAAAAAAAAGTAAAAAAAATTTTAAAAAAAAAAAAAAAAAAAAAAAAACAATAGAAAAATTACATCGAGACCGCGATATCGTAATATAATATTATTGTTATTGTCGTCACCACGTTACCAAAAATAACCATGTCTTCTGTCACGGTACCACGGTCGCGTTTTTCCAGTATACCGCACGCGGTAACTCTTTGATACCGACGTACGGTAAAACCGAAATGTCGTCGTCGTATCGAATTTTTTTTCATGATTTTTCCGTTTGATACGAAAACTATGGTGTCGACGACCGCGAAGAGTGTCTCGGTCGGCAACGCGATCTCCTCCGAACGTGTACAGTTTTTTTACGTGTGTATTTACTAATTACTGCTATATTTTACTATTTAAATATTAATATTCTATACAAAAATATTATAATATAATAACGATAATGTTAATTATATTATGGAATACGAAGAAGAAAAAAAATCAAAATCAAAATGGTTATAGCTTAAAGACGATTATCAATGATTTTTCGTTATGGTTTTGTAATTCACGAACCGTACGCCGTTTTTTTTTTTTGGGATACGTTTTTGTTTTTTTAAAACTATATACATATAACTATTCTTAACTCGTACGATACACGTAAGACCATAGGCTGTAATCTATTATTATTATTATTATTATTATTATTATTTATTTATTTATTATATTGAAGATCTCGGTGCAACAACCTGCGAAAAATTCCTCTGCGATTCTTATTATATTTTTTATTTTTTGAAAATGCACTTTTTGACGGCACGATTTAACATAAATGAAAATTCGATGAATAAGTCTAATAGATTTCACAACGGGACTCAAATCCAATACAATACAATATAAATAAAATCAAATGTTATTATGCACTTGAAAAAAATGTCGGTGCAAAAATCAGATGAATCCGAGTAAAATAAAAAAAAAAAAAAACGTTCTGAATTGCTTCTATCGCGCTCCCGATCCTGAACGATTTAAAAATGTGTCGTTATCTCCGATTGTTGTTGTCCGATAGTCGTTTCAAATTACTAACAAAATATTTTGCTCTAAATGTACCGTTAAAGTTTATGATTTTAAATTTTTTTTTGTTCGTTTTTGTTTTTGTTTCTCCGTTATAATATGTATTGTAAAACAATATTACACTGCATAAAAAAAAAAAAAAACAATACTATATTATATTATATATATATACTTACGGTTGAAATTTATATATAATGTACAGCACGTGTATAATATTATTAAAAAATTTTAAACGTTCTTTTATTCTAGTGTACGACGATTATTATTATAATGTGAACATTTATAAAACATTATAACTATATATTTAAAAAATTTAATACATAATAACATTATTAACTATATTTATGGTGCGCTGTTTATGTACATTTTGTTTTAACGCTATAAAATCGGACATTATAAGACTATGTAATATTAATAATAATAATATTATTAATAAAAAAAAAAATATTTATAGTTTATGGTTTTTTTTTTTTTTTTTGGTGTACGACATATTATTATTATTATTAATATACTGTAACATACCTACGTAATATTATTATATTATTATTAATATATGTATATTATAATTTATTATTATTATTCTCGTAAACTAATATTGTTCTAGCCATTTTCGATTGTTGTCATTTAAATCTCAAAATATCTATACCTATATTATTATTATACTCGGTGGCCGTAGAATAAATAGACGGGGGATAATATCTCTGTGCGAGAGAAACAGACGATATTATACTATTTTCCGCAAACAATTGTTCAGATTTTTGGTTTTTTTTTTTTTTTTCATCATAATTACAAAAACATTATTATTCAGATATAAATCGCTGAAAACCGTAGGGTTAATAAACAACGACCGTGTCGATTTATCACGACGAACACGATAATACATTCACGAGACGACGTGTTATCACCATTTCATTGATCGACCAAGGAGTATTATACACAATTCATTATATACTGCGTTTAGACAGCGTTTGGTAAAATCGCGAGTGCGCTATTCGCATCGTGACTCTACTGATTTTACGATCGGTCCCTTGTCTATTTATCTTCTACGGCTACGCTATTATACCTGTAACGGCATTGATTAAATATACATAGATTGTCCGATGTCCATGTATCACGTGGCTGTAAAATATGTAAATTTAGGATTTGATATAAGTACTACCATAACAACCCACAGACCTACAAACAAATAGTTATCCGATTGCCCCGAAACCTGTAACCGTTAGTGTTAAATATTTTAAAGTCAATAAAACGGCAGACTTTTCTTATCAACCCAGTCTGTGTTTACCGCTTGTTTATCGATAAGAGCTAAATTCATATTATTTTACGTTGTAAAATAGTCAATTAATCGAACTTAGAAATTAAACTTTATTTGTGTTAGCCTCACGTTTCTGTGGTATTGATTTATTTTCTTATGGCTCGCTTAATAGTTTACCCGCAATAATCAAACCTGGCTTTTAATTACTTTTAATAAGTACTAGGTAGATAGTAATATAAACACTTACTATTTAAATTTGAATTCGATTAAATTGGTCAATATTTATTCAATACAATAATGTAAATACAGACCTATTTGATAAGAAATATCAGCCATTTTATTGACGTCAATAATAACACCTAGTCACTCTTCTTATAATTGCATATATCAGTACACTCGCTTTACAAAAAAAAAGGTCTTCTATTTTAGTGAAGGTAAAGTTGGTCTCCACTACTCATTGTTTCGCTTGTTTGTATTGTAACTTAGTTATTCTAGCAATAAATTATCATTATTATTATTATAATTATTGTTATCGTAAATAATACTTATAATACACTAACGCAACATGTCGGCATGGCTCTCTTGTTACTGTTACGTAAATTCTGACTCCCGTTTCACTTAATAACAATTTTACTATGTATTATATTATGTATATTTAATCAGTGCTAATGTGTTGATTATTACTACTATTATTATTATTATTATTATTATGATTGTTTCGTTTAAGTTTTTCAGTACCTATCGTTTTATGCCATTATTATTGTACAGCTGCAGCAATCTACTACATAATGTATGTTGTTTCGCGTACTATTATTATTATTTAATACCTGTATGTAATATTATACCAAAAATACCTATTTACTTTAAAATTATAATATATATTATATTCGAATTGTTAACACTTTTCCGATAATATATAAACGAAAAAAAAACTATATATATATATATAAAAAATACTTTTTTTTAAATAGTTATTTAATAAAAAAACAAAAAAAACTGTATAAAAAATTATATATATATATATTAAACATTTTAGATAAGAAAAACAATGTGTACCGTTAAAACTAACCTTTAATTTATTGTAATAAATGTTATATGAAATAATAATCTGTTCTGTCTACATATTTTGTCTGCGTGTTTGTGTATGTGTTGATCGAGGCACACAGAAGCCATGTCCCCCCTCAAATTTTGAAAATATCTATTTTACGAAACCTACGACCATCTGTAGAGGAACAAAAAGTTGTTTATCAAACTTTTGTAAGTTATAAATTGTATAAACGCGTTATGGAGAACTCAAAGAAGTAATTAGTGAATAAATACATACGAACTATATAGGTACCTACCTGTTATTCGAATGCCCTCGCAGATAAGTAATCCGTGGTCACGTTTCCGATTTTCTTATTTTCTAAACGATTCTTCCTTTTTAATAAAATATAAAATGTAAGCGCCACGATAATATGTAAGTAGGTATCTATTTTTTTTTAAAGTCAAATTCTGAAATACCAACCAAATAAAAGGGAATTTTCGGACGAAATAAAATTCGGTAAGTTTACCTCAGTCTACGAAACATTTTAATGATGCCACTTTCCTAATATTATAGGAACCATGACCATATAAATAAACGTGTCAGTTAAAATATAATTTTCGCTATCATTGCGCATGATCCCTAGACATGAAAAAAACACTAGCGCTTTTAACGCTTTTGATTGGACATTGCGTCACGATATTCACTTCCAGATAATTGTAATTAAAATAATTTAGTTAGCCCTTGCGATATCTAAACGCGGCGTTACAATAATGTATGCAATTTAGCGTCTATTGTAAGTTTAGGAAACATTTCATCTGGAATGTTACATAGCTCAGTATTTTTCAACCATATAGGATTGCGAACATATTTTTATTCGCAGATAATTTTTAAATGAGTCGACAACAAATTAAAATGTTAATACAATATTTTTATTTTAAACTACTTGTGTAAGGTTGTATTAATAGTTTTCAAAATAATTAATGAAACATTTTTCGTAAATTATTTTTCTTGGCAAACGAGTATAAATTCATAATTTTGGATTATGGTCTTGCAATTTTATAAATATACTTTATTGATTGTCATTCAATTTGATAAGCTGTTGACCTGCATTTGTTTTGGTATCAATTATTATCAACATAGTGAACTTCACAAGTAACCCATTACTCATTTAGTCGTGTATACTTTCAAAATAAATAAAAGATAAAAGTTTTTTTTAGTTATGGTAAGTAATTGAACAAAATAAGGTGAGCTGCATAGAGTGGGTAGCCCTCCATTGAGAATTATTATCAAAAAAGTCACCTAAAAAATTGGGTAGATATCTTCGGCCGCCGACAAACGAAGATCAAAAACCGCTGATATAGCTCACATATCGATTTATTTAGCCGTGATTTACTATCACGGAGAAAAAGAGAACAAATTGTTTTTTTTATTTTTTTTTTTTCACAACAGAAGCTGAAATTAATTTACTTTGGTAATACCAATAACACATAAATATACTTATTATATCCCCTCCCTAAATAAGATGAGTAGCTGGATCCACGCCCGCGCACGTGCCTGCGGGCAGAAAACCCACTACGACGCCATTCGTATTCATTACGTCACGTGCGCGCAATTTGCCGAACTTTCGTCGGGATTTGGATGGGGCAATGATTATTTCACACATACGAGTCTCGATTTTAATCTCGCGGGTATAGTCGAGTTAACTACTTCTTCGGAACGATCAAAATTAAACGTGGTATATATATACGGAAATTACCGTACTTGATATCTTCTGGTTTTAACGGTATTAATATGTAAATCGAGAGAAAATATTTTCGCCTACCTCTCGTGGTGAGGTGCTGCCACACTATTTACTCTCAGAGAAAACCGGCAACGGCTTTAGTGTTAAATTAACGGTATAATTTCTCACCATCAGATGGACATTTATTTACGAAAAATAAACGCCTAAACTGTAGCCGGTTCAAGCGGAATATCAAAAGTTTGATTTGGGAGCGGTCGTTTCTGCAGCCAGATATAATCCTTTACCGCAAAAAAAAAAAAAAACGATTCCCTACTTTCAGCATAGCCCATAGCATTGGGAAAAGTCCCGGTATCCCGAGGCCCGTCTCCCCAGCACCCGTAAATCTTCCTATAGACTTCGGACCAACATAATGTTTACGTACCCGATTTGTATCCATTTGTATCGCTTATAAAAAAAATTTGCATTCCCTTCACTTTGTTGTAAAACGAAGAGGATAAACATTTTTTTGAAATAGGTTCAAATGAAAATAAATCAGGTGCAAATAAAATGGCTTCGGTCCGAAGACGATAGAACGATTTACGGGTGTCAAGGAGACGGATCTGGTATTCCGCCGGCATAGGTAGTCCGCCACTGCAAGTGACCTTGTCACTTGCAATGTCAAAATCACTACATTTTTATGGCCGTGGGGAACGCGACGTCGTCGTCGTTGTCGATTGACCGTATCCGGGCGACGACAGTTCAATAAAATAACATCGAGCGTTGTTCGGTGGTTTTGTTAAAACAAAAAAAAATGGTCGTTTGAAAATAGTGAGAAAATAAACATTCCGTCCAGACGTAATTATTATGACAATTACGTCCGACAACGGTCCCGAAGGTGAGTACCTAAACTTGTAGTAATTTCAACAAGATTACGGTTTATATATATATTTTTTTTTTTTTTTGTTTGTTTAACGTATGAACAAAAACGCGTTTTCTGCGCTGGGTTCCGGATCATGCACAAAAAAAAATGCGATAACATTTGACGCGAGACGTTTGTGTTTTCGTTTTCATTCATTTCGCCTATAGGTACGGACGGTTCAAAAACGAAACGAAATATATCGCGGAAGAAACGGGGTTTTTTTTAATAAGCCTTTTTATCGAGTATTTTGTTTTTTCTTTCAAACTTTTCGTATAGTTTAATATTGATACACGATTGTCTTCGAAGCTTACAATTTTGCACATTTCCTTCCTCCTGCTGACCTCGACGCGCATTCACACTCACAATACATCATTCCAAATGCTCTTTTCGTATGCATAATATTATAGTATTATATTATTTTAATGCGCTTTCGCGTACGACTGTTGGATATTTCGTACGCCCGAAATGAAAATTTCGCCACACAAAATTTATATAATCATATTTCTTATCACGCGCATCGTGGAGAAAAATTTCAATTGGAATAGCGCGTACCTAAACATATACACACAAGCTCCTATTCGAACGGCGACGGAAATCGTTACGTCACTAAATTATACTATAATAAAAGGCGGAAATGTGTACCCATACAAGTTGTTGTATATGCGGAGTGTCAATGGCACATCGTGCACTGTTCGTCAGCATAAAGAAACTGTAATAATAAATAGTATCTAGGTATTAATTAAGAAGTAGGGTAAATTATTAATATTGCACGATTATAAAAGGAGTTGTAAGAGAGAATGAAAGAAAGGGTCCGTGCGGCAACGCCGCCGGACTACGTTCTTTAGTTTTAATGTAGTTTATTCAATGACTTGTGTTTATTTTTATTTGTATCAAATATGTTTTAATGTATACTCTCGTTTTGTTTTTTAGTTGCCAAAATACTTTCTCTTTTATTCTGAGTCCGATCTATAACCGATTAATGTACTGTCGTATTGAGGATAAAGTCTAAATAATTAAATAGTCCAATAAATTCTGAAGTAGCAAACTGAAACCGGTTAGTTCATGATTTTTTGGTTACTCCAGTTTAGGTTTGAGTGATATCCTTGTTAAAATGATATACGACAAAATGTGCATTATGCCTATAGTACAGAGCCATCCACTTATCATCAATCAGAAATTTTATCGGGGGATTTTTGGGGAATTCAATTTCTATTTATTTTTTTTCGTTATGGAATAGTTCTAACTTTACTTTTAAAACGGTTTTTAATGTTTTATGTCCACTCCTACCTTAAATTAGTACATACTTTTGGTTTGTAAACCCCATTTTGTACAGAGATTCGAATGAGAAATATTTTTCCTAAAACATTGACACGTAAACCACTAATATCGGATTTGCTATTCATGACTAATAACAGTCTAAAATTTAAACCGGAGAAATAAAGAAGAGTAATATCTTTCATAACCGTTTTTCGATAAATTCATAAATTATGAACCATAATCATTACTTATTTCTCCGGTCTAAACTTTAAACTGTTATGACTCGTAAACGGTAATTCCAGTATTAGTGTAATGCCCATCAGTGTTCTTGAAAAAATATTTGTATTTGAAAGAAGGTTACTACTAATATATTTGGAAAATCATAAGTATATACTATATACTCATTTCAATTATAAAGAGCGAGGGTAAAAAATATGGTTAAATAAAGCTTAAGTTAATGTTAAAATAAACGATTCTGCAATAATTAAAAAAAAAATAAATCAAATTCACCTCAAATTTTCTGACAAATTGCTGGCTTGTGGTAAGTGAATCATTCTATACCGATGGTGTACGTAATTTTAACAATATACGTACCGTAAAAACCAAGTGGGCATGGTAGGAAAGTTTTTTAATGATCTTTTTTCGGTCTCCTACCCCTCCATAAAATGCAAGACATTTTTATATTAATAATTTTTTTCGAGCGATAGAAGAGGAGATAAAAGGGCAGTAAATTTTTGACCAGTGGGCTATCTAAAAACAAATTACTATACTGAATATTATAAAAAGTACGAAGAAAAGTCGTTCACTTTTAGTATTGTATTTTGAAAGGTTTTTCCCGACGACATTGCTATACCCGAAAAACTAAATTCCCAGTTTTATATCGCATAAGTAAACGTTATTTTCGTTACCTTTAAAAACCCCAATAAATAACTAAATGACTATGCTTTTTAATTTTGACTAACTTTCATTAGCTAAGTTTATAGTAAAATAAACACTAGTAGATATATTTACAATATAAATCCATTTGAATACTCGCATCTGCAGGGAATGGATTAAAACCTTTAACGGTTTTTAAACGGTATTACGAATGGCCACTGCAAGACAGGACTCGAGAAAATGACTTTGAAAACGATTTGGTTCTAAAGTTTTACGAATCAATAGTCGGCTACGTTGTGGAACGGTATGATTTAATTATGCAAAACCACAGTTAAATATTACATTTTCTAGATAATGATAAAAGATAATTTGTAAGTATAATTACCTAGATGAAGATAAATGTTAGTTAACAGTTTAATTGTATAGATAAATAATTATAAAAGTTATATCTAAATAAAAAAAGGTTAAGATCTTTTTAATTAATATAATTAAATAATATTAATTCATAAACCATATGAAAGTAAATTAAATATTTTACCTATAATTATTTCTAAAAATAGATATATATCTAAATTTAAATTTTAAAAGGTATTAAATATTGTATTCACACAAGATAGTAAATCTGCACAGAATTATTTTTCTGCTCACTGTGGCCACGTGCATTCTTCTCCCCCCCACCCAAAAAAAAAAAAATCATTAATTTTATTCGTTTTAATTTTAAAGTAAAACTTTATTTTGGTGTATAATATCACTTTAAAAAATAAAAAGTAATAATAGACACTGATCACGTTTAGGGACACATTAAAAAAAATACCCGTTAGAAGTAGAGCTACACCACTAGAGTGGAATTCTTCCCCAACCGGCTTATTACCGCTACAATAATAAATATTTTCAGTTTTCTTTGAGCTCCAAAGGTTTCTAAAACATGCAATTTTAGCGTAAATATGGTGCATGAAAGTAGGTGTTGAAATTTAAACCACAAAAAGCGTGTGCTAGAAACCAACGATATACATAATATACAAAATACTATTTCAATAGCTCCATTTTGAGTCTCCAGCGTTAAAAGCTTTAAAAACACTCACTCGCCCTAAACCAGACTGAAATTCTGATTGAAATTTACCCCTACTATTATCAATTTAATAATACCTATACAATAACTAAAATTCCCGAGTTTGAACTAACCACGAACATTTTGGTTTTATTTGCAATCGTCGTAGAATCGTTTATTATTATCTTATACTTACGATATTTTCAACATTTTACCTTTACATTCAGTAAACCATATAACACCCAATATCAACTTTTAATTTTCAAACAGCATATTTTTAACTCCCATTTTTCAAATCATATTTGAAAAAGGAATATTTTTATTATGTTTAAATCAAAATTCATTCAGAGTACAAAGATTTAGAGTAAAATTTTAAAATCATAATGTGTTAAAATAAAGCCTTAACAATTTCGTAATAATTAGAAAACAATCTAATTTACATAAAATCCTCCAAGATAATCGGTGTATCATGAACGTTTTTTTTAAAAAAAAAAGTCTAGACGAGATGTCATCGGGCGACATTTCAACGTCCTACGTGACGGCTGTTGAGGAAACTGGAGCAGAACTACCATCAGAAAAATCCGGCGGCAGATTGGAAAAAATGGTCCGGATAGCGTACGATTCAGGCAACGTATTCGAGGGGACCTTATCCTCCCGGTGGATCGCTCAGGGCACCGGAAGTTTATTTTTAAGTGACGGAGGCATCACTTACGAGGTGACTTAAAACTTTTTTTCTCTCTCACGCACAAACCTTCCGAAAAACGCTTCAAATACATTTGTCGCGATATTTTTTGCGTTAGTCCACCAATAACCTAAGGTAACCCTATATACTCACAATAAACCATATTCGCTTGAATACCGCGAGAAGCTATATTATGCTCTACACTGAAGTTACTCGTTTTATTTTTCAGACACTTTCTTGTAAACAATGTAAACTGTTGGGAGTTTACGATGTTCACACACACACACACACACACACACACAGACGCCTCAATTGAACAACCCATATACAGTTACGATAACATATATTCGTTTTTATTATTATCTTTTTTTTTTTTACATCCAAATTTTCCTAAATGGTTCTTTCTAGATTTATTTTTCCGTCTAATTATTAATTTTTGGATCACTTTGCTGTCCTCATCAAACATCAAATGCAAGTGGACCCTAATGTATACAATCGGTAGCGGTCGTGCACTTTTTAAAATCCTTTAGAAAGCATTATTTTAAAACTCTGTTGATAGCGCGTAATACAAGAGTGAATTTCCACCTCTTATTATTAACTTTTTTTTCCACGACGACCAGGGTCAGTTCAATGACGGTTTGCCAGAGGGCACCGGTATCGTCAAATGGCCGGACGGCAGCTGGTACAAAGGCGAGTTCCGAAGAGGTCTGAGACACGGCTACGGACTACACGTGTCCTGTGAGAACGGACGCCGGTCATACAGTGGACAGTGGACGGACAGTAAGAGGAACGGGCCGGGACACACGAGCTGTCGGGCTGGCGAATCGGACGGCGCGCTGAATTACGTCGGCGACTGGGTTGACGGCCGGCCGCACGGTCGCGGGTCGTGCGATTGGTCGGACGGCACGCGGTACGTCGGAGACTGGGTGGACAGCCTTCCGCACGGCCGCGGCAAGGTGGTGTGGTCGAACGACAACGTGAGTACACGATATTACGTGTAATATAAATGGCACGCGTTATATGGGGATATCTCATGGCTCCCCTTTTTCGACTTGGGAGAGACGAAACGAATTTTGAGTGCAACTCATTCAATCGACAGTCCGGTGTAACCGATTAAAAATCAGTTAGTTTTCTCATGCCAAAGGGACTAAGAAATCAAGAAAAACCAATGAATAAAGTCCAACATTAATTGATTATCGGTTTCTCCGTGTTATTGGGATATGTTGTCTCTGCGGGTCAAAACCGTATAGGCAGAAACGTATAGTCAGTTAACCTAACCTAACCTATTCGGTAGTATAACCGATACAATTTACGTGTCGGTCCGCTCGCGTATTCTAAAAAGACGTTAAAAATAATATTTCTAGCCGGTAAACATTTCGTTACGTTGAAAAAAAAATCGTATCGACAATGTTATACTGCGTGTAATTTTTTTTTTTTTTTTGTAGGTACACGTGCGTCATTGTTACGTTTGCCGTGTAAACTTTTTTTTTTTCTCCTCGACCAGTGGCGCGCCTCGACCGTGTACAAAAAAAAAAAAAACACACCGACAGAAAAAAGAAAAACGTCTCTCGTAAATACATAAAGTAAACGCGAGTAATTTACACATCAATACAATCAAATGGGTCCGAATATAATAATGACGGTGGAGTGGGGTGTGGATGGTGGTAGGGGAAAGGGACGGTCATGCGGGGAAACGCGCGGGCTATATACGTGAGGTGATTCGGAAAATAACGTTTTTAAAATAAGAAATATCGTCAGACTATACATACACGACCGGTGTTACTCTACACATACATACACGTGTGTTGGTACGCTCGTCCTTCGATCGTGCGTTACTTTCGGAATTGAATTCCCGACGGGGATTCACGGGATCGGGAGTCCGGGAGGGACTATGACCGATGGCGTATTATAGTAGGTATATGCACATACAGGGTGATCAGCATAACACGAGACGCTCATCACGAAGAATAATCGTTTATTCTGGAATTCGTTTTTTAGAAAATTTCTAAGAAACACGCCGCTCCTAAAATATTACATTACCGTTATTTTTTGTCGCCCTTGTTTTTAGATGACGAAAAAATACTCTACCGATAATTTGGTTTTCAAATAGCAATATCTTATTCGATATTCCATAAATATATGAAACATTAGTGTGAATACATTTTTTTGTTGACATTTTTAATTGCCATCGATCCATTGACGAGATATTCGATCAGTGGAACATCATTTGAATGGTGGAACGACGCAAAATTAGTTTGAATAGTCTTCCACTACCCATACAAAACAGCAAACTTGAAAATGGAATACCTCGTCAACGGGTTGACAGAAATTAAAAATTTCAACATCAAAATATGTTACAACTGCATCTACTTGTGAAATTTTAGCTACAAATCGCTGTTTGAAAATCAAAATCGGGTAGTGGTTTAATCCCCTACAATAAGGATGACAAAAAAAAAAACACTTTAAAGCTACTTCTTATTTAAATATTCTAAAAAACAAGTCTTGAAAAAAGTAAATACTTTCCAAAATAATGAGTGCTTTATGTTATGTTGATCACCCTGTATATTATATATACGCGATCGACCTAGTATCGTTTATATAAAACGACGACAACAGAACATTTGGGTGAAAAAAGTCACCAGATAGGTGAAAAAATATTTTGCATAATAATACGTATGCGCTACCGGAAATACTGACAATAATTAGGAAATGTTGATAATTCCTATAATATACTAATAATACACAATATATTTTTCTAGTAAGTAGTATAGGTATTTTATGATTGCCTAGCAAGTACCAAGTAGGTAAGTCCTTGATTGTTATCGTTTCCCAACGATAGCGAGAAATGCCTGCTAAAATTTATATTGGGTCATCCGATATTGGATATTAGCCGTCACTTATAACTTACATTTGTGTAATACTTGTATGCAAAATAACATATACAAGTAGTAAAAAAACAGTGAAAAATATGAACATAAATCCCACAATAAAAGGTATGAACTAAAGAAAAGAAACTTAAAAATATATATATATAGCATGGCTTTATATTAATGTGAATAAACAATAAACAAAAATGAGGATATTATACTGAAGGCTCTAGTAGTGCTAGAGGAAGATATCAATAATATGTTGAACTGAAAATAAGATCAAATGAAGAGGTGAAATGGAATAGAATATAAACGAGTATTAATAGATACTTTAAAGAAAAGGAGATTATAATTGAAGTAACTACGGAGGGACCACGATTAAGAGGAAGTCCATGAATGAGAAACACCAGCCAATTAATGAAGTAGGCGGAAGCCGCTTCTTACAAAAAAAACTCAAGGATATGGTAGGCAACAAAGTAATGTAAAAAAATATTTGTTGTGAATAAATTTGTAATACGTAAAACCGTCTTTAGAACGAAAAAAAAACTATAATAGGTACCTATACAGAATGGTTTTTTTTTATTAATAATTATCCACGGAGATTTTGAGTAAAAAATGATTTTCCTTCACATTTACAATGTTTTCAATTCATTCACCTAAGTGTTATTACTGTTATTAGTATTTCTGCTCGATCTATGCACCATTTCTAAAACTGCAGAAACATGCATATCGAAAAATATTCAACTTTGCGTTAATTTATTTTTGTTCTCATAGATAAGTATAGGTAATAGGTACGGGTTTCGATAACATTAGTTAAGTAGTAAACTACGAAATTCATTGTAATAAAGTATTGGCACTAACTTTGTAATTAGTGTATCATTGTGGCAATAGTGGCAATAGTGTCATTTCCAAACCATATTAGGAATTTCCATCATTTCCTAGTTTGTTAACAGTAGCATATTTAAGATTTCCTCCCCCCTCCCCCTTACTTTTATTATCAATGCCGCATAAAGTGTTGAGCAGACATCAAGCAACTCTGTAAGTGTTTGCCTTTGTCGGTTCAGTTCCTTAGATTTTTGAAGAAATATAACAATTTTCTCAGAGTTTCATAACTCGTGATAAACAAATACCTTATCATCTTGTCTGAGATCTCAGAAAATCTATTGACGACAATATTAGACTGGAAAATGCTTGTAAAACATGTCTGGGCCGACACCGATTTTCTGAAAAAATAATAGTATAAACCAAACTCAAAACCTGAACCTTGGATTAAGAAAGGTTAAACTCAGTGTTTTGAACTACCTCATGACTTTAAAGACATTTAATTAGTGACGTAACCAGAATTGTTCATGTTAGTCTGTTCACATTAATTGCATTTATATATTATGTATAAAATATACAGCCTAGTTAATCAATAAATTATGAAAATAAACACACACACATCAAAAAATATAACATAAACGTGAAATGATTATAATGAAAATATTTAAAATACGGCCAATTGGAGGGAAAATGGCACCCACCCTCTGGCTATGCCATTGCGTTTCAGTCACGTTAGTCTCTTCTGAAATAACATAAATATTTTTATTTTCGTCATTGATCTATCTATTCCTTGTAATTTTAATGATCCAAATACTGCCCACTCCTCTAGGACAAGGCAATAAAAATCAAATTTATAGGATTGTTAAGCCCGTATTATATCAATTTTCATTAAAAATTAGTTTAGCTCTTCTTGAGCCAAGATCCAAATTAACGGACGCCTTACCGGCATAACGAAAACCGGAAGTGACTGATCCGGTCGAACTGCTGCACGAATGGCGCACTATAATATTCACGGACCTATAATTTTAGCCCCTAACGACGCGCACAATAACGATTATACACGGGATATTTCAGGGATTCTAGAACAACGATCTCGTCGGCGGAAAAGCGAAAATCGCAAATCTTCCCGAAACTTCCCCGCTAATACCAATGTTATTATTATTATTTTGGAGACTCGAATTATTTAGATTATTGCTCTTCCTGAGTCACCAAATATTGCAACACGAATATCCGAGATAACTACGGTGTGATAACGGGTGTAACGCGATTGCGTCCGTTTTATATTATTACCCTTGAAAAACGCAAAACGATTGCACTCCAAAAAATATATAAGTAGGTGTTAAAAAGTGACACTGTCCTTTATTACACACCGCATATACAATACGATTTATGACCAGGCTAAAAACTGTTTCACATAATATTTTACAATTTTATATTATACAATATTCATATTTTAAATTACGATTGTTGTTCATATTTTAGAACATTTGTGCATACAAATAAAACACAATATACTACTTAAAATATTATAATGTATATTATAATCAAAACAGTCAATACAGTCAAAATACTAATTATCTTAAACAAAATCGTCAAGTGTTCTAAATTATTTATTTATTTTCGTATGACCTTCTCTAAGGTCATAGGTTTGCATTCTCTAATGCAAACACAATACATTTTTTAAATAAATATATGTTCCATAATATGTATAAAATCGAATATATTAAAATGGAAAACAATTTTGTACGATACAATTTCTATGCGACGTTGCCGTTGTAGATGTCATGACAATTTTTCGCTTTACCTTTTCTTGAAAGTAATGAAGTAAATGAGACATTTTATACATAATTACTGTATAGTATTTGATCATTAGATAACCATGGTACTGCATTAATCGAGAACAGTAATTGTAGTATTTAACTGTTTGTTCATTCTGTCAGTCAACCTGGTTTTGCGAAAATCCGTTCGGTTACAATGCCGTGCTTAAAGGGGGAGGAAGGAACAACTGCCCTAGGGTGCCGAAGATACCAAAAATGTAAAACCAATTTTTTTTTTTTTTTTATGTAAATAAAGTTTATGTCCTAGAGTACTAATCATAGTTAGCATAGTAGGTACTGTTTAATTTTTTAACAATTGCAGTAAACAATATCACCAAAACAGTTTGTTCGTTAAACTAGTAACCAGATTTCTTAAAACTACATCACCAAAACATGCCTAATAATATATTAATAATAATAACATCATGTCTCGCATGACAGGTGTACGAAGGCGAATTTGTAAGCGGTCTCATGGACGGTACGGGCACGTACGAGTGGAGCAGCAATCCTCGGGACGGGCACCGGCTGATCGTGAGCTCGTGCGACAGATACATTGGACAGTGGTCGCGGTCGAAACGCCACGGTAAAAGATATAGAGATGACTGGGACGAGTCGAAATTTAATCCTAAAAATCTTTAAAAAAAACCTACATTATGCTTTTCAACGGATTTACAAAAACAAAAAATATCGAAACCAGTAATGCTTGAAAATATTCATGAAAAATGTTGCATATTTGCTATGGTTTTTTCCGGTTTTCCCAATTATTATGAAAACTAGTCAAAACACAACTTTCTTACTCACCAACTGTAGAGCCCAATTTCAAAAAAAAATTTCAATTTTTATTTTTCGGCTGAAGCGATATTTTTTGTAGAAAACACGAACCTTAACCTTTAACATAATGAAATCGTAACTATACATTTATCAGATTTTATTTTACTACTTTGTCCGGTTTTTCCCATTTTTATGAAAACTAATAGAAAAACCAAATGATTTATTTACTCTTTAAATAAATCCGAATTTCAATAAAATAAAAAAAGGTACCTTGTTATTTTTGGACTTGAGTAAGATTTCCGGTAGAAAAGTTGTTTACACACAGAAAACAAACACACATCTTAGTTAATCCAATACGTTCCTCACTACGTTCAGACTATAAAAAATCTGGTGACTTCTAAACCTTTTTGGGGGACGATATTGCTAGTACATCATCAGGGGGAGTGATGAAATCAGTAGAGTACTCAAGGGAGGGCCTTGAATACACCATGGATTTGCCGGAAGGTTTTTTTAACGTAATCCTACCAGGTAACACTGATAAACAACAATTATCATTAATAAAGTTACAACACACACATAATATACACAACTATACAGTATTCACAATGTAGCATTTTAATTAACATTGTATATTTATCTTGTGATTATGAACAATAATATTATTTTAATATCGAAAAGTAATTTATTAAACTTGATATTCCTAATGGAAGAGTCTCCGCCAATTCAACTTTCCGAAACCCATCTTTGAAATCAAACATTTTAATATTTGTTTATTTAATAATCCAAAACAAAATTCATCAAGATCTATTTAAATTTTGTGGATCTAAACATATATCCTAATAAATTTATCTGATTTTTCAATTATCACTATCTTGTTCGACCAATCTGTTGATTCGTTCACATAGAATATTACACCTTTATCTATTAATTCATATAATTCGGTAATAAACTTATTTCTTACAGTTTTTGGAATCTTTCTATATGGTACTGATTTGGGTTCAGCATTATCTTTTAGTTGAATATCCGAGAATCTGTATTTACCCTTGAAACATCAATGTTATTTTTTATCGAAATATCTTTCTCTGACAATATAGTATCAATTATTTTGACTAATCCAAATTTTTCACAAACAGGCTCTAACTTTGATTTTGGGTTTAACTTACTAAAACGTTCCCATGATTAACTATTAACACTAATTATTTAAAGTAAATTACATAATTTTAGACTTTTACTTTCTTTTCCCATATACTTTTACCTCGTAACTAACACACCTTTCGTGTACATAGTATTTATCTACAATTCATCCTCGATCGACTCAATTTCATAATGTGTTCCATGCACATATTTTCTCTCTAAACTTGCGACCTGTTGAAAAATAATTAATTTCTTACGTGTATTAAACATTTTACCAAACGCTACCTATACATTCTTTTAGTTTATGCTTCTCCCCACACATTTTACAATCATAAACTTCATTACTATTATTTTAATCATTTATTCTCTGTATTACCCATTTGTTGTCATGTTTTTAACCATTACCATACATTTTACTTTTAAAATTTTCTATTTTACCCAATTTATATTTATTTGTAAAATTCTTTAGTCGCTGTCATTTCCCTCAGTTGCAACTTGGTAACTTCCATACTCTTGTATACTTCTTTTACCTTGTCCAATATTAAATCAATTTAACCTTCAGCTCTGCATTACTAATTCCAAAAACAATTCTGTCTCTTATCGTGTTGTCCTCTTCCTTGTAAGCTGCTAATGTTCTCAACTCGGTTATGATTTTAGTGAATTGCGAGTATTCAAAAAACCTTAGATATTATTTCAGTTAGCGCCCGAGGCACACCTACATCATTATAATGATGGTTATGTCCTGAAAATGATTATAATTGTATACGTTTGTGTGTTCCAAACTCGCGGACCGCTATCGTTGATCGGAAAAATCGGTCGACCGCGCAGGTGCGGGATTGTTTTATTCGACGGATACCGGTCAGACGGTGCACGGTCACTGGACAGACGGTGTGCTGGACGGGCCGTGTGACATCGTCCTGTCTACCGGACGACGGCCGTTGTACACCAATCTCACGTTCCGGCATAACGTGCTCTACGGGACTCAGCTACCGCCGCCGGCCGTTGTTCGCCGTAATCCTAGCGGTCCTCCCAGTCCGGCGGCGCAACGTGGCCGCCAGCCTACGGTGGCCAAACGAAAACAAATGCGACCGGAGCCCGCCGTGGAAACAGGGTACGACCTGTCCGGCCACGTCCAGCGGATAGCGGCCAAGTGTGCGAAGGGCGCGAAGGAGATAAGTCTCCGAGTCACGACATCAACCACCACTGTTACCGTGGGTTCGGAACCGGAACTCCAGGCAGCCCAACTCGCGCTCAACTCGTACTTAGACCGACTTCGAGACCTGTACGGAACGTTCTCGGTCGACTGCGGCGGTCCGGCAGTCGCTTACCGGACGCTCATGACCCGCCTCGGATTTTGGCGAATGCTCGTGGACTGCGGCCTGCACGTCCGAGTGTCGCTGGCCGACTTTGATGAATTGTTGTGTGAGTACGCGCGAGTCTGAACGCGTACATTATACCGATTATTCTATCGGCGTATTTAGGTTTCCAGACCCTTACGGGACACGACTGTGACGATTAATAACACAGGTGTCTGATTTTTAAACGATGTACAGACGAAAACAAAGATTACGCGTTCGAATCGGCCCACGATCCGTTCGAAACCGTTCACTTTTGGCAGTTTGTGCACGCGGTCTGCGAACTTGCGACGATCGTTTGCGACATTCGGGACGCCCGAGCCGAAGACACCGGCAACGGAAGTCTTCGGGGTGTGTGGGCCACGGCGTTTCGTCGACTTCTCGCGGAATACTTAAAACCCGATGTCGTTCCCGTGTCTTTCGGTGAGTGCGTGCGAATACATCCCTTTAAATATAAAATAATACAGCTGCCCAGGTGGGAAACGATGCAGGCGAACGTTGGATGGATAGCCGGAAGACGGTCGAGACGATGTACGACGTGTACCGGACTATGGGATGTTCGCCGCCCACGGCCCGCCGACTGATACAGTTGTACGGTCCCAGACTCAGGGTCGGCGGTGGTGAACCGTTGTCAATGGAAAGTGCGATGCCGACCGTGCTGGACACAGTGCTTAGCCTCGGCGAAAACCAGACCGAGCCGGTGACGCTATGCGAGACTCGTGAGTCAGGCACGATGACCCTATTTGGGTGTTCGACCGAATCCGTCGTAGCGCTGCTAGCCGAGGCCTGTCCGAGGATCGTGGGCCAACATGGTCTATTGGTCAACATGGAGACGCGGCTCGTGTTCGCCGAATGGTATCAGTTCATTTTGTTGTGCGTCCGAGACTGTTGCCGAGGTCCTGTACCCGTATGACGAAGACGATTTTTATGGTACACTACTGACCTACATGTGCGTGAAGTTACCTCCCTCCCCACATTAACGTGTCAACTCAAAAATTGTATCATTATTTTGCAACTGATTTGCAACAATTTGCAACCAAATATATCCGCCGCAAAACCGATTTAACTGGTAAGGGAGGCCAACTTCACGCTGCCCCCCCCCCCCACATATCGGCCTATAGCCTTCAAACTGGTACGATTATTTTGCAACTAATTTTGTTTGATGGTACCAGTTTGAAGGCGATAGGCCGATATGGGAGGGATCTGCGTGAAGTTGGTCCCCTACTAGCTAAATCGGGTTTGCGAAGGATATATTTAGTTGCGAATTGTTGCAAATCAGTTGAAAAATAATGACACAATTTTTAATTTGATACGTTAATATGAGGGGCCAACTTAACGCACATCTAACCTGCAGTGAAAAATTCCTACAAATTAAATAATTTTTCATATCGAATATACAAATATAAATATAAATTATACAATAACGTTATAAATATAATTAATAAATAAAAAAAAATAAACATAATCTAATCAAATTATTAGACTAATTAATACAAATAATTCACTGAAACAAAACAGGAAAAGATATATTTTAAGAACATGATATAAATCATCAAAAAGATAAATAAGAAAAAATAATAATTAATCCTTTGTTTAAAAAAATCCTGCGACTTTTAAAAAGTATGTAACAAATATAACTTACACAAAATAACCTAGAAGACCATAATAGAAACATTCAAGAACCACAATAACGTTAATTATTTAATTTATTTATTTAATTAGTTAAATAATCTAATAATAACTAATCATATATGAACAAAAGAATAAGCAATTAAAACAATTAAAATAAATTAAATAAACATTAAACTGTTTAAATCTTTCTGAAAAAATCAAACTAAACTTAAAAATAATAAACCTAAAAAAGATAATGAAATTAAATAAAAATTGATCTTAAAATATGATAAACACCAAATCCCCCTGTTTCTAATATAATACCAACCAAAATTGTTAAATCAGCATTTAGTGCTTCAACATTAGCCTTAGGTAATCAAACATGAAATGTAAATAAAGGAATTTTTATTAAAAGGATTCACTAAGCATGCTCGCCCCATTTTTTTTTTTTTTTTCTAGTTAAATTGGCCGATGCAAATTTTTCTATTTTTTTGTTTTGAACACAATATGTAGGCATATTGTCAATTTAAGAATGATGGTGAAGACACTAATGGTGGCTTCTTCCATTAACTTCTTTCTCACGCTTGTGTATGTCTTATTATGCATTTTTTTGCGTAGATGGTTTTTCTCAAAAATTTAAATTTAAAAATATATATATATATACAATAGTCGATAATATGATACTCATAAATTATTTTAATATTAAATAAAGATATTAATAGGTACCTTGAGAAATATAGATATTATCATAAAACATTAATATATGTAGGCGAGTATAATATGAGGTATATATTTTGAGCAAATAACATTTAATACCTAATAGTATGGATTTTAATAGTGTAAAGTAATTATTTTTAAAATAATCAAGTACAAATGTTTGTGTTCCAAGTTTATCCAACGCCTCATTTTGAAAACTTTGCCTGCATCACTGAATATTCATCAATCATACCAACTAAATAACTTTTAAAAATAAATGCTAAGGGTTATTTTGCAAAAATTTGAATATATTGCATTATAATAAAAAATAACAAAATCAAATTGTCTTCAAATTTGTTATTTGTTTCATTGATACATAGATATTATAACTTCAACAATACAGAAAGAAAAAACAAATAACATTATTAAGCATGACTTATGATGTATCTAACATTTTAAGTACTAATTCTTCATCTTCCATGAGGCTTAAACCTGTATCTATTGGATCATCAGACAAGTCTTCTTTCAATTTTTGACGTTTATTACTATTCTTCTTATTAGTCAATAACTTTCGTTTAGGTGGTCTGTTAATAAAAAAAAAAAAACGCAATTAATAATAAACATGATTCACAAGGAAATATTATTATACTAAGTTTATAATTAAATTTGTATAAAAATACATTAGTACATTTAGGTAATAACATTTTTTTAAATCGGCCAATCTGTTGGAGAGATATTCCACTTTAAAGTATGTGTAGGGGAGAGTAGTAAAGCACTATTCAAATGCCACAATCTATACCACTACACAAATTATGCTTCACTACTCTCCCCCTAACCAAATTTAAAAGTAAAATATCTCATTAAAGGGTTAACAAGAATCAAAAATATTAACACTATAATGTATTTAAACAAATACTGATATCTATTTGTAGAATTTGCAACATAAATTGCAATTTGAAAATCAAAAGTAGATAAATTAAAGATGATAAAAAAAATTGTAATTTTACATTTTAAAGCTAGTTGCTTCTTAAATTGTCAAAAAAAATTAAAATCTGAAAGTTAATATTTTCCAAGATATAATTATGAATATATATCTTCATTAATACTCTAACTGCTTGAATTTGTCTGCTAGTTAGGTGGTTTTGTTTGGACCAAGCACTTCGAAACATTATCAACTAACATTAGAAACTAATGTAACATGATAAAATACACAGACCCACTGTGTTCATCATGTTATCATGATTTGATAAGATAACTGCCATAAATAATTTGGGCAAACCATGCACTTATATATATTTTCTATTATGTTATCTTATATTTTAACTATATAGAAGTATTAAAGTATTTTTCCCATAACACTTGACAGGCCTAAATAAAATTAGCATTAACAAAAGTTTTACTGAGTAAAAATATAACGTAATACATCTAAAATAACATAAAATACATGTCTATAATAAATGTAAGAAAACCTAAAACTATAAAATGTGATTTAAATTACCTATGAATGTTTGATGATTCATAATCAGACCTATCAGATTCAGGCTCAGAACCAGAGTTAATGTAAGGATTAAAATCATCTTCTGATTCTCCACTCTCATGTTTTCCATACACCTTGTCTGGATCGGGCAACCATGACAAGTCAACAGATGCTTCATCACTAGAACTCTCATCTTCCATTTCAGCTCTTTTAGTTTCTTCTTTGGCCTTTTTCTTTTCGTCCTTATGTTTAGCTTTAACCTTCTCTTTAAATAATTTTTTGTCATGTATGTCCTCTGCACGCATCATTTGTTTGGCCTCTTCTATATTAATACCACCTTTTTCATCATTGTTCTCATATTCTTTAGCAAATTGTGAAACTCTCGTTTTAGTTCTGTCCACAACAACCTATAAATAAAAAAAAAAATACATTTATTATATTGAATTAGTAAATTGGAGTTACCCATACGGTCCTTACCTCTCCAGTTTCATCAAAAACAGTTTTCAAATTTGGTTTTATTTGCTTTTTAATCATTTTTTTTGCCACTGCAGCTTTAGTCAACGGTTTCTTTTTCTTTTTATTAGAAATATCGAATGACACGTCCTCCTCCTCCTCATATTCTAGATTTTCCGCTTCTGGGATATTGTGATCTTTTCGTTTTAAAGTAAGTAAATTGTCATTTTCTTCATCACTATTATCATCTTAAACAAATTTAAAAAAAATATATATATATTTATCAATTTAACCTTAATGAGAAACATTTAAAAAGCTAAACCAATGTTGAAAATTTGAAGAGTAATGGATCTAAAAGCTTTTAATTTATTATAAAAATAATAGTTTTTGATTAGGATTTCTCATAAATGTGAGAATACTTTTTATATTTTAAATACCATACTGTCATATAAATTCAAAATAGTGTACATTTAATTAAAATTACAAAAATTACCATTATTAAAATTATATGAATCATTGAAGGACAGCCGACTTGGCTCAGGTTCATCATCCAAAATTTCAGAATCAGATAATTTATTTAAGTTGCTATTTAAATCTTCAACCATTGTTTGAGCAAGTGATTCTTTTTCTTTTTTCTTAGCTTCTTTAGCTTTTTTCCATTTCTGTAAGAACCGCACACGTGGTGGTATTGCTAAGCCTAATGACCTGCAGTATTCAATTATATTTTAAAATTTGGTGTTTAAAAAAATAATATTACAATTATAATAATTTATTAAAACACTTACGTAGCAAATTCATCAGTTTTTAAAGCTGAGACATTGAACACATTTTTATCTTTCATTAAGAATACGGATTTAATATAAGAAACAAATGCTCGTTGAGCAGATTCTTTTAAAATGTGATCTTTTGCCAAAGTTGCTTCCAATGTACGTTGCACTGATGTCAATTTATTTGGATTGACTCTATAAGAAAACACTAATTTTAATTAAAAAATAATTTTTCATTGATTTTCTAAATAATTACTTTATTTCTTGAATAGGTATTTTTTTATTTTTCAATTGCTCTAAAATAGCTAGTTCAGATGGTAAAAGTACTAGTAATGATTCTCCAGACTTTTGAAATCTAGCTGTCCTACCGGCACGATGAATATACTCGTTTGCATTTTCTGGACAATCCAATTGAACAACCCAATTTACAGAAGGAAAATCTGAATAAAAAATAAAACTAAATTATACACAAAACATTAAAATTAAACATATTAGTTATGAATTATAATAACTAAATACTTGGGTTTCTTTATTAATAAATATAATTCAACTATTTATGTACTCCTAACTAAAATAAACATTTTTCTAGAATAAAAATAAATATAAATTTAAATTATATGATTAGATACCAATTTAAACTTTAAATAAATATAATTTATTAATAAACTGTTTGTTCAATATTAGGTTTACACAAATAATTATAAATTTAATACATAAATTCAAATCCTAATAATAACATCAGTTAATTACCAAGTCCTCGAGCAGCAATATCAGTAGCAAAGAGAACTGAACGTTGTTTTTTACTAAACGATTCATACACCGCCATTCGTTTTGTTTGATGCATAGCACCATACAATGCTAAGAGACTAGTTCCAGGACGAAGTTTACATAATATTTCATAAAAATATTTTACCTAAAATAAATAATAATATTTCAGATATTTCAGCAATATTTATTAAATTATAATACACCCACCTGTTTACAGCTTGACATGAACACAAGCACTTTATGATGTAAATGATTTTTAATAAAAGACCATAATAGACTCATTTTATCATGCAATTCACACACCATATAACTCTGAACTAGGCCTGTTGGCGTACTATGCTCAGATGCTTCATGCACTGAAATGAAATGAGGATCATTTAAACTAAGTCTTGCCAAATCTTTTACAGATCTGAAAATACATACAAAATATAGTTAGTTTACAATAAATATTTAAAACTTTTAAAATTAAATATTTCACGAATACCTACTTGGTTTGAGTGGCTGAAAAAAGAAGAGTTTGCCTTTCAGGGGGTAAATTATCTATAATATTATTCATGGTATTTTCAAAACCCATATCAAGACAACGGTCAGCTTCATCCAGCACTAACACCAACATATTAGAACAATCAAACAATGGATTTTCATCCATATGTTGCAATAAACGCCCGGGTGTGCAGATCATTATGTTACATTGATCTAAACGTTTGCGCTCAAATTTTAAATCCTTTCCACCTAAAAGAAAGTTGTGTATACTTTTAATTTTTCAAAAATTACTAAATAAATAATTTACAATAAGGATATTATAAATAAACAATATAGAAGCGACATTCGATCAGTTGAGCAATTTTTATATACATTTGATTTGAATAATGACCCTAAATGCGCAATGTGACTGTAATGTAGTTACAACCACAAATTAAGATATAAATAATAGATAATAGATATTAAGATATACATCTTAATTAATGGCTACAACATTTTATAACTTGCGATATTATTGTAAGCATAGGCATCCCCATACTGTGCGTAATGCAACATAATGAAATGTTTTCCAACAATACTTTCTTATTACTTTCTTAATTCTCGCCTAAACCAAAACAACAAAACATGCCAAACAAATTTTTCATTTCCCGCAAACCAACGCACAACATGAACGCACATGTTTGTCAGTGCTCAAACCTAATTCAAACTGACAGCGCCAACTATTGCAAAACATTTTGCGCGTTGGTGTAGACTCGGTTTGAGGAAATGTTTCTTTTTACCAACCTGATACAAAGAAAGTTTCTAATTTATTGATATATCTATTTTTTGAATTTCTATTATTTGTTTATCGAGTGAGTGATTTCAATGGTTTCTAAAGACTTAAGGTCATCTTTGTATTTAACTCTAAATATACAATATGTCTAATGTCTGGTATCATGAAACACTTACCTATAATCAAACCAGCAGAAAAGTCATGATGGATCCCAATTTTACGTAATGTTTCAAATATTTGATATGCTAACTCTCTTGTTGGAGTTATAATCAATGCAGCCAATCCTTCAGTGTGAGTCCATTTGTTGCAATATAATATTTCCAATACCTTATAAATTATAATAGGCATAAACAAATTGTTTATAATGTTTCTAATAGTTTACTTACTGGTATCAAAAAAGCAAGAGTTTTACCACTACCAGTCTTAGCAGCACCCAATATGTCCTCACCACGTAAACTATAGCCAATGCTTTCACGCTGTATTTCAGTAGGTACAAAGTATTTGTTTTCCTTTAATCCTTTTAATGTTGGAGCTGACAAGGGAAAATCTTCAAATTTTTCAATAGTGTTCGGGTCAATCTAAGAATAACATAACTCAAATTTGATATTTATATTTTAAAATTAAGTACTTAAACATAATAGTTTCACAGATACCATAATCTATACAACTTACTATGATTGTATACAAAACAGATTTTTTTCTTGATTTAGTTTTTCTTACTAAAATAAAATTATAATTTACATAGGTAAGATTCTGTTTAGAATGCTTTCTGTTACTACCTCAATATACAGCTATTAACTTTAATATTAATTTGAACAAATTTAAAATATTGTTATGAACAAAATACTTATTCCTGTAATTGGTTTTCCAAACTTGCATCATAATATAATAGTATTTTCTATCTTAATATTATTTTAATTACTAGGTACTTTTAATTTATTTTGTTATGATTAAATCTTTAAACATTATTATTATAATGATTAGTAATTTAAATTTTCTTTTAAATTTCTATTTTTTTACAGAAAAATATACTTCTATATCAGTCAGAAAAGAGACCAATGATAAAGCTAAATTACTATAGATAGAAATCAATTCTAGAAAACTGAATTTTCTTGTATGCATGAGATACTGGATTTTTAGATTATAAAAATTTAAAAATCAAAATTCTGCTTTAAATGCCTTAATAATTTTTACTGTTTTCTAAAGAACACTAAGCATATTTTGTAATACTCGGTTTTATAAGAAACCTAATAGGCTGGGACATTATCTATTACGGTAAAATATGTTTACAGTATTTATTATTCTTATATTAAGTGGTAGAGATTAAATATTAAATAATAAATACGGTCTAATGCATTTCAATAAAATGAATTAGCAATCACTTAAATTTCACAGGTTATTTGATTTGTGAAAAAATTACATTTAAAACCCAAGCAGCCACTTAAACTATTTAATCTTAAATATACCTACTCACCTAATGGGTATAACAAAAGAAATTCAAAAACGGGAAATGGAAATAAATGACAAACATTAAAACATTTTTAAAAGAAAAATCGAAAATCTTAATATTACCTGCTCGTACGATTCTTTAAGATTTTTAATGACTACGTCAATAGATTCCTTCTTCTTCTTTGACTTGAATATTTTTATTTTTCTTCGTTTGTTTGCCATCGCAAGCGTTTCCAAATGAAATGGTAAACACGGCTGGAACGTTCAACTCGTACGCTTATTACACGTGTATGATGTTGGTGTACGGCACTACAGTGTTATCTTAATTAATCTAAAGTTTATTGGTTTTTGATATCCGTGCTACAAAAACAATCACTGTTATCTCCATAGATAATACATTATCTATCATTATCGCGCGATTTTATAAGAACTAAATATAAAAATAATAATAAAAAATAAAAACCATGTTTAATAAAACCAATACATTACTCGATCTGTTCAGAATCTAAACAAGTGTAAGTGTTGGTAAACATTTTTATTAAGTTTATGACTAGATAAGACCCCGAAACAATCAGTCAATAAACTCATGAACTAATGGGCTATTGCCCTATTGGGCCGGCAAAATATGATTTCCACTTTCCAGTCCCGAAATTGGTTCCCAATAATTCGTAGTTCCCACTCCGCATCAGATATAGGTGAATAACACTGTTATCTCATATCATCTGTTTTTTAATTATAATAAAATTATAATTTTATATAATATAATAGTATTTATATAACTATATAATAATATAATATAAGTATGTAAGATAATAGTTCATATTGTACCAAAACCAAATCACTATAAAATCGTTCCTACGTTTTCTTTTGTGATTCCTCATCGGCCTCATCTGCAGTTGTAATGTAATCACTAATCTTTTATCAGTAACTCATCGAAGGAAAAACTGTAGTCATTTTATTTTAATTTCTATATTAAATAATATATAAATAAAAATATATGCACGCGTATTAGAAATACAAACTAAAGTTAATATTTTAGTTCGTTATGGAAACGGATGACGGAATCGTACGTTTAATGGTAAGTTTTTTCAAGTACATATTGTTAAAGACTAGTTGAAATCTGGTTCTGTGAAAAAAAATAAATATTTTCGCTCCGTCTTGCCAATGTCCTATGATTGAATTTTCGATTTTCCTATTTGCCACCGAGTTATAACTGATTCAGAAGTGCTCGTTCGCGGTCTTAAAAAACCATCTTTATATTTTCCATTTACCTTCCTTACCTTATCAACGTTCTGCAATCAGAACTCAGAATTTACATTTTTCAATTCCTCGCATAAACAACAAAATTTTAACACTCGTTACTCACCCAAAAGCCTTGTCATTAAAAAATCTTTACTATTTATCTTTTTATAAGGTACTTACCTTATACCTTATAAGGCACTTACCTATTATAGGTATAACCTATAATAAGGTACTTACCCTTATAGAAAATCTCTAGAATTTTAGAGGTACTAATATATTTAAGATATTTTTTAATTTAGTTTTGACCCCAAGAGTCTGGACAGCGTCTGTAAATAATACAATTTTTCCAAATCTGTGAACACACAACTTTAAACCGTTCGTATGACTGTGGGAAAAGGCAAATCGAAAATGTTATCAGGTACATTGGTCTGGCAGCACTTGGAAAATATATGTATTTGGCTTTTTTCGATATGTTGTCTTTTATTTTTACCTCAAAAGCCAGTTTTCACTTGTTTATGTATTGTTTTTAAATTTCAGCCTCAAACTACCACTGGAATTGAAATTGCCACAACGACAATCGGAGCTCTCATTAATCCGCCTGTTTCAACTATTGTGTCCCTAAATAATCTACCGTCGTCAACATCAGCAGCTGTACCTCTTGGTAATTTAATGATGACGCCAATAACGTCTCTTAACAGTTCATCTATATCTACCATCACGTCTTTGAGTAATCCATCTGTGTCTACTATTCTACCTCTAAACAACACACAAGTTTCGACAATTTTATCTGGCAATAACTCGACGTCTTCAACAATCACAGTACTTAATAATCCTTCGGTAGTAACAACCACTCATCAAAATATTGTTTTACATCAATTTCAACAACAAAAATTCCAACAATTGCAACAACTACAATTGCAACAGCAAAAGCCACAATTACTACAACAACTTCAACTACAGCAACCTCAAAAACCACAAATATTACATATTCAGCAGCCACAACAACAACAGTCTCAGCAGCAACTACAACTGTCTCAACAGCAGCAGCAATTACAACAACAGCAGTTACAACAACAGCAACAGTCTCAACAGCAGCAACAACAACTATCACAGCAACAGCAGCAGCAGCAGCAACAACTATCTCAACAGCAGCAGCAACTGTCTCAACAACAACTGTCACAACAACAGCAGCAGCAACAACAACAACAACAGCAGCAGCAGCAACAACAACAACAGCAGCAGCAACAACAACAACAGCAGATAACTGTAAAAAATGCAGTCAATCCAGATAGTGCAGCTGTAAGTAATTATTCTACTGAATTTGACTATTTTACAACACCTCAATTATTTAAATATTTGTCTCCCTTAGTTATTAACAAAAACACGATTACGCGAGCTAGTCAAAGAAGTAGATCCTAATGAACAACTAGAAGAAGATGTTGAGGAACTAATGTTGCAGATATCTGACGATTTTGTTGAAGAGTTAGTCAAAGCAGCATGTGTGTTTGCTAAACATAGAAAATCGAATATTGTTGAAGTTAAAGACGTTCAAATGTACTTAGGTAACTATTAAAATAAAATTTTAAAAGTTATTGTAATGAATTAGAGATGTGACGAACTATTAGAACAAAACCGATTAACTGAACCAAATACTCAATAGTTCTGTTTGAAAATCATTTGATACCGATTTTACGCGGTCACCAACACGATGTTCTGTGGTGGGACAGAGCGGCCTTGTTACAAAAAAGAAAAATTCTATTTTTCGCATTAATGGGTATGGGTCTCGTATCGTAAATCCCAAGACTAGGCAGTTTGAGAACCTAGGTATTTTACCTAACCTTACCAAACCTAACTTTTTTTCCTTTTTCATTAGTTTGATAAAATATTTTAAAAGTTTGGTTTGGTTTGGTTCAAACCTTGAAAATCAGAGTTCATAATATCTCTATGTTGAATATTTTCAATTAAATGTGAACAATATATAATAAATATATGTTGTTTTTTTTTTTTTTAGAGCGATATTTAAATATGTGGATACCAGGTTTTGGGACTGATGAATTGAGACCATACAAAAAAGCACCAATCACCGAAGCCCATAAACAGCGTACGGCACTTATCAAGAAAGTAGCTAGTAAAAAATATTAATTCAATTGTCAAATTTGTCAACTACTACCACTTGTCAGGATTTATTATTGGTTGTTTAAAAACATGTTTAATTAATCAGTTCATAATTTCATCAATATAAAATTCACAAGTACACTACTTTGATTGTAATTATTCTCAAGCATTGTCATAATCAGTTCTTTAAAACTTTTCCAAGTCAAAAGATAATTTCCATAATTCTTAGATTTCATTTTTTTACGTGTTTTTTAGTTTTTACATTAATGTAATGTGCCACATATTAATTCAATAAATGAATAAAATAATTATCACGTTATTTATTGATTTATTCATTTATTTAGCTAAATTAACAATTTACAATCAAATTAAAATATAAATTATTAAAACAAAATTTAGAAAATAGCAACTCCAAACTAGAATTTAAAATAATTATGTTAATTTAAATTAACTATATGCAAAATAATAGTAAGTACAAGAAAGCAGTGGGTGGGTGGGAATACAATGTTTGTTGTTAAGTTAGAATTTATTTTGGGGGTTATTGCATCCTATGTGCTTTTGAGAAGTTCTTTAATACCTCTGATTATTCATATTGAGCAGATTCAATGTGTTTTGTTATATATATTTAAGGGCCAGAACCACAGAAAGGGGTTAGGGTTAATCCATATTTATCCAATTCTACCATGCTCTATTTGAAGTCAAGGAAGGTTGGATCCTGGAGGGGGGCGGTGGACAGATTAATATTCAATTATATTTTCAAAATCCGAGTTTCCTATTTGCTATGTAAAATTTAATTTTATGAAAGAGTTAAATTTTTCCAATAATAGTTTTTTTTATAAGTTAAAAAATTTTTAAATTTCAAAATGTGTGCTATCCACATACATATGAGGAATGCATTATTCTTAAAGCATTTAGACCGTTTATTGAACTAGTGAGTTTTGTCTACATAGGTTTAGCAGGTCTATGTTGCAAAATAAAGGCAGTTATCGTGTGGGAGTATACAAGATGTCCCATTTATAATTCTTGTGGCACAGTTAAGTTGTATGTCTACCTAATTTGTATGTACACTTTTTGGCTAGACCTGCGCAAAGTACTCTGCTACTGAGTAAGTATGAAATAGTGTTGATATTTCCAATGAGTAGGCATTGGCTTCCCATGGTGTATAAACAAGTTTCTATGTAATACAGTTTTTTTTTTTTTTGATATTTATACTTCTTTTATATTATTTATTAGGAGTAGGCATTGGCTTCCCATGGTGTATAAACAAGTTTCTATGTAATACAGTTTTTTTTTTTTTTTTTTTATTTTATGTACAAGGCTTGATGACGTGAGTGAAGAGGGTGCCCAGTGACACTACTTCAACTTGATTAGTTTGGTGGATTTAGATAAAATTATTTTTTTTTTTTTTTTGACTAACTGATGATAATTGTCTTTAAAGGTTTAAGTAGGTCACGTGGCCATTTACGTTTGAGGCGGCGGATAGGGTTATCTGGGAGTGAGAGAGATGAGAGACTTAGGATGATTAATGGTATTTTTATGAAATTTTTTGTAGTGGTTTGACGCTATTTCAGAGATAGTTGGAATTTTTAGATCCTTATGTAGAGTACGATTGCTGACATACCAGGGAGATTTGGTTAAGAGTCGGAGGTTAATGGATTGAAAGGCTTGGAATTTATTTAAGTTAGAGTTCTTAGAGGTTCCCCAAATTTGTATGCCAAAGGTCATTGCAGGTCGAATGATTTGTTTGTATATGAGAAGTTTATTGTTAAGAGAGAGGTTAGAATGCAGGAGCTGTCTGAATTTATGGAATTTTAGATTGGGGAAGATCTTTTGTTTTTTATGTGGGCTGCCCAAGTTAGTCTTTTGTCAAGATGAAGACCATGGTATTTTTTTTACGGAGTTTTGTGTTTGAATTGTTTTGTTGTTTAGTATTAATGGTTGACTGTTTTTAAAACCAAGAGTAAATGTAATGAACATTGATTTATTTTCGTTGATTTTTATTCTCCATTTATGGAATCAGTGTTCTAGAATTACTAGGTGTTCTTAGAGGTGGTTTGTAGCAGTTTGAAGACATTTGTTGGATGTCAGAATAGCAGTATCGTCGGCAAAGGTAGCTAGAGTAGTCTTATTTGAGTGTGGTATGTCAGAGGTGAAAAGATTATATAACAGGAGCGAGAATACTGCCCTGGGGAACCCCAGCATTTATAGGGTGAGTTGTCAAAAGTTCATCTTCACAGCGAACCTGGAATGATCTGTTTAAGAGAAAGGATTTTATGGTAAGATAAAGAGGTGCGGGAAGAAAAATAATTTTGTATAACAAGCCCTTATGCCAGACCCGATCAAAGGCTTCAGCCAAATCTAGGAATGGTGTGTTGCAGTAATGTTTGTTTTCTAAGGTAGATGCGATATTATCAACGATTCGGTGTACTTGATGCAGGGCAGAATGGTTGTTTCCAAAACCAAATTGAGTATTGGGAATTATTTTTTTTCCGTTATAATTTGATTGATTCTTTTAAGGAGAATTTTTTCAAGGTTTTTTACTAGGGAGGGAAGCAGACTAATTGGACGGTATGAGGAAGGAAGATCGGGGGGTTTACCTGTATAATACAGTTGAAGTTTTAACTTCTATTTTAGTTGGATTTTGTTTGGATCATTTTGTTATTTAAGCGAAACAGTGTGATTTTTGTTTTTAAAGGATTGGATTTCAATCTTCAATTCTTAAAATAGCAATTTAGGATAATTAAATTTTCCATCAATTAGCTCACACGAGTCAAAAGAATATCCTTGGTTCATCAACGCTAGGTCATTGATAAAAATAAATTATCTAGCTTTTGTTTCCAGAATATCAAAAGTATATTAGTTAAATAAGAGTGATGTAAAACAGATCCCTATGGTTAACTATTATTAAGTATTATTTGCTCTTATTTTCTCCAATTATTACTGTAAATTGACTATTAGATAGCATGTTATTTATAATTCTTTAATGTATTATAATCTTAAAATTATTATGTATATTGTACTTTTAAACAAAGGCTACACCCGTAAATTGTATATTGATATAAATATTGTATATTAATTGTTCTACAAGAAATTATATGTAAAAGCTTATTGATCAATCCCAAACGCCATAGTGTCCTACGTTGCTGTTAGATCAATACATGTTGCAGCAATGTTTAGTCCCTTTTCAAAACTAGCCTCCAAGTGTGTGATTAAGGATAAGTTCTGATCACAACAATTTTTGTTAGGGCGTGTCTGTTCAATAGGAATGATTTTGTTTATCGGATCTGATATTCAGTTAAAAATTAGCCTTTCTAACATAGCTAATACTTGGGAGAATAATGGGTTTGTAACTATATATTTGTATAGTTTTTCAAGTTTCAGTATTGCAAGAATCAGTAAATTTAAATTTATTGGGAATTATCCCAGTATGGAGATTGTTAAGAATAAAATTTATACTAGCTAGAATCTGATTTTAGTACTATAATTATTTAAAAACCCTAGGAAAATCCTGTCAGATCCTGCTGCTTTACCGGTTTTAATTTTCTTAATTACGTAGAAATCTTAAGCGAAATCAACACCTCCCCTACTTCCCACCTACAATAGTAGTTGCACCCGTCTCCAATATCTTTTTTTTATGAATAATATGTAATATGCATATTTATAAAAACAAAAATAAAAAACGCTGAAAGTAACTTTTTTTAAGAACAAAGTTTCTTTTATGAATGAGGAATAAGGAATGCAATCCTTTTTAAAACTCATAAATCCAGACACAATGTGTGTGGGTGGTACGATCTAACCTAGTTTTTATTAAATAAGTGTATTAGTTTTCAGAGAAATGCTTTTTAAAAACAAATATTGTTCTCTTTAATTTCTGTTGTCTATGTCTAAACTTGAGTTTCAAATTAAACGTCACAACTTAACTTCTTAAACATAATGTTGCTGATATATTCACCAGTAGGGCACATATGTTGTAGTAGTCAAAAAATAGTAAAATTCTACTAAAAAATAAGTTTTAGAACTGGACAAATTTGGCTTAAAAATCGCATATTTATAAAACAATAGAAAAACTATTGTTTTTTTTAGTTAGAACTAGATGCAACTGCAAGAACATCTGGGCCTTATTCATTAGGTAGATAGAAATGCAGGTATTAAGTTTTTCAAACTTAGAAAAATATGACCAATTTTAATATTTAAATATCAATTTGAATACAAACTATTATAATATTATGCAATGTCCCGTGAAAATATAGTCATTATTGACATCTAGAAAAGTATAAACTTTGTTCGGAACTTTTTTGACAATTTTTAAGAAACAAGTAGCTCTAAAATATAGAGCTACCTGTTATTCTTTAGCTGTTAGTCCATTATTTTTGGAAATCAACTTGTTGGCAATATTCCATTTATATGTTTAGGTAGGGGTGGTAAGAACATAATTTAAATAGTGTTCAATATCATAATGGGTATATCTTTGTAGAGATGCTCTGTATATATAAACCAAACTGACTATTTTATTATATTCATTGCTTTATATTACAGCAAATCAGCAAAATATACATCCAATTAATGGCTGTCAACTAATTTCAGCTATACTTAACAAATAGATTTATATGGTTTAATTAAAAATAATATGAAATATTAGAAACTACTACTGCTATGTCAGAAACTGTTAACATAGATAATACTTTATTATGCATGAGAAGATTATTCATAATCTACTTATTATTGACAAAATTATATTATATTGCTCAACTATAAGCTTTCTGTATTTCAGCAATTATTTTTCATTAAAAAGTTAACAAAGTTTGATTTAATTGGCTACTTAACTATTATATATTTAACAAAAAAAAAGAACATATTTAATAAATAAACAAAATAGACATACAACAATGGTAAAAATTATTAAAACTTAAAGACTGTGAATTAAATCAGATAAATTGTATAATGTTAAACAAAATACAAATTATTATATTTAACAGCATACTAAGTTTTTTGATCTTGAAAAATTAATATTAAATCACATCTTCTAGGGACATAATAACCATCTTGAGTAATTCATTTGTCTGTTCAGAGTCAAATGTTATTAAAAAATCTAAATTATTATGCTGTGGTGATAATCCTAAAAATAGAGCCAATTTTGTTGCTAATGGATTCTTTTCCTCTATCACCGGATCATTATCTGGTTGCATCTAAACAGAAATGATTATCTAACATAAAAATATTACTTTCCATGGAATATTTTAAAAAAAGACTTACTTTGTCTACAGAGAGTTTATGAACTAAGCCATCAGAGCCCACATAAAATATTGAAAAACCATCGTGCCACCTAAAATAATAACAATCACTAAGTGTTTAACCTATTAGTAAATTTAAAATGATTACAATACATTGTTTTTCTTATATTATATTAAACAACCATAATTTTAAAAATGTAAAATTGATAAAACAAATTCTTTAGAAAATACTTTTTTCTTAACTCTATATGGTTTTGGATTTTAAATACAATCATTATTATGCATTTTTAGTAAATTCATAAAGTATGGCTGTCAGCCAAGTTTGAATTGGGTCATTCAACAAATTTTAATTATGTGCACAATCAAATGACTACCATAAATATAATCAGTGCTTGAGTTAAGGATACCCAAGAGTACAGAGCTACTCTATTTTTTTTTTTTCAGCATCCCCTTACTAAATATTTTTACCATGATGAGGGGGCGACACATTCATTCATTTTTTTTTTTTATTTTTATATTTATTTATGAGTATTAACTCTTTAAATAACTTTGCCTTAACTTTGTTATTTTATTAATTAATAATTAGTAATACCTAACTTGTTAGTAGTATAATAATATATGTTCTGGCGCAGTTGATATTTATCAAAATTAACAATTTTAATAACAATTTGTACACTATTTTTTTTTCAATCTTTTAAATAACAAACTGTATCAGAAATATTTAACAAAACTATTAAAAAATTATATAAAATAAAAATAAAAATCTAGCCCATGATCCCCCAATTGATGCTGAAAATTGATTTGATATTTTGATGTTGAAAATTTGATTTGGAATTGAGATATTGAAAAAATTGAATCGATATTTTGCTGTTGGTGTTGAAAACTATAGTAAGCTTAAATTCGCAAAAAAAACATAATTAGTAAAAGAAAAAAAAATTTTATTTTTATATCGTAACCTTATACCTGAAAAATAGCTTTTCAAAAATATGTGTATTACTGAATAAGCATCACTCATAATTAGTTTTGAAACCATACAAAATAAATAGATCATCAACTTTTATCTACAATATTACAATATTCTGTCTACTGGATATGGATGCTGACTTATTAAAAACCGTTATAAATCATACCAAACAGAAATTTTATAAATCCTCAAAAAAAAATCAGTCGTAATTTTCACACATAAATAGTTGGATGTATCGCAATTTTTCATATAATAGCGAATGATGCTAAACCATGAAAANGATAAAGATGATGATGGAATAATACAGTATAATAAGTTTTTCAAAAATTTTTTATTATTGAATCAGGATGATCACTCTGAAATTACTTGTTTAAAATAATCTTTTTTAAAAGATTTTTTTGATAATGATTGTAAAACAATCAATAAACGACAAAACAAAATTACTGTGATCTACAAAGTTTTTAAAATTCTTAAAAATGGAAAAAAAATACAATTAATAGAGTTTGAATAATTATAATATGTTGGTTTTTTTTAAATTAAAAAGATTATTTATAACAAATGAGAATAATGAAAATAAAAAAACGAATTCATAAGGGTAGAAAATCCTATATTTTGAGATAATTTATTTATCAGTGTTTTAGGTTTAAATATTACATCAAAATTAATAAACATTGAAACAGATTATTTATTAAAAGTTGAAGGAAACATAATTGAACCAAAAACAGAAAAATATACTAGATGAATTAAATAAAATTGCTAAACCTTTAATAATTTATGTAGGAGACAAAATTAATCAAATCTAATGTGTTTTTTAATCTAGACAAAAAGTTAAACAAATATTTAGGTTTTGATCATGATAAGGAACATTATTTTAATACAATGAAAGATAAAATAGTTGGAGATTTTCCATTAAAATGTACAGTACCTAATCCCAAAGATGAGATAATACAAATCAATCAAGAATGTAATTTTATTATTGGTCGAAATGGACATATAACACCATATAAATTACATCTTGGCTTATACTCATTGAAAGAACTTGAAAAAATGTTTAATATTTATACTGAACATGGTTAATTTTTACATTTACAACAGTAATGCTTGAATAAGGATTATTAAAAATATCATTCCCCTTTAATATAGGTCTTGATTCGTATTTATCTGATTGTTTAGATTTTGAATTTAACAATGTTTAATCACTTAAAGAAAAAAAATATTCAAAAATATTAGGTTATAAATGGCCTTTTCAAAAAGATGTTGAGAAAGGAGAAATATTTTTTACTTCAACTGCTGTAAGAACTCCACACTTAAATGAAGAAAAATATTTAAATAACATAGAAGAAAATATATATTTTGATAATGGTTTGATTACGAAAATTCCTAGATTGAAGTATACTATTGAATATACTATCAAATAGATTTTAAAATTTAAATTTTAAAAAGAATCTGAAAGTTTCCGATAATGATTTAATTGAGATTAAAAATTATGAAAATAATTTTATATACCTTTGTGATAATCTAGGGATTAAGTTTATTTGTTTTTTAAAAGTTGGAATTTATCTAACAAGTAAAACCCCCAACATTCCTTTAGAATTACATTGCAATATAATAGAGAAATCTATATCCAATCATAAAGAAAATGAGCATACTTATTGTGAGAAGGATCTTTTATTTATTTTTAATAATCCACAAGATAATTTATTGTTAAAATTAACAAATACATCATTCATACCTATAAGTGTGAATGAAATTCAAAATATTAATATAAATATTTTTGATTTAAAAGGGAATATATTTAATACATTTTCATAATTTATTGTTAATCTCAGTTTAATAAACAGATAATGGATTCACATTCAGATTTTCAATATATTTCTATATTAAAAATAATAACTTTTAGTATAGTAAATATGTCAAGAGAATAATAAAAAGTAGATTCGTATGTTTTAAAGAAAAAATAGAAACCATATTTCCTATATCTTTATGTTGTTTAATTGTTGGACCTTCAGATTCAGATAAAACCACTTTGTTGCATAATATTGTTGAAAAAACGTTTGTTTCATATGACAATCTATATTTTTACAAAAACTATCAATCAAAAAGCTTATGAGTATTTACAAGAAATGTTTAGTAGTATAGATGAAGTTGAAACGTTTTTTTCCGATGGAGATATAATTTCTGTTGATGAATGTAAACCAAATAGTTTAGTTGTTTTTAATGATTGTATATTGGAAAACCAAACTGTAATTAAAGAATATTTTGTAAGGTCTAGACACAAAAATATCTCTGGTATCTATTTAGCTCAGAATTATGTAATTAACAGATCTACAAACCATAAGGGTAAATTTAAATTTCTTAATTGTTTTTGAACAACTAGAACAGTATGTAAAAAAACTTTGGAATGATTTTTTTAGTAGTTTTAGGAATTTAAAAGAGTTTATATCATTATGTGCAACTTTTTGGGGGGTTCAATATGGATTTATATAGATGGATATAAAAAATAAATATTTGTATAGAAAACTGAAAACAATTGTTATATTGAACATTTAGATTGATTTTTTTCATTGATTGAATGTCTAGATTGATTGTTTTACGTTGATTGAATATTTTAATTGTTTGTTGTATATAAAAAAATAGTTTCTTTTTTATGTAATAAATGAAAATTATTAAACAAATTCAAAAATATTATAAAAAAAATTAGGAATGGGTTTTTATTTAAAGATTAAAAATTAAAATATTTTTTATAATAAATAAATCTTAATTTAAACGATGCATAATTAAATAAAATTAAATCTGCACATAATAAAAAAATAGATGTAACAATTCAATTATCAAACAACCGAATTGGAACAGGAAAATAAAAGTTTAGTTTAATCAAAACACAAATAAATAAATTAAACAAATCTAAGAAAGAAAAAAGGATCAAGACTAGAATAAAAATTTGAATAAATTAAACAAGGATTTCTTCTACTTCTTTTTGCTGGAATTGATACTGCAAGTGCATTAGCTGGTGGTGTAAGTGCAATTGCAAATACTATTATAGAAGGAAAAATTAAGAGAACAGAAGAAAAAGAACAAGAACAACACAATAAAGAAATGGTAAAAATGTTTAATGATGTCAAAACTTTACAAATCAGATCTGGAATTTAAAAAAAGAAAAGTATTCTGTTTCAAAAAAAAGAAAATCAAACTATTAACTAATTTCGATATTAAAGAGGCTGGTGAAAAAATTAAAAATGTTTGTGGGTGTTATGTTAAATGAATTACCTATAAAACCAACGAGAAACAAAAGTGGAATATTAAATTTAAATAAGTCTTATCAAGATGGATCTTACTGGGTTGCTAGAATTAAACAAGAAAATTTAAAAATATATTTTGATTCTTACAGTAATGCTAATCCTCTAAAAGAATTAGTAAAATATTTAGGAGAAAATAATCTTAAATTTACATCTAAAAAATTTGAAAACTACAATGAACCACCTATTTGTGGATATTTGTGCTTAGATTTTATTAAAAATTATAAAAAATATATCTAAATTAGTATCTTTTTTTTTTTTTAATCAGGTTTCTGATTAAAAAAATGTATTTTTAATTAAGTTATGACAATTTCTAGATGCTGTTTAAAAGTATCAACAGACCATTCTTCACAAATTTCATTAACTTGTTTATCTAGAATAGTTAAATGTGCATTAATATTTGCTATTTTTAATAAATAAAAGTTTTGATATTTTTCTGGTATGTACTGAATCTTTTCATTAATATAATCACCTAAAACTTCAAAAATAGAACTAGAATAAAACAATGGATCCTTAAAATAAAATAATTGTTTTGTAAAATCAAAGGGCAAGTACTGATCCCAAAGATGAAAGTCTACATACTTTTCTTTATTATTAAAAAAATCATACATATTTCTTTATTAATTATATAAAAATAAAATTTAAATCAATTTCTTTTTTTTCTTTTCTGAAATAAATGGAATATATTTTTAATAAATATGATGATCATATTATTCGATCACAATGTAAAACACATGAAGCAACATCAGAAACAAATTTTAATAGAGATGGTGGAATTATAACTTTTGAAATAGAAGGTTCTGATAGCTTTCTCAATATTAAACATGCAAAATATATTATTAGTGGAAAATACTTAAAACAAGATAATACTGAATAGGAAGCTAATAGTAATGTACAATTAGACGATAATTTAGACGATAGTTCCATTTTTATTCTCTCAAATTGATGTAATAAAAATTGGAACATTAATAGATCAAATTGAAAATGTGGGTAGAGCAAGTATAGTCAAAGGATGTGTTAGTTTTTCTTTAGATCAGAATGGTCCAACAATTAATTCAGGATTTCATTCAAGATTTAAATTTATCTAATCTATGTTTAGGTTTCTTTAAAGATATTCAACATCCAGTTTTCAAAGAAGGAATTAAGATAAATTAGAGAGATAATTAAGAGAGTAAAAAATGATGATACATTGTACAGATGGGCTTCTACAACTGTAGCAATACTAGTTATTGGAAAAGTTATTATTGAGGATTTTAAGATTACAATTCCACCAGTGGAATATCAAAAAATGTATAAGATACAATTAATAAATGATTTTACAAAATTACATGTTAAATTTTAAATCATGGCAATGTATGACTGAAACCAATTTAAATGGTAAAACATTGAAAATAAATATTGCAAGTACATATAGAAACATTCATAATCCATTATTTGCAATTGTAGCTTTCCAAACAAATGGACTAGAAATACAATTAAAAAAGGTTCAACTTTCGATCACTAAAATGTAAAAAATATTTGGCTAGAAATTGATGGACAGAGATATCCACAAGAATCATTAAATTTAGATTGGAAAAATGAAAAATTTTCACTTGCTTATGATATTTATATATGTCATATAAGAAAAATATCCATAAAATACATCAAGAACTTCCTCTGATGTATCTCACACCTAATGATTTTAAAAATGCAAGACCAATGTATGTATTAAATCTTACTGGACAACCTGATAATTTTAGTGGAAATAGAAATAATATTATTTTGAAGGTAGAATTTAATGAGTACAATTTGCTATATTTGTTCAGTTTAAAGTTCTGAATTTACATATGATACTGTCCAAAATACAATTAGGAAAAACATCTAAAACTATACGCATATTTTTAATAGAAAAATAAAAGATAGGTTGATATTTTACAAGATTTATTGAACGAATATAATTTCAAAGATATTCATCAAACAATTGGAATGATACAATTTAAAGTAAACAAATCTAATGAAGAAAAAGTTTTTCTTAAATTAATCCCAAATGAAATATCTAAATCAAATGTTAAATTTAAGATTGATGATAGGGTTAGAATAAAGAAGTTGAAAAAAACGTTTGATAACAAATTAAATTGGACACGAGAAATATTTATTGTTACAGAGATAATAAACACAAACCCAATTACTTATAAAATTAAAGACTTAAATAATGAAACTATTGAAGGAAGTTTCTACAATAAAGAATTACAGAAAACAAAATTTTGAAATTTAAATATTTTAAATATTTAAATAAATCTAAATTAAATGGAACTTGAAAGAATTATATTAAAGATATTATCAATATAATAATCCTCATTGATTTTTTGAATTTTTTCTTTAAGTCTATTTATTAAATCAATAGGATTTGGGTTTTTTTTTGAATCTATTGTAATCTCAAATGTTTTACTATATAAATTCTTTCTATTTTTTATATATTTATCTTGTCCTCTTAAAAACATATAAGAATTATCCATATCTTTATCTTTAAATAAAATATATTGGTGTTTCAATTCTGAAGTCTTAAGATCAATATTTCTATCAGGAAGTATTTTATCTAATTTATTATTTACATCATCCAATTCTTCTTGAATTTCACCTAATTGATCTTGTGTTTTATCTAATGTTATTCCCATTAAATCAAGTTTTTTAAGAGCAAGCCAGTTTGAGATAAAAACTTATTATTTTGTTTTATTAGCATGTCTATTTTATCATCTTTTTCTCTAATTGAATCTTTGTCTTCCCTTTCAAAATAACTAAGAATTATATCATTACACTTTAAATAAAATTCAGGAGAAATCCAAGAATCTAAATCCAAAATAAATTCTTTTGAAACATAATTTCCGGAAATAATAGTACTCTGATCTGTCCTATTTCCTGTTTTCATTCCATACACTTCTGACATGACACTTTTGACACTTCTACAAATGTATATGATGAACAAGACATTTTGTTCTTTCTAATCTAAACTAATTTCTATATTGTTTATTCCCTTTTTGACATAATTTAGTAGCATTAAAAAATCCTGTATTTTTATCAATGATCAAACCAAATTCACCGAATTTACCATAATAAAATTCATCCTTAATTTGTTCGAAAGATATATTTTTAAAGACATTTTAAACCTGAACTATTTTTAAAAAAAAAGAAAATTTAAATTCAATTTCTTTTTTTTTTTAAAGTTAAATTAAAATTAGATTTCACATTGAGAGAAAAACGTTTTATAACAAATTTAATTCTAATTAGACACGAGAAATATTTATTGTTACAGAGATAATGAACACAAATCCAATTACTTATAAAATTAAAGTCTTAAATAATGAAATTATTGAAGGAAGTTTCTATTATGAAGAACTACAGAAAACCAAATTATGAAATTTAAATATTTTAATTTTTAAATAAATCTAAATTAATTTGTTGAGATAATAACTAATTATTTTGTTCTCTTGTTTCTTGTACTTCTGAAAGTAAATTATTGTTTTGATTTATTAAAATATCTACTTTATCATCTTTTTCTTTAATTGAATCTCTATATTTTTTTTTAAATAATTTATAATCATATTGTTACATTTTAAATAAAATTCAGGTGAAATCCAAGAGGCCAAATCTAGAAAAAGATCTTTTGACATGTAAGTTCCTGTTAAATTTTACTAGTTTTTTCATTATTAAGTTCTTCCTTAAACTCATAAAAATTGGGACTTAGATCTGCACTACAAATTTCTAAAAGTATAATAAGACTTTTTGTTCTTTCTAATCTAAACCAATTTTTATATTATTCATTTCTTTGTTTACATAGTTTTGTTGCATTAAAAAATCATGTATTTTTATCTATGATCAAATTAAGTTTACCAAATTTACCATAATAAAATTCATCCTTAATCTGTTCAAAACATATATTTTTTAAAGACATTTTAAACCTGAACTATTTTTAAAAAAAATGAATTGAAATTAAAAATTGGACCTTAGTTAAAAAAAATATAATTTATAACAAAATGGAAGAAAATAATAATATTGCAATGACTTCAAGAAAGACGTGTAATATGTGTAGTAGAACAACTACATATAAAAATTGGTAAATAATATAATAATACAAAAATAAATAATAATAAATAATTAAAAATCAGCAAAACATAAAAGAAATTATCCAAATAAAACTATTAAACCTAAATTTCATAAAAAACCTAGACAAGAGAGAACAGTAAATCCTCACAGAATTTTCTGGGAATTTCCTTAAGTTATTATTACGAAAAGACCAACTAGAATAATTGATCTTAGCAGAAAATACTTTGAAGATTCCAACACACTTTATAAAATTTATATTAAATTACCAAAAGAGATATCTGATTAAAAGCTATTACCAACAATCAAAACGAAAATAATAAATGTTTTTTTTTGTCAATTCTTGCTGCATTACATCCAGTGGGAAAAGATGCAAATAGGATTAGCAAATATAAAAAAATGGGTTAATGAATTTGATGAAGTATGTAAAAGTTTAAAAATTGAATTTCCAGTTAAATTAGAAGATATTCCTAAATTTGAAAAAAAAAAACAAATATGTCTATTAATGTGTTTACTTATGAAGATAATAAAAATATAGTACCCCTACAAATATGTGATATTGAAAAAGAAACACATTGTCTTAGCGAAAAAAATAAAGCACATTATTGTTTGATAAAAAATTTATCAAGATTAATCGTCTCACAAATAACAAGAAATTGTGGTATAATTTATTGATGTAACATATGTTTGTCACATTTTTCTAGTAAGGAAAAATTAACATACCATGAGGAATATTGCAGAAATAATAATTGCGCAAAAACAATATTAACAAACATATCTGATCGTATTCTTCAATTTGAAAAATATAATCAATCTTATAAAATTCCTTTTGTTATTTATGCAGATTTCTAAATTATGCTACCCAAAATTGATACATGCCAACCTCATGATAAAACTTCTTATACATAAACTTATCAAAAACATTTACCTCTTAGTTTTGGTTATAATGTTAAAAATATTAATAGTAGTAAAAGTAATCTAGTAACATATTCCGGAGAAGATGCAGTAAAAATTGTTTATAAGAAAATAACAAAGGAACCCATTTATATTGCAGATAATTATTTACATGTAGAAAAAACTATGGTAATAATCAAAAAACAAGAAACTGAATTTGAAAAAGAAAATAACTGTCATAAATGTGAAAAATCTTTGAATGATTTAGCACCTATACTTGACAAGAACAGAAAATATTTGATGAAGCTATTTATTATTGTGATTATAATTTGGACTATTGGCAATCTAAAATGTTTGATTTTGCTTTGACATATTGGTATCTTATAATAAAAGGAGAACCATTAGTTGGGGATATGAATGAAAAATAAGATTGAGATTTAGATTTAGAAGATATAGAAAAAAAAATTGAAAAAGAAAACTATAAATCAATTTCAAAAATATCTAATATGAGAAAATAGATCCAATAACTAAAGACCCTGTTTTAAATCAGAAAGGAAAACCTANTTTTAAAACAGTTGAAATAAGATTTCTTGATTCTTTCAAGTTCTTATCTAGTTCTTTAGAAAAATTAGCTAATACTTTAAAACCATACCAGTTTAAAGAACTATCTAAACATTATTCTGAACAATTGGATTTAGTAAAAGGAAAATTAGCATATCCTTATGAATACATGGATTCTCCAGAAAAATATGATGAAGAATCTCTACCTAATATAGATAAATTGTACAGCTCTCTTACAGGTGAACATATAACACAAAATGCATATGATAATGCTAAAAAAATATGGGAAACATTCAAAATAAAAAAAAGAGACTTTAAAATATTTTATAATAAAATAGATGTATTATTACTTACAAATGTAATGGAAAATTATAGAGCTGTTTCATTAAAAGATTTTAAGCTGGATCCTGGATCCAATATTATACAACATAAAGCTTTGCTTGGAATGCTATGCTTAGTAAAAACAAGTGAAAAATTAGAACTGCTAAGAGATACTAATATGTATTTAATTTTTGAACAGGGAATAAGAGGTTTATCTCAATGTAATATTAGATATTCTAAAGCGAATAATAAATATATCAAAGAAAAAAAATAACATATGTTAACGAAATATCTCTTAGATTTGGATGTAAATAATCTCTACGGATGAGCAATGTGTAAATATTTATCATATAAAGGATTTAAATGGTATAATCCTGATAAGTTTAATACAGAAACAATTTTAAAAATGAAATGACCAGGAAAAGGGCTATATTTTCGAAGTAGATTTGAAGAGCTTCACAATCTTCATTCAGATTATCTATTAGCTCCTGAAAATGAATTTGATAATAAAAAATTACCAAAATTAACAACAAATCTATATAATAAGAAAAAATATATTCTACATTATATTATTCTTAAGTTGTATTTAAATTTAAAATAAGAGATAATACATAGGGTAATAAAATTTGATCAAAAAGATTGGTTTAAACTATATATAGAATTTAACACAAATCTTCATGCAAAAACAATCATGAATTTGAAAAAGATTATTATAAATTAATGAAAAACAGTGTATTTGGTAAGACTATGATGAACACAAGAAACCATACAGAAATAAAATTAATTAATGATGGAAAAAATTGGAAAAGAGGATTGCTAAACCAAATTTTGATAGAGCGACTATTTTTACAGAAAACTTAGTAGCTATGCATATGAAAAAAAATACGGTTAAATTAAAACAACAAATTTATTTAGGAATGTGTATTTTAGATTTATCAAAAGCTTGAATGTACGATTTTTAATATAATGTATTGAAAAAAAAATATGGAAAAAATATTAGACTATTATACACAAACACAGATTCTTTTATAGTAGAAATTACAACTGATGATTTGTATAGATGTAAAAAACAATAAACAAATTTTAAATGAATTTGATTTTTCAGATTATCCTGAGAATAATAAATATGGAATACCCCAAATAAATAAAAAAGATCCAGATAAATTTAAAGATGAGCTTAATGGTCAAATAATGACTGAATTTGTAGAGTTAAAATCTTAATTATAACATTTAAAGTATTTGAAAATAAAAATGAAATTAAAAAAGCAAAAGGTGTGAAAAAACCCATAGTTAAAAATAAATTATGTTTTAATGATTTTTATAATTGTTTAAAAAATAAAAATCCAAAATATGTAAAATAGAACACTTTTAGAACAGATAAACATGAAATATATACCATTGAAAAAAACAAAAAAAGCTCTTAGTGCATACAATGATAAAAGATATATTCCAGAAAATGGTATTGATACTGTATCTTGGTGAAATTATTCAACAAAAATAGAAAAAAAAATTTTAGAAAATACCTTGATAATTTAATAAAAACAAATAATAAAAAAGAATGAACAGTTTTTATTTTTAATAGCTAAAAATTTCAAAGTATTGCAGCAATAAATAAACTAATTCATAAAATTCTTTTTTAAAACTGTGGTCTAATAATTCTTGTACAGATACAACATTTTTTTCATCAAGTTTTTGTATATTATCTTCAAAATCTTTTAGTATACCTAAATTATTAAATTTTCAACGAAATAGTTATATGCTATTGAAGATGAGATTATACAAACGCACAATATACAGATTTTTTTAAAACTACAATCTATTGCAATATTAAGTGCCAGACAATGGTTTTTAATTTGAATATTCCAACCAAGTTCTTGATCAATTATACATCCTAGATATTTATAATAATCTACCAGAGATATTGAAGAACAATCACTATTTTTATTACTTTTACAAAGATAATTATGAATTATTGGCTTATTATTTTTTTCGACTTTAGTGTAAAAAACTATATACTGTGTTTTGGAAATATTTAGAGATAATTTATTTTCTATTAACTAATTCCTAACTTTAAAAAGATCATTATTAGCTTTTTTATACAATTCATCTGAACTATCTCCATCTACTATTAGAGCTTTATCATCTGCAAATAGCATCAAATTTCCACTTATTTTAATATTTGTTAAACTGTTGATATAAATAATAAAAAATAATGGACCGAGACATGTTTCTTGTGAAACACCACAATTAATTAATTTTTTTTCAGACTTTGTTTTACCAATTCTTGTACACCATGTTCGGTTTTTTAAATATGTTTTAAACAAATCTTGTGCGATCCTCTTATACCTATGTTTTCTAATTTTGATAATAAAATATCATGATCTACTGTATCAAAAACTTTTTTTAAATCCAAGAAAACAACAATTTTATATTTTTTATCAGTTTTAATATCAGAGATTAATTTAGATACTGAGTCTTCTTTACTTCTCCTTTCTCGAAAACCAAATTGTGAATTAGATAGTATAATATTTTTATTTAAAAAATTAATAACTCGTGTATAAATACATTTTTCAAACATTTTAGCAATATTAAAGGAATCGGTCGATAATTATTCGGATCTAATTCACTTCCACTATTTTTATATATAGGTACAATATCAGGATATTTAAATTCATTCGGAATATAATTTTTTTCAATTATTAAAAATATTAGACAATGGGACGGCAACTAACTTTTTAACAGATATTAGAAATTCTATAGTGATTTTATCAGAACCAGGAGCAACATTATTTTTTAACGAATCAATTTTAAGAATTAATTCATTTGATGTAACAGATTCGAGATAAATAGACGAGTTAATATGAGAATTTTCATTTTATCTTTCAAATTCTACATTAGGTATTTTAGACGCAAGATCTTTTCCTATATTTACAAAAAGTTCATTAAGTAAACTACAATAAATTTAAGTAGGAATTTTTTTCCTATTAATTTTTAGATATTTCTAAAGCAATTCTCATAGCTCTTTCGAATTATTATTTTTATTAATAATACTAATTTCATTTTTAAAAAAATGTTCACGCAGTATATTAATATAATGTTTAATTTTTGATTTGTAAAATAAAAAATCATTGAATAACTTTAAAGAATTATTTTTTTTCCTAAATAATTTATTATGGTTTTTAATTCATGTGATTATTCCTTTGGAATCCAAGGATTTAAAGATTATTTTAAACAAGTAATTTCAGAGTGATCATCCTGATTCAATAATAAAAATTTTTGAAAAACTTATTATACTGTATTATTCCATCATCATCTTTATCAATCATTTTTGCCAAAAATTATTGTGATAGAAACCGCCCTGCATTATCATTATCAGGTAATTTTTCATGGTTTAGCATCATTCGCTATTATATGAAAAATTGCGATACGTCCAACTATTTGAAAATTATTATTAACTAACTATTATTAACTTATTATTAACTATTGTGAAAATTACGACTGATTTTTTTTTTTGAGGATTTATAAAATTTCTGTTTGGTATGATTTATAACGGTTTTTAATANATGAGTGATGCTTATTCAGTAATACACATATTTTTGAAAAGCTATTTTTCAGGTATAAGGTTACGATATAAAAATAAAATTTTTTTTTCTTTTACTAATTATGTTTTTTTTGCGAATTTAAGCTTACTATAGTTTTCAACACCAACAGCAAAATATCGATTCAATTTTTTCAATATCTCAATTCCAAATCAAATTTTCAACATCAAAATATCAAATCAATTTTCAGCATCAATTGGGGGATCATGGGCTAGATTTTTATTTTTATTTTATATAATTTTTTAATAGTTTTGTTAAATATTTCTGGTACAGTTTGTTATTTAAAAGATTGAGAAAAAATAGTGTACAAATTATTATTAAAACTGTGATAAATGTCAACTGTGCCAGAACATACATTATTGTACTCCTCATGTCTAACATTTTTGTATTTTACAGATTGTGTTAAACGTAATGGATTATAATTTTTTTTTTTTTAAGTTAAAGTAAGAGGGGGAATTTTGAAAAATTATTTCGTAGTGGTTACATTCAATTATGCAAAATTTCTTATTTCTAGCCCTAGGGAATTGGGCTATGCATTGATATTTCAGTTTATTCTTATATATTTAAATAAATACATAGATATTTAAACCAAACTTCCCACTTGTGTGGAATAAAGGCAAAGGTAATGAGGATAAATCATGACTCACTTACGTATCTACATTTTCTTTAATAACTTGCTCCAAATTCCAAAGCTTGAATTTCCAAAACTTCAAGAATACTTTCATTCCTGTAATACCTTTGATTCTCCAGCGTACTTTAATCGTTCCATCTTCCGGATGTTTGGTTATTTTTAATATATCAAATTTTACAAAAGCATATTTTATGTGACCCATCAAACGCAATATAGATATTGTTGTCATAAAATAATGTAAACCACTAAATTTAACATACATCAATTAAAATTAAAATTGATATTTTCATTAATTTTGTAAAAAGTGTACATATTATTTATTAAGTAGAATCTAAATGTAAATATTCACTTACATAGTCTTCGTTCCCCTAATATTGTTTTCAAATACCAGCTGAGGATGAAACAGACTAAAATTTATATTTTCTTTAAACATTCTAGGCAACTAAAATAAAAATACAATTATATACTGGTAATACAGTTTGAAATATATATAGAGAGAGAAAGATTACCTAATTAATTAGGTAGTATTAACATTAACACATAAGAATCCAATATTTTAACTGAATAAATACTCTAATCTATGTTATTGAATACTTACAGTATCTTGCAATTGAATAAATTGATTTTGTAGTTGTTCCGCACTTGGTAATCCTTTAGGATTGGACATATCATTATTATGGCTGGAGGAACTATTTGAGTCGTTTGGCTTTGCATTAATTGTATTTAAATTGGTTAATGGAGGGACAAAATTGTAGTTATTTGTGTGCCTGTCATACCATTTAGCCAAAACTACCTCAGACTGCTTATTTTCAACAGATTGACCAACATAGGCGAGCAACGGCTGTGATTGACGAAACACGTTGTCTGCAAAATTAAGTTTGCATTTTTTCTCTACCTGTAAATAAAATGTATTGACCCGTTACAATAATTACACTCTCAGTTGATGACCTTATCAACACGAATTTAAGGTCATACGAAATAATTACCTGCAGTCCAGCAGGATGTTGTTGGAAGATGTCGGACAACAAATAGACGCCGTATGCAGACGTTTTAGATGTACCCAATAAATACTGACCATTACCGATTTTCGTGCAAATCTTGCGGACGGCGTTGGCCATGTTTCTACACAAAAGTTAACGTTGAGGATAGTGATGCTGAAAGTGATTGGGATGCAAGACGCAAGTAGCGATGTTTCTAGAACGTTTGTTAAGCTCCTAAATAATATTATCAATATGAATCAGAAAACGTAAAAGACCGGCGAACGGGTGCGCGCAGCGCGCGAAATACAAGGTAAAAAATTACACAAATGAGAAAATATTGATAGGTATGATCACATCGGTACGTGTTATCGTCCTATCTAGCACATCATGGGTATCATCCAGTACCCCAGGTATCATACCTAGGTATCTAATCATAGATAACCACAACAGTTATAAATTATAAAGAACTTACTATCTAAGACCGTGGTAAAGAATATTAATAATATTATTAATTACCTACTAAAAGAATAGAATGCTCATATTTTGTGATGATAAATCCATAAGCTTCACACAAATTTTAAAAATATCGATAATATTAACGACCAAAGATATGCCAATGTACACGGAATCTGGTGAAGGCATAGATAATAAATTTTCTTTTATTATCTATTGGTGTGTATCACCAATATCCAATACCCATAAGGATAAGACCACGGACTAAGATAATACCGTCTAAGAAATTAATTAAAAAATAATTATTTTTAAATCTTAGTCCGTGGGATAAGACGCATAATCATAGATAATAAAGACAATAAGGAAATAATATATTATAATATGCATGAGTACTCTAATGTACTTAAATGTTAGAAATATCTTATTATTCGTGATGCTCAATGACTATAATACTATGTCTATGGACATACCTGTCAATTTTTTCCTGTTAATATTATAGCCCGTTTCACGAGATAATGATAGGTACCGCCCGCCGGCAAAACCGATCGTCGGCTGTGCATGCTACAGCATTAGTTTTGTAGATTATTATAAAATCAATGACAATTGTATTGATTAAATATATATAGGGATATTTAATCCACGGTCGACGATACTCATAGACATATCTATAGAGAAGACTGGCATAAGCATGCGCAGACTTTAAGTTTGGATCGTGCCCAAGACAAATTAATTTATTAAGTGAATCCCCAAAAAAATTTAAAGTAAAAATTTCCTTGTTATTCTTTCGATCGATGATTTCTCCGATAATCATAATCTATAAATAAATAACTTGGATAATTACAGTCAAGCCAGTATATTTGGTAACACAGTCGTACAAGATAAAAACGAAATTGGCAGTGAAGCGTGAAAAATGAATGAACTAAATTTTAAATTAAAGAAAAAAAAAGTAACGATAATTTCATATAATATAAAACTTGTACCTAGTGTTGTCATGTCAACATAATAGCCACAAAAAAGAAAGGTTTATGTACAGTTTTCGGGTAGTGCCTGGATACACCCGGCACACACGCCTATGGAGACTGGTTTAATATGGCATACTATTTTTCAAAACAAACATATAGTATTATAAAGTATTATTAGTTAACACCTGAAACTTTATCTACTTATATATGTACTTTAACTATACACACAATTTTAAAGTCGAAAAAAATTATTTCACTTTTTTAAAATGTCATTTTACCCGGTTGCTCGGGTAAAATGACATAGACTGTTTATATAATAGGTAATTATATTATATTTTTTTAAAGAAATAAATTTTATAATTTCAACTTTGTAATATTTTAATGTTTATTTTCATTATAACAACTTAACGACTAATATAATAGTTGTAAAATGTAAAACATAAAAATAAAATCTTGGTTATTTAAACTTGGGTCTTTTTATCCCTGTTTAAAGTTCATTCTTATTTGAATATTAAGAAATATTTAGTTATAATTTATAATTTGACATCATTCTTAACTAAAAATAATAAAAATATTATTAAATAATTGTGAGTTTAGTAAAACGACACACTGCTATATCATTTTACCTGATATAGTATAAGTTTTATTGCCCAAGTACTAACATAGGCTTAAGACTAAAGTATACAATTAAATAAAACAAAGTTTAAAATATAAAAATTAAATTTTTAGCATGACGAAAAACATTTTTGATACCACACAAAGTACAATTTTATTTACCCTATCTATGATAAGGTACAATCATGCTGCTATCATATACAATCACGGCTATAGACTAGCACTATCTATGGCCGTGGTTATAAGTCATGTTTTGAAAGAGTATTGAGTTCTTAAATATCAGTATTTCTTATCGAAACGTCAAAGTGTCAAAGTAAGTCCATTAATATACTAATCTATGAGCCAGTTTCCCCTAAGTCTTATATAAGCATGCACGGACTGGCTAAAAAGGGAGTGGGATGTTATAATTTATTGAGGGCATTTATTTTGTACAATTTATGCTGTACCTCCCTATTTTTGCTATTCACATGAATGAGTAGGTAGTTAACTACAATGTTAACCTAAATAACAGGTTACCAGAGATCTAATAAACTCCATTGGAATTGTTATGGCTATAAAATGTATTTTTCATAGTTGTAGAATAAAACAAATCATAGAATAAACAAAAACACATCAAATAATAGGTTTAAATATTGTAAAATAAAATATAAAAATACTTTATCCGATAAATTCGCTAAAATTCTTTATAATAATTCGAATAGAATTTAATGAAAAGAATAAACTATAAAAACAAATGACTTCACGAAAACACCGCCTTCTTACGATAGTTCAAGTGAATCCCGGAAAAAAAATATCCAAAGCCACTATAAATAACCTAACCATTCACATTTGCCTGATGTCTAAGAAATTGTATTTGTATAATTTTTGCATACTTCTGGTATTTAGTGCTGCTATTTTGCTAATTTTGAATTTTAACTTTTCGAGTGATATTTATAAGCATATTATTTTATGTAAAAAACCTAAACGAAATTTTATTGAAAAAAAAAAACATTTTATTTCAAACACATAGAATACGAATATGCAAGTAGCTAATGAAAACAAACGTGTATATTTTGATTTTAAAATACTGCATAATATTCCGTTGTTATAGGCCAATCACACATCGGACAATATTACTCCTCTCGTTTCTAATAATTTGGTTATTTTTAAAACCGTGCCGGATGTACCAACTCAGTTATCAATAATCGGTTTCGTCGAATTACCCAAATAGTGAACATGCACAATGATTTTACTTTAGTGTTCCGCCATCATTTAGATGTGTTACGTGTGCAAATTTTGAAACTATACAAATTCATTTGTAGAAAATAATTGAAATAAAAACAAAATTAGTCGATGAAATTTTATTTTGCATAGTTTCCAATTTTTAGAACTATTTATCGCTATGAATTGCACTTAATGGTGGTGTTTTTAAGTACATATTTAAGTGCTAAAACTGTGCTATAACTTCCGAGCCCTGCAGATATTACCCGTGTAATTGTCTAACCAGCAATAACTAATAATATATAGATACCAAATATGTCGAAATAACGTTTGGCTTATGTATTTTCCCAATTCCACGATAATTTATCGCTCAATTAATTTTAGAATAAATAGATAGCCAATGGCATAGAGATAATTGGCAATTAAAATTATAGCTATGCGGGTTTCCCTATTGAAAGAGTGATATTCAACAAATTATTTTTCCGGAATGTTTCTTGTTTTGTCGACATTTTTTTTTTGGATTACCAATTCAGTTATGACAGTGATATTACAGCCTGTATATTAGTCTATGTACCTATCATATGTTGAGTTATTATTTAACAATTTGAATTTATTTCTAGTACTTACCTATCATACTATATAGCGCTCTGTTTTGTGCTCACAGAAAATATATTAAATGGTTAGGCAGTAAGCACCTACTAAATAGGTTAGGTCTGTTTCATAAAAAATTGAACTTAAATCATTTCTGATTGTCTATCAATTTTATCCACATAAAACTAAAAAAATTGCAAAATGCAAAATGCCTATGAATGGCATAATCTATTGATAAAACATTGTCAAATTTGTTTTCATAAAAGATGCAAAAGTCACCATCTACGGCCACCATAAGAATTTAACACACTTGTCTTTGTTATTTTGTCCACGGTTATCGAAATTCAACCATGTATACCTACTTTACAGCTGACCCAAAACCCATTTAATATTTTCATACTCTTATGATAAATAAGTATTGTAGGTACGTATGTACATTTTACTTATTTAATATTTCATTTTCAGCTTCTATGCTATCTATAATTTTGTAATAATTGATACCACCCAGTTAATAAATTAATGTAGATGAATGTAACAATAACCGTGTGGAATATCAAATTACAAAGTTATACTATTTTATTACTGTTAACAAATAAAAGACAAATGATTTACCACAGCAGGGATACTGTGTAAAGCCCCGTTCACACGATCAAATATTTTATCGAATACTCGACAGTAGTCAAGTATTGGATTAATAGATTGATAACAAATTGTTATCATCGTGGTTATGAAATATAATTTATAGTATTTACACATCTTATACAAACGCATTGTCATTTACAGTCAAATTATTGTAATTATTATTTATTATACTCTATTACCTATACAAAGTTTTAGACAAAATCAAATTAGTTTTCAATGACACCGAAGAAAGTCTAAGTATGTATTGATAGACTGAATACTGAACAGATCGATTCATCGGTAGGTACGACTAAAAACTGGTGGTCACAAATTATTTACATTTATGAATTTGGGTTTTTGGGAGAATAAATTATTATATTAGGTATATAATATTGTGTGAACAATGAACACGTATTCAAAATTACAAGGGAATGTCTTTAATTGTAACACACACACGACACACGTCATTATAGTAAAACCAATCGATCATTGACTACGCTCCGAATATAATACCTACGAAATACTAATGCATACCTACTACATAGAAAGTTAAAGTAAGTACTTATACAATTACCTACTTATTTTCTAACCTTGAACGTTTATTTTTGAACAATTTCTATAGTTTTATTAATTTGTCACGGTCGTAACTCATGTTGTAGCTTTAATGTAAGTATATCCTAATGAATGACATGTGGTATCACGATTTTGATGAAATTTTATCTGCATCGTGATAGCTGCCATTGATTATAAATCAATAGGTAATCAATGATACTACCTATAATAATTATTGTACAAATTAAATTTGCGCGGATTATATTTGACCTATCACTACAGAGTTTTAATTATGGATAATTTGATCGTATAAATCATTTTTCAAACAAAGTTTGCCGTATGCCAAATATTTAATCGTGTTAACCAAGCTTTAAGGTGGGGACTCAAACCTAAATACTGTTGAAAATCGGGTCAAGATTTTTTACGCATACAATTAACAATGTGTAGTAAGGATATATTACCTTGTGTTCCTAAATCAATCTGCTAATCCAGCGGATTGATTGAGTTTAGGAACATTTTTTTTGTTATTTAGTTGAAAAATATTGCTTAATCCTATTATTTAAGGTTACCAATAGGCCATAATCACCAATATTGTAATCTTATCATTTTTCATTATTTTCATCGAGATCTAGAAGCACTATAAAACTATATAACATTTGATTAAAAGTTAAAACAAAATATAATATAAGTATAAATATTAGGATTAAATGATATACATATCAAGTCAGCGTATAACTGTTTTATAAAAGTATTTCCATTGTATTATACATATCGAGTGTTGGAATTGAAATTTGGAAACACTAACATATTAGACAACAAATTTTAACGTAACTTTTTTATCAAATATAAGTGAGTAAATTAGTTTTAATTTTGACGCGTTAAATGTTTATCACATCTGATTGGTCAAACCTTAGACATATAAAATTATGTACTGCGCGTTCCGTATTCCTGCCTGCAGCTTTTAAAAAGACAACATGTAGTGAGAGTGTTCATGAGAGTATGAGTAAATCCACGATAGGCGTATTTTTTTTCTCTCTCACTACATGTTGACTTTGAATTTCTCTCTCTAAACGCAGTCTATATATTTATAAGTCTATGGGTCATAAACATTCTTCCATCCACAAAATATCAGATTGCCGATAAAGTAATCCGATTTGATAATTTTCCATCCAACGGATTGGTCAGCAGGTGACCAATCTGCCGAGTTTAGGAACACATGAATATTATATAATATATAAGCTATTTTTCCAATGAGAACGCACCGTGTTGCGCATCGTTATCGGCGGCGAAACAACACGCCACTCCCACAGAATGAATAATTGGTCACCACCAGACGCTACTATTGACGCCGTCGCGCATACAGAAAATTTAATTAATTAAATTATTAACGTTTTATACTTACGTATTTTCTATTCGTATTATCTACTGTATCATACCGGCCACCCGTCACACGCTACAAAACATTGTTTTCTTTTATACACTAATATATAAACGTATACGAATTCCCGTTAAATGTTGTGAATACAGCTCACTGAGTATAGTTGGTGGCGCGACCAACGGCGGCTTAAACTGAGGGAATGGGGGACGGACATGCGCGAGTTTCGATCGGTTTCCGTCTGCCGCCCGGTGCGTTCTCATTTGAAAAATAGTGGTGACCAGATATTTAAGGAAAAAAAAAAATATATACTTATTATAATTATAATAACATTAATAAGTAAAAAAACCATTTATTTATTTTGAGACTTACGATATTAAATATTGATGTTTTAGGTTTTTATAATCAAATTATACTTAAATTGCCATTCATAACAAACAAAAAACTAAAAATCATTAATTTTAGTATTTTTTTGCATATTATAATCGTTAAGCCTAAATATTTAAATTTGCCTATTGAGAAATAAAATATATACATAATACATTTAAAAACAACTTAAAAAAAGGAACAAATATTTTAAATACTTTTCAGATCCATGAATTTCTTGAAGTTACATACTTTAAATCTATTTTTGGCATATTAAGTATTTTATTAGTTTGTATTAAGTTGCATTTTTTATTTTAATAAAGAAATAATAGTTGTGATTTTTCAGAAATACAATATTTTTATTAGTTAGTGAAAATTGGTGCAGTTGTTCCTAAAAGGCATACAACAAATTCACAGCTTTTTTATGTTTATAACTGAAATAAGATTTCTTTTTATAAAATAAACAAATTCTAGTTAATATTATTTGTATTTCAATTGTATCTGTTGTTAAATAAAACTGCTTAATTTAATCAAACTTCATTTAGAAGTAATATGAATAGTTCTAAAACGTTTTACAAGAAACTGTTATTTGAACTTTTTGACACTTTATCACATAAACAAAAATTAAATTTGTGTGTGACTGGAAAATTTAATTAGAAAATACATGAAAAAAGGTACCATCATGAACCATATTGAGACAGTAAATTCAGTGCACTTAAATATTAAATATACATGCAATTTTGTGTTTGGTGTAATTTTTCATTATAAATAGGGATTTTTAATTATTTAAATTGCATTTTTAAGTATTTTTATTTATTTGAGTATGAATAAAATATATTACAGGTATGTCATTATTACATTGATAAAACTAAATGATTAATTTTTCTGTTTAGAAATTCAATATATAATTATATGCTAGATAAAATATCTCTCATTCATTATACACCAGATATTTTATATCATTAAATTAAGTTTATTTTAACTAAAAATACAAATCAAAAAAGTTTTTTAAAAATAATAGTAGTAGTAATAATAATAATAATAATAATAATAATAATAATAATAATAAATAATAATAATAATAATAAAAATAATGTTTTAAAAAAATTTCACAATTATATTTAAAATAAAAATTGTTGATTCATTTTTATTACTCCTTGTCGATGCCTATCCCCATTCAAAAAAAAAAAAAATACCTTTAAGAGGAAAATCTACATTCTATGTTATAATAGTATAAACCAATCAGAGTTAGTAAGTAAAGACTAAATAAACTAAACTAAAAAAATGCGTTTTCTGAAAAAAAAAAAAAAAAAAAAAATTAACAAAATACAATAAAAATATTCGATTAGAAAACATAATTTTCATGCATTAAAGAATACAAAAATCTTTGATCAAATCTTTTATGTTCAGGCTATTGGAAATTTGATTTACAATGAAAATTGTTGTCAACTGTTACTAAATTGAACTAACTGAACTTGAGACATTTGTAGTTTATTATTTTAAATTTTAAAAATTTCTTATTTACACTAATTCTGTGATATAATTCTATTAACAAATCGTTAAATCTATAAATATGTTTACTAATAAAATTACAAAAATTATCTTGTACATTGTATAATACCAAGTCAATATTAATCAAAATAATAGATTTTACAATTAGATTAAAACATATATTCCCTTAAAAAAAGCAATAGACTCTAAATTGGCCTTGTTTGCAGCAATGATTTCAAAAACATAATATAATATTAAATAAAAAAAAAATGACAATGTTATAATTATCATAAATTTGGATTAATTTTGTAATTGGCTTGATGGACAAAATTACAAATTACAGCATATTAATTTTAATAAAAAAAGAATTAATGTTTTTAGTGTATTTTAAATAATGTTAAAAATCCCGATTTGTTTGAAGTTTTAATGTAGCATAAGAGATTATATAAAAATAAATTATGTACTTATTATTATAAATATATAATAAATCAAACTTAAGTTTTTGTCAAGAAAAATTATTTATGAGATGGTAATTTACAAACATTTAAAATTAAAATATTGAATGAAAAAAAAAAAAAAAATTAAAAACCTTTTATACTACTAATTTTAAAATCTATATTTTTTACAATTTTACAAGGATGTCAAACTCAACATTTGTACTGTCTGTATCCGTGTTACTAATGCACAAAATAGCAAATTTGCAAATAGCGGGATAAATGTTCAATCCTCATAAATACAATTTTTTTGTGCGTTAAGACATAGGTAGCACACTTGACATCTCCTTAATAACAATATATTTTATGCTAACATAAAAAGCCACGGCAATTTTTGGCTTGACATTTACATTTTATTTTACGCTTTTGATTTGAGACCGAAGTCATATAGTCAAATGTCAGTTCTTCGCCGTTAGCAATATTTCTAGAAGCGAAAAATGCCAGTGTTGGGAGATTTGAATCGTAGCAATCGATCCAAACAGCATATGTGGCAAGATTCGCATCACAAGAATGGTTGATAAAATGTGATACATTTCCAAAAGTAGTCGCATCAATAGAATAAGCACAGTCATTTTTTTCAGTATAGAAATCAAGATCAAACATATATGTTGATTTTGATCCATGTGTTACAGCACGTTCATCAGCTTCTGCCCTAGTAATTATTTCACCAGTATACTTTAATATAAATGTCCCCTGTTTTATGGCCATCAAGGTCTTAACTCCCCAGCCTCGTTGGTTATCTGTGCGGAATATCTGGAGTTTTAGATTTTTATTTGGACCATGCTGAACAACTCGATTAATGCAATTATCATCACAAGCACATTTTTTGTTGCATTCATAAATAGGAGACCCTTGGGGAACTCTGACACGTTTTTGCTTATTGTAAGCTAATGGAAAGTCACGGAAATGACATTCCTTCTTCTTACGTGTTTTTCCTCCGCATGTATTATCACAAAGACACCTAAATTAAAAAATAAATAAATTATATTATAATAAACTAAAATATAAGCACATTTTGTTAACTATTTTACATACCAAACTGGTGGATCATTTGGAATGTGCACACCTGCACCAGTAACACATTCATCAACATAAAAAAATTTTTTAGGAGGTCCTTCAAAGTCTACATTGTTAATAACAGATATACTATAAGTACAAGTTAAATTAATATCTTTTTGCCAGTTTTCCAACTTTTCCAACTGTTTTTTTCTTTTCTTACTAACTTCAATCAACTTTAAATTATGTCTTACAAGATTCATTAAGCGTTCACTTCGATTATTGGAAGAAACTGTAGTTAAATACGCAATAGTACCCATCACACACTGCTCCTCTATAGACGGAAAACCTTCTGCGATTATTCTATGTAACGTTTCAATGTATTCTTGATCAGTGTGTGCTGAAAGTGATTCATATAGTCTTAAAAATTTTTCGGTTTTTTTTATGTTCTTTATAACTATCTTGTTCGATCTGTAATTATTTAAAATTTCATGACAGTTTGTTAAGTTGCGATAAGGTTCCCAAGTGATTTGGTCCATAGGATAGTCTTTCCACTTGATTAAGTACAGAGTTTTACTACCAAATGTTTCATCATATAATATATTGTCAACCTCATACTCGTTATTAGCAACACCTATAAAAATATAAATTAATTAAATTTATTATAACAGACAATATAGGTCTTCATCAATCTGATTAAATAATTTATTTATATTTGCTATACGCCAAACAACATGTACAGAACATAGATCTCACAAGTTGTACAAAATAATAAATACAGAAAGTATTAAGATTAAGTAGGTATGTCGTACGTTCTAAACTATAAAAGATATAATTAAATACCAAAATGGCTTAGATCTATCTCTACAAAATATCGATAACTGGTTTCCACAAGTTTAAAAATTAATCATAAGGTTTCTGGAATAATTTGTTTTCCTATAGGTATAACCATTGAATTTAGAATATACAGTAGTCTTAGTAATCCGTCTATTTTTTCGTTAAATAATCATAAAATTATTATCATAACCAATAAAATTAACTGATAAGTCCAAATGAACCGATAAGATATTTAATTTGTATTCAGCTAACGTTTACGTATTGAGTGTGTTTATTGTGTATTGGTTAGTTATTGTGTTATATTAGCTTAATTTATTAAATACATATTATTTATGTTTTAATAAAATAAATTAAGGTTTTTTTTAATAGCTAAAAATGTATTTTATATGGATTTCTATTAATTCGGCAGTTCTCTGGTCTGATATCTGTCGGATTACTGTAAGACTATTGTACAGATTAGACATGGTGTACAAAATATTATCAACAGTTAGAAGCCGATTATCTAATGGCGATTGTAGAGTATTTCATCATAGTCACAATGATAAGTTGCAAATGTTTCAACCATGTATACACATAGACCTTATACTAATAGACTGGCCTTGCTTACATAGTAGCTGAGGTAGTAACTGGTCAGACATACTAAAGTGATGTACGGTGTAATCACATCAGTATTGTCATTGTATGTGTAGTACAATGTACAATAATACCACATAATAGTCACAAGTCACATGTGAAGAGCGCTCTCTTTCTACATACAAAAGGCTCGTCTATTAGTATGAAATATATGGGTATATATATTGTAGACAAAGCACCACTATCAATTGAACACTGTCTAAACCGCCAAAAATATATCTAGTTACCATAAATTATGTAATGCTGGCCTCGGCCAAAATACCGAGTAAAATTATTAACGGTCATAAATCTTATCAATTTCTAGTTTGTGATCAATTAAAGTTATACCTACCAACTTATTATTGGAAAACCTAATAACGATAGGCAATAGGTATCTTAAAAGATAATGAATATACACTAAAAAGTGGCGTTTTTAATTTATATTTTCTAAAAAACACACTATAGGTAGGAACTAAATTTTACTTCTTAAGAGAAAAGAAAAAAATATGTAATTAAGTAGCATGAAGAATGTACCAAAACAAAATCTGTAGTAGATGTATAATACAATTATACAAAAATGAATGATTTTAAACATTTTACATTAAAAAAATTAATTTTGTAAGGGTTTTGTAATTGTTTATATGAAAACGCAGTTTTAACTAATTTATTTTGTATGTGATCCTGTAAACTGGTATTAATCTTCATTTGTGTACGTAACAAAAGAAAAAAAAAAGACTGAAAAAATAAATAATCAATGTAATTATCTATTTCAAAATTATGATTTAAATTGGAATAATGATATTTCTGATAACATGATCAGTTTATAATGGTGACCATACGGCATCCATAGAATGATTGAAGCTTTTAAAACTGGCGTAGAACTAAAAAAAACCGACATTTAGTAACTCATTAGTAGCCCTGTAATAAAATTGTTATTATAGCAATGATTTTATTGGGTTATTATTGCTAGAATGGCAGATTAATAAAAACTGTTGGATGTTAAATTTTAGTTTTCTGCCAAGAATATAGGTATTTGGGATTATAAGCACTACCTACTGTAAGTGATAGATATACACACTTCGGACTCATGTGATGTCAAAAACAAAACAATAGGTACACCAACAATGAATACTTCTATAAAATTAAAGCAGTGTGGTACAGTAACTTATTATGAGTATACGCAATAACAATGCACACAGCATTATCGCCAATTATTATTATACCTATAGTTACATTAATACAAACATAACGCATATTACACAAAACATAATACAAAACGAGGCAAGGTACATATTTAATGAATAATAACCAAATAAAACAAACCTCTATGCATGATGACGATTGTAGTAGAGATGATCAGGAATTGAACATAGACAGTTGTGAATTACGCCACGACACCCGACGACAATAAAACATAAATGTATGGGCGGGAAATATAGAACTCCAAGTTCAACGGTCATACGCTCGTTGTCTTTCGAATGTTGGAATGACTTAAATGATGGCGGCTACACTTGGGACTCGACATACTCTTCGTTAAATTCTAACGACCACGCGCAGTGTTGCCAACGAGATGCGATAAATCGTTGTGCCTGTTGATCGTGTCGACGTGGTTTGTTGGCGGGAAATGCGGATAATATTATCACGGACTAAGATTTGAACAGTGCCTTTCATACACGGTTAATATGCATCGATTATTATTGTAAAAACATCAGCATTCAACACAATCTATAATTAAATATGGTATGTGTTTTTCGTTTTGTTTGGGTTGTTATTTTTTTATGTGCTACCTCTAAAGTACTACTCTAGTACTCTATCTCTATGGACTGTGTTGCCACCATACTGGAATTATAACATTATGGCAGTACTAACCATGAACTATGATAGATGTAAGGGAGCCAGTGACAGACCGTGTTAATACTCACACCAAGTTTTTAAAACGAACAGTAATCCGTCCTAGTTATCATAATTCATAGACCATGATACTAAATACTAATTAGTATCAGTATTATCATGATAAAACAATGTATCATGCTATACTATCATATGAAAATCATGTTTTAAAAAATTATTTTTAAATTATCTGTGTGTTTTATTAATTTAAAATAAGAAGTAATAAATATGTATGACTTTTTTTTCATTATTAAAAATTAAAATTACGTATTAATTTACAACGGGAATTTTTTTTTTTTATATCTTCCGGGTGACGTCATAATACCTAGGTACCTAGTCTTCTTTGCGACCACAAATACATGTAGAATATTTTAGATATTGTACCTATAATTTATTTAACCAGATAATTTGTACCTAATTATTATCAGTAATAAGTACCTACATATTTATATCTTTTGACCCATTATAGGTAACAGTTTAGACTTGTAACAAGACCGTAGTTTAGACTGTAGACTTATTGAACTATCTGCATTTGTTTATTTTTCATGAATGGTATAAATGGCTATTGGCCTTATAATCTATTTAATTAAAATATAATATATTTATATCATACATGAAACAAAATTGTTGATTTAAGGAATGCAAGATACCTCGAATGTAAATCTTAATATTTTAAATTATAACTATTATTATTGTTTGAGAACGGCGGGTCACGGATGTATGCTTGGATGTTGTGGGGGATTGTGTCAAGTGGAAATTTTGGATGAGGATGAGTGGGTGACCTACCCCAAATTGTTGGGAAAATAGTAATGTCGGAATAAAGACGGAGAAGAAGAAAATCATTATTATATTTTAAAAATATATATTATTATTACTCTGAGTTTGGTAACAATCTAAATAGTGAATATTTACTGATAAAAATGATAAGGAACTGATAAACAAATTTATAAAACTAATTATGAGTTAAATATTTCTATGTAATATTTATTACTTGGTCATTTTTAAATTCAATGGATTTGTAACGTAACAAAAATTTTTCTATTAGTTACTATTTTGACTTAAAATGTCGAAAACAAATAAACAAAACGTATCAGACAAAAGTAAGTAAAACGACTCATGTGTTTTAATATTATTAAAAATAAATTATTAAAGCTTTAGTTATAATTTTCATAATACTATAGACAAGTATTTTTATTTTTTTTATGAAAGGTAAATTTCACAAAAATTTTGATAAGACCGTGTCTTATATAACAGAACAGTTGTATGAGACTGACAATTAAATATGATACAGAATGCTGGACAGTAAACTAATATTTCGTACATAAGATACCATAATATTTAGAATGAAATCATTAACAATCAATTGTTCATTTTATTTAACAATAATTATTTTCTAAATTAAATTATACACGTAATCATATTTCCATAATGTAAAAGATTATTACAAATCCTATATAAACAAATAAAAAAACAAAATAAAAAGGCTGATACTACTGGTAGTTGTGCCACTGATTTAGAATGGAAGTTGGAAGGAAGGATAGATAAACTAATTTAATTTAATATCTAAATGAAATAAATGTAAACAAACTGTTGCCAAAAAATAATTATGAACAAGGTACCTATTATTAGTCATGTGTGTTTCCCATGTTGCAAAGATAACTTATAAAAAAAATTGTACATTAAATATCCAGTTTTTCCTATTTATTAAGAAAAATATAAAAAAAAACCTCCCTGATGTACTAATCAGATCAAAAATACTATTACTAGGAAGTTTCTTTAAAGTTATTGATTGGATAAAGATTTATAGTAGAACATCAGTTGTTAACACACAAAAAACAAAACAAACAAAATGAAAACAATACAATTTTCGGTTTTTTCAGAATTTAAAAAAATATTATACAATTTTTCTTAATACTTTATTCTAGAATTTATTGATAATTATTAATAATATAACAGTATTTAACCATTTGATTTGTTTTTCTTTTCTTTTTTTTTACAGTGCCCAAAAAAAAAGTGATATCACAAAAAGACTATTTAAAAAAATATCTGTCTGGTGAAAAAAAGAAAAAAGAAAAAACTAAAATTCAAAGAAGGTACTTATTTTTAATTTTAATTTTTATCAGTGCATAAAAACTGTTGTAGTGATGTATATTTTTATTATTTCTGTGTAAGAAATTAATATAAATAATATATGTAATATGTATTTGTAATTTTGTTATAGAGTGCAAATTATTGACGACAATATTGATTGTGTTGAAAACAATGATATCTATAATGATAATAACACTGTGGGATTTGATCCAGTTGATGAATTTGCTCCACAAATTGTTGGGGTTGTTGATGAGAGACCCCAAGACGTTAAAACTTTGGATATGTATAAAAATAAAAACCGATGGAAACGAGTTGGTGGAGACAGTGACAATGAAGATTCTTCAGTAATCAATGTTGATCAAGTTAAAAATTATGTTCAACAGATCAATAGCTCTACATTAAAAGATTTAATAAAAAAGGTAGTAGTTGATAAGTTAAATATTCAAGATCAATTTTTTAAGTATGTTTACTCGAGTAAATAATTATTTATTAATTTTAGTGCCATTTTTATTTGAATGAATAGTCTAGAACATCTTAAAATTAATTTATTATTGAATGGGTGTAATAATTGGTCCTTAGTGTCAAACCTATTATATAGAGTGTAACAGGACTATTAAACAAATGAAATAATTACTGTCTCTATTTTTTTTTAAATTTTACATTGATTTTACAATTTATTTTTTTTTCTGTGAACAACTTTTCTACTAGAAATTTTGCTCCAATTGTCAAGTGTAGCAATTTTTCTGAAAGAAAATTTGACTGAAAAAGTACTTTAGAAAGTTCATTTTTTGATTTGCTTAGGGGTTTTTATAATTTTTTTTTTTTATTTTTATTTAAGTATTGTACAATCTGTAAAATAATATTTAAAATAAGCACAAGTGAAAGGAGCAGTTTATGAGCATCAAGTCAGTAGGCGTGAGCGAAGAAGCCAATCATTATTGGTACTTCAGTATGTGTTTTGGTGATGGTTAATCAACTAATAAGTCCCGACAACACGTTCGCTTTAGACACCTTCTGGGGTCCCCATGGATATTGTGGGTGGAGAGTTTAGCTATTAGTGGATTCCTATGGTTGTGGGTACTGGAATGGAAATGTTTGTAGATGATTTTGACTGTGTTTATAACTGTTTGTATGCAAAGGTCTTTATGGAAAGTATCATTGGTGACATATTATTGAGCTTGTGTTATTTGCAGAAAACAATTGTATTTTATTGATATTAGTGGGCTTAGCAGCCACCCTAAGTTATAAGTCCATATAGGTTTTGAGAAGCATTTTGTAAATGAGATATTTAATTTTTGAAATTAGGATGTTTTGATGTAAGAAGGTAGCATATTGGCGTAGCTGTTATTTAAGGTGAGGCACTTGAGGTGAATGTATTTTGCCCAGGTTAGTCTAGGTGCAGACCCAGATAGCGGACATTTAGAGTAGTTGGTAGGGGGACATTGTTGAGGTATATGTGAGGGCAGTCTGTTCGTTTTAGTGTGAATGTGTACTGGATAGATTTTGTTTCATTAACTTTGATACCCCATTCTTTGTATCAGATGGATAGCAAATTAAGAGAATTTTGGATGAGGTTTGAAGCTGTCTTAAGGTCAGAGTGAATGGCTAGAAGAGTTTTATCATCAGCGAAAAAGCCAGTGAAAGTTTGGAGCATAGTGGATTGATCAGAGGTAAAAAGATTAAATAATAAGAGTACTGTGAAAGCTCCTTGGGGAACTCCAGCATTAATTGATGATATTTCAAACATGGACGATCCTGATATTATGGAGAAATGTCTGTTTTCTAAATAGGATTTGAATAATAGGTTAGGTTAGGTTACCGAACCATACTAAGCATACTATTGTATAAGGAGAGGATAGATTTTAGTTTGAAGTGGAGGCCTTTGTGCTAGACTTTATAAAAGCCTGTGCTACATCTAGAAAGGCACCAATGCATATCAGTTTTTTTCTAGTGTGTAAGCGATTTTGTCAACTAGATGATGGACTTGATGTATAGTTGAGTGGTTGTGACTAAAACCATATTGAGTGTTAAGGAGGTTAGCTTCAATGGTAAGTAAGATATGTTTTAAGATAAGTTTTTTGAATATCTTTGAAAAATTGGGGAGAAGACTAATGGGCTTGTATGAGTCTGGAAAGTCAAGAGATTTTCCTGGTTTGGGAATCATGATGATCACAGAAAATTTCCAGAGAAATGGAAAGTGTGCATGTACTTATTTAAATGTGTCAGGAAGAATAGTGATTTTTTAGGCAGTTGTGCTATTTTTGCTGCTATTAAATCGTAACCTGGGGTTTTTCAGCGAATAGAGTTGCATAAAGATGAATATCACATGCTCGAATTCACTTGGTCAAACAGGTTTTGGTAGTAGTGTCACAGGTAATGAGAATGGTAAGAAATGGTCTACTTTTTGAGTTTGATTTGGGCATAGGTTATTGTTGTGTGGTTGGAAGGTCGCTGTTAGATGTTAGGAATTTAGGTTGTTTTTTTCCAGGTCACTGACTGCCCAAGTTCCGTTTAGATTTTTTAGAGGAGTTACAGTTGGCTGGGATCGGAGAATTATCTTTGTGGTTTGCCAGAGTGAGTTATCACTGGTTGATAAGGATATGAAGTATCTATTAATGTTTTCTGATTTAATTAAGGCTAGAAGCCTTTTGAGTATATTTTTTAAATTGAGGAATTTTTGTTTATCAAAAAGGTACTTTATTCTTTGCCAAGTATTGTGGGCTCTTCGTTTTTTGAATTTTAGAATTCTAATATGTAGAGGGAGATTTCTATTGTGACTTGTTTGGGGGTTGGAGGTGGAGCATGACCAATCAGTTTCTTGTATTGATTTGGTTAGGAGATTTACAGCTTCATCTATATCATCTGAAAATTTTAAGCTAACTTATAGATTAGTCTAATTTTCAAGAGTTTTAAACATGTTCCAATCCATTCAGCCTTGCATGAGGCTAGGTTGTTTTTGTTTGATTAGTAGAATAGTATCAATAGTTAATTGGGCACAAGAGTGGTTAAAGCAGAGGTTGTTTAAATTAGTTCTCAAAGTATGTAGACTGTTCAGGATTTTGGATATAAATGAGTCAATGAGTTTGGTTTTTTTCTGGAAGAGGTGGGCTAATAGATTGGCGATGGAGAAGCATGAGTTTTATAATTTTTGGATTGAGATAATTATTTGAGGGTTGTTTGTGTGTGTTTTTCATATTTATGTCACCTCCTATTATGAATTTCTATCCTAGTGTAAGAAAGAAGTTATTAAATTGGTTTAGGGTTATAGTATGATGTGGAGGACAGTAACTGCATAGATATTTATGGGTATGCTGTTTAGTGTTAGAGATATACCGGCAGGTTGAATATGATCTATTTCATATTGTGGTAGGGGGTAGTATAATAATGAGGACCTGATTTAAACTGTGGCTCCAGCATGTACTGTGTCATCCACGTGGTTGGTTCTGAAGATTTAGAAGCCAAGTGGATTAAAACGTGAGGAATTGGTAAAATGGGTTTCTGAGATAAATACGATGTCAATTCTCTTATTTTATAGTGTAGCTAATAATTTGTTTTTGTGTTTCGTTAGGCTATTTGAGTTCCATGTGAGGATGAGGAGAGATTTTGAAGTGGTAGGATTAGTTGATATTATGGGGACTTATGATTGATTTAAATTCATCTAGAAATTTAATAATTGATATTTTGTTATTGTCTGTAGAAGAATGATTTGTGTTAGGAGGTGGGTGACCTTCAGTTACATTAGCATATGAACATGAATTTTTGGAGTTTTCCGTGGCAGGTTGTTGTTGATGGTGTTCAGGATTGAAGTTTGGGTTTGGTGGCGGAAATTATAGATGTTTTTTGCTTGAGATGTTGTGTTTTCAGCTTAGTTGTTTGTATATTGTACATCCTTTGTAGTTGGCTGAGTGAGATCCATTGCAGAAGGTACATTTGGCTAGAAAGTCTAATAATTTTGTGTAGGTGAAAGAAGGGTAGTTACCCCCACATTTGACAAACATGGGCCGATATATGCAGTATGTACAGGTATGGCCATAGGTTTGGCAGTTTTGACACTGTGGGATTAGTTGCTTTTATGAGGTTCTTTGATTTTAATTTTCGTGTTTAGAAGGAAAAAGATATCAAAGATGTCACTGTTTTTTCCATTAAGGTCAATGTCGACAAAGAAAAGGGATAGAGAAATTTGTATGTGAATGAAAATTATATGTTGATATTTAACATTAATGAAGTTTTTCATAGAGTAACCTATTTCTTTTAGTACTGAGGCGATGTAATTTAATAATAATAATGTTTATAGTAATCTTTATTTATTGTGGCGGATGGGTGTAAGTTTCTGATAACAACTCGTAAGGGTTTATCAGATTGAAGTTAGATACTTTTTAGAAAATGGATAGTGTTTTTGTAGTTGTCTGGGGTTTTTTTTTTAATTTTAAGATAAATCGAGGTAGATTTGCAAAAGAAAGTGTCTGGTCCCATAATTTCAATATTGTTTTGTACACCAATAAAGTCAAGAACTCCTTTAACAAATATGGGTAATGGATAAATATGAGAGAATAACAATTTGGTGTGATAAATAATTTTGCTTTCTTTGTATTTATGTCAGACAGTGTTGATGGTGGTGAAGAGAAAGAAGAGAAATCGTGTTTGTTTTTGTTAATTTAGGTTTTATTTTTGTTTTTTTTGTTTTTTCGTTATTATTATTGTTGAAGAGTGATAGAATTGAACATAACTTGGGAGTGGAGTAGAATGTGTGTGCACTACTGGACTGGCTGTGTGGGAATCTTTTTCATAATAAATTGGAAAAACCTGGAAAATTTACAAAATGTATTGTTTTCCAATAGTTAATATTAATGATAATATGGTTTATTAATTTTATTGTTATTAAATATTTTTAGAACGATAAAGAAGAAATAATGGAAAATGGTGTACCAATAAGACGTGATCGAAAAACTTTTAAAAAACGCAATCTTATACAAGAAAAAGAAGAAGAACAGAAGAAAGAAGAACTATTGAAACAACATAAAGAAAAATATGCTATTTGGGGCAAAGGGTAAGAGTTTTATTATATTAATAATAATAATATTGATTTTATAATATACTATATTATGAATTCAATGATAACAGTTATAGTTATAATTATAATATATTATAGATTATAATTTAGTGAAGATTTACTAATTTAAAATTTTTGTGGTGATCATTTTAACAATTATAGATGTTGTTTAACTACTCTTAAACTCAGCTGTTGACCAATCCGTTGAAGAAGAAGGTGATCAATCAGATTGCTTTATCAGCAATCTATTTTGTGGTTGTCATAGTGTTTAACCAGATGGATGTGATAAACATTTTACACACCAAAATTAAAACTAATTTCCTAACCTATATTTAACAAAAAAAAATTATATTGTGTTAAAATTTGATATCTAGTGTGCTAATGTGTTTCCAAATTCCAATTCTAACACTTCATGTATAGAAGTATGGTTTTTGTATGCTGAAAATACTTTTATAAAACATTTAGATACTGACTCGATTTGTATATCATTTAATGCTAGTTTGTATACCTATATTATATTTTATTGTAGCTTTTAATCAAATGTTTTATAGTTAATACTTCTAGGCTGAATCTATTTGAAAATAATGAAAAATGATAAGAATACAATATTGGTGATTATGGCCTATTTCTAACCTTAAATAATGGTATTAACCAATATGTTCCAACTGAATAACAAAAAGTATTCCTAAACTATATCAATCTGCTGGATTAGCAGATTGATTTAGGAATATACAGATAGGTTAGGTTAGGTTAGGTTAGGTTAGAAAATAATCAATCTTTTCAAAATAATTAAAGTACTAGCTCTACATTATGATGAGAAGAGATGATAACAAGACTACAAGAGTCAATTCAGCTCTTTTACTTTTTTTGTTTATCTTACCTCTAAATGTTATTCAATTTATTATAACATTTATGTTATATTTATAAAATTTTATGTTCCCTAATTAACTTAAAAATTGTAGAATGATTAGTTAGCCAAAACTACTAAATTAATCACCTAAAATTTGGCTTACTTTTGTATTTCTCATTCTAAAACATTCGATCCACTTACAAAAACTATCAACTTTAATTAATAATTTATGAACTTTATTCCACAGATCCATTTAATTTCCAATGGTATATACTTTTTAACTTTTTTTCTTATCATTTTAATTACATTGTTTTAATCGTTTTGATAAATTTGTCTATTTTTAAATCAATATTAGGACTAAATTTAATACCTTGTCACTATTTTTGAATACTACCCTAACTATGCTCAATTTGTGCATTATTTATCATATTATTTTCTATTTTATACATTCTGCATCATTTTGATCATATCCAAATTATTTTATTTTTCATTAAATTGTAGAAGGGAGCTACAATAGACTCCGGACTCAGGGTAAAACTTTAATAACAGTTATTAAGACCAGAAAAAATACTAATTAAGTATTAGAGTCACATAATTAGACATTACTCTGCATTTCTTATGGCATCCATTAATGAAAATAAGGGTGACAAAAAAATTGAAATGTATTATTTTAGAGCTGCTTGTTTGATAAAAAAAAAATAATAAAACAAAATGTAATGTAATTTTGAGAGAGGGGTGCAATTTTTAAAAAATCTTATTCCATTTATTTGTTTTATTGAATGTTTTAGATATCATTATTATTATTATTTTAAATTCAGAGTACAATAAAAGATCTTTTGTTTGTACTATGATTTGTGTTTTTTTTTCTGTTTTTTTTAACAACTTTTCTATCAGAAAACCTCCTCTAAAATATGGACTATAGCAACTTTTTTGAAAGTAAATTTTCTCTAGTTGGTGCATTAGGGAAATCATTTTTGATTTTCCAAGAGAAAATAAAGGAGATTATTAAAGTTACTCCACTTGTAGAACACTGTATATTATCTATGGTGGAACTGAAGACAATAGAAAACGAGAGAAATATACAATTAATAAAATGATACAAATATATTGGCCATCTCACAATGTGTATATAAAAAGTTCTTGGGGTATAAATTTTGAACCGATATCACAAACTAATTTATTTATTTTATACTAATTTTCTTTTTAAGGGGAAATGTATACTAGTACAACCAAATAAATTCCTAACCATTTCTTTGTCACAAGTTATTAAAAAGCATTAAAATTTCCCATAAGACAATTTACCTCCAGATTTTTTATTTTCTGTTGTCACTAACTTTAATGGTAATAATTTTTTGATGAGACAGTTTTACCATTATTGGAAAGATTTAATGAGACTTTTTATTAATTTGTTGTATTTGATGACATATTAACTTAAGTTAACACTAAGTTAGTGTGTAATAAATATATAATGCTCTTAATATCATATTGTATATTTTTAGAATAAAACAAGTTAAAGATGCTCAAGAACAATATAAAGATGATCTTCATGAAATGCAAAAACCATTTGCAAGATATGCAGGTGATCAAGATCTCGAAGAAATGTTAAAATCTAGAATAAGAGATGGTGATCCAATGCTTCAGTATATTACAGGGAATAGAGAAGATGATTCTCCTGATGGTGTGAAACATAGTAAGTTTTATAAAATTATACTTAATGTTTGTTTTTAAATGAAGCTATGAATTTCATTAATATTTTAAACCTTAACACACTATTATTCTTTCAAAAAACTTTTATTAACTTTTAAATTTTATATCTAAAATTTTATTTCTTTAAATAAATTTCATTCCACAATAGTGTGTCTTTTAAATTTAGATGATAATTAATTAATTAATTTTGTTATTTAGAATTGTAATAGGGTAACTTTAAAATTACATAACATTAGATTTCATATCAAAATTAAAACAACATTTATCTTCTGTTCACAAATCAGATACTTAAAATGTTATTCAACCTGATCAGAAAAAAAATAATAATGATACAATACTAAAATAAATACATATTTTATCTGGTATGTCTACTAAAAGTACATGCACAATACTTCAGTTGAATATACAAGTAAACTTATTGAACTTCATTGTCATTTAAAATTATTTTACAGTATATACTCCTATAATGAGCAATTTAATAAATTTAACAAATTATTGTAAATGTAACACTAAATTTTAGCATTTAGATGGATATATTATTTTGTTAAAACAACCAATTAAATCAAAACATTATATACTTATGATAAATTATTTTAATAATAGAAAATAGATGGTAAATATCTTTATTATTATAATCATTGTAATCTTTAAACATTTTACAATTTATTAATGTTTTAAAACTATAGTATAAAAAAAATATTATTTTTTAGAATTACCTGAGTTCAGAGGAGTATGTCCACCTAATAGATTCAATATTCGTCCAGGACATAGATGGGATGGAGTAAATAGATCAAATGGTTATGAAGAGAAACTGCTGTTACAGATCAATTCAAAAAAAGCATTAGAAAGTGAAGCATATAAATGGAGTTCTTCTGATATGTGAATAAGTTAAATTTAAAATTAAGTGTTTAATTTATATAAAAAATTAAATAATGAAGACATTTTATGGTAATTCTGGTATTATATTTAATATAACTATAATATTATGATATATTATAAAACATATAAAACCTGAAATTTATTTTTATTTTTGAACATAATAAATTGGAAAATGAGTTTGATGTTAATTTTTCATAAAAATCTCTATGAAACTGTGATTTTTATTTTTAAATAAATATTTATAACATCTATTGATAATATTTATCAGTATTTTAATAATTTATAGTTTGTGGGTGGAATACAATTATCAAATATTACAAAAATGTTTAGTTCATAAAAGATCATATCCTAGAAGTAATTAAAATTAATTGATTGAATAAGAATACATTATTAACCATATTTTAATGACAGAAATTGTAATTGTTATGCTCAAGCAACCAAAATATAAAAATGGAACCCTTATTATATTGATAAAATTCTATAGGAAGATATCTTATGTGAAATGACATACAATTGTATAGTAAAAAACTTATTTAACGTATTTGTATATATATATAAAACAAGAATAAAAATTATTTTTTGTTGTGTGTTATTTTATTGGAAAGTTCTTTAAAAATATAACTACAGCTTCTATGTGACATTTTTTTATGATGTATAAATATTTCATACCGTCCATACTGCATGTCTTTTATTAATTTAATTTATTAAATTTATTATCTACTAAAATTACCCATCTACCTAATTAGGCTAATACTCATTGCTTTTGTTAATTCAATCGTAAATGTCATAGTGTGTCAAACCAATAACATATTAATAACATATTTATACATTTATTTTGAGACAAATAATGTAAGGTAATAGACTAAGACTACTCTTAGTCTATATAATAACCTAAATTCTTCAAAATAATAATATAATTAACTAGACTAAAGAATTAGAAGGATTTAATATCCACTGTTATTAAAAACCACTTATAACTGATTACCTTCCCTATATAATTTGTTTCTTAAACTCGAATAATAATAAGAATAAGCTATTTTTTGTAGGTAGGTAACTTAAGGTGACTTAGAATAAATGTAAATAAAAAGAAAAATATTAATTACAAGATGATTAATAATAATTTGAATTAATATATGCAATTAATGAAGTTTTATTTGTATATTGTAGATTCTGGTTTAGTTAGTGTCAGAGCACCTTTATAATACCTATTATTAAATATGTTATAAATTATACTACAAAACAAATATAATAAGTTACCTAAACTAACCTATGTATGTAGGTACTTATTAAAGACATTGTATGTACTCTCCTTAAAATGTTCAATGTTCACAACATGAAAATGATACCTACCTAACCAGAAATATTACTTTGTGGATAATTTGATTTAATTCACTTTGTCCACAAGCATCCATGCAGAATTTACTTTGCCAAACTATTTGTGTACATGCCCAGTCAATATAGGAAAAGTTGAGTATTAAAATATTAATTTTTACATTGCCCAAAATCTGTATCACAAATGCACAAATTTCACGATTTGCCATACTTGCACATAATATGTTATACATATTGTCGTCGTCATGCAAAAACTGACCAATTGAATTTTATTTTTATAGTTTTCAGTAATATCAATTTCAGTTTTAAATACATTATAAAAAACACAATTTGTATCATACTTGATAATATGTGTACCGTGGTGATATACATAATTAATGTGTTCAATATTTTTTTTTTATACTTCTCTTGTTTACAATTTAATTTTAAAAAGAAGTCCAATTTAAATTCTTCAAAATAATATAATTATAATTGAAACAATTTTTTTTGCTCAACGACCTTTATTTACTAGCTAATAATTAATTACCTTCCCTAAATAATTACTATTATATATTATAAAATAATATATGTAGGTAATATAAATTAATAGCTATCTTCACGGGTAGTTAAATCTTACATTTAAAAATCTATATAAAATTATATATTTACGAATACATTATACTTTTTAAAATTTAATATTAAGATGCTTATTGTTATATGCTTGATAATTTAAAGATGATTGTTACTTTAGTACATACTTGCCTAATTATCATGTTATTACTATGGTCACTGGTCAGTGATAGTCACCAATTAAACATTAAAACCTGAGTTACTATATTTTCCCACTATTTTTAAATTGTTTAAAACCAGTATAAAATATTAAAACCGGGATTAAATTAAACAATTAAGTATCTTTGAATAAAAGTTAATTATAAACTATGCATATTTATTTTATAATAATATGATCACTTTAATAGAATTATTGAAACTTTTTGGCTTAGATATATTTAATTTTTATCATTTACACATTGTGGGTAAAAAAGCACCCCAATTACATCTTTGCGTAATTATGATTATCAAACTTCTAAAGATAATTTAGACTAAATAACTGATATTTATTTAAATTAGGTAGTTAAATTTGCATAGGTAATACTTTTGGTTTTTGCAGTAATACCTCACATTCTAACTAAAGTTAACATAATAATAACTTGTTGCAGTGAATGATGCTATTTAATTATTTTAATATTGTTTAACACAATACAATTTTAAATAACCTATTTAATTTTTTTAGAAAAATCACAAATAAATTTCTTAAACTATTGAAATAGAGAACAATTATTAATAATGGCATACAATTTGTATATTTCTTACATTTTTATAAATGGTTAATGGTTCCTACTACCAAATTAATAATTAAATTCATTTGATATTCAAATTAAATATTATTTAATTATTTTGTAAATATTTGCTGTTTTATTAAGACAACATAAAAAACCATAAATTGTTTAATTTTATTTGTATTCGTCTCGAGCATCTTCAAAAAAGTATAGTATTACTACAATCTGTACCTGTTTAATTAATTTATCTAAAAGTAAAACAGATGCAGTGTACATTAAAATTTAATTTGTATTTTAGGTTAAACAAATACCTAGATAAATATTCTCATTCATAAGATATTTAACAATATTAATCGCTCCACTTACAAATTATAACAAATAAAAGAAAAACACAGTTGTATTGCAATTATATCCTGAGGTAAGTATAGGTAATATAAATTATTATTTTGTAATGCCTAAAAATTAATGTATAGTAAATAAATATTTTTATAAGTACATTTTTAATAATTTAGTTCTGAATATATATTCAAAAATAACATACTTTACCACATTAATTTATAATTTTAATTGTTTTTTTTTTTTTTGTAAATCTGGTATGCACTTGGCTTAGGAGTTTCACATCACATAAATAGTTTTATTTCAAACATATATTATTTTAATTTTATACAATGTAAAGAAACCTAACATCATTGTATTATTATACTAGGTATTATAATCTTAAAAATGTTTTATTTTATGTTAATTATATTTTATCATAAGAACTAATTTTTTTTTTTTTTGTAAAATAATTTCATTCTTAACTATTAATCAAGAAAATAAAACAACTTATTTTTAATACGTAAAATACAATATTTATTTCATAAATATTTAAATATTGGTGTTATAAAATATGCATATGCATTAGGTTATATTTAAAAAAGTTTGAAAAGAGTAAAAAATTATATACTTATAAATTCCGTGTTAAAAATGTATTTCAATTGTAATTCAACAGTTAATACATCAAGACGGAATTGATTTGGAGATACTTAATTTAATAATTATTCATCTATAAAAAAATCGAAAAAAAATCTTCACATTGCCTAACTCAATAGGGGATACAAATGTAAGAGTATAATATAATAATTTATCCTTCCCTTTGAGGTTAAACCATGTTTGAGGAATTTTGATGCTTAGGCTTGTTTCTCTTCAGCTATAACTAAACAAATAAATAAAATAATAACCGTTATTAAAAGCAAACTATTAAAAAGTAATTTTTAATATAATTTAGTTTAATTTAACTTATTACAGATCATTGGTAATTGTATATAAGTAAAATATTAAATTACCTATGAGGATTTTAAATTAAATAAGGAATATTATATATATATATATAATATATTTTTACTTAACCCTTCAATACCTATTTTTTTTTTTTACATAAAAAATATCCTAGTTAATTTTGATGTGCTGAATTTGGGAAAAATAATTTTAAAAATCCTGTGAGCTTGTATTAGAAAATTGTATTTGTGTAACTAAACTACTAAAATAAACTTAAGTATAACTACTGCGTTATTAATAATTTATGTATTATGAAAATTCATATAAACCATATAATTTTAAGTTTCATCTCTGATGATTTAAAACAGTATTTATTTTTCTCTCGAAACACACAAGAGAAAAACCATTAAATTACTTTATCTAGCTTGAAACACGTTACAAAACGGGAATGATAACATTTGTATGTACATATGAATATAAAACATAGATTAGGTCTTAAACTATACGTTAGATGACACAACGCATTTGTTGTAATCCGTATGTAGTGTGAAAACATATTTTAACATGTTGCATATTTGCTACAATGGGCATTGAAGGGTTAAATCAATCCCCTTCTTAAATACAATATTTTATTTTAATAACTAGAAAAGTTATATACCCATGAAATAATCTGTTTTAAATAATTCACTAGTATAATGGTTTGAGCAGAAGCGATCAAATTATTTTTTTCATAGGAAAGATAAGGATAGTATAATTTTTAAGAACAACTATTATTTACACAATTTTTTTTATAACTTAAGATATAATATAATATGCAGATTGACTTTTTTAAGCATGCTCATCCCATTTGTATAGTTAAATTATGTGGAAATTCAAATTCTGATTTTTAGAATTTTGAAGTGTGGTAAATAACTATATTTCCGCATAATTTGATTTTTCACAACACTTAAAGTGTTAACAATTTTGATTTTTCAAATGAAAACTTACATGTTCTGATGCAAATTATCAATCAGATGGTTTTTTTGGAAATGTTACCATATTGTAATCAAAATTTGAATGTAAAAAAGTTTCTGAATTATTCTACTTTAAATACTAAGAATAATAGCCTTTTATAAGAATATTAACTGTTTCATAGAATTCGTGTACAGGCAATTTATTGTTTTGAATTTTGTAGTTATTATACTTAATCTTTAATATTTAAAGTAAAACAATTCTGAAACATTTCATTCAAATTTCAATTACAATAGGTCAAAATGTTCAGGAAAATAATCTGATTGACTAATTAAATTAAAACATGTAGATTGTCATTTGAAAAACCAAAGTTAATATTATTACGCATTATGATACTTGACAGCTGTTGTGAAAAATCTAAGTATTTGATAATATTGTCTTTCATTACATTTAAAAATTCCAAAAATCAGAATTTTAATTTATGCATAATTTAATCATAAAAAAGGGTTAGTAGTATGCTTAATAAATCACCTTGTATATTATTATAAATATTATTTAAAAATAATGAGGTAATGGATGGATATATTATTAACTAAAGAAAATAAACATATTTTTACCATAATTTACCTTCTTTAGTGGGCAATGGGTTTTTTTCTTCAGTAACAGTGGGCTTCAACTTTTTGGTATCAAAGTTCTCAATACCGGAAATTAATTGCTGTTGTTCCTTTTCAGCTTCGATCACTAAAATAGAATTAATTCAATTATTTGAATAGAATAAGATATTTTTGACATCTACAAAAAAAAAAATAAAATAAAATTGTATAGATATTTTAAGACAATACTCACCAGTCTTATCAGGAAGTGGATTTTTTTCTTGAGTCTCCGTATGTTTGAGTTTACCAGTATCAAATCCTCCAACGCCTTCAATGAGCGCTTCAGTAATGGCTTTTTGGGTCTTTTCAGCAGCTACATCTAAAAATTTAAATTTAGTTTAATATATGGCAATTTTGTTTAACTTATAAAATATATCTATAAAGGCAAGTAGGTATAATGTTTAATGCAAGCATAAAACTCTAAACAATGTTAAGCCATCTGAAATACAAACCACATTCAAGAATCTGTGTTTCGTTTGAAAAACGTTCAGAATCAATAATAAAATATAGCCTGAAGAGCACACTTACCTTGAGCATTCGGCAAGATCACTTTTTCCAGAGTATCTGTTCTCTTAAGCTTTTCCACGCTAAAGTTATTGACGCCCTGGATGAGATCATTGTGCTGGCGTTCGCGTTTCACATCTTTTTTTTTTTTTTTATTCCAAAAAAAAAGCAACAGCAAGCATTTTAACATACTCTTAGGTAAACACAGCTAAAGCGTGGAAAGTTCACATGACTATGAAATTTACACGCATAAGCAATACATTTATGTAGACAAGTTTAACAGGTAAGTAATGTCAACATATTTAATCATACCTATTGATCAGCATAAAACAATAATTATATAAGCTTAATAAAAGTATGGCATGCTCTAAAAAAATACTTATCTATTTAATTGTTAATTTTATAAATCCAAAATTTAAATAGATAATACATGCCTATATATCTAAACATAATATAATATGTACCTACCTATAAATAATACATAACTAAGTAAAAATAAAGTAACTTAAGTCACTAATATTTTTAGGTTGGTAGGTATAGATTTATTTTTAATAGGTAGGTAGGTAGATTATTTATTTATCTACCTTTGTTTTATTTTAAATCATATTATGCTATTGAAGTAGGTATTTATATAATTACTTTTTGTATAATGAATAGTTATTAAAAAAAATATTTTAATTTTTAATTTATGGTATTATTTTAAACTATAAGTATACTTATAAAAATGTAGTTTTACTTCAAAATACAAAATTAATTAATTGACTTAGATAGAATTAGGTACCCACAGATAAATTTGATTAATTTGATATACTTAGTGAAATTTAAGCATTTCTATGTCATCTTCAAGTAAATAAATTAGTTATTATAATATTGAGTGGTTTAGATGATTAATGAATTGCCCATTATATATTTTTATCGGACACTATCAAATGAAAAAAAAAAAAAATTACTTATTTGGCCATTATGTATATTGGTTATATAGGTATTCATAGCTATAAAAGTCTTAGGTAGATACTAGGTAGTAGCTTTAACAAAATAAAAAACAGTTTTTAATAAAATAATAATAAGCTTTAAGAGCATACAAAACTAGTTAAGCGTTCATTATTAAAATTTAATAATGATTATTAATCAAATATACCTGCAGCAGTAGGAAGAATTATTTTTTCATTCGTATCAGCCTTTTTCATATTGTCAGGATTAAATCCTTCAAGTTGGCTTTTAAGATCGTATGCTACTTTTGGTAAATCTTTCAACGACGGGGAACTCATTTCTGTTCAACAAAAAATAATAATATTAAACTTAAATCTGTATAGTAAAGTAGGTATATATAGTTCAAAAGGGAATAAAATTAATGTAATAAAGTAGATAACTTTTTTTTTTTAAAAGGGGTGATTCATACTAGTTGTGAGTCATATCCCTTGAGTGTCAATGCATATAATGACTAAATCGTGTAGACAATTACAAAAACCTATTCGGTTAAATTTCGTATAATATATTCTGTTTATAGGTACTATCTAATATAATATTCATATAATTTCTAAAGAAAATTATAATTTTATCCAGTCACACTATAATTGTCTATGTCTGTATAGTATAAAGCAAGCAATGCAAGTATTATTATCAACAGCGGAAATAGACTTCTCCCAGCAAATTAGGATTTATTTATTCTGTGTGCATTTGGTTTTCAGTAATGTGTTTAACATCTGGGGGATGCTGAAACATTATCGATCATGCAGTGGGTAACAAACTGCAGATGGGAACTAACTCATAACCCTACCTATATTCAATAATAACTAAATTTGAAACTTATTAATATCGAACCAAATAAATAACGTCCTATACAAAATACAAATAACTAATAAGTCATAAACCGTACAGTTTTTAACGTTTTAATGTAGAAAACTACATAATGAAATTCTAACATAAAAAATTAAAAATCGTTGGAGACATATGATATATCCAAATACCTGCCAAATTTGCAGACTTCCGAAAATATTTATATAATAATAAATAAAATATTTAAAGATAATCACTAATTAAATACAAAAAACAATAACGAAGAAATTATTCATTTTGTCGACTTTAATATTATATTATCTTGAATTTCCGCCATAATAATTTAAATTTCTAAATTTAGGAGTTGTCACAACCCCCCATACTTCCTCGTAAGTTTAATTCTAATTAACATTTCACACAATATCTAATGATTAATTAAATATTTGTAATTGGTAGTTAATAGTTATACTACTACTCCATGATTTGTAAATTTAACTAACCACATGTGCATTTTGTGAACAGATTGTATAATTATTTCAATTCATAAATACAAGATACACGCGTTATTGTTACATTGTTGTATACGAAGGTATTGTGTATTCAAAACTGGGTGTGTCTGGCGACAGTCGGCCGAGGGCTTGGTAACCACTGGTACGTCTGGGACCCTACAGATTGATTCTATATGAGAATACTGCACCCTACAAGCAAGGGTAGAGAATGTCAATGGCTTGTCTTTTAAACTGTTTATTCACGTGGCTATTTTCAAAAATTACAAACGGAAAACGGCTAACAAAACTATCGTGTCAATGCCGATTAATCTTCCAAACTTGGCATTAAAACAAATATTATGGATTCAAGTAAATAGAAAGACTGAGAAAAATTAAATACTTATTCATTTTATTATTTAGGTAGTATAATAATAAATAAGTGTCCAAGTAAAATTATTCAGTATGGTCCAGAATTTAATTTAAATATTTCGTTTTTTTTTCTGTACAAAATTTACTATATAGGTAGTCTATATACAGTGTATATTTTGAACAAAAAACATCGGTAATCAATGATATTTTAGAGCTACTTGTGCTCCATAACATCCAAAAAAAAAATATTCTGAAATAAGTTATACTTCCATGATAAAGAGTGTTTTGTCGAGGATTGATCATCCTGTATAATGTATATTATATGATTATTATTAATTGTAAATATTCAACTAACTTAGCCATTAGTGTACCTAGTAGTTATATTATAGTAGGTAATTGGCGATCAACCACATAGAACTATAAAATGCAGCAATTCAAAATCCTTACTATGTAGCTATATAGGTAGTTAATTGTTAGCATGGCTCGGTGCATCTGCATTTTAAATTAGGGCATTCACACTAAAAAACACATACGATATACGTGAGTTTTACCCCGAAATAAATGGTTACTTTTTAACGTGTAAATGCATGTATATTATATAATTTAGACATTTAAATTGGAATATAGCGGCATAATACCTAATATAATAAATAAGTAAACAATTATAATATAAGGATAGGGTATATATAGGTATAATGTAAAACTCGTAAAAGTAACTAAATAAATGAAGTTGATTAAAAATTAAATTATACTCATCTAAACGTTTTACAATGTTGATAAACTTAAATTATTTGAAATTATCAAACATGATTTTATTAATTTATCTAGCAGAATTTATGTTTTAATAAGGGAGGTTATGAAGTTTTATAATAATATTGTACGCAGGTAGGTACCTACTTAAACCACTGAAATACCATTCACATAGTTTTGAATTCACAACTGTATTAGAAAGATAAAACAGTTCGTCATTGAAGTATAACATAATATTCTGTATACTAAAAATCATTTCCTTGTACGGTAAATAGGTCTTGAAACCAGTTGGTTCCATCATGGTCTTTCTTTCTCTCACAGTTTTCGCGACGCTGTTTTTTTGTATTATTATTATTATTTTTTTATAACGTATTATTTTCAAAGACAATGATTATGTAGATATAGGTAAGCCATGTACCTATATATAACAGTACATTTATCCCCTTGGCTACTCATCCATTTTATGGTAGGTATATGTATTCAAATACATATACGTATAATCGAAATAATACATTATTTTGAATTCCAAAACATACACATTACCTACGATCTAATATATAGGTACCGATAAAATGAATTATAAAAATACTGAATAAAAGCATATAAATGTAGGCACCTATAGATACATTTTTATTAAACTAACTATATAGGTATTAGTTTTAATTAAAGTATTCACGCGTTGGGGAAAAAAAAATGTTATACCTCGTAATAAAACGAGTAGAAAAGAGAAGCATCATGTAGGGCACGGCTATATAATGATGTGATGTTAGTACACGGCTATTGTTTACTGAGTGCGGTATTTGCTAATAAACTATTATTGACGAGTAGTATAGAATGAAAGAAATATTTTTTCTAACAGTATAATGTTGTTCTTCCATACCGCAGCCGAGTAATAATATATTATATAAATTATATCAAAGAAACGAACGAGAAGAACGTGATTATAAGTGCATAAAACAGTGGTTAAAGTGGTTAGAGTCACCCTTCTTATTTAAAATAAAATTAGTCCCATTTAGTTTAAGACTTTGAAGTCGGGGGTACACTTTAATTGTGATCAGCGATAAATTTTTAATCAAATTTTAAAAAATCTAATTGATTTAATAAAAAATGAATTCTTCAATATCTATGAGATAAAACGTAACCAGAATTTAATTTATTTTTTTTTACTGAGCAATCATATGCGCAGGATTACAATTTAAGGATAGGGTGTAGTTTATTTTTAAATCCTGTTAGTGTGTAACATTTGTATGAACAAATGTGTGTGAGAAAAAAATATTATATGGAAAGTATTGTCTCTACGATGAATTTCCTGAGTTTGGTTGGGTTTGCTTAGTTCTCGGGAACGCCGCTTAATTTTCGGTAAATATATTCACCCTTCGAAGTTGTTCACACTTTAAACACTGTAATATAAAAAAGGTAAAACGGCAGGTACCAAATTCAAAATCATCTATCGCTTATGTAATCATAATATAAATAACATTTAATACACTTGTCATAATATATAGGTACATATAATATCTATATATTGAACATTATTTGCATTAAACGTCCATGTGTTACGGGTTATGGCATTATAATTTGTAAATATAGGTATGTCGCATATACGGAACAGAAATAATGATAATACAGTAAATGCGCACATACGGTGTTCTTATAGTAGCAGTAATGGACTCCTCCGGGCGAGGTTAGGGGAAGGTAGAGGTATGGTACCGCTATATATATTTATATGAAATCCAAGACCTTAAATGGTAAAAATCCTTGTTATACATCAAAACTACTTACTAAACATGTCACTTTTTTTATGTATACACATATTACGCGTATTAGCCGCGAGTTTTATAAAATACTTTTTTCTACATAACAATATTATATACTTGTACGATATTAAACCAATAATGAAATCCGATAAGCTTTATATAAGTTACTATTATACAGTTTTGTATTATATTTCTTTGAAACTATTTCTATGACTGCAGCAACTTCAAAATGACCGTTGTAATAATGTTCGGCAATCAAATTGATACTGAACGTAACGAATTGGTATATATATACATACTTAGAACTATTTGCCGCATGCACCGATAATAATAAATAGTTAAAATTTAGCACATTATTGTTACTGTCTATAGAATACAATTATACTCGGCGAATTCTAAAGAAAAAACACCAGTTAGTTAATGAATTCGTGTAGTATACAATAACTTAGTTGAATAATTTAATAATTATTATTATGTAGATATAAATACTATAAAAAAAAAATCCTGGTTACAAAATAAAAATTATAGCGTTATTTTATTGTTGTAATTAAGAGGATATTACACTAGTTATCTACTAGGTTTGAACACACGTTAAAACGTTTTAAAATTTAGTTTAATATTAAAAATGCAGTAATGATTAATCAGTTTTTAATGTTTTTTTTTTTTTTTTAATATTAAGCTTACAATTTAATGAAGATAAAATTTAAACAACGTACACATTTGTAAATTTGTATTAAAGATTATATTACAATATGAAAAAATAAATATATTATATCGTATGTATAAATATAAATATAAAATATAAGCTGTCCCGCACAGCTTTTCCCGTATCAATATTGAACAGTAAAAAAATAAAAACATGTTACTCCCGTGACTCCTAGTTTCCATCCCCGTTCATACGCTACAGTTAATTATTAGTAGAACTATTTTAGAAGTACGTTTTCTTTCATTTTTTTTTCATCTTTTTAAGGGTTGAATTTTAAATAAATAATTTCTTAATGTTTATCAAAACATGATTAACAGACCTTCACCCAAAATCGTTTTTGGTCAGCGATGATTCATCCTTACTTACAGAATGTTACCTTATTAAAACTTTTCAACTTCCCACTTATAACGATGGCCTATCCATCAGTAGTATTCTGTTTTTTTTTTTTTTTTTTTATATACATGCAATTTAATTGAATTAAGTACTGAGTGTAGATATAAGTAGTATTATGTGCCTAAACTTGCAGTATCGATATTATAGACAGGTTATATTTATATATTATGTGAAAATTATTTAAAAAAATGATTTAACAATTGATAAATGAAAGAATAATGTAGATATAAAAAAAATTAAATAAATAAGTATCGGTTAAGTGTTACACAATCAAGCTAAGACAATTAAGAATTATTTAAAGAAATATAACTGTGAAATTATCTGGGTACAATAGGTATAATTAAATACAATCACTGAATGGAAGTGCATATGCACATATGAGTACATAAGCAAATAGTTTCGGTAAATATTTGTTAATTTTGTTAATAAGTGCAACACGGCGATGATGAAAGACGAGAATTTTTTTTAATTAACAAGAAGAACATTTTATTCATCAATTCGTCCATTTTATTCAAATTTGAAGTGAATTTTAACCGCCTACTTTTATTTATATATTATGTACCGATAACTAATAGATACCTAACATAATTTATTTATAAACTATACCCATAGATCTCTGTGAATTTCTAGTTATATATTAATTCAATTAAAATATAATATGATATATTATAATACATAAATTCATACGATTAAAATAGTTGTTATTAAATTTCTTGAAATTTCTAATAAACACGTACAAAATCCTAATAATAAAAAAATCTCTACGGTGGTAAAAAAATATATAAATACGTGATCTTCGGATTTATTTATTTTACGATGTAAACATTTTTAAATTTCCATTACATTTAAACGTTTTTATGATCTCAGAAAATTGAATTTTCATTTCATATAAATATAAGTAGGTACCTAACTATTATACTTTAATCAGTATCTAATAAAAAATTATTTAGATTATATTGTATATAATTATAAGTTATTACTATATTAGTGTAATTTAATACGCTTTTTAAAAATAATGGTACTGTAAAAAAATAGATTTTTTTTTAAATGGAACAATTTTCAACATTACATATTACAATAACAACTAAATGAACTATATATATTATATACGCTGAATTCGGGTCTCTTAAAAAAACCATTAATAATAGAACATACATTGCACTGCCTATACATGACAGGTTTACTTTAAACACAAAAGTAGGTTACCTATCGGTGTTTATTTGATAATAATATTTTTATAGCTTATTCAATCATGGCGCATTATTATAATGCACTTTAATGATTCCTCGTGATGTCTAAATAAGCGTAAATATTTAGAAATCGTAATTTCAAGAAGGTTGTAATCTTGCATCAATAGCGAATATATGTTTTAAACTATTACGGTTGCAAAAAAAATAATAATAATAATAATTAAAAGTATTATTTAACTAATTACTTAGGGGGGTTCAAAAGGGATCCCCACCTTCCCCCAAGTTCCGGATCTAGATATAGGAATCTCTGTTCTGTTTGGAATTTCTTTAATTAACAAATAAATTTCACCGTTAAATTCAGTGGAATATGTCATTGATAAAAAAAAAAAAAATTTTAGTTCTAAGAGTCCAACATAACAACACAGTTCACTGTGACATAATAACTTGTAAATAGTTTATACACTATTAATAGTGTAATACTATCGTAAATAACAATAAAACTAAATCTGAAAGGTATATTTTTTAAACATAGTATGTATATTGTACATGTACACTATATTAGAATATTTGCAGACAGAATTTACTGCAGCTGCAGATATTATTTTGAGTGGTAATGATTATTAGTCATAGGCATAACATAAAAGATTGTAGAAATTTATTTTCAAAATACCTTCGTTTTGTTTTCGTAAATATCACTTTTTAGAACATTTTCTCAAAAAAAAAAAACAAAAAACAATAACGAACGAGCACTCCTAATTGCCTAATACTAACGAAAATTGTGTCATAGAAAACATAACGAAAAAAAAACACATATATATAATACATGTATAGTATAATGAAAAAATCAATAACATCATCGTTTCGCTCAGAATCGATGACAAAATTACAAACAATTGTTTCCAACGTATAGTTCGTCGGTATTGTGTTAAAACAACATAATAATTCATAAACATATAATAGTGTATTGTTTTACTAAATAGAGATTGTTGTAATATTATATAGCTAAGGATGTTAATATAACATATAAAATATAATAACGAAATAATGAATTTTAGTCACATAATATTATTTATTTTGTGTAATAAAAATATTATCAATGTATATTATACAATATCTACAGTGATATGAAATATTTCAAATAGTGTTAACTTCCTAGGGTCAATCGATAATAACAAACATGGAATTTTAATCCATATACTAAAATAACATGATAAATTCAAACACTATATATGTATATACCCGTCTGCCGATCATCGCTATACGATCAGTAGGTATATCCCTATCCCTTATTTTTTACTACCTATATTACATTATTATACTTAGTTAAAGATTGATAAACGTAAACACGTAGAGCTGTTGTAGTCATAATAAAATACATACATTTTTGGGTTTGGTTTAAAAGCATATTTTAATTTAATCACGCGATTCCATTAGACACGTCAAAATTAATCACCTAACCTACCTATACAATACATGAATTACGGAAAATCGTAGTAGGTAAAAATCAGTTTATCACAATAAAACAATTCTGGTAATTTTGATTTAATAACATACGATTTTTTTATAAAGTCGTGATCGTTTAAATTCGTATTATGTTATTCATATATAGGAGCGGTCTGTAACGGTGAAAATTGCATATACTTCGTATTGTTTTGCTATTTCACTAGGTATTTATCCGGTTAAACACGATTATGGACGTTTATAAAAACGAAAATTACAAACCAAATAAAAAAAAAAAAAGTATACTCGTATAAGTACTGAATTCAAAATGCATTTTGTGTAAAAAGGGCACGCGCTACTAGCAAAAAAAAAAAACAGTGGTATGTGATGACGTCACGCAGTTGAACTCACCGGATGATGTCATCGTCTGGTTGATACAACGGTACGACCGTCCTCGTATTAAACGCATATTTTCCCCCCTTTTAAGTTTCTTGTATACACTATACACGTATGTATTGTATAAATTGCATATATAAATTGACCAAATGACTAATACAAATAGTAATATGGTAGACTATATCGCAATAATATGAATTTCCTGGATTTTATTAACACTGTCGTATTAGATTTAAAAAGAAATAAACAATATACATCACCGGGAATTTTATTATACAAATAAAAGATAATATTACTATGTATGCAAATTATTAATATATACAGTATTTAAAGAAGTTGCTATAGTTTGATAATATCTATAGGTAGGTACCTAAATAATATTATAAATCTTGTTTTGAATTTAATTGGTCACGTAAAATCTAATAAAATTTCATTAATAAAATATATTATGATATTATGATTACCTATTCGAATACTGTTCGAGACCATTTTAGGTTGTGATATAAAAATCTATAGGCACAGACACTCGCAGAAATGAGTCCGGGAAGAAAGGACAAATTTAATTTAAAAACAAGTTAGAAAACTCCATTCTGCTATGCTAGCGTGTAAAGTTGCGGTTTCTAAGCGTATTTTAAACAATAAACTATAATTATAATAATTCCTTATACAATTCTGAACGAATTTGGTACCTAGCCTCGTATTAAAATACATTATGCTAAAGTTTGAAAACTTTAATAAATTAAATATCTTAATTTGTAAATAGTTGACAGGACATTTTTAATACCTATTCACAAAGTATTTATATTCTGGCACCTATTTTTTAATATTGGCTTATATTTAGATTTATGTTTAGTTTTCATATATAAATAAATAATAATATTATTACGAATAATATATTTCTACTACTTTCTTGTCAATCAAATCAAAGAAAGGATCAAATCAACGGAAAGACACGACAGGGGTATAAAGTGTTTTAAACTTATCTTTAAAAACCTAAACCTACTGAACTACGACTGCGTGAAAATAAAAAACGAACTCCAATTTGCATTGCATCAAAAAGGCGAAGTTTTCTTTCAGAAAAGATGCTTGAAAAATGATATAATAGAAAAATAAAATCGAAAATAATGAAACATTTAATGACGTAAACGTTCCTTTTTTTATCCGGGTTTTCCGAATTATTAAGAAAACTACAAATAAAATAATAAAATGACCGCCTCAATTTTCAATTGCAAGATGAAATATGCTTTAATGGAAGATGCTACACTTGAATATCGTTGCAAGATTTCTGGTAAAAAATTTGTTAATAGATAGAAAAATCAAAAATATTAAATCAACGACGATTTTTTTACCTAAAATAAACTTCAGACTTTAATAATTAATAATCATAATATACATAATACAAGAATTTAAACCTCTTCGGGAAGGAGTGAGAAGGGCAATTGTTCCACAGCTTGACCCTCTCATTAAGCGTCCGTGTCTATGCCTATAAGACATATTAAGTCGTATTATAATCAGATGGGTAATACTTTCACTTAAAGTACATTTCTCGCAAAAGAATTATTAACCAAGTATACAATACTTAAACTCGGTAATTTTATCACCACGATATTATGGAAAAAAAAAATGTTTAAAAAAAATATTACGCGTACTTAGTTTACATTTTTGTGTGCGCAATATTGAAACGGCACACTAAACCGTAATTCGTACCTATCCGCCGCGTGCACACGACTGTCTGTGGCCGTGAGCAAATTTTAATTTACAGCCGCGCGTATACCTAATATATAATAACAGCAACGTATAAGGAATTATGTTGAAATCGACTCGATAGAAATTCAAAACCATATGACAGGATTTTATATAATCGGTGTGCATACGGTTTATTTTCGTAAACGTTTACGCCGGTCATAAAAAAATAATAGTCAACAGACACACAATACTATACAATGTATCGTAGCGTATAGGTATTAATAGCAGATCATCAAACACGTTCGACGAATATCCAGGAATTAATGGTTTTTATTTGAGGTCTGGCGCCCGCGCATCAGTTGGTGCGTACGAATAAATGTATTGCTTAAAGCAAATTTTATTTTTGTCTGAAAACGTGGAAAAAAAAACTCTACAAGATACTGTTATATTTATAATAATATATAATATGCGGATTATAATAAAAAAAATAAGAAAAACGGAATCTACGTATAATATTATAATCGCATCATGTTATTATTATAGCGGATACACATCACAATGCATGATAATTTATAATTTAATTATATTTCAACCAAAGGATAACGATAAAAAAAAAACCATTCGAAGAAGTTTCTATACTTCAAAAGATATAGGTGTTCAAAAAGACGGACATACTTCGACGCACGACGGGTGGGCCACTGTTGTAAGTGAGAAGTTGGGAAGGTAGTATATAGACATACAGAAGGGGAATTTAATTTACATCTGCAAGCAACAATTAATCGTTGCTAACGAAAAACGATTCTGAGTGGAATTCGGTTATACATGTTTTAAAAGGCCGTAATATTTACGATATTTGGCCAAAATTTGATTAAAAAAAAAAAAAAAAATACTGTATTAAACTCGACTTTTTCTTGTTGACCATTAAGTACAACTTATAATGAACATTCTATTGGTCTAATCATTTCGTTCGCAGAGTATCTAGGTACCGAATAGAAATTACGTAAAAAAAACTCACGAAATTAAAATATCTAAAATATGTCAAAAATGGCTCAAATGTTTTGAAAATTTTACCACGTCTATAAAAGGCAAACAAAAGTTTTCTGTTTAAATTTCTAGTCTCTACGAACATTTGGTACTGAATTACAACGAAAAATCAAATATTGAAAATAATAAAAGCATTTTTTCTTTTTCGTAAATTTTCCGTTTTTCCTACGTTTTTTTCCAGTTATTATGAAAACTGCCCTTAAAATCAAAAAAATTATCCCCCTAAAGTACCAATTAGATAAAACTATTACCTTTCGAAAAGGATGCTACACTCAATACACCGGAACAAAAGTGCTGGTAGAATTTTTGTACACAAATAAAAAAAAAAATATCATTACAGTAAAACCAATATATTCCTCGCTCGTAGTCTAAAAAATGTTTAGAAGAGATCCATTATTATACGACGGTGGACGTGTAATTTTACAAAAACACGATAATTACATTATAGCGATATTTTGAGATTCTCGGCTAACGTTATTATTTCGTTAAATACTTCGTTTATAGACGTGTGTACTTAAATACCTATACGAAATTTTGTTATATTATCTTGACGGACGACGACGAGTGAGTCATTGGGTTGTCGTTAGGTAGGTATATTATAATGAATAAGACTGCCGCAACGCGGTTATGTACGGATAACATATAATAGCCACGCTGCAGACGGGCATGATATTTCGACTCGAGACAGATTATTGTTATTATTATTATTATTTATGATACATTAAAGTAATAATAAATAAACAATTACGAACATTTCAGGAATGTCTAAAGATTAAACACGCCCGTACTTTGGGTAAACAAAGACAAAAAAAAATTATGTTATTTTCGTCGAATATATTATACAATATTATAAAGATTATTGTAGGTAATAATTACGTGAAAAACAACAAAAATAAAATAAAAACGAAATATTAATAATCAAAATCCGCGCGCAATGTTTTTTCGTCGCGATTTTTTTTAAATAAAATGACTGTGCGCTTGCCGCAATAATATTACGCAGAGTGTGGACTTTCTCGGCTCCGCACTGTCACGCGATGATTCATAAACCGACGACTCGAACCCGCGACACTAATTGATTATGTTTTTGTTTAAATTGTTTCAATTAATCATAATGTATATACGACGACTCCGAATTAGAAACGTTAGTTTGCCGAACGCGGATTTCTCCAAAGATGACGAACAATAATATAACACGAGTATATTGAAAAAACGATTTCGTCAAACGTCGAATATTTCCCAAACGAATTTTCGTACTAAATCCGCGATATCGCGGACTTTTTTCAAAATACATTCTTTTTTTTCAACCGTATTGCAGGGCTTTCTTACGGAAAAGTGATGTGCACGCGCTATAGAAAAAAAAAAATAAAAAAAAATACCGCGTACCTACCTAACCGCGCAGTACGTGCTGCATTTACGTATACTTCCTATATAATATACGCGCTGATATTCAATCCTCGTATCTGCAGGTATACGTGTACCCAGCGTATGAATAAATTTTCAGATGTTATCGACCCAAAAGACGTCCAAGGACACGATGTAGTCTAAAATTTGTAGGTGTATTTGTACATGTATAATATAATATGCACCAAGCGGAAACCTGCATGTAGGAAGTTGCAGACCGTTACGAGAGTGTATTATGGCAGTTTACAACACGATCGGGTAAACGCAATTTTTCGAGCTAATAATATAAATGCTCTACGCACGGATTTTACCCGTTTTTTTTTTTTTGTTTCTCGCTCGTCACGAAATCGCGCGAATAACCATTTCGAAATATCTATATTATCGCGTGCCGCAGCTACAGTAGCCTGCGGGTTCAAAAAAAAAGATCCGCAACCGTACGTCTCGCGCGAAATCAATTCGAACTGTTGATATTATATTAATAATTATACGCAAACGGGGCAATATATTACATTTTAAACGCCATCGCGCTAAACGACGATAATTACAGCAACGACGGACTGAATAATCATTGAATTAACCCGCCGTCGCGTCCTGAATACGGTTTTTAAGTCGTGTACGTACGCCCAATCGCCGTGGACAGATGTTTACACGACGGACTGTGTATACCGTGTACCTATATATATATATATATATAAATATAAAACCGTACGTCCGGAATATCGCTCGTCACGATACTGCGACCATATGGTCGAAGTGTTCATCCGGAATCCGAAACAAAACGGAAAGAAAATAATGATAAAAAAAAAAAAATACAAAACAAAAGACCCGTTCGTTTCAAGTTTGTAAACGACTTTTATAGCGAGACGGTATAAAAACGTTGTAGGCCCGCGACGCGTGAAACTTTCCGAACAAACTTAAAATTGTTCCTATATATATATATATATATATAGGTACAGACGCGCATGATACAGGATTGCGCACAAATGCCCGTGCCAATGTGACAGCTGCAAAGACTTCAACGTACGTATAATAGTGATTAGTGGTATAGTATATCTTTTTATAAATTACGCAAATGGTTTTTACCGCGACTCGGCGGAGAACTTAGAACCGCAAGCTGCTGCGTACTTACCGATCCATTATTCAGTGGCGCACCAGTGGGGGGAGCGAAGAGGGCATTCGCCCTCTCCCCCCCCCCGTGGGTCGTATTGTTATATGTGACAATATGTGTGCGTTATCGTATTTTTAAAATTTTTAAGACATTTTCTATTTTAAGAATGGCTGAAAATATATTTTAATACGAACTATCGAAATTTGTTCTACAGTTTCACCTTAACTGCCTATATTATAATATGTATAAGTTACGTTCAATAACGAATTGATAACTTTTATCGAGAAAACACAAACGCACGAAAAAACTAACGAAATAAATAAATATGAAACGTACCTAGGATTCGCAATTTCTAGAAAAAAAAAATGTTCACCTAAACACGCACTGCAACAATATTATTGCAACATCATAGACGTATAGGTTGTAAACTAAGCACGCGAAAAATCTTTATATATATGTGTATAGAGATCTAAGTAATATTATAATATAATAATATACCTAAAGTAGAGTAATATAGGCGACGGTAACTTTTAGTAAATCTAATTAGACTTCGGTAAGTCGTGCGGGTAACTCTTCGGGATACCCGCGGAAAAAAAACTCCCGTATCTACAAATATAATGTAAAAAGCTCGGTATAAAACGATATCGGAGATAATATCGAGACTCGCCGATACGGGTGATGTTTTATCCGGAAATATCGTTTTACGCCGCGCTTAACCGTACTATTATTTTATTAATACAGAGAGACAGAAAAAAATAAAGACGATAATTCATCACACGAAATCTGTGTTGCGTTTACCTGTTTTGGGTATGTTTTCGAAGACGGGCGTGAAAGGTAGCTGGAATACGGATAATAAACGTGAGACGTCGGACGCTGCTGCTGTACGAGTGGCGACTGGCGACGTGCTTCGACTTGGACGGTCGCAGGAGAATTGTCGGGCCGCCGGCTGGGTAATAATGGGTACGCGTCTGGGTGGGTGCCGCTGCCGGTCGTCGCGTTCCCGTCGGAGATAAAAAAAATAAAATAAAAATCGCCCAGCCTGTTCAGTGTGAACGTGCACGGTAACGCTAAATATCCCCCGGGACTGTCGGGTTGTTTTCGTACTAATACTATACATGTTATTATGTACTACCGTATAATACCGTATTGTAAATAACAATATTAAATCGGATTTCCGGGGAACCGTATAAAGTAGCGTAATATCAATCGACAATAACAATATTTGATATTTACCGTGTGTACAATGTACGTGTGCTCGACGTCACGTCGTCTCCTCGGATCAGGAACAATAATATATTATATTTTATAGATATATACAAACGGAGTATTATAATAATATTTTGTATTCAATCCGCAAAATGATTGTAGGTACCTACTGTGTAACCAATAATACGTCATGGTGGTCTATAGCTTATACCAATATATATATATATATATATATATATATATTATATTGAATTACAGCAGATGATAGGCAGATAGACTCGATTTTCGTTTTTAACGAGAGTCTATTTTTGCGACACACTCGATGTTTATCAATAAATACAAAGAAAAAAGGTGAATTTAGGGTTTTTATTTTAGGTATAACGTTCAAATTGCTAGGGAGATGTTTGGCCCTCCCCCTTATTGCGCGCCTTTGGTATATTATTAACTGTAGTCGAAAATATTTTTTTTTTCGAACTTTACCCGATCTAATAGTATACGTAATATACCATAGCATGTAAGTTACACCATGAAATTATCAAGCAAATTATGTAGTTTGGTAATATATTGTGTTGAACTATTGGATACTTATTCGCAAAAATTGGCTTATAACTAGTGAAAACAGGTGCTTAACTAAAATAACAATACCTGCAATTTGCGGGAAGTGACTTTTTTACAGCTTCATGTTAGTAGGCACCTTTTTTTATTAACTCTCAATACTTAACGGTTGTAGTTAGGTATATTAAATTATGTTATAATGATTGAAAAACTACTATCAACGACGGATTTTCAACATTTTTCTAAGTGGGGGGAGATGGTCTTGAAAAATAATACATATTTCACAGATTATTCATTATTTTGAATGAATGCCTGTTTTTGTAGACATCATTTTATTGAAATTATATTGGAGTCCAATCTGGCAGGGTCCAAACTTCCTAACCACCTTCCATAAATCCACCATTAAATAGGTAGTATAATGCATATGACTAAATTGTAGTTACATATTCTGGTATAATATAATAGCTGCTCTACGCATACCGGAGTTTGGTAAAATAATTTAAATGTATCTATGTATTAAAATTGTCATATACGATATACTCATTTGAATCCTCCTTTAAATAGTCAAGTATAAGTACAGAATATAGATACGTAAAAACTGAAAAGTAGTTAAACCTTGCAGTCGGAGCAACTGACTCACGCAAATTTATAATACCCCATCATGGTCAGCAATACCTTAAATGGAAACCAATCAATACACCTATCATGGTATTATACAATAATAAATACAATATATATATTTTACAATTTACACAGTTATAAATTATAAATTCATAGATTATAATCATCATCGCCGTCATGATCAACATTCATGATCCATTGAGAACCTGCTTTACCCACTAATAAACTTTTACACTTTTTTCTATCTAGTATCCAAGATTGTTTTCGGAAAAAAAATAATAAGGTTAGAGTACCTATTATACTCTTATTTATGAATTACTAGCGGTCCCATGCCCGGCGTTGCCCATGCCAATTTGTAGTATTTTACCCATATTCATTTTTGGTTTTGGCCGTGTTAGAATTTAATGAAAACAATTAGATGGAAAGTGAGTAGTCCGCCGAAGGCGGACTAAATGTATTCTATTGTGAAATTTGAATAGTATAAATAATAGTAATAATAATAATTATAGTAGTTTTCTTTTCCACGGCAACCCTTGAATAAACAAAAATCTTGTATAAATAAAACAAAGTCGGGTTAGATACACCACTTATAACTCAAAAAAGACTAGACCGATTTTGATGATCACATGATATTTTCCGAATAATTTTTATAATAATTAATCACCATTTTTTTTTCATCTCTGTTACCGGGGTAACACAAATCAACAAAAAAAAATTGTATTTATTTTATTATAAGCTAAATTATTTGGTGTTGTTTGTGTGTATATATATAAGCGAAAATACTAAATCGCGATTAAAAAATAGTGGGTGGGGTTAGGAGGATGAAAAATACTTTACGATCTATTGTCAGACCCACCACATATACACAAACAGTTTCATGAAAATTGGTCAAGCCGTTTCGGAGGAGTTCAATATCAAACACTGTGACCGGAGAATTGTATAAGCAATGAATATTGTGATTTTATAAGTACAAAACTATTTGTTACACAGTTTTAATTTAATACTTATAGATAATTGATAATTGCCATATAATGCAAAATTATACAGTATATTGGTAGATTGTCTAATTTGTAAATCTCATGCCGTGTACCTACATAAAAAAACAAAATCAATGTACTCTCGTACGCCGTATACCTGAGTACACCCCTCTCCAAAACACCACTGCATTAGATCCAGTGGCGTGCTGAAATAGGTTTTTTCGAGGCAATTGCCTCATGACCATAATGGTAGGTGGGTGGCTGACCAAATATGTTGAATGTTGATTGAGATTGACTAGTACAGAGATCAGAGATGCCTTTAGTTTTATATATTATAGGTACTATTAATATACCTACTTACGAATATGATAGCCTACATTATGTAGTCAATATAGCTAAATAAAGTTTTTGCTGTAATTATTAGTAGGACATCCATAAAAATCCATGTTTTGATTGGGTGGGTTCTAATTTTTTTATTTTGCCTCAAATATGAAAAATATTCAGTACGCCGCTTCAACTGATAGATTCATTATCGTATCCTTTTCCACACTCGATCCCTCCATCTGATTTTTGGGCGCTTGTCCCGCCAACTGTTAAAACCCGGTGCACACGTGCGGTTTTTGACGTTGCGGTGCTGCAAGAAAAACGCACGTGTGCACCGGGCCTAAGTGGTCTTGTCTTATCTATTTTTGGTATCAGAACATACCAAAGTATTAGTAGGTACATCTTCATTTACTCTCCATCAGGGCCTGATTAATGGATTTTCTACCAGTAGGCTGGGATTGATTTGTTGATTTGGCGATGATTTTTTTTTTTATGCTCATCACCTACCTAATCTCCGGTCCTCCGGCCTTACAAATTCTTCCATACCCCCCAAAATGTGTCAAAATAGAAGATACAAGTTTGAAAAAATTGTTTTGTTGCGTACCCTACCATTTAACGGCGCCATAGGCTGCAGCATATACAGAGTCATTTTCTCAGAAGACTTTACATGAATTTGATTTCTGTTTTTTTTTTCATCTTTTATTTATTTAAGGTACATGGAGTAAGGGTAAATATTAAAAATGGTTTTTAAAAAAAGGTCAACTGATACCATATGATAACAAAAATCAAATTCACTTTAAAATCCTCCGAAAAAATTCTGGTTCACGATAAAAAAAATCACCCTGTTCATGTATTACATATACCAATATCAATGCTTAAATTTGGGGGGAGGTTGTAGTGGGACGGAGTAACACTTATTTTCTTAAAATATTTTAGAGCACCATTTCTAGTTTTCTTTTTATTGGGTCGCCGAGTTCAGGACCGTTTTTCAATTTTATTAACAAATAAAGAAATGTTATTGAAAATTTTTATTTTTAGAGTAAACGTAATTGACTGTTGTTAATATTGACTGTTATAAATTCTATAAATGTAAATATAGAATATAATAAATTACCACTGCTGCGTTAAAAATGTGAACCGTTACGCCGTCTTCGTATCGAACTATAAAATGATAACCCGACGTCGTATGGTAAATATCATAATCTATCTTTATATTTTTAGATTTGGAATATTTGTTATTTATGTATTATCGATTTAAACCATATTCGTTACCTATACAACTTGTTATCCATTAACTCCCCACGGGTTAGGTTAAATTCAATCATTACATGGGACGCTAATTTTTGTTAAGCCTAATAGTAGGTATAGATTCTTTCATTTTTCCAATAAGTTCAAGCACTACCTATATCTCAATATCAGACAAACGAGATGAATAATATTTTAAAACGTCATCACATTACGGTACGTTTAGAAATGTATTATGTTATATTTTAGTAATTGTAGTTTAAATAATATAAAGAACCGCATTTGGCATTAATGAAAATTAATTTTTTAATAGGTATGAAATTTTGTTATACGAAAACAACACGAGAGGACTTAATTACAGCCAAGTGTTGTACCTATTACAACAATGTTAAAATACAATTAACTAGATACCTATGTAATTTTGTTAAATACGTACAGGAAATTAGGAAAGTGTTGAATAATTAGTAAGTACCTACCTACTTTATTATAGAGTACCTACTTAGGTACTAAAAATGTATTTATATATTCTGTATATTTCTATAAATATAATGTATTATGATTTATGATAACCCAGAGCACTCACATCAAATTCTGGGCCTCTGTATTAAATGTTTGTCCGGACCCTTTACAAAACTTCCAATAACAAAATTTACCTAACATAAATTATTATAAAACAATTCATAAGTATTTTAATAATAATAATGTCTTTTTTAATTTTTTTATTACAATATTATCTAAATGAAAAAAGAAACAAATAAGTAAATTTATATTTAATATGTATACATTTTTTTTAAAGTTAAAATTGTATTTTACAGGCTTCATTCATGACTCAGTTATGACACCATCGACATGTATTGTTGAACCATTGTCAAATATCGTTACAAGCGATACGGAAGACCCATGTACGATAATATATAGGTAATCAATAGTTAACCCGCATCTTAAAATATTGAAAGGTTAGATCAAACATTGTGATCTCTGCATGGTGGCATGGTACGGCGTGTGACGTTTGAATAGTGTTCCCTTACATTTCTCCTCTTACCTAAACTTAAAAGTGGAATATTTCGTCAACGGGTTGACGGAAATCAATAATTTCAACACCAAAATGTATTTATATGAAAGATCCATCATTTAAATGAATACACCATATCATATTATATTATATTATTATATGAATTATGGGTTGCTATATAGTTACACAGATGAAATGAAAAATAATTTAAAACAAAAAATAAATTATTAACAGAAATACAAATTCCATAACAACTATAACAAATTAAAATAAATATTCTATCTAAGATAGAATAATAGTCTTCATCTCAATTAATGACCTCAATATTTTTTTTATTTCGATGACTTTCGTGCGTCATTACGGTTATCTAGATTTTTTATTACATTCACATGTAATCCAAATCGGGAGGAAAGAAAAACTTTACTATTACCAGGCCATCAATCAATACATCGTCATGATATCACTGCACGTGTATTCAAACAAAAATTAATATCCTTGATAATAATTTAACTGTAAAAATTTCGGTTTTCGGTAACACACATTGCTGGCTGTATTCGATTTAGTGGCAAAAGCGAAGTTTGCCTTATGTTCACATTTTAATTCGGCTTGAAGTTAAAATCCGTTTAGAAGAAATTAATCAAATAATTTCAGCTGAAATTCCATATTCATTAAATGACCAAGAATTGTTTGATATTGTTACTAGTTACATCAGCAATTCCCAACCTGGAGTACGCGAGATGATCTTAAGGGTTAGGTACTCAAAATAAAAAAAATGAGGTACTGACGGGAAAATGTTAATTTATTTAGTTTATTTGAAAATTTTGAACGATTCGTTTCGGAAATATGCAATATATTATGTTATTAAAAATGAAAACTTAACCATCAACATAGAAATGAAGTTTAGAATGTAGATTATAAAATAATATTGTGTATATATAATAATTTCATATGGTAGGTTGCGGTAATGGTGTGTATTGGATGCATGGATATATGTATAGATGAAAAATGTAAGAAGCGGTTCCCAAAACAATATACGAATGATACTATTACAGATATCGATGGTTATCCATTGTATCGCCAAAGAAACGCTGAGAACGGTGGCCACACATTCACAACACGAAGGTTAAATTCTACAAATCAAGTTGAAATTGACCATCAGTGGGTAGTATACCATACTCGCCATTGCTTCCAAAAAACGTATAAAACTCATATTGTCATCTTTTGCAGTTCCATTACATTAGCATTTGGCGGTGATTGCCACCCCCCTCTTCACTGACCATTACTGACCTCAGTATTTACTCGTAGTTTGTATTTATTTAAGACTACAAATTATAAACTATGATGCAGTAAATTTGAAATATCAAACTTTAATTAAAGATTGTATTTAAATCTCTATTATTTTCTATTATGACTTCTTTAGTTTTTCTATAATCTGTACCTACTCAACAATAATATAATATTTTTAATCACATACTTTATAAACCAAAGGAATTTTGAATATGTTAAATACGGGATTATGGAGATATTATTACAGTAAATTGTTATTGATTGAGATAAATAATACCTATCACTTTTTTTTTTCGTCTTCGGTAAAACTTTCGCAATCACAGGCTTACATCCCACGTTAATAGGACACGACTGTTCAATGTCTATACAAATTAGAAGCCATGTTAAAGTTTTGTTGAATTTGAACCATAATCACGGCGCCATAGTTTATTATCATTAAATATGCGTGCACTGTAAAAATATTGTACTTGTACATATGATTTTAGAAAAGTGATAACCGTAATAAGCAAATGAATATAAGTTACTTTGACCTTACTCAAAAAGATTTTTGAAAACTGTTTTTTTCATTTTCGTGATTTCGTTTAGTTACATCTTGTTGCACTAAAAGTTCAATTTATTTTCCAAAATGGCATCTACAAAATTTACAACGATTGTAAGTATAATATATTATTATTAATATTGTTTCTGTTGATTTATATTGACGGTTGTCAATGTTCTAGGCGAGATCTTTTTCAGCCGCAGCTCAAGGAATGATCAAAGTGAGTTCATTATTTATCATTTCAACCAACAGTGAATTTGTATTTATATTATGTTATGTCTTTGTTTATTGTATATAGCCTCCGATTCAAGTGTTTGGAATTGAAGGGCGTTATGCCACAGCTTTGTTTTCGGCTGGTAGCAAACAAAATCAATTGGAAGCCATTGAAAAAGATTTAGTCAAATTTCAAGTTAATAGTTATTTTATCTCTAGTTAGATATATATATATTAAACAAATATTATTTTTTTATAGACTGCATTAAAATCAGATGGAATCCTCAAGGAATTTGTTGAAAACCCAATAAACAAAAGGTCATTAAAGGCTAATACTTTACAATTGGCAGCAAAGAAACTTGCATTGTCTGCACCAACGTCCAACTTTTTGGGTATGTTTAATTCATGTAGTTTGCTAATGGTAATATGGTATATTAGTATGATAATGTGAAAGATTAAATATTACACCATTAATATTTTGTAGTTACTATAGTTAATTATCTTAACATACTTATAGCCATACTATACAATTAGTATTCTTTAAAATATTTTATAAACTAAAACATTAATATACCTACTTATATTTTGAATGAAAATTCTTTATGATAATGTATATGATATTTAAACTTAAAACTAATCATAAAAATTGTAATTGTTTAACTTAAAATATTTATTCAATTAACCTGTATTCAAAAATTTGTTTTTGTCTAAATACTAATTTATACAAGTTGATTCTTTTTTCATCTATCAGCAATTTTCTCAGAGAATTTTAAATAGATTTTATGTCATGTTTTTTTAATCATGAAATTGTTTAAGCTCTATTTTAAATTTGTTGTCCTTACTCCTTATGCCTGATCAAATTTTTTAATATAGAAATTAGTAGTATACTATTTTAAAAATATATCTTATTGTCTGAGACTTCTCGTGTACAGTTTACATGTCTGTATAATTTGAGTGATTTGTGTGTATATCACTATTTTGATTTGAATAAGTCCTACCAGAAACCTCTATTCACAAAGCTTTTTAACCATTCAAAACCTTCCTGGGAATATCCCATTTTGGTCCTTAATTCATCCCTTTAACGTCCCTCGCCATTGGGAAGCATTTTGACCTTAAGGTCACATACCCCATTTTTTCCCTTGCTGTTGAAAAGCATGTCTGATGCCCCACACTGCTTTTCTTGTGTTAGTATTAAATGAAAACATTTATTTTTGTAGTTTTTTAAAACACGTTTCCCCAGCATTCCCAATTCTTATCCTTATCTGCCAAATCACAGTTAACTGTTGTTGCTCATTATATATAAAATATAATAGTTTCCTTCGCGATAACCAAATTTCATGTCACCAAGGTAAACTATAAATCAACAAATTAAATTAAATTTTAATTCCAAAAATCCTATGGCAGCTATCCTTTGGGGAGTGTAATCTTCGAGTTTCTTATTTCAGTTTTATTGGTTGTTCATTAATACTTAGTCAGAACAAAACCGCTTAAATATATATTTATATATATATATATATATATAGATTTTATTTCATTTTTTTAAAATGTCTGTTAATGTGTTTAGGCTTGTTGGCTGAAAATGGAAGAATTAAAAACCTAAATTCAATCATTAACAGCTTTAAAATCATTATGGCTGCCCACCGAGGAGACTTGTCATGTGTAGTAACCACTGCAAAAGTAATTTATTTAATTTAGTTTATATACGTTTAAGATATTATGTGCATAATTAATTGGAATTTACTTTATACATTTTTAAAGGAAATGTGAATTGGTTAATAAAAATAATTGACTAAAAAAATAAATAAAAACATGTCATGGTCATGAATATACTATAAATTTAAATTGGTTTACAGCCTTTGGATTCAGCTGATCTACAGGAGCTTAAAAAGACACTGCAAGCATTTGCCAAGAAAGGGGAGACTATTAAGATTGAATTGAAAGTTGATCCAACCATAATTGGTGGAATTGTTGTCAGCATCGGTGACAAATATGTTGATATGAGTGTTGCTACAAAAATTAAGAAATATACTGAAATCATTCAAGATGCTGTTTAAATTTGTACATCAAATTACTAGTCTGGTACCGGTTATTTTCTTATAGAATAAAATTGAATATGTTTAGAATGTACTCGTTTTATAATTACAAAACTTGTTATTTAATAACAAATAAACATAATTAAATGTTTTTTTTTTTTTTTAAATTCTGAAATAAAAAATTCTACAGAATATTTAAAAACAATTATTTGGTTTATGTTTTCTTTATTGAAGTAATGTAATAAATACATATAATAAGAAAAATAAATAGTTCACATTTTCAGCTTGTTTGAGGTTTTGAGGGTTGTATCGTTTCACCTCCACGAATTAAGCCCCATCCAATGAGTCTAAAAAAATAAAAAAAATAATTAACATACCAGCAATTTTTTTTATCAATATATTTTCAAAGAACATTGATAATTCAGGGAAAAAAAAATTAAATTAATATAATTTCTTTATATTTTGTTCTTATTGATAAATTTTTGCCAAAATTGGCTATGTTAAATCTATATTCCATAACTTCATAATATAAGTAATTAAATATTACATTTTTACAGAACTAATACCATACCTCCAATGTTTTTCAACTCGACGACTAAGTGAAATCTTCTCTCCAATTTCAGTACACACTGGTGTTGTTAAGCTGATTTTAGCTAAATCAGCTTTTGTAGCTAATACTCTTCCACCAGTAGATAGAGAACCAATATTAAGCAATAGTACCTCATTTTTTGATAATCGTTGAACCTAATTAAATATTTAAATATAGTATTTGTCACAAAATAAACTTGGCCATTAAACTACCTTTGCAGCTTTCTTATCTCCCTCTGTACGCACACCTAATAATCGTTTTAGAAGGTAATAAGAAACTTCTAACTCGATAAATATATCTGGTAGTGCACCAACAGCTCCTAACACTTGTCCAACAAGACGATCAGCTCTGCACAAAGTAGGTTCAATTTTAGTTCCAACACCAATAAGTCCTCCTGGAACGGCAAAATTCAACTCATTTTGTTCGGTGTACAAGGACACAATTCGTGAGAATATTGGCTGACAAGTTAATTTTCCTTCGCTGTCCTTAGATACTAAACCAGGACGTACTTCAATCTCCATTCCAACCTTTAGAACACCACGTAAAATACTGCCACCAGCTACGCCTCCTTTAAGGTCATCAACCTCACATCCTGGTTTGTTGACATCAAATGATCGAACAACAATTAAGCGTGGTGGCGATGTGAAGTCCCTATCAGGAATTGGGATTTTCTTGTAAATATATTCACACAATACTTCCATATTGTACTTCAGTTGAGCTGATATCGGTATTATAGGCGCACCTTCAGCTACTGTTCCTTGAACAAACTTTTGTATCTGCTCTTGTTGCTCCTTAGCTTGACCTTCTTTCACCAAATCTATTTTGTTTTGTAAGATTATTACATTATTTAGCTTCATGATTTCAATAGCAGCCAAATGTTCTGATGTCTGTGGTTGAGGGCAAGATTCATTTCCAGCTGAAAATCAAAATGTACAGGTATTTATTCTACAATTAGAATTTAAACTAAATATATATCAGTTTAAACATCATACTTTGTAGAACTAAACTTTCGTGGAATAAAATAGACGAATAGAGATAATTGGTGAAATAATGCTAAATAATGAGCACATTAAAAAATATGTGGAATTTTTTTAAAATTTATATCAGCATTTAATTGTTGTGTTTTGAGTAATATTTCTTCAAATAATTATCTGTATCATTAAAATTAATGATAAAACACTATTAATTTGATACAATACAACTTGAACTTGCCTCTTTATATACACATGGGAATTGCTGACAGATAAAGATGCTTATATTTTGTTCATTATCTTACTTTTATTAGATATTTTTGTCAATCATAATTTATAGGGTAGAGATTTTTTTTTATTTTAAACATGTCAAGTATGATTTTAATTTCATATTGATTTTTGAGAGGTACTACCATAGTTAAACATTTTAGCTACAAATTTCCTTTAAATTTTGCTTTTTCATTGTTGAATTAACTTACAACAACTAATATAATCGTTGACTTATCTCTGTAACTTTATACTAGATTATTATAGTCGACAGGTTGGTCCTATAAAATTTGAGACAAGCCTATATAGTTTTGTATAGTATAATATCTACTATATCTACTTAATTTACCTATAAGTAATAATGCAGCGTCCATTACTGCAGCTCCGTTTAACATGGTAGCCATAAGAATGTCGTGACCAGGACAGTCTACAAATGACACATGTCTAACAAGCTCAAATCTTCCTGGACAACCTGGTCTTGAGCAAGGTAATGAATCATCACGGCCTGAACCACCAGACACAAAACATGCTGGTCGAGGACACTTATCATAATTACATTTGTAGATTTTTGCATTGGCATATCCTAAACAAAAATAATCATTTTTTAGTTTTGTAAAGTTCATTTATTTTAGATATTGTTATTAATTAAATTCACTACACTTTGTAAAAATAATCTCTCCTTCGCCTTCATCACAACTATTGGGGGTTAGTCTATCTTGTCCTAAAATTCCACTTGATCTGATCCCTAAATCGTCGCCGCATACATCTATCGGTCTTATATCATTATCAATCGCACCCAACCACCTCTTTTGGTCTTCCTCTCTCTCTCACACCTACTACAAAATTGACCGTTATTTAGTACACATTTCTTACACTTATATTTGAACCTTTACACATCTCCTCTATCAAACTAATATACTATCTTAGAACTTCTTTTCTAATTATTAACCACATCAAAATTTCTCTTAGCATGTTACCATAAGCCTTCTCTATATCTATAAAAGCCATACATTGGTAATCAATTTATAATCTATTCTCTCCGCTTATAAATAAAGGTTACATAATGCTCTTTCCTCTTCCTAAAATAAATGTTAATAATTACAAGATCATATACTAACACAAAATCTAGAATTCTTTCTCCTACATTATTTCTCTCTCCAAAATTATAACCATTCATACATTTTATACAAATTAATCAAAATAATTCATAACAATATCTAAAATAAACAGTTATTTGTTTTATTTCCATTTAAATATATTATTTACAAACAATATTTATTCAATAAACTTCAATTGTAAGTTATTTATAAAAAGAAATAATAACTTAGTTAATTAAAGAAAATGAACACGCATTACGCATAACTATATATTTCAAATATTCATAAAAATAAAATAAACAATAAATACCAATATTAGAATGAACTTAAACAAACAAGTGTATTTATTTATGACAGATTTCAGTTTTAAAAATCATTATCAGATAATACAACCATAATAACAGCAAAAATAATAATAAAGTAACCATTTAGTAGTATAATGTATATGAATGAAGCGACTGTATTAAATGAGAGAGGATGACAAATATAAACCTCTAAAACAAATTTAATTTTATAAAAAAAATAAATTTGTTTGCTTAATAGATTAAAAACCAGTCAATATTTCTCCTTAAACATAAGAATAGCTGCATTTAGGATCCAAACATAGTTTTTTTTTATACAGAAAGAATTGCATTATCGTAATACAGTGGAATTTTCACTTGACTGGTCAGTTTTCAACTAACAACTGCACTTCAATAAATAAATACAAACAATTGGGTCACAGTGAAATATACATAAAATAATATGAACAAATTTGTTTGAATTTGTTTTTTTTATCTTGTCACCTGGAATCTGTTTATATAATACTTAAATCACGTACTTGATGGAAAGCCAGTTTTTTCAAAATAGCCAAAATATCTCTAATAGAAAATGAGGCCAATTCTGGAAGACTTCTGTATAGACAATTAATCCAAACTGTTATACATGTTTAAATTGGTGTTACATAAACAATAAAGTGTCTGAAGATGGCATACTTTAAATCATCAATAATATAATATTTATAATTATGTTGATTATCAAAATCAACATAAATATTCCAAAAAAGAAGTGTTTTCTTATATTCATTGTTCAAACTCATTTACTGTTTTTTTTTTTTTTATATACTTTGAGAAAAATACCCAAAACACATTCTTGTTTTAAATATGGAAATAAAGCCAAAAATTACTTAAATTGTTCCCAAATATGAATTAAGAGTATATTTCCATTTTATTTGATTTGTTTGAGAACCATTATCAAGGCTATTAAACAAACTAGATATACCTTCAGGAGAAATTGATTGCAAAAATAGACCATATTCAGTTCTAAATAAGTCAAACATGTATACAATTAATCTTCTGGTTAACATTAAATGCATTCCTTTATTGGTTTAAAGTTATTTAGATAATTTGTTTACACAATCACTCAAGTCATTTTGAATTTGACAAATTAAAAAATTCTCACATATTAAACTTTTAAGAACAACTTTTCATTTTACTAAATAATAGTATATACCATATTAAGTTATCAACAATTTCATCAATTTCTTTTGGATCATAGGCTTTTTCCATTTTAAATTAATTATCAAGCTGTCATCAGAAATAACATAATTATATAAAGCATCAGTTTTATCATTTAACATGGTAGATATTCTTAAATATCAGTATCATCACATTGTATTTCAAACTTTTCATCATTACTATCAATTTATACTAAAGTCTTTTCTTTACTATTTATATCACATTGTATTTCAAACTTGTCATCATTACTATCAATTTGTGCTAAGGTCTTTTCTTTATATCATTATTCGATTTATATTATTACTGATAACGGTATTCATATACACAAATTTGCTTGTATTTTTATAATTAGGCTTTAATAGTTTTCTAGATGACCTTATACAGTTTTCATAGATTTCTTGATCAGTGATTATTTTTTGAATTTTGAATTTTTTTGTATGTATTAGATGAGGAGTAACAGTCTTGGTGATTGCTTTAATACTATTTTCGGATTTGTTAGGTTTTCGTTTTTTTTTACAGCTTGTACTTTTCTGACTGTGGTCTTCTGGTTCTGCAACACATTTAATATAAAAACAGCTGTCACTATTTTTAAAAACAATAAAAAATTATTTTAACACTAGCTGCCATTATTATTATCGTATTACTGCATTGAAGTCTTAAAATACGATAAATAAAACCAGATTTGACTATTCTATACAAAGCTTGGGTGAATCCTTAATCAAATTTACAATCTACATTGATGAATATCATGTGTCAGACAGTTAAATTCTAAGGTAAACATAACCTATAGGTGATAAGTAATCTTATATTAGATATTCTAAATATGGTAAGAACTATATGAAAATCGGTTTAATAGTTTTGAAGTTTATATTATTAATATAATGCAACACTATTATTACAAATATCAATAATTACAATAAAAATACTTAAATAATAAAATTACATAGCTAAAGTATCTTAAAAATAATATACATATGAAAGAGAATCAGATATTTGTACCAAATTAGATATCCCATCTTAAATGTAGTAATATATTTAAAATATATATATTTTTTTCAATAAACTCACTTATATAGCTTTTCTATTATTTGATATACTCTGTCTGCAGTCATTTTTTCCATAATAATTGATATTTTCCAATAAATTAATTAATATAGATAAGTAAAACAATAACCACATGGATAAACCAAAATACAAACAAAAATTGGTTCAAAAACAAGTGCTATGATATGATTCAAGGCACGTTAAAGAAAAGCATATAATAATAAAAACGAGTGTCTATAACAGGGATACGTGTGACTAAATAAATATATTATAAAATGTACTAGGGACATTGCCTTAAGTTAAACCTTTAGATTCTGAGTAGAGCGAGGAACGGATTGGTTTAACAATGATGTTTATTATTATTATTTTTTTATGTGAACACTTTTTCTACTTTCTAGTAGAAAGTTTTAGAAAGTTGTATGCTTTCTAGCATACAACAATTTTTAAGTATAGCATCTTCTCTGAAAGGAAATGTTTTATGGATGGTACTATATAGGAGTAATTTTTTGAAATTTTCAATAATATTTGAAATAATATGGAAAAATTTGATCTTTAGGTTAAAAAAATATTGAAAGATTAAAACTAATGTTGTTATCAGCAACAGTTTTTATTTATTTTTTGTTATTATTTTAATATTTTTTAAACAATAGCTGTTGTCATGGAAATACACATTGTTGTAATCATTTAACCACAATAATATAACACATATATTTTTGACAAAGCAACTGAATTCTACTCAGAATCGTTTTTTTTTCATTTCGGTTTATCATTGCTTACAGATATACATTAAATTTCCGCCCATATCCTACATTAACAACTTCTCATTTACAACAGTGGCTGCTTGAAAAATTTTTTTATCTAGGTGGTGTTTTAGAGAGGTCGATTTAAAAAAATTCTATTATTATTTTAATTGTATTTTGCTACAATTCAGTTAAAAATATTTAGATTTCTAGAGGGGAAAATAATTATAACATCTTAGCCATTTTAATTTTGAGTTTTTTTTATGTAAATTTTATTTAGTAGGTAATTTGTGAATAAAAATGTGAGATAAAAACAGAAATGATTGAAAATTTAACAGGAAGTCCATTATAAGTCGTACTTTGTGGTAAAAAAAAATTTGATTTTAATATAAATTTTTTTTTTATAATAATTATAGGAATTAGTTTAGTTTACTGGACATCCTTAGTTTTCTATTTTTTTTTTTTTTTTTTAAATATTTATTTTTCGACACTGATTTTAGAACTGTTTGAAGTTTGTCAATTAATAACTAGGTATTTATGCAAAAACCGTAATAACAATGAATTTCAAACAACATATTGAAAAACAAAGGGTGGTAGGTAATCTAGATTTATATCCAATTTTAATATGAAATTCGAAATTTTGACAAAAATTGTAAATATTATATGTTATTACATATTATTATAATATATATATGGCCTTTTGTTAATATGTTTAACTCCGCTCAGAATAGTTTTTCATTAAATTTACCTCTATAACCTTCTCAAACATGACCCATGTTTAAAAAAAAAGTTGAACTTTACCACTTTCACTACTTATAAACGCTTTTGTTTTTTTATTATTCCTAATGAGAACAGGTAACTGATTTTAAACTTTAATAATTATAATAGTCTTATCTAATTATCTCGTATAAAACAATTGTTTTTGGTTGTTTATTATGATAGTTTAATTTCATTCGTTTTTTTGTTATTAAGGTATTTTATATTTATAATATTTGAAATATAAATTATACTCGTTTAGTATTTTATGAACTTTGTTAGATATTTAATGTATTAATCAAATTATAACAGTATATTTACCTAGTTTGATTGTGATATTTCTTTCGAGTTCATTTTTAAACCGTACAGTTTGAACACCAGAAACAGCTTTTACAATAGTAGACTTTCCGTGTGCGACATGGCCAATTGTTCCTAAAGTATAATAAATACATATTTTATTAAATTTAAGTTGTTTAAACTGATTAAAAAAAACTTAAGAATAGGTTATCTAAGATATAAGTTTATAATAACTTGCTCATGTTATTTATTTGGATATTATACAGTCAAAGTTATATATTTTAACATAACTACATGTATATATTTATAGTATTTATTAAAGTGTTGAGTATAAGAGTTAATATTTATTAGAAAATCAACGGTTTAAGTCAACCACACTCCACCTAAATTTTTCTTGAACTTTTTTATGTGGCCTAAAAAAGTACCATAAGAATTTATTTACAAATAGTACGTTAGCAAATAAAACCATTTACTGATGCAGAAAACATATAAGAAAAATGTTTTATCAGTGCTTTTGACATGTATTTGATAATTTTTTTTACTAAAAATCAAACATCAGGAATACATATTATACAATTATTCATAAAAGTATATAAGATTTTTAGATTCTACCACTGATATTTCAGACTCTATTCATTGTATTTATTCCATTAGATACTATAGGTACTGAAAAGTTTTGAATTGACCTAGTCCCTAAGTCTCCTCTCTAGTTGATTTAATTACTATGTTGTGATTCCTATATATAAAAAAAACTATGTACCTATGTATTCCAAGTAAAAAAAAAAAAAAGGTTGAGTATGGCTAGTATAAACTGTTAGGAATCCAATTATGCCGTGTGATAATACCAATATTATAAAAAAGTATGCAGTGTTATATATTAAAAATAAACTTGGCCACTAAAATACTAAATGATCGGTATATTACCTATATTGATTGTAGCTTGACGACTGATTACTTCAGGTGAAGATGGTGTCAATTTGGTAACATCCTGTAATAAAATGATGTACGATGCATGAGAGTGAATTCAATAATTTAAGACCGCTAATAAAAAATTACCAAATTCGTTAGGTCTTGTTCCTTGAGTTTTCCGGATGGAGTATCAGACATGGTAGTTTTTCGGTATATTAATTTAAAAAATAAAAAGCCTTAGGCGAGTATACAAAGTACGAAGACACTTAGCGATTAAATAGCCATTTTTGGTTTATTCGTGACAACTGGGATAAAAATATAACAAAAATAAAAATTAATTTTAGAGAGTAAATTTCCTATAAGCTGCTGACGAATGGAATTTGGAAATGGGGAAAACAAAAACGTGATACGTGAAGGTGTTGCAGACGCCGAACCCGGACGACGGATGATCGGGTGATGAAATGTTTCCACAGTGTTACCAACAAACCTCACTATCTGTTCAAATTGTAAAAGTTGTGTAGGTAATTTGCCTAAGCTAGCCGAAATTGAATATTGACTTCAATTTTTTTTTAAGTTTTTGAAGATAATAGAATGATTAGAATGTAGTATGAGCAGATCATTATAAAAATATACCAGCTTATTGTATTTATGCATTTATATCTCAACTATTATTGTACATGCAAATTGAACATGACGTTGTAGGCGCTTTAATAATCAGCACGAGTAAGTTTGCTGTTTATTTCCAGTTTGACTGCGTGAATTTCAAAATTTAAACTGCATATTGAATTTTTATTGAAAAATAAACTAAAATTTGTATGTTGATTTAGTTAAACGGTTGATTTTAGATTACAATTCTGAATTCGGGAATGTTATTTAGATGGAATGAAAAATTAAATTGTTCTCAGTATAACGTGCGGATCGCTTCGCTTATCAACTCGAGTGATAACTCTTGGCGGACTTGTAATCGAAAATAATTTTGTTGTACAAAACCACATAGAGAAAATGAGACAATAAAAATTGAAGAAAATATTACGAAGGAACTAATATTCTCAGAAAATATTAGAAAGGAATTTTAAATTTGGAAAAAATAAATAATTTGAGTAGGAAAAGATAACACGTAAATGAGTAATTAGTTATACTCAGTTATCAATGTTATCATAGACTAATACAACATACAGCCTGTATAAAACGCGTTCCGGTGGGTGCTGGTCGCCGGGCGATGTTCATTTCGAGGACAGAAACACGTAAGATAATAAACGGGGTGTTTTAATTGGCCCTACCTATCTATTGATCCGCGCGAATCGACCACGCCATCCAGTCTGAGGTAGATTCACCCGAGGGGCGATTGCTCCGTCTAGATATTGTATAAGTCTATAAAGTCAGCAATACTGAGCCTGTAATTTAAATCAGTGTTTCTTAACCTTGTTGAGATTACGGAACGCTAAACAATAATATTTGTTTATGCGGAACCCCTAAAATAAAAAAAAATATTACTTTTTATTTTTAAAATAAGTCTAATTTATTTTGTTTACTCATATCGGTTAGTATTAATATATTAATATAAATTAGGATAATATCATTAAAAGACTTATGTATTAAGTCAGGTCTTTAAATATATTATATGCGCACACGGCGACGGAACAACGGGGAAAATAATTAATAGGTACTTACTAAAAATAACCAAATTCCTCACTGCAGGCACAGCTGGCTGTAGCGCGTCACACGCATGACATGATATTGCTAATTTTGATTTTTTCAGTATCGTTAAATGGTTAATAATTGTAGAATTATAATTAACTTTTTCCAGGCCTTCCAGGAACCCCTGCGAATTATTTGCAAAACATCAGAGTTCTGTGGAACACAGTTTAATATACGAATGCTATAATATAGTACCTATATCTACACTAGGTAGTATATGTATAATATGATCTAATTTCAGTACCTACCATGCTCGTTTTCAGTACCACGATTTTAGAACGTACAATTTTGTATTGTTCTCAGTACTTACGAAACCGCAAATGTCATAGTTTAGGTGGGTTTTTACCGGTGCAGTGATATTTCGTACTTTCATGTATTTATTCGATTTAATTGATATCTATGTCGATGATAAGACTATGAGTCTCTAACCTTCCCCCCTGCGCACGCCATTGGTCACGGTATGACGAACCACAAAAGTTTATTATTAAGTAATTATCATTAAAAATATGAGATATTTTTATTGTAATATGTTGGGGGCAACTGCAGGTACATTAGGTTGATTGGGTTAAACTTTACCTACCACATATCCCTCACGAATTTTATTTATTTTTTTTTTCATTAAAACGTCTTTTTGGACACTTAGTGACACGATCAAAGTTTTTTTATTTAAAAATATTTTAGAATTTATAGCGATAAAGTTTGATGTTTTTATGATTTTACAAGTTTCATGTTCGACATAGTAACAGTCTCACGTTTTGAATTTTTTTTTTCCTCCTGTTATCTAATACCTACCCGATGTGGTTTTGCACAACAAATCGAGGATTATATTAGTTTGAAACAGTCCGAGTGAGTGAGTGATCCCGTCGAATATAAGTGAATCTGATGATAAGAGCAATGCAAGTGATGATGATATAGCAGATAAAGAAAGTGACAAAATTTTTTTTTAATATATTATTAGTATTTTTACATAGGTATATATAGACCTTAGATCATATACAATGTGATTTAAGCATTAAGGTATAGACTATAGGTATGATAAACTATTATTAAAAATTCGAAGTTTTTTGCCGTAACTACTTTAATAATGGTTCTAGCAAAAAATGTCTAACTACTTCAAAATCAGCGAAGAAAAACGTCTTAAGAAAAAAAAAATTTGAGGACCATGATAATGTGCATTTGTTCCGGTTGAGGGTTAGGGCCCTTGGGGGAATTTTGTAGGTGAGTATAATGTTGTGTAGTATTGGCTTGTTGTTCATAAATATATAATAATAATATGCTAATATGCACACTAAACAATACGCATATCATTATGATTATTATATTATGTACTTAACTATAAAAATGCCGACTGAGCGAATTCCATTCCGTTCGGTCGCCGACCATGGCCCAGCAGTCAATCTTTAGGTGAATAAGCTGCACGACTGTTGTTTTACACATGAGTTACTATTCTAGTGGCTTAAACAATTCTACTTAGATCAGTTATGCATATTCTAAATGTTGAATCTAAATACATCGCACTTTCATTCTAAATGGCGTTCATTAATTGTAATTTGTTTAACTAATTTGTATCAATAAACCGTCTTTTTCTTTCACTTCTAATAAGTAAATCTTTTCTTGTTATGATTGAAACACCTTTAAAAGACGCACTACTGAGATAGTCAAGAATATGATGTATTCATCATATTCTGATGATGATTCTTGTGATTTTTTACCATACTCCACATATTTAACTCTTGACTACATGGGCATTTTTTTTTCAATAATTACACGTGCGGTATATTTTATTCACCAATTTAATGTAATGGTATATAATTACACGCGGAGTATTTCGTTTACCAATACGAAAATAATTTTATACGGAGTTTGTTTTTGCTGCTAAAAGCCTACAAACATCGAATGACTTTGACAACTGAAATAGATTAATAACTATAACATAATAGATAAGGAAAGGTTAGATTAGGAGAAAACAACTATAAACCAAAATAAAACAAGATAAAAAGAAATATTGATATACAGAGTACACCAACGCACGTAGTTAAGGGTTAATAACTATTCATTTAAAACAGTCAATTAGCCACCAAACACTACTCGAGATTCCATTCAAAATCAGCAACATATCCTAACCCTTTAATTTCCTCGCTTTCGTGTCTCCTGAATCCTGAAATCCTCCCTGAAAACCCAGTGCGTCACCTCAGACGCAATTGGTGTAGAGACTTTTTACGCTAATAAGTTAGGTACAAAAATAAGTTAACAAAGAATCATGTTGGGTTCTATCATTGATTGACTTTCCATTTCATATCACTCAAATGAAGAAATTTGAAGTATTCAAAAATATAGCCTTTAATTATACTTAAATATTCCAAGAATCAGAATTTAAATAAGTATATGCGAAATTTAATAAAAATAATGGGATAAGCATGCTTAGTGAATCATTCTGTACATTTTTTCTATTATGAACAATACTTTTACATTCAATTATACTTTCAAATTGTTTAATAATAGATGTAGATGATTAATCTGTTTTTTTATGAACTTAATATATTTATAGAAGTATTTTTAGTTATAGTTTCTATAAGAGCGTTTTATTGCATTATATTAGAACGTTATGTGGTGGCCCTCGAACCATACCTATAAAATTGAAAAAATAATTTTACTTAAAAGTGTAAAATGATAATGGTTATCAGAATCGTCAAAATTGAGCTCCAGCAAAACGTTTTACTTAAAAACGAATTTATTTGATATTTCTTAGAATATAATGTTTTAAAAATGATAGGTATTCGAAGTATGATTAAACTCTTTGGTTAAGTACAAGCCTGCAATAGGATAAAAACACTTTTTATATATTATATCCATATTTTATCCATGATTTTCATAATAATTAATGAGTAGAACAAAATACAGATTTCTTACAGACAATCCATTTGTATATAATTTAAGATGGTCCATATTTTGTCAATTTCAAAATTTATTCCGGGACACCCCCCTATCTTGTGTTATAAAGTAAAAAAATTATATCCTAAAAGTTTGAGGCCATTTGAATAACATTTAGTAGAAGCACACTGCGTTTGAATATTTAATAATACAAAAAAATGCATTAAATCAAAGAAAATAGTGTACAGTTGACCATAGTTCGTTTAGATTTGATTGTTTAAATAAAATACAAGAACTTATTTTAATCTTAAGATCTTAATAACTTTTTTGTTATTATATACATGAGGACTTCTTAATTGAATACTCTAAAAAATTAATTAACACTTTATTATTAATTATTAATTTAAATTTTTCTTATTTTTTTAAATACATTTTTATGAAATTATTTTAACATTTATCAAAAAAAAATCTGCATACAAAAATAAAAATGTTTGTACATTATTTTCTTTAATTGATGAATTAATTATTCAATGAGCTCAGTGAAAAAGTTTTTTGAAATGTCATGGGTGAATACATTGTAGAGAAAGGGAGCAATGTCTGCTGCCTTGGGGAACTCCGGATAAGATGTTAAGATGTTAAAATAATTGAAGTAACTTGAGTTTTGGCGTACAATGAAAGTGCGGTCCGTCAAATACGATTTTAGCAGAAAGAAGTATGGTGCAGGCAGAAATTTTCTTAATTTGAATAGAAGGCCATCAAACCAGACCCTGTTAAAAGCTTGTGAAACGTCTAGGAAAACGGTCTGCAAATTAGCGTTTTTTTTCAAATGGCGACGATATAATTTCAACTACTCAGTGTAATTGATGAGAGGTCAAGTGTTTGTTTTTGAATTCGAATTGAGTTTCAGGGATAATTTTGGCTTCGGTAGTCAAGGGGAGAAGCCTTTTTAGAAGGATCTTTTCAAATATTTTGGATAAAGTTGGGAGTAGGTTTATGGAGTGATATGAAGTAATATTTTCTGGAGGTTTATTTGGTTTTGGGATTAAGATTATCTCGGAGAATTTCCAGGTTAAAGAGTAGTAAGATAAGCGTAACATAGAGTTATAAATATAGGATAGTAATAAGATTACCTTTTTTGGTAAATTTTTAGCAGTTATATTTGTAATGCTGTCGTAACTTGGGGCTTTTTTGTTATGGAGTTTTTTTTATAATAAATACAATTTCACCAGGTCTAATGTACTAGGGGAGAGGAAATTTAGCGAAATTTTAAAAATAATTTTTGTTGCTTAGAGAAAAGTTTTGTATTGATAAGTTTTGAATACCCAACGATATATTCAAAACTTACCAACCAACATATGTGAGGAAACTATTTTGGAGAAGTGTTTTACTTAACTTATTTCTTAAATGATTATAGGCAAGTTTTCGAAAGGGTATTTGTATTTGCCAGCCTTGCTTTACGTTTTTCTTGAAAAAGATATTTAATATGGTTTGGGAGTGGGTAGTTTTTGGAGTGAGATGAACTGGGAGTGGTTGCTAAGTGAGTGCATTCCTCTATGTCAGTTGTAAGTTTTAGGATAATATTGTTAATATCATCATTTGGTTTTAATGGGAGATCGAGTTGTGAGCGAGTTTCTATGAGTTTTTTGAATGTGGGCCAGTCTATTTTTCCGAGAGCTTGGGAATTTTCGGAGGTATTTGAAGACAACATTTCAAAATCAAGTATAATTGGAGGGGGTCGGATGAAAGATCATTTATATTGGAGACATAGGTATTACAATTACTTGGGATTATTGCTATAAATATCCAGACTTCTGTTCTGATGTGAAAGCCAGTAGGTGGGGTCAGAAAATGGTAGTATATTTATGTTGGAGTTTTCTAATGAATTTTGGAGATTTTTGCCCCTCGTATTAGTTGAAAGACAGCCCCAGGTAGAGTGTTTTACGTTCAAATCGCCCGTTATAATAAAGTATTTATCTAGTGTTTCAAAGTAATTTTTGAAATTATTTATGCTAATTTCGGGGCCAGGAGGGTAATATGCGGATGACAGAGTTAGTTTAGTGTTCTTATTTAAAGATTCCTGGATACTGGTTTCTTGGAGAGATGTTACACTAATTATTAGGAGAGGTGAATATCCCAAGTTATTTTTTACAAGTATCACCGAGCCAGTGTTAGCCGTGTTATTCAGGTGTTTGCTTTGATAGACTTTGTAGTCTAGAATTTTGAAATTTTTTATTGAGGTTAGGTGCGATTAAGAGATCATGTCAATATCTTTATTAGGATTATTTATTAATGCCTCTAGTTCTAATTTGTGAGGCGTAATACCGTTTGCGTTCTATGAAAGTAAATTAAATTTGAGACTAGTTTTCATTGTTGGAGCTTAATTTATTTATTAGTGAGGTGAGAAGGGTTATTAAAGGATTAAGAAGTGGTATGAGAGGAGATATTAGTGTTTTAAATTTACAAATGAATGATGATAATTGGCTTGTTAGTGATTGATTGGGGAAAGGATTATTTAGGTTTAATACTAATTTATTTGGTTTAATACCTTTGACTGTTTGAGAGAATAAAATGTGCTAGGTGTCATGGAATCGTTTTGAGGGGTTAGGAGGGCATTATTATGATGTTGTGTTTCTCTTTGTGTAGATTGGCTGTTGGATTGGATTTAAGGTGAGTCTTAGTTCGCCGTTATTACTCTTGAGTTGGTGTTTCTTTCGGAGACGTTGGAGATCCTTATGAACAGTTTATCCCCTGTAGTTTTCTGGGTGACCATTTCTGCAAAGTGCGTATTTTACAGGTAATGCTTTGGATTTAAAACATGCGTTGGAGCTATGGTTTTCGCCACATCAAACACATTTTGGTAGGTGGTGGCAGTAAGATTTGACCATACTGTTGGCAGTGATGACATTGAATTAAGTTGCGCTAAATCTCAAAACTAAACTACTAATTTATAAGCAACTTCTCATTCTTATCTGGACTTATGGCATCCAGTTATGGGGTGTGGCCAAATTCTCAAATTTAAACAGAATACAAAGATTCCAATCGATTACCTTGCACATGATAACTAAGGCCTCTCTCTATATATCCAACCATACTCTTCTTACAGATTTAAACCACCAAAACTGTTCCAGAAATGTTCTCAATTATGTATAAATGTTCACGTGTATTGTTCACGATTAGAAAACCACTCTGACTCACTAATTTCAGTATTTGAAATAGATTCAATACTTGGTAATTCTCGAAGGAGGTTTAAGAAAAGATGGTGTCATGACCTAAATTTTTAATCCAAATCTAAATTAGGTAATATATATATATAAAAAAAAAAATCATATAACATTTTAAATTAATATAAATTTTAGCCACTGGATTACTCCTTTTATCAAATAACTCAATTATCATTATTATATTACATATAATAAATTGTAAAATTAGTTTACAGATTGTATATTTAAAAATAAAAAATTAAATTAAACAATATCTGTCATCAACCATTAACCATTGCTAATAAAAAATGATTGGAAAGGAATTTTTTTTATTTTATCACATTTTCTGTACTTAAGCCTTTCAGGCGTTTACTATAATAAATAAATAATTAACTGAACTCATTTTTACTGAGCATTTATTCTGGAAAATGATATTTTCCTGTTGTATTAAAATTGTTAACATTACAATAATATTGATAGTAAACTATCTAAATAGTTTTATAGTTTAGCTCATTAAAAAGCTGTATTACGATAATTGGGTCGGGTGCAGACACTGTAGGTAATTTGATGTATACCTGTCAGCAACGGTAAACCATTCTTAACGAAAAACAATTCTGACCAGAGTTCAGTTCATAGTGATGCTTTGTCGAAATGCCAAGAATATTTATAACATATATATATCATATTACGACACAATACGTTTAAATAGGTGTTATAAATTTTCTTTAATATTTGTTTAATATTGTAGTTTTCCTGTTTTTCACATTTGTTGAGAAAAATCCGGGCAAAATCAAAAAACAACCTCCCTAAAGTACTTCCCCAGTCCAATTTCCTTTTAGAAAAGTTGTGCGCAGATAAAAAAAAAAAAAATAAACATGAAACCATGAGCTTCTTAACTCCATTCAGAATTTTAAAATAAAAATATACCACTGTATAAGTTTTTATAATGTAATCACATACATACATTTTATCATTTTTTCAAAAAGTATTGAAATAGCAAAATATTTTATTTCAGGGTTTCTTAAATAATGTTAATATTACACTAAAATTATTGTATGGTAAATTATAGTGAATAAATAGAGATTTTCAACTGAATGGTGCATGTTAGCCAGCAAAATTTGGTCGTCTAATTGGACCCTTACAGGTTCAGTCAATAAATAAAAAAGTTACAGCTATCTACTATGTAGGTAGTTTATTAACTTAACAAAAATTATACATACAACATAACACATATTTATAAAAAACACACAATAAATTAATGTACATATTAGGATAAGTGACTACTATCAAGTGACAGTCATGTTTTTACATTCACATGTTTGCTATTTAGTCAAGTTATAATAAGAATATTGGAGTGCTCATTTAATATTCTTATTTTAGCTTTTAATTATTATTGTTATATTGATTATGATCAAATACCTATATTTTTATTATGTTAATTACACACAGATATTTTTCAAAAAATGACTGTACAATAAAAGTTACATTCCAAAATTATATATTTCTTTAAAATTGTTTCTTAATAAAATTTAATTATAAAGAAATATTTTTCAGAAAATATATTTCCATTTAAATAATAGTATTATTTATTATAAATAAATTATTTAAAAATATGAATAGATATTAAGATATTATTGAGAGAAATCCTATACTTAAGTAATACAAATAATGTAACTATTAAAAATAGTAGCCTTGGCAATTTTTCATATTACATTGACACCTAATACCAGTTTTTTTCAAAATGTTATTTTTACTGCACCGAGAAAAATAATTGATAGTTAGTTGTTCACCAGCTGAAATTTCTCTACTAGAAAACAATGCCAGTTCTGGAAGACTTCTGTTTAGACAATTAATCCAAACTGCATATACATTTAGATTGGCGTTACATGAATGGTTAATAAAATGTGTGAAGTTGGCATAATTTGAACCATCAATAATATATTCAAAATTATGTTGATCATCAAAATCTAAGTTCCACATGTATTCTAAAAAAGATGTTTTTTCCTGCAATCGTTTTTCTGATTCATTTATTGTAATTACTTCTCCAGTGTATAAGGCTATAAACTGTCCTTTTTTTATATTTTGAGAGGTTTTAATACCCCAACCACATTTTCGTGTTTTATATATGGAAATATTTACAGTAGTGCCTAACTGGACGACTCTATTGTTACAAGTACTTTTACACTTGCATTTTCGGTTACATTCATAAATCGGGCAACCAGGGGCAACAGTGATGCATTTATTTGCATCATAAACTCTTGAATAACCAGAAAGCTCATTACAACATTTTTTGGAAAATTGACAATTTTTTGTACAATCACAGCCAATAGGCGGATCATTTGATATGTCAACATTTCCTCGAGGAACATATTTGGTAACATATACAAAGGATTTCGGAGGCCCTTCAAGATCCATATTATTTTCTACTTTGATAAGATAACTATTTGATAATACATTGATATCGATCTCCCATTGTTTGAGAGCAACTAATTGACAATACCGGTAACTATTTAAAGAAATTGTACCCAAATATAAATTTAGCGCTTGCTTTCGTTTTATTTGATTTGCTTGAGGACCAATATCAAGGCTATTGAACAAACCAGATATATCTTCGGGAGAAATTGATGGCAAAGATAGACCATCTTCAGTTCTAAATAAGTCGAAAAAGTATGAAATTAATTTTCTGGATAACATTAAATGCATTCCATTTATTGGTTTAAAGTTATTTAAATCATTTGTTTTATCTGCTACATAATCACCCAAAAGTCGTTGTGAATTTGACAGATCATCAAAACATTCCCATGTATTAAACCCTTTAGACCAATTTTTCCATTTAACTAAATAATAATGAACACCGAAAATAATTATGTGATCAACAATTTTATCAATTTCTTTTGGATCATAAGCATTTCCTTTTAGATCATAAACTTTGTCAATTTCAAGATCCAGCATTTTTCCATTTAATATGTATTGTCTTGCTCTATCATCAGAAATAATAAAATTATATAAAGCATCAGCGTTATCATTTGACATGGTAGGCATTTTTAAAAATGCAGTATCATCACATCGTAATTTAAACTTTTCATTATTACTATCAATTTTTGCTAAGGTCTCCTCTTTCTTATCTTTTTCATCATTCGATTTTTTATTATTACTGACAGTGGAATTTATATACTCAAACTTGTTTGTATTTTTATAATTAGGCGCTAATAACTTTCTAGGTGACCTTGTATTATTTTCAAGGGTTTCCTGATCTTTGGTTACTTTTTGAATTTTTAATTTTTTTGTATTTATTGGATGAGATGTACCAATTGAGGTGGTCGCTTTAACATTTTTTTCAGATTCATTAGGTTTTCTTTTTTTTGTACAGCTTGTACTTTTCTGGCTGTTATTTTCTAGTTCTGCAACACATTTAGTATAAAAATAACTATTATTACAAATAATACAAAATTATTTTCACACTAACTGCCATTAATAATATCGTATTATCACATTGAAGTCTTAAAATACAACAAATGAAACCAGGTTTGATTATTCTATACACAGCTTGGATGAATTCTCAATAAAATTTTCTATCTGCAATGATAATTGATGAGTATCATGTGTCAGGCTACCAGAAGAGGTAGTTAGAAGATTGGTTATATTAGGAATGTTACATTTTCTAAAATTAAGCATATCAAATCAAAGGAAAAAAATTGCCTTACAGATGAAACATGCAGTCCCTTATTACATGTTATCATTTCAGAAATAGTAGTTGATTTTGCTGAATTATCATCTGCAACTACATATCCTCAAATCTCACATTAAACAAGTTATACAAATTTTATAAAATAAATGCTAATTGTAAATTTCAATGACAATTTTTTTACTTTTTATGTTCTGGCCTGCTGGATTTTTAAATTCTAAACATTTGCCTCGAGTAACTTAAAGTTAACGATCCCTGACATGGATAATGCAACACAAATATTAGAAATATCAGTAGTAATATTAAGAAAACTTAAATAATACAATAATATAGTAAAGAAAAGAAATCTTAAAAACAATGTACATTATAAGGGCATTTGTATTGAATGAAACAGATACCAGTTCAATAGATTCGATTAATCAAAATACCAGACTATAAAGTATAGAGATCTAAATTCAATGGGTCTGCACATTAAAACACATTCTAATATTGGTTAATAATTTGTATTTATTAATATATGCCGAGTGAAATTTGTAATGTAGTTTTTTTTAAATTTTAATTAAGGTTTTTAACATGTATTTCAGTTGTATCAATTAACGAATGGCGGATTTTTTACATTAGCCTTAAAAATAAATTTGGGCATGAATCATAACCGTATTAAAGTTTCTTAAGCTAGCCCTGCCTATAGCTACTTATATCTATAGATTCTAGGTATTATATCAAACATGTAAATATCAATGTATCATAGTACTAGGCACTAGATATCTCATCTCTAGTCACTTTAATTACTCTTTCTCACATTTCTTTACAAAAATATGTACTTATGTAACCCAAGTAAAAAAAAAAAAGGTTGAGTATGGTTGATCAACTGTTATGAATCCAACTATGCCCTGTGATAATACCAGTATTATAAAAAAGTATGTAGTGTAATGTATTAAAAATAATCTGGGCCACTAAAATACTAAATGATCAGTATATTACCTTTATTAATTGTAGCTTGATGGCGGCTGATTATTTCAGGCGAAGATGGTGTCAATTTGGTAACATTCTGTAAAAAAATGATATATGATAGATGAGAGCGAATTCAATAATCTAAGGAAGCTAACAATAAATTACCGAATTCGATACTCCTTGTTTCCTCAGTTTTCCTGACGGAGTATCAGACATCGTAGTTAACCAGTATATATTAATATAAAAATGAAAAGCCCTTAGCTACTAAATAGTCATTTCTCGTTTATTCTCGACAACTGAGATGAAAAAAATAACAAAAACAAAAATTAATACCCACTAACCGATAGAATTCATAAAGTCACTGATGATTAGAATTTGGTAATAGACAAACAAACACATGATATCGACTGTTTGATGTAAGCGACACCTTTACCAAAATTTACTTTTTAACGATAAGGTGAAAACTACACAAAGACGTATCAAATGCGACTCGTTTGATAACAATAATGATAATAAATATTTTATTAAGGGTTTATTTATTTTTCGTAAGTGACAGAAATTAAAATTGGGTTAGTTGATTTGTAAATTTGTTGGTAGTAAGCGCCCATTAAAATGACAGTAGGTAAGAGACAGCTGGTTTAATGTAAAATGGTGTAAACGCCATTGATGGTAGTTATTAACAGTTATTTCACTTCCCGGTCTTTTCGATGATAACGAAATTGGTGCATACCAGAGATAATGTAAGAATATTATCTTATCTTATTTTATCTTATATTATCTATGGTACCTACGCCATTAACAAAATAAAGTTTTAAATTTTAGTTTTAAAATAAGATAATAGATAAAAATACTAACTTGATTTATTTAAATCTTTTTAAATAGTTTATACTTGGACTGATTAATATTAAAATATAACATTTTTAATTTTATCAAAAATTAATTGTATTTTAGTCAAATAGATTAAGGTACTTGCTGATTTATCTAATATTTTTTTAAATTTTATATTTATAACTTTTTAATTTTCTAAGATGGTTACTATAAGATGTTTAAATATAACTTATACTATTTTGTTGTATTTTGTTTTTAAAAAATGTAAAAAAAGAAAATACTAGCTTGTGATAATATTATTATATTTATGAATTGCTTTTTTGTTTAAATAACTAATTTTTACTTGGATTTATGTATTAATATAAATTAACATTTGTTTCATTTTATTAAAAATATCTATATTCTAAGCTAACAAAGTTATTCACTATGTAATTATAATATTTTAGTTGTTTAATTGTAATAATACAATTTATTTTTTTTATGTGATGCCAAAACAAAAGTATAAAAAAGCTGTCCTAGGATAATGAGAACGGGTGCAGCTATTGTTATAAGTAGGAAGTTAGGAAATTAGGTTACAGAGGGGAATTTAATGTACATCACAAAGCAACGATAAATCATTTCTAACAAAAAACGATTCAGAGCGGAGCTCAGTTAATTGTGATGCTTTGTCCATAATATACGTGTCATATTATGGATAAAACAATTGAATAGGTTTTATATATCTATTAATAATATTTGTTTAATATTATACCAATTTTCTCGTTTTTTTTACGTTTTTCCCGGTTTTCCCATGTTTTTCCCGGATTTTCACTATTAATGGGAAAACTTTTGGTAAAATCAAAATATAACCTCCTTAAAAACCACCCTTAGAACATTTCCTTTCGGAAAAGGGTCTACATCGCGTATATCAGAGTAAACTTTCTAGTATAAAAAGTGAAAAAAAATAAAAATAAACATCTTTGCAAAAAACCAATACATTCTTTGCTACATTTAGAATCTAAATTAAAAAGTGCCCTCATAATATGTTTGACAGCATCAGTAAATATAACACCATGAAACACATTATGTATTTTGAACTATAGAGTAATGTTTTGAATACAACAACCAGAAGATATAATAATATTATGCTGGTAAAAAAAATAGTAGGGAAAATACTATAAATAAAACGGATTATAAGTTTAAGATTAAATGTCGATTAATTGTTCTTCTTTTGTAGTTGTGAACTGTGATGATGGTTTTCCAGTAAACGGTTATTCAATCTAATTGAATTGTTTAATTTTTAAAAATTATTTTATAAAAGTTGGAAAACAAATGTTTTCACCGTTTTCTTATGTTAGTTTAATTGCCATAAATCGATTTTATTAATAAACGCAACTACTTTGTCATGTAATTGCAGAATTTGAGTTTCCTTATCTTTTTAAAATTTGTTGAGCGCATATTGAGTTTTTCAAACATGTCACATAATTAAGCTGATTTGATTAAAAAATCAGTATCAATAAACTTGTTGAAATTGTTATGACTTTCTTCACAAAAATAAGTGTAAAGTACTTGTCTAAGTTCTAACACTTGTGTTAGTAAGGTTATACATGTTTTAAAAGGCCGCAATATTTACGATCTTGGTCAAAATTTGATCTTACAAAAAAAAGTACTCCATTAAACTCAATTTTTTTTTATTGACCACTAAATACAACTTATAATGAATCTCCTGTTAAATCTTCAAGAATTTCTGTTTGGTCTAACAATTTTATCCATAGAATACCTACCGAATAAAAATTACGTAAAAAACTGGCAAAATTAAATAATATTATAATGTTTATGTAATATGCCTAAATAGCTTGAATGAAATAGCTAAATACATTTTGAAAATTGTATCACGTTTAGAAAAAGGAAATATAAATTTTCTATACAAATATTAAATCTCTACGAATATTTTTAAATTAATTTAATGAATTACAACAAAAAAGCAAAATTTAAAATAAAAAAATTACCTCACTAAAGTAAACGTATTCAATATGTGAGTACGCAATATACTGGTGTACGTAAAATGGTAGTATTCACTATTAGTCATAATTTTATTCTAAATTATTCATTTATAAATTCTTAAAATCCAAAAAAAATTCATTTAATAGCATTCGTTGGTATCATTTCGTTCAGTTTACGATACCCGTAAATACATGAATCAAATTAGTATTTAGGTATATTTAGGTATAAACATTAAATTAAATAGATAAAAAAAAAATATGAAATTTCATTTTTGAATTTTCCAAATTATTATGAAAACTTAGGTATAAAAAATTACTTTCTCTTTCAGTAGCTATATAATAAAATTAACAAAATCGATATCTTGCCATTTTTCGATTGGAGCAATATTTCTGGTAGAAAACACTGCGAACAAAAATTAAAAACAATGAAAACAGTAACGTCGCAGCGTGCTGAAAATATTTGCCGTCTTACTCATAATTTTCTTTCGGGTTTTTCTCAATTATTTTAAAAACCCTTAGGAAAATCAAAAAATGACCTCTGTAATGCACTAATTAGAGAAAATTATCTCTCAGAAAAAGTGCTACACTCATCGGAGAAAGACTTCTTTTTTCGTAATTTAAATGTTGTTTATAGACAAAATAAAAGAAAAAGAAAAAAATCCCTAGCTAGGCTTTGGACTAAATCATCTGGTGAGCAGAATTGGTTAGGTTATACATGTATGTGTTTATTTTTTGAAATGAAATATTCCAAAACTAAAACGCCTCTGTAAATAAATTTAAATTTGAAAATCCGGCTCTATTAAGAATTTAGAAAAATTTTTCATTTAATAAAATACTCAGAATGAAGAAATTCCGCAACTTTTAAACGCAATAATTAAATTAAAACAAAAAAAAGACATACACAAACAATATTGTCTTTGGTCAAATTATGGATCGGATTATTCTTAAAATCTGTCATAAAGAATGGTTGTTTCGTTTTTTATACGATTTCACTTGGTATCAAGTCAATGCCTAATATTTTATGCTCAGATCGAAATTAATAGGTGGCAATACTTATTTGGAATAGGAAAACAAGCAAAAAAAAAAAAATAATTTAGAAGACACAAAAAACTTGACATTGTGTGAAGATCTCGGTTTAGTGGCTGCGATTTTTACCAAAATCAAAAACTTGTAGAAATCACGCATTTCAAAACATTTCGTTAACAATGATATATCGTTGAGGACAGATATAAATTTAATGACTTTGCATATTCTATTTTTTATTACTTTTCTCACCTACAACCGTGGCACAAAGCCACACCTGTCATCAGCTCTTCAATCTTTTTTTTTTACACTTTTTTTCCGTGTTACAGAATTTGATTGGGACAAGTTAACAGTGTTTTTATGGGTTTGTGGGTTTGTTGATTTTTGGGTAGAAAGAGTGTATCTAACCTAACCTATTCCATACTACCTACAGTTATATATATTTTCATGGTATAAAATTAGATTTAGAGATTTTTTTTTTTGTAAGTAATTTTATTATAACTGCAATATAACGGCAATAACTGGAAAAAATCAACGGAGAAAGTTGAAATCTACTTGGCGTTGTTATAGTTATTTTTATTATTCATGATTTGTTATTTTTATCGTTTAGGTGATATACTGCAGGGTGTAACGTATAAGTAAACTATAGTATTATAATATTATGTACCTACCTATATCTAATTAATTTAATTCCTAACCTAACTATATATCTGAAACAGGTTTTCTATTATATTAATAATTCTTAGTATTAAAGTTTTACACTGGAGGAAAATATTATTATAGGTAAGGTAATATTATATAATATTCTAATATTACTATATGCGCTTACTAAATCAAGAGTTTTTTAGATAAACATAAAACATATTATTATTTTCTCGTTCGTTTGTAAAATAATTTGTATTTACGTACACTTATACCGTTTACCGTGTATCATTTACATGACTGGGTCAAAAAACTATATCCAGATTTTAGAAGTGGGGCTGTGACGGACGATTCATTCGGTCCGGACACAACGTCGTGTTTCAGAATAATAATTTTTATTGCGTCGCATAAGTACCTAATTATTTGTTTGTAGTGTTTACCAAAATTATCATTGGTGAAATATGAGGGGATATTTCCAGTCCCAATTTGGACAGTTCACCTCCTCCCACGCAGAAAATATAAAAAATGTATAACACTGATAGTCGATAGATTACTATAACACATTGACTAATTCGACATTGAACATTAAAAACCAGTTATTTGTCTTTAAACTAATTGTTGTGCAAAGTATGCACATCCACAAAATATGCACTATGCGGAACTTCACAGTTTATGCTATCATTACTATCTGTAGAGGCGATAGATTTTGTCAGGCTCTGGACAGTGCTTTAGTATAACTAATGATTATATACCTATATTATAATATACCGCGGGGCTCATTAAAACCAAAACAAGCGCGGAGCCCTGGACTTATTTCCCATTTGTCCTCCCTTAGCGCTGGCACTGATTCCTATTAGTCGTTTTGACGGAAAGTTTCATAGCAAGTAACATTTAATGTCGGCTCTGTGTTTCCAACGGGCAATATATCAAATATGTGTTTTCGGGGTTCCAGTGGTACCTATATTCTGCAGGCTCCAATAGACTTAACACATTTTTTTTACCAAATTAAAAATGAAAATGGTTTTTTGGTTCTAGTAAAAATTTTGAACACGGTATGAAAAAAAAAAAAAAAAAAGGACCTACATACTTCGCACGTGGGTGTGCCACTGGTGTAAGTGAGAAGTTAGGAATGTAGTCGAGGGGAAATTTAATGTATATCTGTACACAATGATTAATTATTGCTGACGAAAAAACGATTCTGAGCGGAGTTCGGTTGATAGTATTGCTTTGTCAACAATTTAAATGTATTATGATAAAATAATTACATATGGATTAAACATTTCCTTTAATAATATTTGTTTACATTGAACCTGTTTTCCCGTTTTTTCCGATTTTTCCATGTTTTTTTCTCGGTTTTCCCCATTTATTGGGAAAACTCTTAGGAAAAATCAAAAAATGACCTCCTTTAAGTACCTCCAAAGTCAGATTTCCTTTTAGAAAAAGTGCTATCATTATATGTTGGAGCAAAATTGCTGGTAGAAAAGTTGTACACAGAAAAAAATAAACATCATTGTAAAACCAATACATTCCTCGCTTCGCTCAAAATCTAAAACAATACTTGATATGTAGCGTGACATTTTCGATTCCCAATAAAATTTGAACTTTAAATAGCGTATCTATCTATATATATATACCTATAAAAAAAATATATATATATACATACGAGTACAATACGTTAACTTTTAGATTTTAAACAAAGCTTCTTATACATTAGTTTTTGATGTGGTTTTTAGTGTCTATGAAGAACTTTTCTACGAGAAATTTCGCTATAGTTAACAAATGGAAAGCGACTTCTTTTTTTGATATTTTTCAAGATCTTATAGTTGGTGTTTTGGTACAAGTTTTATTGTAAGAAAGTAAATAGTGCACGAAAAAAAAAATTGAGACGTTTCACAACAATTAAAAACTTTTTACAACACCTTTTAATTTAAATTTGACTCGAATTGTTTTTCGTTAGAAATAATTTATTGTTGCATACAAATATAAATTAAAAAATTCAATGTATCCTATCCTTCTAACTTCTTACCTACAACAGTGCCATACCCATGGGCAGTTGCAGCTTTTTTTTAAACTTAAAAGAGAAGAAAAATAAATATATTTATTGTTAATAACATATTTAATCTATGTCGCATACAACTTAATTTAAATAATTTTTGCTTGAAGTAGGTAATAAATAAGTAAAACATTGAATATTGAATACTAAGCTGTCATTGATTTTCTTAATTCCGAATGTATTAAAAAGTACATACCCATCATATTATATTATGTGCGTTAAATTATAAAAATGGTAAACTTGGATGTGCCAAAGGAATATAAAAAGGATTGTTTTTATTGTTAATAATTCTTTTGGGTAACGTTTATACGCAGTAATAGTCAATAGTTCATCGTTTATGTTTTGTGTGTGAACCTAAAACAGAATAATATAAATAAGGCGTCTATGTATAGGCATTTCTACTCGTACTTCCGCTGACATATTGTACAATGTAAAATATCATAATTTATAACAATAGTAACCGCAATAACGTATTTTTTTTTTTATTTGTATTAATTACTATTCAATTTCAATGCCAATAAGGAGAAATCCCCACAATATTTTAACATTTCAAAAATAAATCGTGTTCTATAAATACGTATTACCTTTGTATTTTCTTTATAAATACGTGTCTATTACATTTGTATTTCCTTTTTGAATAGATGATAAGTTGATTTTATTTTCGAAACTCTTAGCTATTATATCTCTACAATCTTAGTTTTGCATACCTAGACTATTATAAAATAAATAGATATATGCTCGTTTTTCTATTGGTTTTACAATAATTATATGTATTTTTTTTTTTTTTTTGATAAATATCTGTATATTTATTATTAACTTTTTTTTTTTGTACGTAAAAATTATAGTGATAAATATTTTATTGTATTGCAGATAGTGTTTAAAAGTTTAAACAGTAATTAATCAATATTATCTTGAAGGTTTTTTTACGAGATTCTGAGCGGGGCGAGGAATGTATTTTACTATGATGTAAATGCTTTTTTTCTCTTTATCTTTTCTTTCTGAGAGCAAATTTTCTATTAAAAATCTTGCTCCACTCAAAAAATGACTTGAGATCGTTTTAGTATTGAATCGAGTTGGTATATTGAGAAAGTTATTTTTTGATTTTACAAGAGGTTTTCATAATGTTCGAGAAAAATCGAAAAAAAACCGTATAGGAAAAATGGATAAATATTTACAGCGCACGCCACGGCACTAATAAATAAATTATTTTAAATTTTTTCGATTTTTGTTTGCTATCAAATTTTCATAAGTAACAAATTTTGTTTAGTTGGTGGAAAAACGTTTTTTTAAATTTTATGTGTAGTTTTCTTAATAATTGAATAAAACCGAAGAAATGGGAACGTTTATATATAAAAAAAAAACGGTTTTATTATTTTCAATTTTGTGCTTTTGTTGTTTTTCAGTTAAAAATAATCATAAAGTTCTAAAATTTTCACAGAATGTGTCTACCTATGTACTTTCCTTACCTAGACGTGGTAATTACGATGATTTTTGAACTACCTATTTAGAGGTATTTGACATATTATCAATTTATTTTTTTAGTTTATATTTGATCAGTATTATTTGACCAAAAAGAAATGCTTGAGAATTGTGCAGGTAAAAAAAAAATAAAAAAAGTTGGGCTTGATATAATCGTTTTATTTTATAAGCGTTTTAAGATCGAATTTTGATAAAAATCGTAACAATTAAGAAATTTCAAAACATGTACAATCGAATTTCTTTCAGAAACTTTTTTCGTTAGCAATGGTTTATCGTTGCATACATATACCTATAAATTAAATAACTTTATGCATTCTACCTTTTAATTTTCCCACTAACAACATTGTCACACCTGTAACCCATCCCCTGAAATATAAGCTCTTTTGTATCACTTCTACCCATTTAAATAATTTTTGTTTGAAGATGATAATAATCGATCAAACTTAAATAAATAATATGATCTTCAGAGGTTTATAAATGTAGCCCCTCTCACCAATAAAAAAAATATATGCTTTTCTTAATATTTATGTATTCATGTAAAAGGTTGTAAGCTTGTAGTAAGAAGAGTATATAGGCATACGCAAAGAAAGGATATGAAATAAAATAGCGGTACCCATTGTAATAGATATCATATTTAAATACGGACAATTAGGTAAAGCTATAGCTATTATAATTGTTCGTTTATATTTTTTGTGTTTTGTAAAGAAAATTCACAATATCTCCGTGTTTTTTATGCAAATGAGGTACTTATGTATAAACCACGGGAAATAATAATATGACGATGGTGGGTAAGTAGACGATAGAATTCTATAATATTATTACCTACCCTCAATTATAATAAAATAATATTTTCTAAAACACTACTTTCTATTTATATTGCAGGATCGTTTCACGCGTATATATTAATTTCCTCATGGTACAGCTATATAATATAGTAGCGTATCCAGAAATATCAAATTAGATAGAGTGTTTAACATAGAAAATACAAATTATATCCTATAATGGTGCAAGCAAAATGTGTCAAGTTCATATTATTATTATTATTACCTATGTATAGTATTTACAATTAATTGTACTATTCCCCCTTCCCTGGGTATGCGAAAGACAGTGGCTAGTACAATGGTATTATCGCCCCCCCTCCCCCACGTCAGTATTGTTGATAGTGTTAAAAATTACATATTTTATGAATTTAAAAGTTGTATTTTAAATTAAAACATTTGCCTGACTTACATTGTGCGTGTATCTATTAAGAAAATATTTTGAATGATTTTTTTTAAGGAATTTTCAAAGTACATTTCACTCCCTCCCCCTTATATAAGAAGAGTCTAACTATACCACTGTAGAACTAGTAAGTATCTATGTAAATATTTTTATTTAGCGTACAATGTTTTGAAACTTCTTCCCAAACGGCAATAATATTTGGGTTCATATAGGCGTGCACAAGATTTTATCTAATCTAGGCTGTAGCTGAGAGAGGACCGTTAAGCCTAGACCTCTTCTCCTAATTTTAGGAGAGGGTGGGAATTATTGACAAGGTGACACCCGATAATCCACAAGTATTTGGTGATCTCGATTTGATACACTCGGTTACATCGTTATTTTGATTTAATTTGATTTTTTTCTAATTGCATTTCATATGTACCTATAACCAAAACTATAAATAAAAAGTCCGTGAATGTATTAATTATAAATAACCGAATAGGTACCGATCACGGTTATTTACTAGATAACCGTAGATATAACCGTGATACCGATATTGTAGTAACTACATAATTTTATGTATAAAAGGTAGGTATATAGGTTGTAAATATATGTTATGTTTATAATATATACATTATACCTATATAGTATAGCATATAGAATATTATTGTACAATAATATTTTATTCACTTCATATTATGATAATTATTCACGTTTTCAGATAAATAGGTTTCAGTTTTTTTTTTTGGTTAAAAATCAAAATAGTTTCGTTTTTAAAATTATTCACTATACGTACGTATATAAATATAATTTGTTGTGTTATGTAAATGTTATTTTCGTGTCCAACAAATATGATGTATTCTTATTTTGTCAATGGTTTTGGATAAGATCGCCAAAATACAGAAAGAATCGTAGATAGGAAAAAATAAAAAAATAAAATAAAAAGAACAAATAAAATAAACGGAAGACCCCTTCCAAGTAACATGGGTTTTACAAAAACCAACTGGAGGCCAGTATAGTCAACAGCTCTCCCTCAATCTATTCTTTCAGTATATAGACACGCTGCAGAAAGCACAACCTCTGCCTGCACGTCTCGGAAATATTTTCACTGTCGGTTATAAAAAATAAAAAAATAATGTTTTTCATATCAATATTTGTTGCTGTTTTAATTGTGTTTTGTATTTACGATATTATTACACCGCACAAATATCCAATAGGTAAGACAAATTTATATTATATATAATATTAAAATTAATTACACGTTAAAGTGCAATAATGTATAATAAACATTAAACATACTCTACATTTTATAGGTTTAATTTTTAAGGATGATTTGTATTATTATGACAATTGTATAAAGTATTAAATATAGGAAGGCGGATATGAAAACTGCAGTTTGTCTTTAAACACCTTCAGTATATTATGTTTGGCGCTGTTTTTGTAATCGAAATTTATAGGCAAATAATTCTTCATTTTTTTTTTATAGATACATATTTGTATCTAAAATGTACCTTTTATAATTTTTTTTCATATTTTCTGGTCTTTTTTTTTGATAATATAAATTCCTGAAAAATTCACTGCTTGAAAATGAATGATTCTTGTTGTTAATAAAAACAACAATCGATTACACGCATTTTGCCCCGATATTATACCGATGACACAGTATTTACTAGTCTTATACATACGTCATTACTTGTGCGGTGTGGGTAGGTATATAAAGGAAATACAATAAATAATTATTAAAGAGTCGTACGTTATAATCTATAAGTTACGATAGTAATAATAATAAAATGTAAAGCGTAGATATTTTTATATTATAGTATTACATGAGAAAATGCAGAGCCTTAGATGATATGGTATTGAATGAATAAATTAATCCAATTAATTATTATTATTGTCGAATATTAATACAAGTCTGCCCTACCAGGTTAGGTGTTGATTTTAATAAAATTAAAATCATAAAATGTGTGATTATTTTAATTAAACGCATTACATTATGTCTAATGCTGTAATATATAGGTACGTACCTTTCTATTATAATATGTGTATAATATACATTGTATATGCTTGATTTTATATCAATCATTATTAATTATGTATGCGAGTAGTTTTCAAATATAAAAGGTAAGTAATTACAGGTATTAAAATTATAATATAATAATAATTAATTGGTACCTATAGTTAATTAATAGTTTTACTGGATCCTATCAATAAAGAATAAAAATTTAGTTTATTTTTAACCTTTGTAAAAAACAATCATGTGTATCATAAATTTTTATAATTATCAAAAATATAAAATATTATAATACTTATATACATACACCTGTGGACTATGGGATTAAAAATGTAAATACCTTTCAAACGAAATTCCAAAACGAGGTAATTTTTAAGGTGTAGGAGGTACCTATCTAAAAATGATTATCTGTTCAAACATACAGAATATAAAAAGCCTACTCAAGGTCAATGATGCCAGAAGAGGCCTAACTTTCATATGGTAATGATTTTTTTTTTATTATTGATTCGTTTTATGTTACAACACATAGCCACATAGGTTCAAACATTGTACAGGTACCAATGAACTGTAAACTGTGTGGGTGCTTCTCGTTCAAAATGAAATGAATTTATTTTAATAGGTATTGTGTTTATAGTAGTAGTAGTACCTATATGAAAATAATGCACCTGGCATCCAAGAGGGTAGCATTGTTCGGGAATCATTAATTTAGGGAAGACAAAAAAGAAAAAAACCGTTGACCTAGAAACTAGTTAAGATCTTGAGATAGGTCAGGTATAGAAAATGTTTAACCCTTCTACATTTATATTCTAAAAAAAAAAAAAAAAAAGAATATGTATAAATTATGTTGGGCGATCAAGTAATCGATAACAAAAATGTGATGGTTATTTTCTTTCGTCTAACGGTCGTACCTATACCAAATACAGATACATGCATTATATATGTTAGAGGCCTACTACAAGTGTTCATTGCCTTCAACAGTCGTTGACACCGTTATACAAAGATAGATACAATTTTGTAATATTTTATTTTAGTAAAATGTAAATAGTAAGTTTATATTTAAATGTTACTTAATGCTCTCTACCTCCACATGTGGTTAGAACAAATTTTATTTTTCAAATTTTTAATTAGGTATTTTACCTACTCAAAAATGCGAGTAATAGAAAATCCAAACTAAGTAATTAATTGAATTATTTTCTTTCGGTTTTAATTGTCGCTAATTTTGTTTAAGTATAAATATTTCATTAAAAAAAAACAAAAAAAAACTGACATACTTCGCACGTGGGAGGCCACTGTTTTAGGTGAGAAGTTAGGAAAGTAGTAGAGGGGAAATTGAATGCATATTTGTATATAACGATAAGCCATTGCTAACGAAAAAACGATTCTGAGTGCAATTTAGTTGATAGTGTTGATTTATCAACAATATATATGTTATAGTATGGTAAAATAATTACATAGCCATTATATGTTTCGTTTAATAATATTTGTTTAATATTGTACTTAGGTTCCCGTTTTTCTACGTTTTTCCCGGTCTTCCTATGTTTTTTCCCGATTTTCCATTTATTGAGAAAACTCCTCGGACAATTAAAAAAATCACCTTCTTAAAATACCTACCCAGGCCGATTTCCTTTCAGAAAAAGTATTACATTTAAAAATAGGAGCAAGATTTCTGGTAGAAAAGTTTTCCACAGAAAAAATTAAAATTAAAAAAATAAACATCATTTTAAAACCATAAGCTTTTTCACTCCACTCAGAATCTAATATATATATAATTAATTATAATATATATATTAATTATTATTAATATAGAATTCTATGTTATTTGTCAATGGTTAACTTTGGTAGCATTAATTATTTTACACTGTTAGATTGTATAATGTGATTAATTTATAAATTATTATACAGTTTTATTAAATTATGGAATTATCGATTTTTATTAAATACATATAAGACTTAAAACAATCGTTCTTATATAGAATGGAACAAGATCCGTAGATCAACATAAAAACAATACATTTAGAATCTAAACACATTATTAAATCTTAATTTATGAACTAAGACCATTGTTTTTGTTTTTATAAGGTCCTACACGCTTTCCTTTAATTGGCAATTATTTCGAAATCCGAAAGCTCAGGAATGAACTAGGGTTCTATCATTTAGTTTGGGATCAGTTAGCCAAATGTTATGGTCAAGTGTATTCTGTCAAACTTGGTAGGATAGAAGCCATCATAGTTTCTGGCTATGATGCAGTAAGACAAGTGTTATGCAAAGACGACTTTGATGGACGGCCTGATGGATTTTTTTTCAGGCTCAGAGCTTTTTATAAGAGACTAGGTAAGTTGACCATTATTAAATATTTAAGAATATAATACTTATATTAATTTGAATGTTTTGAAATTAAGGCATAGTATTTGTGGATGGACCTATGTGGACAGAACAAAGAAAGTTTTGTATGCAACATTTACGGAAAATGGGATTTGGTGGTGATTTAATGGAAAGACTCATAAGTGAAGAAGTTAATGATCTCATATTAGATATAAGGAGAAGAAGCAAGGTATGAATAAATTAATAAAAATAATTGTATAGACACAAAGTAACCATTTTATAATTAATTAAATATGTTTAGAATGGTAAACAGATTGAAGTTCATGGTTTATTTGACGTATCGGTTTTGAACGGACTTTGGACAATGCTAGCGGGGCGTAGATTTGCATTGAATGATTCTAAACTTACAAAACTAATGGAGTTAGTACATGTCAGCTTTAGAATGTTAGACATGTCAGGAGGAATACTAAATCAGATGCCTTTCATACGATTTTTAGCTCCCAAATGTTCCGGATATAGAGACATCAAACACATTTTAAACGAATTTTATACGTTTTTAAAAGTATCTAATTTAAATATTATATAATTATAGTTTTTAGAAGTCAATATTTTGTATATTATGTTCATAGGAATCAGTAGAAGAACACAAATATAACCTAAACGACCAGGAAGATTTTATTTGTGCATTTTTAATGGAAATTGAAAAAAATAAGAAATCACCAAAATCATTTTCAGAAGAACAGCTCCTTGTTGTTTTATTAGATTTATTTTTAGCTGGTTCAGAAACCACAAGCAGCATGTTATCTTTTGTCATTTTATTACTTCTCAAACATGAAGATGTTCAAGCTAAAGTACGTGCAGAAATAGATACGGTGATTGGTGATCGTGAAGTTCACCTTACAGATAGAAACAAGTAAGATATTTATGTGTAACTGTTCTAAATAAAGGGATCAACATAATGGACGATTTTCTAGAAAAATAAGTTTTTCCCTAAAATTTAAAAAAATTAAATATATATTCATGAGAACATGTTTTAATATATTTTATCCTATCTAATCATAAAATATTCAACAAAATTACATAGGTTGAGTTATCTTGAAGCAGTATTAATGGAAGTACAAAGACATAGTAACGTGGCACCATTAGCAATCGCTCATAGAACTATCCGAAAAACAAGCATACAAGAATATATAATACCAAAAGTGTGATAAAAAAATATTACTTGAAAATTTATCTAATTTATCTAAAAGTAATCTATAAACATTTTTTCAGGATACATTAGTCTTAGCAAGTATATGGAGTGTTCATATGGATGTACAGCACTGGGGTGATCCTGAGGTATTTCGCCCTGAGCGATTTTTAGACGATACAGGAAAAATTAGAAATGACAGTTGGCTTATGCCGTTTGGTGTTGGTAAGTATATTACTATTATCTATTTTATTTTATAGATAATATTTTGTCCAAACATTGTTCATTAATAATAAACATTATGTATTTTTTACTCACAGGTAGAAGAAGATGTCTTGGTGAAATATTGGCTAAGACAAATCTTTTTATGTTCATCACTAAATTATTCCAAAATTTTGAGATACGTATTCCACAAGGTGCTCAATTACCAGATAAGCCTCAAGATGGTATCACTATTTCTCCATCACCATTCCCTGCTATTTTTATACCAAGACGGCTAGACGTTATATGAGAAACAGATTAATGATCATTACAAATTCGAACACTTATTAATATTTCACAATAATAAAAATTAAATTTAAAGTACTACATACGAGTATACATAATATATTATATGAACTAGATGAATTAGGTGGTATAGAATAGATACAAATGTACAAAACTATTTGTTATTGGAAAAAGTAAAGCCTATAAATTCTGACACACAAGAGGTAACACATAATATGTATTTGTTATCGCAGGTAGAACATTGCAATTTAAGATCGGTTTAATTTGGACCAAATATTATTACAGAATAGTAGATAATATATTGGCTGTGCAATTGTAACTAAATATAGTTTTGTAACTAAATTACAAAACTATATTTTAACAATATTTAAATATATTATTATATTTTCATTATTTTTAACAGTTTTTCCTATTCTGCGAGTATTAAATTTTAATACATCCACGCATATTAATAATTGTGTATTTTATTTTAATAATCTTGCGGAAAAATTTAATTATATATAGGTATTGATGCAATGAACATTATAGAAATTAAAAGATTTTTTTAGTAAGAATAAAATAGATAAATTGTATAATAATAATACATATAGGTAATAAACAGTAATAAATTATTCCTTATTTATTTGTATATGTTACGGGCAATGTGGAATCCTGCCCGAGCAATTTGAACCACGTATACAAACAAATTAATTGAACGATTTAAATAAGTTAATCATTTTTTTTGTACAATATTTTTCATTTAATTGAAGCTGTGTACAAGTGCACCGATCGTATCTTTGTCCTCGTAAATTAGAGAAAGCACGGGCTACTTCTCGCAATGAAATTGAAATATCCGGTACGTCGTCGATCTGTATAAACTATTTTTTCGTGAATTGGAGTTGAGTTAATACTGTACACGTACGAGATACAAAGTGTCTTGTAAAGTATGAAAATTCCACTGGTTAGTCGGAAATATCAAATAGGTACTGTTGACTGATTAATTTTATCAATATATCTATTATACTTTTAACATCCGATACGGCTAGCTAACAGATATACGGCTATATCGGATGTAAAAATCCTATTTAAAAATAATACGGAGATAATACGACGTGTTTAAAAACAGACAGACTTCGTTTGTTATAGTGACTTTAATTATGGGTACATAATTGTTTTAAAATATTCATAACATAACAATTATGTAATTATTAAAAATCAATTAATTAACTTGTTCATTTTCGTGGTTCAAATTGCCCGGGTAATATGCACTTTGCCATTAACATATACATGTGTAATATTTATTTTGTTTATCTATTGAATTCACACGAGTTGCAAGTATAATTTTTCGTACTTTGGAAATTTAGTACCAAGTTAATACAAATTTTTGAATTTTAATATTAAATTGAGAACAGATGTTGTTGTAAATGTTGTAAATGTTAAATTGTAAGACATTTCATCTAAGGGACCCTTGCCTGGTGCTTGTTTTAAAATTTTCTCCGATTTTTGAAAAATTTGAAAATTATTTTTAACATTTTAACGCGCACCACATAGGTTGAGATTTGTTCGAAGATTCCTTCCGCTTGTCTTCTATATGATTCAGTTCCTTTCTCCAATTCTTATTCATATCCAAAAATATCCTAAACTGCTTCTGCTATGACAGTCCAAATGATGCCCTTACTTTATTTTCATCAGTAACGGTTGTGCCAAACTTTCTGAGCTATACCCTCATGGAGTTACACTCTATGTTTTCAGTTATACATAAATAAAAATATTTTGACTAAATATATTCATTAAAATCATTGAATTATCATTAAAATGGCTCTATGAATCCGACAGAAGGGGGATATTTTTTTTACTTTCTGGATCTTTGTATTCAATCGGCTGCCAACTTGGTCTCCGTATGGTTCTTCTTTCACAGTAGAATGCAGTGCCATTCTGGAAGCAGTAATTTGCAACACGCGCTCTCTTTTAGTAATTTTTTTTTAAATGCCGATTTCAAGGCAGCCTTTTTTTAGCCTACCTGGTAATTTTTTTAATTCCCTAACCAGGAGTGCTTCCGAATCAAATGCTCAACAATCCTATTAAAAATCCGTGGTTTACTTCAGGCTTTCACAGTGAGCAACTTTTTCATTTCATTTTTATGAGTTCCTGCCGTTCCTGGTCACACATATGTTCACTAATAACATCTTTTTTTCAGGACCTCCATTGTGTCCTAAATCTGATCTAATTCTTATTCACCGCAGATCTATTCGTAAACTTTGTGCATTGAAATTAAACTAATTTCTCTTAAAATTCCTATGCGACCATAGTTCCAGGTCACTCCGGTTATAATTAATCTATATTAGCTATATTAGTTATACATTTATACACAAGATTGCGCATGGGTTCCCAAAACATGCTTTCTATTTAGTTCTTAATAACAATCCCTCTTATTGTACCCTACCATACTGTGGTAATGAATTATCCTACTTCTATCATTTATTGATTTTCTAACCCGCTCTCTATTTCAATATATGCAATTTAAAAACTACAAGCAATTATTCGTTTAATAATTGAAAAAAATATTTTTCTATACATGTAGCAACTTTTCTGAAAGCTCAAGTTATCTAAAGAGGTTATATTTTGATTTTTGACGCCATTTTTTTAAAATAAACGCACTTAAGTGGGAAAAGCGTGGGAAAACGTACAATATCACGATTTCATTATTTTATTAAAACACGGACGTTTTCTACCAGAAAAAATGATTTAATCGAAAAATCACTAGATACCTTTTTTGTTGTCTTTTTGATTTACTTTGTTACAGTATTATCGCTAAAACTTTCGAGCCACTTTTGAGCTTTTAAGTTTCATTACTACGTACTAATAAGCATACTTTTTTAGCATTTGTAGTGTTGCGTCCTGTATTAGATCTTGTGTTTTAGACATGATTAAAACGCAAAACATTTTGAAAGACAATTTACAGTTTTATTGCATAACGTGGTACATAAATTTTCATAATTATTTGTATTAATATCAATTACCATAGATACCATAGACACGTTTTAATCAACCTTTTAAATATTTTCTTCATTTCATCCGTGTTATTAAAGTAATCCAAATAAATAAATAATAATAATAATAATAATAATAATAATAATAATAATAATAACAATATTAATACCTAAAAACCGAATTTTGGGGGATATTTTTCAATAAGGGATGGATCTAAATAGCCATAAACCTTCCTCGAGACTCGACCGATCTATTAGTGTAAACCTAATCAAAATCTATTCAGTCGTTTTGAACAAAAAAAAACGACTTCATTTTATACTATGTATATTGATGATTTGACGTCAGATAACGTGTGGAATGTTCCGTAAACAATAGAGAAAACAACCACTATGGCGTGCGGTGGGGTAAAGGAAGTTATTTTGATGATCGGCGAGTTAATTTTGTTAAAGTTGAAAGGTTTTAGAGAAATTTCTGATAATCTACCCCATACTAAACATCCATATTGAAAACCCGCCTGATATTTACCATCAATATCGATGCAAAAATTGTGTGTATGTGTGTATTTGTGTGTGTGTGATGCTACTTCTATTATCTGTAATATTAAACTAAAACTTTAAATAAATATTTATTTAAAATAAACAAATAATTATTAAACTCGGTTCACGCATTAAAGAAAAAGGTATTGTAAAGAGTTTGATTTTGGTCGATTTATGTATAGAATTTAAAGTTTGGGATGAAAGTGTTAAAAAACTGAGTTTAATTCAGTTTTTGGGAAGTCAATTTCTTTTTAAAAAAATCATGGAACAATAACTATCTACGAGGCATGTGAGTTTTTCTCGTAAGGCATGTTTTTAAGCTATAACCGTGCTGACACGGAGACCCTTAAATAAAATAATGTAAATATTAATACTTATTAGGTATTAATAATAATATTGATTCATTGTACAAGCAGAGACGTCTCTAGACATTGACTATAGAAGGGGGGGGGGGTGAAATAATTAATTTTATTAGTAATGATTGATAAAAAAAAATGGACATAGGAAAAGTTGGAGGTAGAATATGAAGGGAAATTTAATGTATATATATACCAAAATAAATTTAAGCATTGCCAACCAAAAACAATTCTGAGCGGAACTCGGTTAATAGTGTTGCTCAGGAGTGCCTTCGGGTCAATTCCATGAGAGGCGAACAATTTTTACTCTTGAACACCACCGCTTTGATTAACAAAAACTTAAAACCTTTATGTTTGATATCATTTCAACTTATACAAGTATATTAGCTTAGAAAACTGCAGATATATTATACAAATGCACCACAAATTTCCTCAAAGTACGACTTTTAATGAACTTTATATTAAATTTTCAAGCATTTCTGTTTGGTCTAACAATTTTATCCACAGAGTATACCTACCAAATAAAAATTACAAAACTCACATAATTAAAATGTCTATAAATAGCTCAAAAATGTTACCACATCAAAAAGAAGCAAATATAAATTTTCTGTCCAAATTTCAAGTCTACGAATATTTTTAACTGAATGACAACAAAAAACAAAATTTAAAATAACAAAAGCATTATTTTCGTAAATTTTTAAAGTTTTCTTACATTTTATCCCTGATTTTCTTGATATCATGAAAACTGCTTGAAAATCAAAAAATGACCTCCCTAATGTACCATCTAATCAACGTAACAATATTTTATTTTAAAAAAGTCGCTTCACTTATATATTGACGCATTGATATACTGGAAGAGATTTTTGTTTCAGCATAAAAAAAAAAAACATCATTTCCAATTTTAATTCTAAAAATATATTATTTTATTATACCAATAAAAATTGATTATTCCCACTTAGTTTTCCATAATTCTGTCTCACCTTTGAGAGAATATTTATTGAAATTTATAAATGAGAAGTGTTTCATTTTTGCTTCAATCAAAGTATTTCCAAGATCCGGAATTATCTTTATGGCATTTGGAACCAATTGCATTTGTACTCTTGTACTTAAGAATTATGGATATTTTGTATAACAAAAAAGATCATCACACGGCTTATGGGGCGATCACCCTATCGCCCCCCCCCCTCAGAAACCCGCCTGTGTACAAGTGGACTATTCAATAGTCAACAGCTGTATTGATAATTAATTATTCGGTATATGAGTGCGACTGCGGAACTACTATAGAATTAATTAAAAACATGGACATAAAATTAAATCTATCTTAATCCGTGAATAAAAAAAAACTCATCATATTTTACACAAAAAGGTACCGATAGATTATAAATATTCACGATGTCACGTAGAGGAGAAAGGCAAAACACAGAAAAATATAAAAATTAAAACAAAATATCACGGGAAAATATTTGTAATAGTGAAATAATGAATTAGGCAGTGTTGTTAAAGTTCCTTTTAAAAAATAATTCGTTCCCGTTCCTCGTTCCTTAAAAAAGAAAGTCGTTCCTGTAAGCTTTCCTTTTCTTTTTATGAATACCTAATGCACACCAAAATAATGTTTTTATGTTCTTAATTTGAAAATAATAATATCACTGATGATTTTGCTTTAAAAGCATTCAAATATATACAATTAATTTGACATTGACGGCTTTCATTTGTTACTTGTGTATATACCTAGTTTTCAATAAAAAAATAAGTGTAGGAAGTGTGAGTTGATCAAGTCAATCAAAGAAACTATTAACTATTCTTATTTCTTAGAATTGACATGTTTAAAATCTTAATAAATTAAATTAAATTAATTTCCTTGTTAAAAACAAAAGAATTGCAATATTTTAATTTGTATTCCTAAAAATAATGAATTAACTCACGTTTCCTTCAAAAAATAATGGAATTAATTCTTTCATTTGTTCCTCTAAAAATGAATCAATTTCAGGAATCGTTCTTTTAGGAACGCGTTTTTTAACATCACTGGAATTAGGTACCATATTCTTGGTTTTCATTTTTCTGACTATTATTTTCATAAGTAATGAATTTTCCGAAAACGTTCTTCTTAGTTTTAGTTTAGAAATACGAATATATTAAAATATAGTGTTGAAAATTATAAAATTATTCCTTACAATTATAGGTACAAGGTAACATAGGCGGAACTAGAGTTATTCATTCGAATGTGTCAGACCTTTTTTTTTTTTCGTCATTATTTGTTTGTAATATAAAGGTTGTCCTATAAATAAATTCACCAGCTCAGTGAATTTTTTTTGTAGTTCATAATTTTCTTTCATAAGACGGTACCTATTTTATTTAAGTACACATAAGTTAAAATATTTATCACTTGTACTAATACTTTCTTACTTACTTGTACTTTTACCATTACTATAATTATTATATTTATTTACGTTAAAACATAATATGTAATCTGTAAGTATTAATTATAATCATTTATTGTTTAATTGTGAGATTTATTAATTTATGAAATATTACACATATTTAGTACTAAATAGGTACACTAAAATAAGTAATAACACCATTTATTACATTAGCTGCTAATGTAATACTTGTGATAGTAATAATTCTTCTTTTATTGTATTATCTCCACTTAAAAATCGAACAAAGATTAGCAATTGACAACATTGTGCTACATCTGTACTTTCGTCACACTGAAGAACAAACCAATGAGATTTTTTTATGAGGCATATAAGCTGTTCTTCAATGTCTTGCGATATATTTCCATATCCTATATATACAGTGTTATTTGATAAAGGAATGTCTTGTATTTGTTTTGCTGTTTCCTTACCTAAAATCTCTTCTGTAGCTTTCAACAAACACGGTTTAATCAAAGTTTCACCAATAGTATGAGGTTTTTTAGATTTTGCAATTAATAGGGAAATCTCATATGAGGTATGAAGCACTTTTTCAGAGGTTTCAAATCTCGTACCACTTGTCCCAAGTTTCATTTTTTTTAAAGTTTTCCTTCTTACCTTCAAAGAATTCTCGAGAACGATCACTAAAATTTGGGTGGACTGTCTTCAAATGTCGTTCCAATTTTGCAGGTTTTAGTGCATCATTACTGAGAACTGTTGTAAAAATCACGCACTGTGGTCTTACTTCCTTATTCACCGTAATATCGGTAAAACCAAATTTAATGTATTCATCATTGTATTTTCTTTTCGGTGGCATGTTTAATAGTAATATTATAGTAGAATATATAATTATACAAACAAATAAATGTTAATTAATCAAACAACGCACAAGAAAATATGTAGTTTCTTTACAAAGTCACGTAGTGTACTAACTTACGATATGACAAATAAATATAATACGAGTAAAATAATAATAGATAAAATACGAAACGAGTAGGTAATACCTACGTGATAATATTATCGATAGATTATGAGACATAACTAGTAATAGTCATTAATAGTCATAATAATTAAATAATAATAATAAACGTCTGTGAAACGAAATATTTCTATGTTCTTGTATAACCTATAAAGCTTCATTAATATCCAAGAATTAAGATAATTATATTTTAATTCATGCTATTGTGTCTAATGTGACGGCTATGAAATCGACAATATAATCATTATCAATTTTTATTATCAGTAGTATATTCTAATTCCCGCCATTTTTTTCTTTACATTTAATTGATTATTTTATGAATTTTGATTTATTGGAATTTTGACTCATGATAAATTATGTTTTTGTGAATTTAAATATTTATATTTTTGTCTGTTCAGTTTTCAAAAATATAGTATTAAACTATTAACTAAATAAATAAACGAGTACAAATTTATTATTGAAAATGAATATCAATGATATTATGTTGTCATCGAGTGACTTATTCAGAAAAGGAAAATTTTCAGAGTGCTGTGAGATTCTCCAGCATACAGTTAACAATTTTAATTTAAAAAATATTACAACACAAGATGAAGTTGAATTTGTAGTGCTGCGAAATAATTTACTTGTCTGCAATTGTCTGGTATGTATAAGGTAATATTTAAATTCAATTTTCAATATTTATTATGCCTGTTTGATTGAATTTATTTGTTAAACTAGAGAATTTTACCGGTAATTAATACAGAATATGTTGACAAGATGACTGAATTAATAAATATGTCTAAACTTTATTTGTATGAGGAACATATTCCATTAGAATTGCGAGTAAATTTTGTATGCAATACTTTGCTATGGTACTGGTTTAAACCAATGGAAGTTCATGATTATTGTTATAATGAAATAATACAATTGGTTAATGAATGTTTACACAAAGGTTGGTTTTCAACAATAATTATTTATTATAAATACAATAATACAATAATACTAAAAGTTTATGATTTTCAGTGTTGCATGAAAGTGGGAAGAGTTCTGTAAATTTGAGTTTAAATGTTGGAAAAGAGCAAGATATACTTCATATTCTAGAATGCTTATCTGACGAGTTTCTTAGATTAGAACCAATATTGGTTGTTCAATGTATAGAAATGTCACAGATATTATCATTAGTGTTTTTATTGCAACATAGGTCTCATTCACTTTTAATACATTTTACTGAGCAATTAATTGATAATATTAAACCAATAATATGTGCTTTTAAGTACAAAAAAATTAACCATATTGCTAATTGTTTTAAATTAGGACTTTTTAAAATTAATAATTTTCTTGACACGGAGTATATCAAAAATTTAATTGTTAGCGGTCATGTGTCTCTGTGTATAAAACATATTTTGGAAAATCAACACCAACAAGCTTTATGCACATTAAGCATCATTGATCAGTATTTAGATGATGGAAATGAATTGTTTTGTTTGGTGTACTATTTAATAGCTATTGCTAATTTTAATTTGGAAGCTTTTGATGTGACATTGTATTATTTATCACAAATGTCTAATTGTTTAATGGAACCATTTATTAAGTCGAGATGTTATTTACTGCTCGGAAGAACACATTCAAAAATGGGAAATGGTGATTTGGCATTAGAAGCATTTGAAAAATTAAAAGAATCATCATTTAGCAATGTTATGGCTTATTATATTTCATGTCATTATGAACAAAATAATATGCATTTTACACAAATGTTGGTGTTGGAACAGGCCATTAAGGTAATATTTTCAGCCATCAAGCATTCATATAAAACAATGTAAAAATGTATAATGTATTAAAATGGTTGTTTAGGGAGATTTTGATAAAAATAATGATTGCCAAAACGATTTTTCAATTAGTTATATGTCTAAAGTACTAACTATATTGTATCCACAGCCAGATTTAACTAAAAAACAATTGCTATACATGGCAGCTAAAAAGAAATATGAATATAGTGTAAGCAACTATTTATTTTACAATTTTTGTATTGTTATTTTTAGTTTAAAATAATTTTACAGAGTTATAAACTAGCTGGTTCTGCTTATTTAAGTCTTTTGAAATCAAATGAGTCTGAACAAAATGTTTCTGACTTAGTAACAATTCCATCAACATTTATGCTTAGACATGAAGCAGCTGTAGCTCTTTTAAAAGCTCGTGAAATGGATGAAGCTTTCAAACTGTGTCAGTCCCTGATTGGAGAATTTGAACCAGGATGCGGAATGTGGGAAAGTGATTCATTTTGGGCTAATGAATTGAACGATTACAATTTTAATGTTATTGGCACTATGTTATTGGCTGAAACTGGTCTCAATAAAAATACCAATATAGTTTTGGAAGCACTAAATAAGTCATTTGAAATTATTATTTAGTTGTATGGACATTATTTTTTTAATTTTTTTTTTTTTTAAAGATCTTATAATTGTCTGTATGCAAAAATTGAGTATGACATATCAGAAACTAATAGCTATAACAGAAATATTAAAACTCTGCGACAAATTCTCATGGGGAAAATATTATTACTCAAAGCAACAGTTTTGAGCAAGCTCGATAAAGAAGAAGACTGTCAAGCTGTATTTGAAAAGGCACTTACATATAACGCAGGTAAATTTTTACGTCTGAAAGCGATAGACTAGTAACAAAATATATATAGTTTTAACTTTTGTTATGACTACATTATTCTATTAATCTTTTCACTTAAATAATCACCTGTCATGGGCCACCCATATATGCAATAAATGTTTTAACCTTAACAATTATTAAATTGATAATAAGTAATTGATTTAAATGTACAAAATTTAACTTAATTAGTAATAAAAACAATACCATTTTATAGGAGATGAAGATATTGTGTATTTATATTCAAAGTGGTTGGAACATAATGGAAAAATATCACAATCAATGAATGTCCGCGATCAATTTGATCGAAAAAATGTCAACACAATTGCATGTGACAATGTTGTCATGAACTATATAATGGAAAATAAACATGGTCTTGAAGATTCATTAATTAGTATAGATGTAATGGACGACTTGTTTGCTAGTCCTGATGAAAAAGTCAATGAAATTGTTAATGAGATGGATCCAGCTGACGATGATATTTTTAATGATTTGTTTTTAGACTAAAATAATTAATCATTAAAATAAAAATTTAAGTTTTGAAAAAGTTGTAACTATGTTCTTGATTTAAATGAGTTTTTTGGATTATATAATATTCTGTATTTATATAAAAATAATATACAAATAAAAATAAATACATAGTAATGTAAAACAGTTTTTCAATGTATATAATATATATATTTTTTATTGAAATATAGTATGCAAACATGCAATTTTTAAATTTTCTAATAATAATCATTTTTGTTTAAATATTTTATTTATTTTTTCAGCTTATTTATGTTTTTAAAATGGTAATTAAAAAAAAAAATTTGAATATAAATTTTTAATTTATAGATTAACGTAAATAATAATAATCATAATTATTATTGAATAAATTATATGATTAGTTTTTATTTATATTAGAAATTGATATATTACAATTTGAGAGTGAACTGTAATATTAATTTTGTTGTTTTGTATTAAGCTCTACCAATTTTTAAGCAAGTATCTAATATCTCATATGAATGTCAAAGTATAATCATAACAGATGAAAAAGTAAAACACAACACAGTAATTAAATTAACCAATAATAATTATAAAAATATATTTTTTTAATTTTAAAAACAACTATTGTTAGCAATACTGAAATACATTGCAACATAAAATTAATTATGAAATAAAATACAAAATAAAACAATAAATATACATCACAAATATTAATATAATATAAAAAATAAATATGCCATAAAAATATTTAATCTGGAGTACAATTAAATTCTTTTTATATATTTATTTATTATATATATAATAATATATGTTATACTATGAGTATTAACCGCATTTAATTAAATAATAATATGAATATTATTATTAAAATTATTTTTTTTATTTTTTTTTATTTTTTTTTTTTTTTAAGTTTCAAATACATAAAATAAAATAATAAAGTAAAAACAAAATTATTAAATGGTTATAATTCGTAAATATATATATATATAAAAAAAAATTAAATACCATTATTAAAATGTAGTACACACCAGCTGTATATTCTTTAATTATATTTTTGATAATGTAGTATTTAAGAATTTTTACCTAAATTGTATAAAATATAATTTCAAATGTTTCACTATCATAATAACTTGTAGAAATTATATATTTGGTAATATATTGGTTTATTTCAATCAATTTTAATCCAATCTCGAGGATTTCGTAAGACTTCTGTTAATTTTCCTTCTCTAGTATTGGAGTCAGGGTTGTGCATATACTTCCAATTCTGTAAAAATAAAATAAATTAAAAATAACATAAATTATAAATGCAAAAAATAAAAAAATATACTAATGCACTTTTTGGTAATGTATACTGTTGTTATAAATTATGTAAAGATGTCAATTAAATATTATTTATTTAATGTTATATTAAAAAAAAATTACTGCTGTACATATGTTATTATCATAAAACTTGTATTAAGACAAGCTTTCTGTATATTGTATACATCACAAGTTGCAGTAAAACATAAGACAATAATGCAACAAAATAGGGCGGAAGGTGGACCATTCCGTACAATTATTACATTGTATTGGACTCAGGAAATAATTACATTGTATGTTAATATGTTATCAAGAATTTTATTACATCAGGAATAAAGTGTGTATGTTTCTGTGATTTTTTTTTTAATAGATCTACATTTTTGATATTATCTATATTAACAAACTTACATAACTTCAAACATGTCAATTAGTTTCGATAATTGGAACAAACCACACAAATTGTAATCCAGTTTTATTCAAAATAATTTAAGATATTGTTAATGATCACTAAAAACTGTATTAACTTATAATTTATAAGGTGTATGATAATTTTGTACACATTAGATAAAATAATATAATAACTAATAATAAAACGGCAATTTTGATTATCGTACATTAGTTCAGAGGTTCCCAATTTTTTTTTTTGCCATAGAACCTTAATTGATTATAATTTTTCTACTGGAATCCTAGTTTGATAACAAAAAATACCAACAGATGCAGAAACTGGTTGTTTAGTGAAGAATATCTTAAGCTCGTTGCACAATTCAAATAGCCTTAATAAAACTCTTCTTGAAAGCCATCTCACTTGTGTGAGATTGTGTCTCAAAAGTGATTAACTATCTTAAGCTTGTATGGCTTGATATATCTATGGTTAGATGCACACAAGTGTATTTTTAATATGTGCCATCGCACATGTGATTAAAAATACTAGTAGAAGGATGGAATGGTACATATAATGCATGTGTCAATCTAGCGGTTAGATTATAGCATATAGGCCAGCACATGAACAATAGCAGCACTTAATAACATTAAATTATCATAAAATAGTTGTATAAACCAAGGATTGTCATTGACCTATATTAAAAAAATATGATCTTCTACCCTCTTGATAAGAATGGAACCTACATATTCACTATACATAAGCTATTATATATATTTTATATACCTAATATTATATTTGTTTACATGGACTTGAGAGCTCTAGGCCTTAATATCACCGATACTCATGTTTTCGTAATTTAATACTAAAAATTGTCAAAATCATAGTTAAAAATTTTTTTATATTAAATCTTAAAAAATTATAGTTAATGAAACAGTTTAAGGCTATTCTAGTTATTAGTTCATTAACAATTAAATTAAATTTTAGAGAAGAAACTAAAAATGAATATTATAACACCTTAATTATAAGTTTTAACAACAATTTATTAATAATTATTTTTTATAGCATTATTACTACCTACACATTAGACATGAATACAGATATAATAAAACTTACTGCAGATAAGGGAAGTGACATGAGTATACTTTCATATCTGGCGCCGGGCGTATAAAGACCAAATTTTGTACCTCTATCATAAATCAAATTAAATTCAACATATCGTCCACGTCTTAATAACTGCCATTCTCTTTCTTTATCACTATACACATCATTTTTATGTTTTTGTACTATGGATAGATAAATGGTAATATTAATATTTTATACAATATTCAAAAATTGTTTAGTATTATAATACCTAGTGGTATGTAAGAAGGAATTACTGCTTTGGCACAACTCTTTACAAAATTAAAAGTAGATGGTGTGTCCAAATCGTCAAAAAATATACCACCAACACCTCTCCGTTCTCCACGATGTGGTATGTTAAAGTAATCATCACACCAGCGTTTGAATTTTGGATAATACGTTTTGTCATGTTGATCACAAGCATTTTTTAATGAACGATGAAAATGAACAGCATCTTCTTCATTTAGATAATATGGAGTTAAATCAGTACCACCACCAAACCACCACTGTAATCATAATAAACATAATTTTAAATTAGGAAATTTATAATGTAGGCAAACCTGTGTCATTAACACTTAACATTTATATCTTAAAACATATTTTCAGTAGAAGGGGGGAATAGTGATGCATTTCGTGAGGGCACGATACACAACGTTTTAATAATGCACCACTACTCTTCCCCTTACTACAACTTAAGTATCTCATGAATAAGTTGACAGAAATAAAAAATGTCACCACGAAAATGTATTTTAACTAATACTCAATATATTTATGGAATTTTTATTAAAGGTGGCTATTTAAAAATTTAAAGTAAAAAGTAATTTTAATTCTAAAATGAGGATTTCAAAAATAATATAAATATAAAATTGTAAAGCTGCTTGTCTTATAAAAAAAATTTGTATTTTCTGGTTCTTCCAAATTATGAAAACTACTTTAGATATCAAAAGTTTACTTCATCTATAAGTGGCTATATATTAAAAGGAACAAAATTGATCTCTTGTCATTTTTTAATTGAAATAATATTTCAGGTAGAAAACATTGCGAACAAAAATTAAAAACATTGAACAGTAGCGCCTGCGTGCCTTAAATATTTGTTATTATACCTATAATTTTCTTTCGAGTTTTTCCCAATTATTTTGAAAACCCCTTAGAAAAATAAAAAAATGACCTCCTCAATTCACTAACTAATGAAAATTATCTTTCAATAAATTGCTACATTTTATACATTTGAACAAGATTTCTGGTAGAAAAATTGTTCACAGACAGACCATTGATTCCTCTTAATGATCCGAACTTAAAATTCCCAAAGTTATTGTCTGACATAAAGAATGTTTCCAGTTGAGTGAATCACCCGATATATAAAATTATGACACAAATTTAAATCTTAAATAATAAAACATTGATTATGAATTACAATACTAGTACTATTAACTTAGTATTTAATGATAATAAAAATAGTGATACTTATTACAAGTATATACCTCTATTGTATTATCAGGTAAAGTAACTTCAAAGTATCTATAATTAAAATGAATTGTAGGTACATAAGGATTGCGTGGATGTATTACTGCACTAACACCCGCAGCAAAAAATGGAAGTACTTGGCCACCCTTAAAATTTTTACCTCTAAAACACACAAAATTTTAATAAAACAATTTGATAGTGATTATAATTAGGTATAGATAGTTTACATTTACCTAGCTCTCATCTGATCTATTGCTCTGGGAGGTAAGTTACCATGTACTACAGATACATTTACTCCAGCTTTATCAAAAACCTCTCCTTCCTGCATTACACATGTGACTCCACCTCCACCTTCAGGTCTTAACCATCGATCTACTTGAAATTTCTTCTCAGGTTCTTCCTTTTCAAGTGCTCGACAAAATTCTGCCTAAAAAGATTATATCTAAATTAGTTATATGTAGAGTGTGAACTTTAATGCAAAAACATATTTTGACAGTATATATACAGTCCTATGAGAATAAAAGATTTGGTCAATTTATTTAACACATTTTTCATAGGAACATTTTTTTTTTTGTATATTTGAGAATATTTTAAGAAAAAGAGAATATTTAACATATTTTGGGATATTTTAGCATATTTTAGTCATGCCATAAAATAATATTATTTTATAATTCACTTGAATGTCCATGATCATTAGTTCCATTATAGTTTTCATATCATTAGGTCTACTTTCTAAAGTTTTCAAGTCTGTAACAGTGTCAGCCATAAATTTGTTAACAGTCAATGATTTTGCTGCTACAGTGCAGTATGACATGCTCAGTGCAATCAGTGTTCCAGGAATTAATCTGCAATTAAAAAATAATTTAACAATTTTTAACATGAGAAATATTTCAAATTGTATAATCTAAAAAAAAAACTTGATAACTACACATAGTTTAAAATTTTATTCCAATTGCTAAAAACCTAATTAAATATACTTATGTATTTACCTAACCTTACCTGTATGTTTTGTCTTCTTTAAATTTGATGCATGTCACTCTGTATACCGTTTTGACGGTGGACGAAATGATTTTCTGGATCATCTTTTGAACGGTGGTTGTATTTCACAGATGTATAGGATTCTTTCTATAACAGCACTATTCGACTGCAACCAGTAGAAAGAAAACCGCTTGTTACTCAAGTTTATAGTGAAACAATAACAATAACACCCACTCAAATTTCTGTGAACAGAGTCTGAGACACACGTCGCTAAGTGCTTTACAATTTTTCATTCAGAATAATTTAGATTCAAAACATTCAATTACGCGACAAGAATTTACGTGTTGAACGTAAACTACAATACAGATATTATTATATTTATTAAAATTGCTGATAAAAAACTACCGGAAAGAAAGTATGATATGGCTGGGCACGTGTGATTAGAATCACGTATTCTTTGAATTTTTTCCGGCAAGACCAAGATTATGACCGAAATATTTTTAATTTTCAAGACGTCGAATGGAATTTAATATTTATTCTGGCATTTTGCGTTTGCGGATTCGTGATCACACTGTGATTTACGATAGTGACTGGTCGGCTGTCTGACGCAACTTTTCATCAACACCCAAAAAAATAATTAAAATAATAATAATAATTGAATTAATTAATAACAATCAATACCCATTCAAATCATTTTGTATTAAGTACTTATTAGCGGGAAATGGGAAATATAGTATACTTATACTACATCTAATATAGATAATACATTGATAAGTTAAATAATTAATTAATATTTAATTAATAATATTATCATTGTTAATTTTGAAGAATGATGGGAATACACCATATACCTATATCTATACTGGTATAGAATAATCAGTATTAAATGTTAGTAAACCGGTACAAAATATACACCGGTTCGTACCAACGAATTTTTAGGTTTTATCATGGTATATTTCAAACGTGGGTCGTTGTACATACGATTAAAGATAATTACTGGTTGCTCAACGGGCACCTTGGGGCCATGTTATAAGCGTTATCACATGTCACCCTAACTTAGTGCGCTCTCTGTCCATGGAAATAATGTTATATAACAATATTATATGAAATTATTTTATCCCCTTAATAATTATTATTTTTATAGCGTTTTAAAAAAAAATATTTATGTACGTTCAAAAGTATTTTTACATTATAATAGGTATTGTGTTTTACATGAAAAACTATGTTGTGTTATTTATCTGTCTGTTCTTTTAAATGTTTCAAAAATGTTTGGGTTACAAAAGAAAATTCCTTTAAAGGTTAACTCCCACTTGGGAGTTAGCTTTAGGTGTTACATTAAGACAAAACTCTAGAATATCTCAATTGTCAATTACAATACCATTTTTAACACGTGGCTATCAAGGACAAGGAATCAGCAAATATACAGTAATTATTTTGTATTGATCACAGAAAATTGTATTTTTTTTTAATTTTCTTATAATAAATCTAAATATTCTGAAAAAAAAAAAAATCAAATTTGTTTAAAGCGTCCAAAGCTTTATGTAGACGTAGTTCCAATTAAGAAAGAGTTCCTTGAGATTACACATACGACATACATCAGTACATCACCAGTAATAATAGTAATGATCGTTTTGAATAAAATTAATAAATTAATATACATATTTATCGCATTAATTTTATAATTTAGTTTGTTAGTTGTGACTGAAGTTTTAGTCATAGATCTAATCGTAAATCGTAATCACTGATGATTTAAAATTTTACATTAGCAAACATATTTTGTGATTCGCTATAGCTATATAATATAGTACATGAATAATCCACTGCGGTCTACGAGCGTTACAGAATTATGTTATCATCCGAGTAATGTAGTCACAATTTCATAGCCCGTTGAGCGCCATTAAATTTTTAATCGTGGTTATACCACAGATTACACTGTGTAGTTTTCATAGAATAAATCAAACGGTTACACAGGTCGTTAAAAAGAGGCAATAAATGTTGTTTTCAAAAATATGAAAAACCTCCCTGCCCTGTAAGTATTGTGACCTAATTTAAATTACCACAATAATTACTACGAACTAAAATATAATACATTAATACGCAATGAGAGCCTGTTATCAACAAAATATTGTTCTTAAACGTTCTTAAACGTTTTTCTTCAGCGTATATACGTATAGTGCTAAAAACTGATAAGCGGCGAACATTGTAACTAATCTAGTTATCAATACTTATATTTGGCCGTATTTTTAAATTCTAATTGTGAACAATTTCAATATTTTGTGGTGATAAATAATGTAAGTTTATTTTAAGTTAGCTGAATGATACATCTGTTTTTATTTAATAGATACCTGGTAAAAAAATTATTAAAAAAAATAAATTGTCAAACATGTTTATCCAGCATAAATAATCTAGAAAACAGTTGTAATTCAGCAAAGGTTGAACTAGTCAATTTAATATCTAGAGGGTTTTTGATACATCTTGAAAACAATTTATTTATACTTATTAGTCAAATTGAGATGTCATTTTCCAAAACTTGCTAATAGTCAAATGTAGCCCCATTGATAATTTTTTATCCATTTCCGTGTAATGAACACAAAAATGATGTGGTTGAGTACTTTTTCACCTTTTATAACAATAACAATGAGGCTAGTGTCTAGTGGCCTGCATACGAATATTCAATGGGAATTGATGTAAATATTATTTTTTCACCGTTTACTTTTCGGGAGCTAGACAATAGTTCAAAACTCGCCTCAGTCACATCCGTGACTATTAATTCGAGGAGAACGAAGAAGTTTCGTATAACAACTGATAAACAGGACTGGCTTAGAAAATATCAAGGCCTTGTGCAGTCATTTTTGCGAATCTCAATAGGCTTTTTTTTTTTTACTTTTTCAGCTTCTCATACCATGTTTAGATGGCTTCAAAAGCTTCAAAAGCTTTAGGTTTAAAATATTGATTTTGGGTAGAAAAAGGTTATTAAATTGAACAAAAAAAAAAATGTTGGATTTTTTAGGGCGTCCCAGTCTTTTGTTACTGTAAAATTTTGAAATATATGTATTAAAAGTAACCCCTCCCTGTTTACGTGTCTGATTAAAACATATTACACAAATTAATATAAATTAATATCCTGTTTTATTTTTATCCAAAAGTAAAATAAAAACACCATTTTAATAAAAAAAAAAACGTTTTAGCTGATGCAAGACAGACATTTTGTGATCGACCTGTACAGTATTGGCCTGGCACAATCAAATATAATAATCAAAGTAAAAGTTAGTTTAAGTGATTCTCTAATATAATGGCCACTTTCATAAAATAATAATGTAAAAAAAAAAATATAATTCTTTAATTTGTTGGCTACTCTGACTTTATTAAAATTTGTTGGTACTGGATTAATGTTATTATAAATATTTGTAAAAATCTATTGTAATTGAATAACTAACAGACAAATCTCATTGAATTTTCGAATTTCGGATGATCTTATTTTACAATTTATAAAACATCAAGGCTCAAAGGATTATATAATACTGGTCAACAAAGTTTTTGTGGTTAATAATTCGATAGTTAATTTTGTATGGAATTTTACTGCTGATTCTGAATCTGGTTTCAGATTTGGAACATCGATCTTAGAAATCGCTCTTGTTTTTGAGATAAACACTAATTATTAAAAAATCAAAAATTATATTCTTAGTTAAATTCTAATAAAAAAAATTGTTTTTATTTTTCTCCTGTTCTTAAAGAGTTGTGCAAAGTTTGGAACTGATCTGTTAAGTTGAATCTGTTTTCTCGGCTCTCTAAAATTTTGTTTGATAGTTATTTATCAAAAAACTAAGCTAAACTTTTCACTTTAAATTTTTAAATTCGGAACATAGTGACTAGCGAGGGACTAGTGACTAACTAATAAAAAATTATTAACAACATATTGGTTTTACAATGATGTTTCTTATTATTTTTTTTTTTTTATGAACGCTTTTTCTACCAGAAAGTTTACTCCGATTATCAAGTATAGCACCTTTTCTGAAAGGATTAAATAAAAATCGGCTTTCTGGTATCATGTATTTACGCAGATTGTAAAATCTAGGTTATCCTTGTCCTGCGATCTAATGCCGTTGTTTGTCTGGATTTTTTTTCAGTTCTACTTAAGTAAAAAAAAAAGCCACTGTGTTATATACATTTGAGAAACTTTAACCAAACGCGTTTATTTGAAAACAGTGAATCGCTCACAGTTTCCAATTTAAAACTAATAAATTATTTAATTTATCGATAATAATGCTTTGCAGTGGCACCCCCAAGAATTTTCAATGGAAGGGGATGTAAAGAAATGAAAATCGTGAAAAAGAATAAAGTTGTCTTCTCTACTCAACTCAAATATGGGAATTGGTAATTTAAAAACCGGATCCTAAAAAAAAGCCAATTTATCATCAATAAATCAAACTTTTTTTCGGAAATCGGCCAAAATTTATGAGTTTCGATATTAAACTATTCATATTTTGTTGTATTTTTAAACAAATGGGGGGATATAACCCCTAACCTCCCTCCCTGGAACATAATATAAAGTCATGAAATATGATTTGTGATGGTGTTGTCAAATATGTTGGTAACCAAAATTATGAATTTTTATTTTGGTGATTCAGTAATCGGAATATGTAACCATAAACATTATCACTACCACAATTTAAGACATAATTAGTGTGTTCCTAAATCAATCTGTTAATCCAGCGGATTGCTCTGCAGATTGATAGAGTTATGAATACTCTTTTTGTTTTTCGGTTGGAACATATTGGTTAATACTATTATTTAAGATTGCTAATAGGCCACAATTGCCAATATTTTATTCCTATCATTTTTCATTATTTTTATCGAGATTAAAACATTTCATTAAAACTTACTTTAAAATATAATATAGGTATACATTCTAATATTAAATGATATACAATTACACAAATCGAGTCAGTACCTATTTAAATGTTTTTTAAAAGTATTTCCATTATATTATACATGTCGAGTGTTGGAATTGGAATTTGCAAATACATTAACACATTAGACAACAAATTTGAACACAAAATATTTTTGTTTGTCAAATATAGGTTAGTAAATTAGTTTTAATTTTGGCGCGTAAAGTGTTTATCACATCCATTTGGTTAAACACTATTCCATCCACAAAATTTCAGATTGCTGATAAAGCAATCCGATTGATCACTAAACTTCCCCTCCAACGGATTGGTCAGCTAGCTGATTTTAGGAAAAGTTAAATCTAACGGCTGACCAATCTGCTGAATTCAGGAGCACACGGAATTTAATATCTTGTTATATCTTAAAGTCGCTTAATATTTTGAGTGTATTCTGTAATTCTACATAGATTTTTGTTTTATTTTTATTTTAAATCGTGCACAAGCGTGCTTTCCGATTTGTGTACGTATTTTAAAATAAATACCATTACTATTTAAAAGTAATATATAATTTAGGTCACCCCCAGCGAAAAAATTCAGGGTGCGCCTTTGGAATATATAGCCATACGATGGAAGTTATCCAAATAGCCATTCAAGCGACGCGCCTATTATTAAGATTAGGATCATAGACATAATAGAATTATTATTATAGATATTAGATATTATTTATATATTATTTCTGTTTAGGTTATCTATAACCATGGTTATTATCACTGCCGGCTTGTACTATGTATGCATAATAATATGTGATAAGAGAATAGTTCTCAGCTATCTCTAATCTCTAGCCATGATTAATAACTAAGATTCTGTGGTTATACAATTTTTGGAATTTCAAAAAAAATATATACGTAAGTGTTAATATGTTCTATTTAATAGATGAGGTAACTCTTTATATTTCCATGTATTTAATATATCTGTACTTGATTAGGTTAAAATATTCACGAGTGGTGGAGTTAATGTTGCATACAATTATGGCATTATTAATATTGAATTATGTCTAATACATTTTGATTTAAATCTAATTAGATGTAATTTGTTTGCTTTCAGAAAATGAGCCCTGAAAAAAAAGCGTGGATTAAGCCCTTTTTTGGAGAACTTTCATTGAATAAACCAAAAGACACTATTCAAAATCGACCCAAACTCGCAGTAAATAATAAAAGGACTCATGCCCAAAGTGAAAAAAAGAATTCTGATTGGTGTAATACTTACATACCTCAGTCTGTCAGTAAACTAGCCGTACATTCTGGTAAAATAAAAGAAGTACAAATTTGGTTTGAAAGTTTGGATAACAAATTGTTGACCAACAGTAAATTTTTACTTGTGAGTGGACCTAGTGGATGTTCCAAAGCTACTGCTGTTAGATTAATTGCCAAACATTGTGGTTTCACGTGTTTAGAATGGATTACTCCAATGTCTGCTGAACCAATATATGATCAATGTACCGGTGGTTATTCTTATGAAAGTGTTCAAGAAAGATTTCAAGATTTTATTTGGGGTGCAACAAGATACCGAAGTTTAAACTGTGGGATTTCTAGTAATCAATTTTTGTTAATTAAAGATATTCCTAATGTTTTTCTCGATAAACCAGATGAATTTCACAATATTATGTCACGTTTCAATTCAGCATCCAAATTTCCAATAGTATTTATTGTAAATAATGAAAAATTAGTTAGAAACTTGTTTCCTACAGAAATCTTAGAAAAATTTAAAGTGCAAGAAATTAAATTCAATCCAATCACTAGAAAATCTGTATTAAATGTATTAGGACAAATAATTAAAGCTGAACAGCAGCACAATAAACTATTAAAAGTACCTAATTCCAATGAATTGAACACTATATATGAAGAGACAAATGGTGATTTAAGAAGTGCAATTATACATTTAAGTTTTAATTGTATGAACGTTCAAAATAAAACTATTAAAACAAGTTCAACAGCTCCAAAGAATGAGCATCTCGATTTATTTCATTCTATTGGTCGTGTATTATACCCAAAGAGAGAACTTAACTCTTCACTTGAATTCAAATTTACCCATAATCCGGACAATCTAATAGAACAGTTTGCTATGCAACCAAGTACAGTTTTGGGATTTCTTCAAGAAAATTACTTAACCCGTTTCTCAAGTTTAATTGATGTATGTGAAGGTGCTGATGCAATCAGTGCCGCAGACGTAATGTTAAGCTCAAATTTTATGTTTGGAGTTTCTATATATGACATTAGTTTGTCATCATTGTCTGTAGCTGTCAGAGGACTAATGTTAGCAAACAGAAATCCCATCAAGACATTCCGATCAATTGTGAAACCTAAACATTTCCAATACACTAATGATGTAGACATTTATCATGATATTAAAAGGTGGTTTGACAATGAACATGAATCTCCCAAAAATATATTGTTGGACCTGATTCCTTTTGTAAATGAATTAGGAACAGATAAACAAAAAGAAGCTACTAAAGAATTTTGTCGTTTCAAAAGAAAATGATTGCTATACAATAGTTTAAGCAACATTAAATTAATTTTCACCAAACTATATACAAGACCCTATAAAAAGTGAGATTATTTGTAAGTAGTATTTATTCAACATTGGTTTAAAAAATTTTTTTTACATTTGTTATGTAATATTATGATTATTAAAATCATATGACATAATTTTAATAAAAACTAATTTAAATTTATTTTGTTTGTATTTTTAAGAATAATAATAATAAAAAATACTTTTTACAAAAAATAAAATAAAACAACAATACTAATAATATTATTTAATATTATAGAGAATGTTATATGCATATATAATATGATGTATGAATCTATAATAAATAACGATTTAGCGGTTAATAGCCTTTTCTTCCTCGGAATCGTTGTCTGTTATCCAACTGAAACAACAAAATTAACAGAATATTAGATAATTAATAAGTATTTTAAATAATATATAATTTTTTTTACATTAAAAAACATAAGCTATGTATACACACAAATAATAATATTCATATAAATAAGTTAGTTTAAAATTAAATTATATATTAAAAGAATGTAATAAATAAACAAATTCAGCCATTTAAAAATAATGTTTATATTATATAAATAAAACATGGCATATTGACATATAATTTTTTTTTTTTAAAAGTATTGTTAAATATATTATACATAATGTTAAATGTTTTAAAAAGTGCACTAACAGAAGATTTATGTACTTGGTTTTCCATAGTTTTATAAATTTTATGTTATATTATTTTATATTGTACTTTCATAATTAAATAATACTAAATTAAAGTAATACATTTTATGAAGTTCATTGAAGTCATCTCTTTGGCTGTTAGCCTAATAAGTATAAGAGATATAATGTAGTACCTAAATTATAAATTTTTTAGTTTTTTACTCAGTATATTGTTGGCTTTTATTTCAATAATTGAATATTTATGCTAATTTGTGATAATAAAATATTTGTTTTCCTTGTCGCACGTGTTTACTAAAAAAAAAAAAGTGAAATTGGTATCTTTACTAAGTATTTAAATATTTGGAACTGCTGCCCTGTTGAGTAGTAATATTGTTAAGCTTGCCTTAGTTATAACCATATTTATAAATTTCAATAATACACATTAAATTTATGTTAGTTATCTAGTTTTTAAAGAAAACGTCGTTAATTTAAGATTAACAATTTTTTGTATTGTTAAAATATATATACATAAAATTGACAATAATGTAAATAAATAATAAAACATACTGGGTGATTCATTTAAATATTAACTTTTTTCAAAATTTGTTTTCTAGAACATTTAAGAAACAAGCTGTTTTACAATTTTATATTTTTGTCACTTTTTGTCACCGTTATTTTTGGTGGTAAAACCATTACCTACTTTTGATTTTAAGTGGCAACCTATATTAAAATATCCATAAATAGATGGAGTGTTAGTTAAAATAAATATAAATGTTGAAATTTTTAATTCCTGTCAAGCTGTTGACAAGATATTTCACATTTGCCACCAAAAATAAGGGTGACAAAAAATATAAAATTGTAAAACAGCTTGTTTCTGAAATGTTTTAGAAAACAAATTCTGGAAAAAGTTAATACTTTCCGAGATAATGAGTGTACCTACTTAAACGAATCACCTGGTACTAAGTAATTCTAAAATTTGTCAGAAAAAAGAAGAATAAAAAACAATTAAATATTAAAATTGTATATTGTATAAAAAGCTGTGCTTTGAATTAAATAACTTTAAATAGTTTGTGTTAAAAAAAAAAAAAATGTATATTTGTATGTTAAAAATATTCATCCCATAACTTTTGATTCAATTATACTATCCTTATTTGTTAAAAATACATATAAAATAGTAGCGTAGTGGTGAATAATTTTAAATTGTATAATAATTACAGAATTCTAACTTCCAAATGAACAAAGTATATTTTTCCCTATAAAATGTATAATAAGCAATAAAACATCAAAACATTTCTGTTCAGTCCACTTCTATTATAATAAAGTCCATTACAATAAAGTCAACAAAACAAAATTTATGAATTTACTGAACAAGTTATTATTTTTAGAATAATATTTTGTTATAATAATAAAATAATAATTTATGAAATTAATATCCAACTAATAAATATATAATAAACATAAGGTACCTATTTTAAATCTTCTTTAATCCGCCATTCTCATAAATAAAATTTTAAATTGTATTAATGTACTTTTAAATAATTGTTATCATATGTAAAGATCTTAACACAGGATAATGAAAATTGAATATAATATTTGTTTGCTATAGGTATTTAAGAAATATAAATATATGTTTAGAATTTTATTCTATTATTTCGAATCTCAGAAACAAAATCCCTGTCAAAAAAAAACCCCTGGAAAATAATCTCCAGAAAAAAATGCTCAAAGCAACTATACTGTAAAAATAATATGTATAAAAAAAAATTGAATTTATTTTAATCAATGGTTTAATTAATGTATATTGTGCACACATCTGTCAAAAATAATAATAATAATGAATAGTTTAAAAAAAATATTATATTGTATAAGTAAGTAGTTTGCTTACGTTTATTATTGGATTCAGCAGCCAAAAAAAAAAAAAAATAAATAAATAAAATATTGTATCAGTCAGTTAACTTACATATGTTATTGGATACTGCTGTCAAAAAAAAATCTAATGTATTTTTCCAATTCCACAATTTATCGCTCTAAACAATTGATTTTAGAATATTTAGATAGCCTATGGCATAGGAATATTTGGCAGCTAAAATTAGTTATGTGAACTTCCCTTAAGAGACTAGATAACACAGTTATATTATTTAACAAATTATTTTTCTGGAATGTTTAGTATTTCATTTGTAATTTATAAACTAAAAAAAACATACAGATGACAATGATTAGATGATAATTTATAAATATCAAAAAAATTGAAGTATGTCTGTAACCTTTTTTTGAATATTATCATTATTGAGAGTATAGATGTTTTGGGGATTTATTTTCAGGGATTTTTATTTTGGAGTACCATTGTTTCACACTTACGAGTGATCTTTTGCATTCAAAGAATGTATTTTGTAAAGCCAAACATTCTGGTGGACAAGTTCGTTCTTTCAGGCATTCTCTTGGAGTCTTTTTTTCCTAAAAATTATAATCAATATTCAATATGATTAGAAATACATTTGTTTTCAACATTTATTTACTATTTTACAACAATTTGATTCCAACAAACACATTTTAAGGTCAGCTCTTACACCCGCACAAGGTCTATGGTCAGCGAGATCACCTTCTTCGTAGCGCATCATCTTGGTATTAATTTTAAGTTAATTTTGACAAATGACAAACTAGTACATTTAAATCATTTTAGTTAAATAACTTATTTGTTTTAAAATTAAAAATAATATGATTTTTGCAAGATTAGTTGAATTAGTTCAAGTGATAAAAGTTCTTTCTCTATCAGTTATCATTAACCACAATGATAATATCTATGTGAACATATACACTTTGGAATAAAAAAAACTATTACAACAAATGTTCTATGAGAAAAGTGGTCATTGGAAAATATATGAATTGGAAAAAATTATATTTAACCGCTTGTTAAGATTATTGGGGATAGTACAAAAGGAGAAAAGGTTGATTTCTGGATTTTGATAATTTTATGTATTTTGGTGTAGTGAGGAGTAGTAATTGTTTGCTAGCTAATTTAGAAATTTAGCGTTTAGATGTTGAGGTTTTTGTGAAGATTATTATTTGTTATACACATGGAGTATAAATAATTTAATAATAATAATATATTATTATTATTGGATATCGGACCAAGATTTCCAGTAGAACAATTGTTCATTGATTAAAAAAAAAAAAATATTAACATCGCTTCGCTCAACATTTTATATTATACATTCTAGAGCCTCTAGATCACTGCTAGCTACTGGACTAGACCTAGACCAGAAATACTGTTAGCAGTTTGACGTATTTGGTGACTGGTGTTAAAAAGACTAACTTAGAATACTATTTCATAGCGTTATCGTATAAGTTCGATAGGACAATTACACATCTAAAAGAAAGCAGGGTAATACCGTTTGCGGGGCAAAATCGTATAATCGGAATTTTATCAATAATTGATACACCTGAGGTAAATCCGTATTTTTCCAAAAAAATGTAAAACACAAACTAAACATGTTTTTATTAAAAAAACGTAACAAAGTTTCAAATAAAAATTGTAAACCCTAAGTTGTTCTATATATACCAGTTAAATATACATAATTTCGTAAAAAAATACACGATTTATAAGCCATGAAAGCTTAACCATACAGTATTGCCCCGCTTTTACTTATTTATTATTTTATAAACTGTCTTAAATAATTTGATCAAATATTTTATTATATAACTATTGTAATCTATGTAATGTATCTAACTATATGTAAACTATGTAATCTATAATCTAAAATACTACCTTCACAGCTAAAAATGATATTATGAATTCAAAGGCAATAGATGTAGACAATATAAAGGCAAATAATCCTGATGAATTATCTCAGCTTGAAATAAAACCTAAGGCTTCTATAATATTTATTTATTTATTAATTTAATACTGCATACGAGAAACCCTTAGCAGAGAGTACACTGTCTAAAAGTAAACTCCGCGACCTATCTTTTGGTAAAATAAAATCCATAAGAGTCTATTTTTCTGAGAAAATTTTTTTTTGAATTTTGTGGGTATTATAATTATGAATTCAACATTTTATTACTATTTTACAGCGTTAATTATATAAAAGTTGAAATATTTATCTTTTTAAAAACTATAAATATATATTAATTTTTCGTTTTGATGTTTTAGCAAGTTCATCTATAACATCATTGATATCTATGTTGATATCTCAATGAATATATTTTAGTATGTATATATTAGCTGAACCATTTAAACGTATTTGTTTCGAAGAATTTTTCAAATATGTTTTCAAACGACGGAGTGTTGAAAACGATCATTCTCCCGTGGCAGTAGACACTGGGACTTGGAAGTGTTATGAATATGGATAAACATCTGTTTTGGGGGATTAAAACCCCCTAACCCTCCCCATTTCTGGATACGTCATTGCCTATATATACCTGTAGTTTTATAGAACGTAGTTTTTAAATTAAATTTATTAATATCAAATTAATCGAACTTTGGAATTCCATGAAAAAAGTGAAAACTTTTTCAATCTGACCTACTTGATGAGTTTTTACATAACAAATCGAGGGTAGTTTTTGATTAAGTTCAGACATAAGCAAATGAAACAAACGAATAGAGAATATTAAAATATTTAACATTTTTTTTTCTCATTAGAAGTACGGGAGAACAACTAACTTCAGCTTTATTTTGATAACACTTTCTGGAAATCTCCTTTTCTGTGATTATTCTCTGGTACATTGTAAGTGTTCTCTACCGCTACACTGTATTTTAAATTTCCCACAATACTACTGAACTGAATGTGTTATATAACAAACAAATACATGTTTTACGAATTATTAAATTTTAATTTCATAAAATTAATATTGTTGTAGAAAGGTTAAGGTTAAAAATAATAAACGGAGAAAATTTAAAATAATAGCAGACATGCTGGCAAGTCTAATAGTTTATTGATTTTCTTTTTTAATTTTCCACTGTAAACATAATATTAATAATAATAATAATAATAATAATAATAATAATAATATATCGTAATAATGATAATAGGTATACCTATAATAAAACAGCCTTAACATTTTTTAATATTATATTAAGCATATAGGTATAAATCAAGCTCGCCTAATATTATTAGTAGGTATATAATGTTGTCATGTGTGTAAAATAATACACACCTAATAATATTTACTATGTATAGTTTACATTATTATAAAAGAATTTATTTGTCACGGATCCAAAATATTGAAAATAATATTTAAGTTGATGTAAAAAAAAAAATGTATGTTTATTATTATATTAAATGAATATTTTTGTTGTTTTCATGAACACACATGGTGCTTTGCATGTAGACTGGGGCTGCCTTTGACTAGACGTCCATCCAACTCAATGCACTGTGAGCGACTGAGTGTTCCTAACGTTCCTGGACTGAACGTTCCTCGTTCCTAGTATATTCATCAGTCTTAGCGACATGAAGTATGGTCGGTCAGCTGAACCGTCATTTCGTTCAGAGTCTTCCACTGCAATCAAACCACAAAAAGCAATTATTATATTATTATAATAAAATGTCTTATGACTAGGCCAGTTTTCCAGATAAGATAATTGACCAATCTTGGTCGGTTATCAGCCATAAACACAGTTTAATAATTAGATTAATACCTTTTTTTTACGTTGGTGGAGCCTTAATTTCTGCTGAGGTAGGGTACTAAATAGTAGGAACTTAAATTAATTCTTGAATTGAATTGAAATAAACGACCCAATTAAAGTTTATTAAAAATGGAAACCTAATTTTTAAAAAATTTGGACACACTTTGCAATGGGAGAGCTACTGTTGTAGATGAGAAGTTGTGAAGGATATAGAGCGGAATTTAATGTATTTCTGTACGCAATGATTAATTTTTGCTAATGTAAAACAATTCTGAGTGGAGTTCAGTTATAATACATGTTTTAAAAGGCTGTAATGTTTAAGATTTGAAAATAATACATTTCATAATTGTTCTCGTTTTTTCTACTTTTATTCCCATTTATTATGAAAACCTTGAGAAAATCCCTATGAGAAAATCAAAAAAAGTACCACCTCAGGCAGATTTCCTTTCAGAAAAATTGCTACACTTGAGAATTGGATTAAAATTTCTGGTGTAAAATTGTTCGCGAATAAAGAAAGAAAAAACATCATTGTAAAACAAATATTTTCCTCACTTCACTCAGAATCTAAAAGTAAATTAAAATAAAATATGAACTTTGAACGGATGAACGTGTTTAATGGAACTCATTCATCCTGAGGTTTGGTTAAGATGTGCTTTTAACCAACAGTTACAATTCTTCTCAAGTATAAAAGTATTATCCCAATTATTCACATTGTACAATAAAAGGTGTTAAAACGAATGCACGGTATGTATAATATTACAATATTATACTATAATATATTATATACTTACAAAAGCATAGGAACAACGTGTCGACGGCGATAGAATACACATGAAAGAATGTAGAAGATATTACCCAAGAACCAGCCGCCACTATAATCATGGGCAACCATTTGTAGTGGAGTTCAGGCTGCTTGTTGACAAACGCAAATTGCTTTATCGGCTCCAACGGTTCGTAAAATTCAAAATAAAATGCCGCTATGGTAGCACCCGTTATGGTGATCTTGCCGACAAAAAATATGAAGTCCGTCACCTTAAACAGGTACAAGGCGAAATTGACTTGTATAGATTATTTTTGGTCTACGATTAGTTATTAATAGTTATATTTTTATAAAAGCATTCTAATTATTTCTTTTCATGTACCTTGTCCACGACCACGACGCGCAACAAGTTTCTCATCAAAAGGTCAAATGCTTGTTTGGCCGAAGTGAAAAAGTCATTTCCATACATGGCGCACATGATGTATGCGTTTCGATTGACGAAACGTAAAAACTTGTTCAGCAACCAAAAGAAACACTTCATGCATGTAAAAATGGCCCGGGTAAACGAATTGTCATACTTTTTTAATTTGGTCTCTATCCATTCGAGTATGGTGCGTAAGAAGTTGCATATGGCGATGATTAAAGATCCAAAAGCTATGGTTCCCAAGTGGTATCTGTAGAAGGCCAAAAATAAAGTTAATCGACAAATTTGGTGTATATAATAAAAATGTCATTATGTTGTATTCCAATATTAACCTGATGGTTTTGTAGACGGACTTGGTGAGGCTGAAAAATGGCACATCTTTCTTGTAGAACGTCCAGTACCACGAGGCAAATGTGATGGCCAACACCATCTGGGAGAAGGCTGAAACAAAGTTCAGTAGCCAAAACATCCCGAACAGGTTAAACAGTTGGAGTCCGGTGATGAAATCTTGTGACACGCGGTAGTCGTACGCGCATTTGGCCAGCTTACAAACGGTCTGGTTACTCGAGCAGTAACGTTCCCATTTTGACTCTGTACACCAGTCACCATCCTATTAAACAAAACACACGTCATATTATACGTGATTTGTATACTATTTATACAAATATTAGTTTTGTTTCCATATATTGGTATGCAATTTAAAGTAAATCTACTGAAATACCTGCAGTCTAAGTGATAAAAATGTGCAAGGTATCCTTGATGCCTTTTTACTTTGTTAACATTGAGTATTAAACATTATTTAATTTTAATACTTAAACTGCATCAACATGAAATATTTTTGTATATGCAATTTTTATTTTATTTTAAAACCTTATAACTATTGTTGCAATAGCAGCTGTTGTCATTTGCGAGGTCTTTGACTTTGAACACGTACAATTTCATCGAAGAAAGATAAACGGCGACTGCAAAAAACCACATTATTACTACCAAGTATAGCAGCCATTGGAACAGCGGGAACGTTAAGGCTGTTTTCATCTCGAGTATAGCCCTGGAAAATATAAACGAAACGCTCGTATATTATAATAGTATGCAAACAAATATTGTGCCTACAGCTATTGAACACAGATTTCTATATTAGTATACTACACTGAATGTAGAACTGCCGTAGTCAAAATGATAGTAAACTAAACGCAAAGTAAAGCTCATAAATAATAACATTTATATTGAAAAATTTCATATCGTCTCACCGACTTCCCTCCACAATGAGTGCTATAGACAGCCTTATTCGTTGTCGCAAGAATACTATTATCAACAGCAGTACGACAAACGCAACAGCCGACACGACGGTGAACGCCAACCAAGTGGACTTTTTGTTGAGCTTGTCGTTCACGTAGTTGGTCCAGCTCTGCCGACCTCCGGTGGCAAGATCGGTGGGCACATCGTCGTCCGACGCTGTCGAAGTATCAACGTCGTTGAACGAAAGGTATCTCATATACGATTCATAACTACCTGCGTATAATAATACAAACGGTTTATATTTTATATTAGTAGTCATAATCGCGAAAACAATATTAACGAGCAATACCTACATCGGCTAAATCCAAAAAACAAGAAAAAGATACCTACAATTAAACAAATTAGATTAACTTACTGCCCAGGGACATATTTATAAGATGAGGTTAGGATCCTCTACTCCATGGTCTGGACTCTCCTCTTTAGTTTATTTACATAATTACAATAAAGAAATGTGTACATTATGGTTAAATTATAGTTAAGCAACATGGTGGTATTATAATGTTGTCAACTATACTGTCTGCGATTGATAATAAATATTTTAGCTTTTGGGCGATGAAAGAATGAAAGATGAATGCTATTGTTCTACGTCACAAATCATTTTATAATTTTAAATATCAATATTCAATAGTATAATAAAATAATAATTTTGATAAGTTTTTGACATTCCATTTGTCCTAATATATATATATATATAACAATGTATTGTACTTTACCGAAACCCAGCAGAGCAACAATGGCGAACAACGAAACCCAAATCATTATCCAACTGAACCATCTCAACAGCAGAATGTAGACCAGACTGAACAGCACGGCGATCAGCAGACCGCCAATAATGTATTTGTAGTTGTTTGATAAGTCTTCAGCCATTGATTTGGCATTCTATAAAGGAAAATCAACGTGTTTGTGTTATAATACAAGTCATATAATAATATAAGTGACATTTTTCTTAATTTGAGAAACAATAATATTTACTAAACAATTTTTTTAATTATTTGCTTATATTATGTTATGTCTAACTTCCTGGTGGTAGAGGTTATAAGTTACAATTTATTTCACTTTGCCTATTGATAAGTTGACTTCATGAATATCCCTTCAATACTTTACTCAAATTTTACAGAACTTACATCACTATGTTTCTATATGTTTTAATTCCCTCATATATTATTATTGTATTGTATATTGTATTATTAAATTATTATTTAATATGTTGTGTTAAAGCGATTTTAAAAATTTTTTTGAAAATTTTATCAATTCAAAAATATTCAAATGTAATCTCGCGTTATGTTATCAAAAAGGGATTAGAAATGGACTGGTTTTTAAGGAGTCGAGTATAGGCAATTTTGTGGCGATTTGTATAGTATACGTGTGTGAATGTTGTGTATCTGTGGGTATTGTAAATTAACATAAACAGTGATTTTTTTTTTTTTTACTTACATCTAATTTTTTGTCTACCATTTCTAGTGATGAACCCAGTAATGCCATATTTGTGCTAGAAAACGTAGTAGATACTTATTTAAAATAGCGAAATCGTATTTTTCCCCCGGTTAATCGTTTTTATTTTAAATACCGTTTTGAAAATCAAACAATGACCCATGTATTCACCAAGTAGATAAAGTTGAATTTATAAAAGGTGTTACGCTTAACATCGGAGTAAGTTTTCTAGGATAAAAGTGGTCTACAGTATAAACAAAAATAAATAAAGTACCATTGTAAAAAAATTAAAAAAAGGAAAGAAAGTCTGATGATTTTGAACATTTTACCACCTTTAAGTAAGTCCAATATAAGTATTATATACAAGTTTCAAGTCTCTACGTGTATTTATAACCAAATAACAGTAAAAAAACTCCTAAAAATTAAAATTCCCTAAAAGCTCAAAAGTAGCTCAAAAGTATTGGCAATGATACTGTAAGAAAGTAAATCAAAAGGCAACAAAAATGGTGTCTAGTGGTTTTTCGATTAAATCATTTTTTTCTGGTAGAAAACGTTGTCCGTGTTTTTATAAAATAATGAAACCTAACTCAATTGACGGTTTTATATTTGCAGATAAAACTCGAAATAAGGGTGTGAAACGTCTTCTAAAAAACACTAAAATGTAAATATTATTAACCGATCGGGTGGTAAAGGTACAATACCTCTTTCGAATCTTTCATCCACTCGACCATAGTGACGCCATCGACTATGTTGCTTAGCACGATTTTGTTGTTTCTCAGAAAGTTTTTCAGACTCTCGGTGTCAGTCAGCATAGGAACACAGTAATTCAATACTGAAAAACACAAAAACTGTTTATGAGGTTAAATGTGACTGAAATTTGCAACTTATCTATACAATATGTATGTAAGGGTGTAATTTTAGATTTTTAATAGGGATGTAAACATTTGAATCAGGCCAATATTTCTTCCATCAAGCATTTATATATTTTGTGGAAATGAAACGAATTTTTAATCGCTTCGCTCTCTCGAATTTCCACTTTACATTTTAATATTCAAATACTAAAGAGAAATATTTTTCTTAAAACATATTAAGATAATAAACTGTAATATCAAACACTTATTTACTGTTAATTTGTTGACATTACTCGTATAATCACATTGATTAGATAAAGATAGTAATATCTTTAACAGTGAGCTATAGTAACCGCGGTAACAACAGTCCATATCTCACTTCACATCTTAGACAGCAGAACTCAGGTAGAAGTGGCCATTTGCAGCAGTTTACATTTTACATTTTATTGACGACGACGGTGCAATTATGAAACATTTAATATGGGCCAAAAACACTTTTCAAAAAATTGGGGTGACATCTTTGAACGTACGTATAGTGTCTAGAATTATATCGAATGGTATACAATGTATATCAGATACCTACTACTTGTATAAATAATTATAAATATTTGTTTTTCCGATTTATAGGGTCTTCCAAATTTCATGTTACAGACAAATTATTTTCCATGAAATAATTGTTTTTTCAAAAAATTATTAATGTAAAAACTTTTTGTAATAATATATTCTACAATTTTGCGCCATTATACAAATAACGCTCCACTATACTCCTCCTACCTAAACTTAAAAGCAGAATAGTCCGTCAATGGGTTGTATTTAAACTAATACTTCATCTATTTATGACATTTTTAATATAAGTTGCTGTTTAAAATTCAAAGGTAGGCTGTGATTTCACTATCTAAAAAATGAAGACAGTGTAACATTTTAGAATATATTATTCAAAAAAATGTTTACAGAAATTTTTTTTGAAAAATAAGTATTTCATAGAAAATTTGACTTTAACAGGAAATTTAAATTCTTCTAAATTCCCTCTGTACCATACATTGTACCAACTACGTTAAATAGGTATCTATAATTACTTTAACGAGCATTTGATTTATACACAGGGCTATATTATATGAAAGAAAAATAATATTATAAAAGTAAGCTAAGTACTAAAATAATAATCAAAAAAAGAGCTGATGGGCGAGTCACTTTTGTTGATAGAAAGTTGAGATACAAATAGTTGTTATTTTTTATATCTGTAGGGTATGATAAATCTTTGTGTAATACGATTTGGAACGATGTTTATTTCAAATTTTGAAATTCTATAATTTGTACGCCTATATAAAAATTATTACATGACGGACGCTCAATTAAGTACGACTTTTAATGAACCTCGTTTTCATTGACTTAAATTTGTGAAAACCATGTTTTCTACTAGACATTTTGCTTTAATCCAAAAATAAATAGAGACTTTTCTTGTTGCATTTATATCTAGTTAGTCTAAGAGTCTTATACTAAGTCACATGGTCTTCGATGTTTGAGACGCCTAATATCTAGAGAGTTGGCTTGTTTTTTTTTTTTTTTTTTTATAAATACATCACAAGTATTTACGTACAATTTTGATAATGTATTGTTAATGATTTATTTTGATCGTTACAATAAAAGCTTTCGAACAGTTTAAAAAAAAAAAAAATTTATACCTAGTTGAGAAATACAAAAGTCGATTTTTATTTTCAGTTTAGTTTTCTTAATAATTGAGTAAAATCGGAAAAAAACGTAGAGAGAACGGAAAAGTTTACAAAAACAATCGTTTCTTTATTTTCAATTTTGTTGGTTTTTGTAGTTCAGTTAAAAATATTCGTTGACTTGAAATTTCAATAGAAAACTAATATTTGATTTTTTAGACGTGTAAAAATTGTAAAATGTTCAAACATTTTTGGCAATTTTTGAGCTATTTATGGGAATTTTATGTTTGCTAGGTTTTTACGTACTTTTTATTTGGTAAGTACTGTCGACTCTCGGTAACTTGAACCTTGATAACTCGAAATTCTCGATATCTCAAACAAATACAATTCTCCTTTAAATAAGAATAATACTTAATGTTTAAATAATATTGTTAACTCGAATTTTCTTATCCAAATTTAGTATTAAAAATGTGTAGTTATCACCATGAATATTTTTGACTCGTAAAACCATACAGTTGATAAAATCAGTAAGTCGAATAATGATAACTCTATACAATATGTTTTAGGTTTAGTTCTTTGTCGTCAGTCGTTTAATCGTGCATCATGTGACAGTGATAAAACGAATTACGTTTTCACACAAAAAAATTGATAATATTATCACTTGTAGAAAAATAAATTTGCCTAAAATTATTGAAGAGGGTGAGAAGAAAAACAAGATATAGCCAAGGGAATTTAGAATTCCAGCGAATACGTTGTCTACAATACTAATAAAGATATAATTTAAAAAAAACTTTAGTGATAACATTCAATATATTGAAGGCAACGAAGGCACTGTTTTTAAGACTCGTGTTTCTAAAGGAGTTAATTCCATTATTTTTGAAAGGGACGTCAATTAATTCCTTAATTTTAGGAATAGGAACATAAACATTGCAATTCTTTTATTTTTCTCGGAAATGTGTTCTAAAACACATTTGGGGAAAACATTTTCGTTAATCAAGTTTTAACGAACTATAATTATGATATAGTTCGTGATAATACGTGTGTATCACGAATGATATCAAAACTGAAAACAAAAAGTAGAACGGTCACAGGACCTGGTACGTTTTTTCCTATTTATAAATCCCGTATTAATTTATACGTACCCATTTTTATAAACATCCAAGATACAAAATTCACAATACACTTATTTTTTTTTTATGAAAACCTTTAATATTAAATATGTACCGGGTGATCCATTTAAATGGGTACTGCCATTATCTCGGAAAGTATTAACTTTTTTTGGGATTTGTTTTCTGAAACATTTAAGAAACAAGCAGCTCTAAAATTTTATATTTTCGTTATTTTGTGTCATCCTTATTTTTGAGGATAAAACCACTACCTACTTTTGATATTTAAATGGCAACTTATATTAAAATATCCATAAATAGATGGAATGGAATATAAATTAAAATAAATTTGAGTGTTGAAAATTTTGATTTCTATCAAGCTGTTGACGAGATATTCCACTTTTAGTTTAGGTTGAAGGAGAGTAGTGGATTACCATTTGTGTGGCGGTACGTTGCACGGCGTGTTAATAATACACATAATGATGATCAATAATAAAATACACTTACGTGGTTTACTCTTAATATAATATTTGGCACATAAATTAGACGAGGTATAGTTTTTCAGCGTTTCCACCGAATTAACATTTTTGTTGAGATCGGGCGTGAGGCATATGAGTTCTTTCTGAATTTTTGGCCATTCGAACGTCGACTGTTCCAACACGTCTTTTACGGACCAATCGTTGTTTGGACAATTTTCCATGCAAACCTGATGAAAATAATAATATAATATACTAATGCGATCGTGAAAATCCTAATAATTAAAATTTGTTTTCAATACATGCATTTCATATAGCAGAGGTTTCCAAAGTGGAATATTTAGATCCCAAGGGTCTAATTTGACCTGTAAGGGATCCATGTCATCGAAAAAAAATTGGGAGAGCATGAATTGTGAATTGGATTAATTAATTATAAATGGGGGTCTATGAAAAACAGAAAAAATTAGCAAGTGATCTACGGGGAAAAAAAGTTTGGGAACCTGTGTCATAGTGTCAAATATGCGCATAACATTATTATAACAGAGTAACTAGGGTTGGTTGGGATACTGAAAATAAAGTTCGTGATACATGATACAAAATACAATATTAATTTTATGTATGTTGATATAAGATACATTACAAAACTAAAAAGATACAAGATAAATGAAATATGTATAAAAGATCTTATTATACTAAGATAATTTTTTAATTTTCATAATTTAACATCAATTTGATGAATATTTTGTTAGAATTATTTTAATTTACAATAAATGAAATAATTATAATTAGGTATAGCAACCTATGGTTTTTTATACGTTCAAATTATAAAATTATACGTTGTTTTTTTTAACTCAACATCATTTATCATTATAAAAATACCATTAATCAATGTAAAAAATATGTATTTAGATGTTTCTTAAATGCTATTTATACTGATAAATTCTTGCTTGACTTTAAAAAAAATGAATCCTTCAAATATTTTATTTGATAAATTGAATTTACATGATGAATATATATATATATATAAATTTAGAAAACTTGTATACTTGTAAATTGTTAATATTTTTTAAAGTTACGAGCGGTAATTTAATCTATATAAACCACGAATTAAACATATTAAATACTCATACACGAGTATATTGACTATTGTCTAATTCTTTCGATTTTTTTTTATTATAATGTTTTGTATATATTATATTTATGGTATAAATATATTTACATTGTTATTGTGTTATAATATCGTTTACAAATTTTTCCTAATAATTTTAACATTTCTTTTATAACAGAAAACATAATTTGAACACATACAATAATAATAATAATAATTATTATTAATACCTGTGGGGTTTGACATCCGTGGACGAAAATCATCAGCGAAGTGCATTCGGTAATGTCAAAAAAGAACAAATACTGTCTGTCGGACACATTTTTGTTGAAGCCGCACACCTGCCCATTGGAATCGGTTGGTGATAATAGTGCTTGGTTGTCGGAATTTTGGTAAGCTGTGGAATAATAATTTTGATTTTATTTTATACTTCCGTAATTTTGTTAACGGGGGTGTACACATTATGTTGCCAGGGGAAATCTGTAAACCACAATTTTGAATTTATATTTGTACGCCACCGCAATTCAATCGATATTTTTAATATTATATTTAGAATTTGTTTTATATTCACGATAACGTGAAAACACGATTTATAATAATATAATTAAAAATATAAATCCGAATCCAACGATGGGCATTCGAATTTCGATAAAATGGACAACTATAATATCGTACCGTAGTTGGCCAGCATCGCCCAGATGACAATGAACAGGCTGAAACCAATGAGGCACAGGCAATCCGTACACGACCTCTTCTCGAGGGGTTTCTTTCTGTTCGGACTATAACTGGTATCTGCGTAAAAAAAATAATCGTGGCACAAAATTAAACCATGAAAAACAAAACGACTTTGCTAATATTGAGTCTGTTTTTTGTGATTATAATATTATAACTAAATAATTTGTATATTTTTTCAAAAATGTAATATTTCTTTATTACTGTGTCCGGTGTTCCCTCAAAACATTATCGAAAAGCTATATTTTATTATCCAATATCGATAATTTCAATAGTGTTTAAAGAAAATATTATCCTGAAAATATCGATGTTTACTTATCTATTATAGGTCGTACATAATTTGAATAACTTACGTTTATACAAGTTAAAATAAAAAGTTTAGACCCTTGAAATATGATAATTGAGTTTATATTTCTTAGGTGCCCAATCTATAATATACAATGTGCAATGTTTTTTTAATACATTAATTGTGTACGCGCGGTAGCCCATAACGGAAATCGGCTAAACGAAACCTACGGCAGTTGTTCAGTCTATATAATTACGACTTTAATTCAGATGTTATTAATCATTTTCATTTGTCTACAAATTTAATAGATAAAGGTTAACTGACATTTATTTAAATTTTAAATAATTTATAGTTTTTGGCTAAAAGGTATTAAGTAACATTCTATTATAAATTGTACAAATAATTTGAAATTTACATTGCAGTCTTATTACGTATCCAAAAGTCAAATTTTCATCCATAGTATAAATGTTTGGCTCAAACACCGAAAAGTTTCAATGTATTTTACATTTATTTTTCGTTTCAAATTATTCGCTTGAACAATTTTAAAAATGTTAGTTAACACTTACATTTATATAAGTGCGCAAATTAATTTACAATGAACCGTAATAATGAGTATATTTAAACTAACATATGCCGTATATGCAACTATTTGCAGAAGAAAAAATTAAATTTTCTCCAGTAAAGAAAAATATCGTACCTAATATTAATTATTATAATATATAATTCAACCGTTTTGAAATCAAAAACGACAAAAAAATATTACAGATGAAAATAATGAAAATGTTGCAACCGTGAAAATGTACAGAAAAACATTGAATAAGATATTATAATTTTTGTTTTGAATCTATGATTAAAAACACTTACTGTGATCCATTTTGACTTGGTTGTTATATTACGCGATCGATATTCAGTCTGAACGATTACCGGAATATCTTTGGCATGTTTTTTAGAGAATTTTTCATCTGCAGTTGATTATCCTGCAATCATACAAAATACAAACTATTATGATCAATTGGTCAACGGACAATAGTAAACTGAGAGCTACCGAGTTTAGTTAAAACTTTTTTGCTATTTATTGGTCGTTGTTATCACAGTATATTAAATTTCAACTTTGGTATAACTCGATGATATTAAAATATTGTTGAGCAATTACAAAATAATAATTTAATTTGTGTATACATTAAAATAACACGAAATTCGGAATGTATAAACAGTGAATCTATCCAACAGTCACCAGTCCATAGCAGTAATTGGTAAAAGATATTGGGACCGGAAGTCCTTCACTTTTTTTTGTTTCTATTATCAAATTCAAATTTGCTATCATAAAAGTAATGTAGGGGTAAAAAAAAAATGTAATGTCACCGGGCTAGCGACATGGTTACGAAAAAAGTGAGTGTTTACAGATAACAGTGACATCGTTTATAGTACAAAATTTCTGTTACAGTTATTGGTTACAAGTTTCTCGAGCTTAAAGTTTGGTCACCAGTCAGAAACGTCCGTTTCACCTTAGTACAGAAATGATTGTATTATTGGTGTTCAAGTTTGTAGGTATATTATCATAGTTTTAAAATTACATTTTTTTTAAAATCATTCAAGAATTATTATAATAAATGGGTAATACATTTTGCTCCTTGGAAAAACCCTGCAAAAGACAAAAGTATCGCGAATCCCGTGTGTACGTGCGTCTGTAGTGTAAAACAAAATGTACTATTCAGTTGATATTTAAAATCATATATTGATATTTACTTTTTTTGATTGAGAAATAAATGTAATGTACTATTACAGAATGAAATGCGTAATCATGTAAGTAAATAATATATAGTCTCAACATTATGCTAAATGCAGTACTCGTAGACTTATATTTTCTCAAAATAAAATAAATTCACTAAGCGTAAAACAAATAATACATTATGGCAAATAATTAAATATACAGAGAAATATAAATGATTACGAAACAAGACCGTACATATAAAGATTAAGGGAGAGGATACAAGAAAAAAAATAGGTATTAAAATAATAATAAAAATCGTCCGTAAAACGTACAGTAAAAGTGAAGGACACAACCGAATTATTTCTATTCGATTGACTAAAAACTGTCCGGTTGTGAAAAAAAACTATTCAAATAGTTTTTAGAAATATGTATTCGATAGTTACCCGAATAAAACTATTAAGTAGGTATTAAGTATGGAAAAGAATATACGAGATTGGATGGTTCATCCAAACTATCAAAAACTATTGACTGTAAAACGTTACGAGTTTATAACTTATCAACTATCATAAACGGAATAAACTGAATAAATCATGAACTTTTCTAATTATTTATCATTCCAAAAATAAACAATTTAAACATTCGGCCCGGTAATCGTAAGTCTTGAAATTGCAAATTTAAATTTGCCGGGACGGTATGTCTGTCGTTGAAAATTAATAAAATTCATCTTGGCAACCGACTACTATAATTCTCCACTCTCCTGAGTAAAATCGGTTAATTTATACTTACCTAGCGCCAACGACTATGATATAAATTTATATCGACCATAACAATTAGCAGATAATTAAACCTTTCATCAAAATAATACCTACTCGAGTAGTGAATAGGGTTTATATATAATATTTAGAACCTATATGGCTATATAGGTACCCATTTGTCATTGTAACTAATAATATTGGTTTTAAATCGAATGTTCAATAATGTGTACACGGAATCGTTAAAGTATTAAAAATAATTGATTTTTAATTTTAATACTAAAAAAACTGAAAAAATAATAAGCAGATTTGAAACACCTAATTAGATGAGATTTTTTTTTTATTTAACATGCTAATATACAGTATTAGTGTAATAGAAGAACAAAGTCAATTGATTTAATAAGGTAACAGGGGAAAAAAAAATGATTAAATCAAATGAAATTAAAGTTAACCTTTCACATACTTGTATAATTAATATTTTTTTTAATTTTAAAAGAGGAATTAAAAATTGATATGTAATTATTGATGTTGTAACAACGACCGTGGGATTGTAGAATAAAAATCTAAAGGTCACGGCTGTGTATTATATTATTGAAAAGACAAAAACTATTAGATTAGTCCTTTGTAGGTACCTATCTTGTTTAAAATTATATTGAATAAATTAAAAATAATAACTTACATCACTTATCATATTATAATACACTAGTCTTGGTAATTTACAACGAGAATTAACAAATTTTTCTTTGGTGTATAGATAATAGAGATTATATAATACGTTGTGCACCTAAACATTAATTTATTGTACCGAAACAAATAATATCAATAGCAATAATTATAATTTTAAATTTTGATCTAAACTAAAGCTAATTGCATATCGCCTTAACGAGAAACGATTTGGTTTTTTTATATTTAACCACAAGTAAAGCACAAGAGATGTGGGGTAGTTACAATTTTATTCTGTGAGAGATGTGACCATTGAAAAGTTTAACCCCCCCTTACATTTTTTTCTATCTGTAATAATTTTTCGAACATCAACTTTAGGGGTGGCTTTTGGCTGAAAATTGATACGTTAAGGTCAAAGAGACGTACCAGGGGCTTTATCTCCCTCCATTGACTATATTCTTTTAGCTGAAAACAGTAAATATTCGATATATTATACTACTTATTAGATTTAAATAACCATTTTATAAATTTTGAAATATTGTATAGTTAACACTTATTTATAGGACCCAGATTAAATGCCTTAAAATTTTTTAAGTAATGCTCTAAAATATAAACGATATAATTAGTTTACCGCAAGACTGTAATTATAATTACAATCCTGTAGGTCTATTAATAATTAATAGACCTACTTAATATAACTATTTCATTAAGATGTTAATATAATTAATATTGATGATTCAGTAATTATATTACAATTATTTAAAATTAATAATTACGAACTGTTGATCGACTTATTATGCATAACGAAATAACTGTCGTTATAAAAAGATACTCTTTTTATTAATAATTTATTGCACATCTAATAAACATAATTTTGTAAAAAGTGTAAGTGAAGAGAATGTTTAATGGGAAATTGTATTTTAGTGGGACTATTAGCGATACAAAATTCTTGGCTACACCAATAATTAAAGAGATCGTTTTATGATTTGTTTTGTGGTCTTCTTAGCGATTGGGTAAAAACGTCGGAAAATGTACGCAGTAACGGTTTTTGTTATAAATCAAAATTTTTATTTTTTATTGTTATTCGGTTGGAAAATATAATCGTTGTATTAACGAGTAAATACAAACAAATAAATGGTCGGTGTTGTTAAAACCGTCGCTGACATTGTTTTCGGGACGAAAATAAAATGACTATGTCACAAGACAAAGCCGTTGCCTGCCACTGGTGTCACTGCAACTGGCGACGACTTCTTCTCTAATTTATTTATCTCGATTTAGGATGCTGGCCGGAACGGTAAAATAATAAGTCTTGTTCATGTTACCAATAGAACTGTAACCATACGTCTTGTTTAATATCGATTTAAAAATAACAACGAATTATTATTAGACAGTTTTCTCAATCATTTTTCTTGATCAATAAAATATTATAAATAAATCGAAATTCGTGATAATCATTTCAAAAGTAGATTTAGACACGTGTTAATATAACACGTACCTATTATATAATATATAGACAAGCGTACGGAAAGATGAAAAATAAATTTCCGAAACCTATTGAAACCTTTCTAAATACCTGCAGCCATAATAAATATAAATATCAAGGATTGTGTAACTATTTCAGATATAATATTTCTACATATTTTAGATATAAAAAGTCTAAGGTTTTATTTTATGTCCTTGTAGGTTTGTGAGATGAATTCGTTCTTGGTCGTCTCCTCTTCCCTTTTTTCAGGTGAGATCCCTTCAATTGAAGGGTTAGCAACAAATGTAGAACTTAATACCCGTGAGTATGACATGCAGCATGTTAAAATTTTCCTACTTTTTCTGTATCCATCAGTGTTCATTAACTTGTAATAATACTTGCTCATTTACTTAATCTTCATCCAGCATTTTTTTCGTATATATATAAAGCCATATATGAAGAGCTTTTTATTGATTCCTCTTCTTTTTAGTATATGACCATATCTCTGCTAAATATAATGCTATATAAACTATACATTTATTTTCAGTATCATTTTCCTAAATGTTTTGTTTATTTATTTGATAATAGGATCTTCATTATTCCAATTCTTCTCATTTTCGTTTTGGAACTCACATCATCGGTAAGGGTTTGTCCTAAATATATCAAAAATGATTGATTAACCATCCAATTATTAGCCAGCCACTGAGATTTCTGCTAGCCAAACTAAACATTTTAGACTCAAAGCTGAGTGAGAAATGTATTGGTTTTAAAATAATGTTTTTTTTTTCTGTGGATAATTTTTCTATCAGCAATTTATAAGCAACACTATTAACCGAATTCCGCTGAGAATAGTTTTTTGTTAGAAATGGTTAAATTTTCCCTCAATATTCCCAATTGTGTGAACTATGTGACAGTCTTTTGCTACTATAGATGTACGTATACTAACATTTTCCGTAATCGTTACGCTTTATTCATCTTTCATACTACGCCATCTTATTTCATAAAACAAATGTAAACTGTTCGAAGTATCTTTCGATAATTTCAGTGACAGTAATCTATAATGGAATAATATTAAACGAATGTACTACGGGTTAATTATTCTGATTTTTGAAATAAGTTTTTCGTCAAACGCAATGATAAAGTTCGAAGAATTTGCAATATCATCGGAAGTGAATTATATTGTGGTTATATTATATTTCGTCGGTGTGTCATATTATTATATACAAATCAGAGGCTAATTTCAAAGAAGGTTATACGGAAAATTTAAAATTCACCTGAATTGAATA